AAAAATGGACTTTTTTCTCCTGCCATGGGGGGGCGCTCTTTTGGGGAGTAAAAATTCCTTCACAAATGTGTTGATGGCTGGACATTGCATCATCCTAGAAAACTTGGAGGCCAGTGAGGGCAAAAATAAAAAGTTATAAGACTTTTAAATATGTGGATTTTAGGGTTATCTTTGGCGCCCCCTAGAACCTAAACCGTGGGGTGCAGCGTCATGATTTGAATAACTTTTAATGGCCATGGGGTGTAGATTGGCCTGAGCAAATGTGGTGCCGGTGGAACGAAAGCCTTCGGAGGAGTTAGCGAAATTCCAATGTGTGCGGATCGGCAAAAAATGCGAAATAGCCCTTTAACCGTACATTTGACAGATACGCCCGCACTGACTTTTTTGTAGATCTTATTGAGATACATGTGTGTGTCAATTTTTGTGTCATTTTGACAAAGCGTACAGGCGTGACAGTCAATAGTGTGAATTTCCACCTTAGGGGGCGCTATGGAGCCATTTTGCATTTTCTTGTTTGGGCGACTTCGGAATATCAAATTTTTCACCAGGCCCGGTCGTCCTGCCAAATTTCATGAGTTTTCGCCAGTGGGAAGTGGGCCATTTTCCAGTTCAAAGGGGAGGAAAAAGAAAAAAGAAACAAAGAAAAACCACTTGGGGAATAATAGGGCTCTCGCAGCTGCTTAGCAGCTACGCTCGGGCCCTAATAACAAAACTAGGACCCCGTTGGGGCACTGGCGGGCCCGAGCCGTGTCGCCCCCCCCCCCCCAACGCGCTGCCTCCCCGTCCCATTTGTGTCCTCTGGCCATCGCCCTCTCTGGTAACGCCCATCACTGCAAAGACCCTTTTCCTTCATCGGCGTTTGCTGTTCTTCCTGCCAGTGCGTGTTGCTTTCACTTACACTTGCCACAGCCAGCCTCGTGAGTGCCTAGCCTATTGGATATCACTGTCACCTACACAGGACAGTCATTACCTTTCTATTAATACTTTGTGTTTTAATTTCACATTAATTTCCATATTGTATAAACGACTGGAAAAAACTTGAGCCCCTGCCCCTGTATAATCATGTGCATGTCTCTGTTCTAGCTCCAAGGTGAATCTTCACTGCTCATGTTCTCCTCAGAAGCACTCACCTCACTCCCCTCAGGTTACTGTACACATGCACCAACTGCCTGCTTCAGGTTTGGATGGAGCTTCATGGTTGTCTTTTGGAGAAATGACCAGTCAAGTTGTGTTTGAAATTTGATTTTTTTCAGGGGCAAAAGGAGCCTCTGCATTCTTGTCAAATATGTAAATAGCATGTTTTTGCAGGTGCTAAAAACCAGACTCTGAGTGTGTGTGTGTGTGTGTGTGTGTGTGTGTGTGTGTGTGTGTGTGCGTGTGTGTGTGCGTTCAAGTCACATGACATATTTAACCGGATGTAGCTGCAAGACGGAGCCTCGTTGACTCTCCGTTTCAACTTATCTCAAAAGTGAGGACCTCAACCTATATACCAGTTTTTAAATTGTGTTGATAGGCCAAATAAAACCAGAGTTATGATAAATTATGTCCGCGAGATACTTTTTTTCTGCTTATTTTGATCACGTTCGGCGCTCGATCGCGCTGTATGAGACAGGAAAACATAGCATGCAGACATTAGCGACAGGTCTTACAGGCGGAAAAGGCTTGCCAAAAGAAAAAAAAAACACACCACAACATCTCTCCTATTGGTGGAAAACTTCACCACAACAACCAATCCAAAATTATATGGTGACTGATTGACAAGGGGCGGGTGCTTACGTTCTTCCTGCAACATGAGAAGGGAGGGAGGGACTCTCAGCAGGGATGCAGTCTGGGACACGTAGTTGCAAACCTAGCGACTTTGTTGTTAGATTCAATGACTTTTCAGACCCCCTAACGACTTTTTTTTAGAAAGAAAGGGACTTTTATCGACTTCTTCTGGAGTTTAGAGACTCTGACATGAAGCAGGCTTTCCTTACTGAGGAGTTAGCAACGCTGCTAAGGGTGCAGAGCCACACATGCGCTCAGAGCTCTGCATGGGAGACTGAAGCTGACAGAGCTGCAGCAGTTAGCAGGTTTCACCCTCAGAGACCACCAGGGGTTCATGTTGAGGCATTTTAATTTTTTTTTTTTTTTTGTGCCATAGACACTGTCAGCACAATCTGCAGTTACACTAACAAAAATGCTGCAAAAAACAAAGAATTATGGAAAAATTACACATGGACTGACATAGAGGAGGATCTACACAAGTTTTTTACATCATGTTTTACATCATGCATCATTTACATCATGTTTTTTTGTAGTGGCATAAATAAAAAGTGACATTTGTGAGACTATACAGTGTTTTGTAAATAATTTTACAAAGAACGCCTGGGCCATTGCCTGCATTTTGATGAAAATAGAGGTAAATCACTATGTTCTTTGTTAAAAATTTGCATATGTTTTGAAGTTTACAATTTTTATTTGAAGTTTAAGTTTTAAAAACAGTTCATCACACATATTTGTGGTTTAATTTCACATTAATTTCCATATTGTATAAATGACTGGAAAAAACTTGAGCCCCTGCCCCTGTATAATCATGTGCACGTCCCTGTTCTAGCTCCAAGGTGAATCTTCACTGCTCATGTTCTCCTCAGAAATAGTCACCTCACTCCCCTCAGGTTACTGTACACATGCACCAACTATCTGCTTCAGGTTTGAAATGGAGCTTCATGGTTGTCTTTTGGAGAAATGAACAGTCAAGTTGTGTTTGAAATTTGATTTTTTTCAGGGGCAAAAGGAAGCCTCTGCATTCTTGTCAAATATGTAAACAGCATGTTTTTGCAGGTGCTAAAAAACAGACTCTGAGTGTGTGTGTGTGTGTGTGTGTGTGTGTGTGTGTGTGTGTGTGTGTGTGTGTGTGTGTGTATGTTGGCGTGTGTGTATATGTGTGTGTATCCTGCAGTACTCTGTACTCCTGCAGTGGCCAAAAAGACTTTTAAGAATGTGGATTTTTGGGTCATCTTTGGCGCCCCCTAGAACTGCAGTATTCTGTACTCCTGCAGTGGCCAAAATGACTTTTAAGAATGTGGATTTTTGGGTCATCTTTGGCGCCCCCTAGAACGTAAACCGTGGGGTGCAGCGTCATGATTTTTACAACTTTGAATGGGCATGGGGTGTAGATTGCCCTGAGCAAATTTGGTATCGGTGGGACGAAAGCCTTAGGAGGAGATAGCCACATTCCAATGTGTGCGAATCGGCAAAAAATGCAAAATAGCCCTTTAACCGTACATTATACAGATACGCGCTCTTTGACTTTTTCGTAGATCTAATTGAGATACACATGATTGTCAATTTTTGTGTCAATATGACAAAGCGTTCAGGCGTGACACTCAACAATGTGTATTTTCATGTAAGGGGACAAGAAAAAATGGACTTTTTTCTCCTACCATGGGGGGGCGCTCTTTTGGGGAGTAAAAATTCCTTCACAAATGTGTTGATGGCTGTACATTGCATCATCCTAGAAAACTTGGAGGCCAGTGAGGACAAAAATAAAAAGTTATAAAACATTTAAGAATGTGGATTTTTGGGTTATTTTTGGCGCCCCCTAGAACCTAAACCATGGGGTGCAGCATCATGATTTGAATAACTTTTAATGGCCATGGGGTGTAGATTGGCCTGAGCAAATGTGGTGCCGGTGGAACGAAAGCCTTCGGAGGAGTTAGCGAAATTCCAATGTGTGCGGATCGGCAAAAAATGCGGAATAACCCTTTAACTATACATTTGACAGATACGCGCGCATGGACTTTTTTGTAGATCTTATTGAGTTACATGTGTGTGTCAATTTTTGTGTCATTTTGACAAAGCGTATAGGCGTGACACTCAACAATGTGTATTTTCACCTTAGGGGACAAGAAAAAATGGACTTTTTTCTCCTGCCATGGGGGGGCGCTCTTTTGGGGAGTAAAAATTCCTTCACAAATGTGTTGATGGCTGGACATTGCATCATCCTAGAAAACTTGGAGGCCAGTGAGGACAAAAATAAAAAGTTATAAGACTTTTAAATATGTGGATTTTAGTGTTATCTTTGGCGCCCCCTAGAACCTAAACCTTGGGGTGCAGCGTCATGATTTTGATAACTTTTAATGGCCACGGGGTGTAGATTGGCCTGAGCAAATGTGGTGCCGGTGGAACGAAAGCCTTCGGAGGAGTTAGCGAAATTCCAATGTGTGCGGATCGGAAAAAAATGCAAAATAACCCTTGAACCGTACATTTGACAGATACGGCCGCACTGACTTTTTTGTAGATCTTATTGAGATACATATGTGTGTCAATTTTTGTGTCAATATGACAAAGCGTACAGGCGTGACAGTCAATAGTGTGAATTTCTACCTTAGGGGGCGCTATGGAGCCATTTTGCATTTTATTGTTTGGACGACTTCAGAATATCAAATTTTTCACCAGGCCCGGTCGTCCTGCCAAATTTCATGAGTTTTCGCCAGTGGGAAGTGGGCCATTTTCCAGTTCAAAGGGGAGGAAAAAGAAAAAAGAAAGAAAGAAACAAAGAAAAACCACTTGGGGAATAATAGGGCCTACGCCCGGCTGCTCTGCAGCTGGCTCGGGCCCTAAGAAGGAAACTACAGGAACAAGAGGGCTCTCGCAGCTGCTTAGCAGCTACGCTCGGGCCCTAAAGAAACAAAGAAAAACCACTTGGGGAATAATAGGGCTCTCGCAGCTGCTTAGCAGCTACGCTCGGGCCCTAAAAACATGATAAACAGCTAGCAGGTCAAACTTGGCGAGTCTGCAGCCGAGGAGCTGAGTATTTGTCGTCTCCTAGCAACAGAGTTGTAAATTGTAGTTTTGTGAGTGCTGTGTGCATTAATTTAAGATTTAATTTGAAATACAAATTAATTGTGTGGGGAAAGCACAGTCGATAACTGGGATGTTTTAATTAGTTATTTAATAATTGTTAAAATCATTTGATCTTCTATTTCAACCTGTGTCCGGACTGTGTTACACGATGTGCGCATGCTCCGTGCACTCTGGTTAAAGCAGCGCCTGAGTGGACAGTCAGTGTGAGGAGAGAGACTCGGGGTGGATCCGTGAGAGAGAAGCCGTCCTCTCTGCTACATCCGCGACTGTACCACAATGTCCAAACCGAAGTTTCAGACGGAATGGGAGGAAATTGACGAGGAATACCAACAATTACAGGTGACAGAGCACACTGACACGAGGACATCATGTGTAGTTGACTGTTTAGGATGACACTGACAGACTGTGAGACTCTCTGTAGCGGCTACCTTCATTTGGATGGCTCTTTCTTATTCGTCATTCATTCTCTGCCCCGGCTGTAAACGCAGATTTGGGCCGTTTTAGTGCTCTGCTGGTAGCGGTATCCGAGGGATGGGATAACCCCTTTGTGAAGGTTTAGCATCTTGAACTGAACTTTAACATCCTTGTGTTACAGGAGCTAACGTTAGCAGCAGGTTGCTCGTCTGCTGCTGCTGGTGCGGCTAATGAGCAGCTACATTAACTTGGTGAACAACACAGAGTACTACTGCGGTGTCAATATTGCTTAAAAGAGACTCTTCAGAAAACTTAATGTGTTTTTGCGACTATTGTACCCCCTTTATACTCATTTAATGGTGAGAGAATACATCATTTCAAAAGTAGCAGACGTCTGCTAGCAGGCTAACTTGAATCAGCAGTGAACTATGAGTAGTGGGTATCATTAAAGTCTACAGCTCACTCTAAAGTACAAAATATCATGACCTGGTCAATGTGGTGTTTTGGCCTGACTGCCACTGTACTCATGCAACTGAGACGTGGAGCAATGATGCAACCAAAATACACAATCTAGAGCTGCTCCATGGGGAGGATGATAAATGTGACAACCAGCTTTTCTCCAATGAAGCTCAGATTTGTCACCTGCAAAGAAATAGACACTCAAGTCTCTTCCCTCCAGGTCAGATATTTTCCAGATCTACTCAGTGAGGCAGTGGTTTGCCCTGAAGTCAATTTCTGTCATATTTGAAACAGGTTGTAATGGAAACTAAAGAAACTATAACGTGAATCACAGAAAAATATGAAACACGCTTGTAAACTTTATTGTCCTCACTGGCAGTGTGGAGTTCTGAGCAGTTAATAACCTAGTTCAGTGGTTCTCAACTGGTGGGTCCCGACCCAAAAGATGGTCGCGGACACGTTCTGGATGGGTCACAAACAGCTGGTCAAAAAAGTAAATATTTAATGCAATATTTAATAGATATTTGATATTTTCTGTATAAGCAACTTCAGTAATTGCCATCCTCATGTTGTCCCCTTCATGTGCTCTGAAATGCACTTTACTCAATAAAACAAGTGGGTTTATGTTAAAGATTAGAGTCTTCAAAGGTTTTTTTCACAGCAAGAAGGTCCTGGGTTCGAATCCAGCTCAGGGTGTTTCTGTGTGGAGTTTGCATGTTCTCCCTGTGTCTGCGTGGGTTTACTCTGGGTACTCCGGTTTCCTCCCACATCCCAAAAACATGCCTAAGTTGGGTTAGGTTAATTAGCCACTTTCAAATTGCCCGTAGGTGTGAATGTGAGCGTGGATGGTTGTTTGTCTCTATATGTCAGCCCTGCGATGAACTGGCGACTTGTCCAGGGTGTCCCCTGCCTTCACCCGAAGATGCTGGGATAGGCTCCAGCCCCCCCACGACCCCGGTAACGGGAATAAGCGGTAGAAAATGGATGGATGGATGGATGGAAATTTGCTTGGTTTGAATTCTATAAAAGTGGGTCGCCACTTAAGGACCATGGGAAAATGTGGGTCCCAGAGTGAGACCAGTTGAGAACCACTGACTTCGTTCACAGACTACCTTCAAACACGTCCCAGGATCCAGCTTGGAGGTGTGAGTTTGAGCCAGTGTTTTCATATTAGTCATGGGATTTTGACTGAGATCAAGCTCACTTTTTACACTGTCACACACTCTAGTATGGGCCACCATGTGCTGAGAGAATCATTGACTGAGATTCTTGCACACTCAGCTGGGGAAAGCACATAATGACAACATTTTTCACTCTCCCCAAACATTGTTATGAAACTAGTTTCCTTATCAGACATCTTTTATCTCTGATTGGCCTGTATCAGTTTGATAACATCAGTCATTGTCCTGCAGGAATATCACTCTGGTAGATTTTTTTATTTGTGAATCCTGAGCATCATAGGTAGGCTTTTTATGGTTGTTGGAGTCATACCTAAGGGGGCTCAGAATGAGTCTCATACTTCAACCAAAGGTTTACCTCTGCTGACTTTGCAACCCCCCACCCCCACACACAGGCAGCACAGTCTTATGAGCCAGTGGGAGATGGAGTGAAGACAGTGCTGCTTAATGCTTTTATCTGGTGTACCAACATAGATGGATATGTACTGGAATAGCTCACCCCATAATTCAGTTTCATGGCCTGTTTGTGTTCTGACTTACGGGTCAAACCTGATTTCACAGATTGAAGTATCTCCAGCTCAGCTGAATAGAGACCCTGTCTGCCTTTCACTGCCTCCCATTGAGGTTTTGTTAAGCTTGGCAGAGATTTGGTTGAGATAACGAAACATTTTCTGTCTTTCAGAGAAGTGTTTTCCCTGGAATATGACAAATTTGATTGATCTTTTTTTCCGTATGAGATGTAATCACCCATTTGCAGAGCTTTTTAATTCTACTTTGAAGTGTTTGGCCCTGCATTTCTCTCAATTTGTAAAAAGACACCTCCAAGCATTACTGAGATCCCTTCTCTAATCTCATGCATACTTTGTATGTTTTGTGTTTTTTGGTCTCTAGGAAACCCACAAAATATACAGACAAAAACTTGAAGAGCTCACCAATCTTCAGGCAACGTGCAGCAGCTCCATCAGCAAACAGAGAAAATGCCTCAAGGACCTACGGTTTAGTTTGACCAAGTAAGTGTTCCCTGATTTGGGACTCCATGCTTCTTTTGCTAAGAGTTCACTAAGGGGCTTTTTGCAGCATAGACTGAAGGAAAATACTCCTTGTAATTTGACTAAACGGAGGACTTTATGGACTTCTACAAAAAAACAAAACAATTGTTTCCATTTTTTATGCTGTCAAATTACAGTTATTCCATCTGTTGCTTTGTTGCTTTTGGTTAAATCTTTGTAAATGTACAACCTTTACAAACATTTCTTGTCATTTGCAGTTACCTCTTATAATTAGGTTTCCCATAAGTCATTCTGTTCTTCTACACAGATGTGCACAAACATGTGATGAGAAAAACCTGGAGCTTCTAACAGACATCAGAAATCAAATCAAGGAAAAGGAAAATGTCTTCTTTGACATGGAAGCATATTTACCAAAGAAAAATGGGTCAGTGCTTATGCAGTTGGTGATTCATCGTATATTACGGGCAATTTTTTGTTTCTCAATTTCTCAGATGTGATTTGTGTGTGTTTTAGGCTCTACCTGAATTTGGTCCTGGGTAATGTGAACGTAACTCTTCTTAGCAACCAGGCAAAGTAAGTTAAGTGTTCAGGCTTAAGTACAGCATGAAGATGTGTGTGTAACCCCTGTATGTACATTCATTTTGTCTCTTATTTCCCTCATAGATTTGCCTACAAAGATGAGTATGAGAAGTTTAAGCTTTATATGACAATAATCCTAATGTTCGGAGCGATAACCTGCCTCTTCTTTCTCAACTGTCGGTGAGATCATTTATACTTCCTCAGCCCTTATTATTATCATTATTATTATTATTTAAAAAGTTGACTCACTGTTTTGTTTTCTCTTTTTGTCAAGAGTCACTGATGAAATTTTCAACTTTTTGCTGGTATGGTACTACTGCACTCTGACGATAAGAGAGAGCATCCTCATGAGTAACGGCTCCAGGTGTGTAATCTTTTTATACTGGGATAAGATTCCCCGACTGAAACGATTTGTGTTTGTCGAATGACGTCTTAATCCTAACATCTCTTATGCGTCACAGGATCAAAGGTTGGTGGGTGTCTCATCATTACGTATCCACTTTTCTGTCAGGCGTGATGCTCACCTGGTGAGTTTATGTCTTTAAGTTCCATATGTATAGTTCAAGTACAAACATGCATAGTTTGGCAACAGTTTTTGCTTAACCTTGTGTATTTTTCCCAGGCCAGAGGGGCCCATGTATCAGATGTTCAGAAGCCAGTTCCTCGCCTTTTCCATTTATCAAAGTAAGAAATCAATCTTTCCTCAAGAGTCAAAGAAGAGTGTGCATTTGTGTATTTAATACATTTAGTGTCTTACTGAGTGTGAAGTGGAAAATAGTGCTTTTTTGTGTGAAAACAAGAAGATTATTTTGTTGATATAGTCAGAGTCGAGTATGAATCTGCACAGAATAAGATCTACGTCTGTTTGATAGGAATATGAAAATGTATTTTCACACTTATACCAACCCATGTTTCAATATCAAATAGCACTGTTGACTTTTTTCTTGGTATTTGTCTTCACAAAGTTACAAAGAACTTGACAAAAATACAGAAAGGAAAAAAGAAAACAGTGCAAAAACCCAGATGAAAAAAGTGCACGAGGCAAAAAAGCAGAAAAAGAAACAGAAAATTTCAGAACTGCCCCATAAACGAAAGGTTTAAAGAGGAGATTTAAAAGAAGGTGAGGACGTTGACTGTCTCAGAGTGATTAGTAGAGGGATCCACAGTCTTGGGGCTCCATCTACAAATTAGAAAAAAACACCGAAGCTGAATAAAATGATCTTAGTAAACATCCAGGCATATAAAAAGTACCTTTTGTTTTTGTTTTTTGACTTACTTTTTTGCATTTCTGGGTTAAGAATAAGAAGAACTTTATTCATCCCCAAAGGGAGATTCAATATTATTATTATTTATTTTATTTTTTTATTATTATTATTAATGTTACTGTGAAACATTTTAGACATCAAAGCATGCAGCCAGTCCAATTACTAACAAGCAACAAACACTTCAGTAACATGATCAGAAAATAAAGGATGATGATTGATTATTGATGTGTATATGTATCTGTGTATTCTCCACTTTTCATGTTCTCACGCCAGAAAAGGGAAGTGATGTCTATTCATGTGTTACTGGTTAAGGTCATACTGCATCACATGTTGACTTGTGGCAGAACAGATGATATTATGGGGCTGTGAGGTTAAGTTTTAGGTCAAATGTTAAAACATAAAAATGATCACTTGTTTTAAAGACCCAAAGACATCAGCCTTATCTAAGACAGTGTGGATCTACTGCAGTTTGATTTTGACCCTGTTTCAATAGTATCAACCCACATAACAGCCCTCAGTCATCTGAATCTAACTGATCTGTTCTGCTTGTTGTCGACGGCGCAGTTATCTGTCTGTCTTTGTCTCTCAGGCTTCGTTCAGTTCCTGCAGTATTACTACCAGAGCGGCTGCTTATACAGGCTGCGAGCTCTAGGAGAGAGAAATCAGCTGGACCTCACTGTGGGTGAGTTGTAAGCTATTTTTGGTGCGAGTCATTTCAATCGTTTGAACTCTTGAGCCATCTGCAAAGCCACGTCTGTGGATAAATAGGGGAAAGGTTGCTTACACCAGTGTGCTGCTGCACAGATGTTTGGACTAGTTCAAGTATGGCTTCAGCTGAATTTACCTCTTACACATCTTTGCTATCAGACTGTTGCGCAGAGTCATTTGTGTAGTCGTGTTGTAGCTTGTCCCAAGGTCGCTGTTTTGTGTCTCTGCAGAGGGATTTCAGTCGTGGATGTGGAGGGGCCTCACCTTTCTATTGCCATTTCTATTTTTTGGCCATGTGAGTGTTGTGTTTATTTATTCTTTAACACCAATCTACAGCTTTATTAATTTATCCAAAACAATTTAAAATCTTAAAAAATATTGTCTAAATCCTGCAAGCTCCTGGTGCAGTTTCACTACTCATATCAGGCCTAATGACAGTTTCAAACAGACTGTATCAGCTGAGGAGGAAAATATGTGCTAATTTTGCGCGTGTGGCTACATTGAGTAAAGCTAATGAGTCCTCTTCCTCCCCAGTTTTGGCAGCTGTACAACTCAGTGACCCTGTTTCGCTTGGCAGGACATGAAGACTGTAAGGAGTGGCAGGTAAGTATCGCATTGGCAGATCCATTGCGTCTTACATTCTTTGCCCCTCTATTCAGGACAGATGGCTATCCATTAATGAGTCGGGTTCTGCTCAGACGTTCTGTCTATTATGAGAAGGTTCTCCAGCTGACATAGTCCCTGAAATGTATAAAATTTGCTGTGCATTATAGCTACAAACATGGGAATCAAGCTGTATGCTTCATTAGGGCCTGTGACCACTGACAGCTTTTTTTAATCTACTTGCAGTGTTTATTTTCCATATAAAACTAGTTCAGTTCAGCTGTTTCAGCTCTCAGTGTCTTCAGCGCAAAGATGTCCTGAGTAACAGCTGTCTGTGTACATTGTCAAAAAAGGTCCAGTTTTTGGAACACTAAGGGTTAATGTCACTTCTCCCTAACTAACCAATCAAAGTCAAGAAGGGGGGGACCTTGGTCATCAGCTTTATCAACAACAGTGTCAGAGAAGGCTTATTTCATTACAGTTCAGGAGTTGCTGTTAACGTTGGGACACAATTCAAATCTAATGTTTTTATTGGTTCCTTGAAAATTTTCATTGAATATTGACAAATATCCACAGATGAGATGCTTTATTATATACAAAAGGTCAGAGGGAAGGTAAAGTGCAGTGACACTACTTTCCTACTCTCACAACAAAGCAACAGCAAGAGCTGATGAGCAGCGCTTTAAAATTTAGGTCAGTGGCACTGCCAGCATAAAAACTGCTAGTGGTGGACACAGGCCCTTATTGTAGATTTCAATTTCAAATCATAGTTTAAAGTCGAATAGTTATTTTTTCCTTTTCAAACAACATTAATGGACGTCTTTTAGTTTGTTCCTATCACCCTCTTACTCTTCATGCCTCTGTTTTGCTACCCTGTGGTTATTGTTCTTAACCTACGGTAACCTGACATGAAAACAGTGTTGGTTTATAAATTAGATGTGGAATGATAGACAGAGTAAAAACGTTTGATAGAAACAAATTAAAGTCTTCTCAGAATAAGATCCCCTTTTTTCCATTTTCTTCAGGTATTCATGCTGGCGCTGACCTTTCTTGTTCTATTCCTGGGAAATTTCCTCACCACATTAAAAGTCGTCCGTCAAAAGATTCAGAAAAACCAGGACAAAGTACAAAAAAAGGACTGAGAAACAAAGCTCAGCGGCACACGTCAGATTTTGCAACTGGCCAGTAATTTTCAAGCAACACGCACAATCGCTTCACAGACTGACCACAGTATGATCAGGCCAGGAGAAGACAAAGAGAGAAACGCTCTTCCTCTCAGGCTTTGATGACCGCAGCAGTAGCGTCCAGCCAAAGTATCCTGCCAGCAGGCTTTTTTGTCTCTGATGACCTGTTGTCGATGTTGCTGCACAGTCGGTCACTACACACAGTGGCGCTCACGTGCTAGATGAACAGTTTGTTGCTTCCTCTTGTACATAGTGGAGAGAATGTGTTTTATTCGGGGCGTTTGTGTCAGTGCATGAATCTGTCTGAGAGTGGTTGTTTGAATAGAGGACAGGTAGCATCGGGTAACAGACCAGAACTTAGTTTGCCTTTGAAGACCTAAAGTCTGTTGTGTACATACTTCATACTTCTGTGAAGTAGTGATGGTCAGACTGTCTCTGGCTTGATCAAAGCTGATCAACTTGGCACTGCACTAACACAACTTTTTATTGGTAGATCTCAATTTCCTGTTGTGTCACTTCACTGCTAACCAGTATTTTTGTCCAAAACATCAGAAACATAAATCTGCCACTTGACCTCTTCTGTCTGGAGCCCTGATTTTTATTGTTTATTAATTCCTTGAACAAGTAGGGACTAGAAGGGAATTCACCGCAGACTATCCATTCAGACGAGGGTTATCAAAGCCATAACCATTTTTATAGTTTGATATCAACTCTCCATAAATCTGGTATAAAAGGAGGTCCTCCTTTTTATTTCTTTAACACTCATAGGTCTGTCACGTTTCATGGTCAAGACTGCAAAACCAGGATATGAGGCGTTCAAAGTCTAGTTGTAGAGTTCAGATTAGAGATCAACACAACATGCTGGTAGTTTCTTGCTTATTTACACGATGTTGCAGAGATGATCAAATGCTGCTACTGGTTCTGGTACTATAGGATACAAAATTATGAGAAAAGGTGCTGAATTTAGTCTTTCTAATTCCAATCAACCCAGTAAATAATTATTAGTATTGATTAACTCTATGCCAGATATTAAACTCTTGCTCTAGTTCATTGTAAAATTGATCGGTAACATGTAACAAAATGTTTTTCAGTTAATTTGATTAATATTTAGAGATGTTAGAACACACAGCAGCTTGTTTGTCAGGCCTCTAATGCCTTATGGGGAAAAAAGTCCTTCCTTTAAAGCTCCTGTGAGGAACTTTTGGTCTGTGTCCATTTTGACAGCACCTGTGGACCAAGATCTACATCACCTGCCCACTTAACGCTGTTACAGTCTGAATCATTTCAGTCCTGTTTGCTTTCATAGGTCATAAAGAAATATCACATTAATTTCAATCTGTTCAATTGAAAAACTTTTACAGTGGCTTTATAAAACAATAGTCAGTAACATTACATTCATTTATATCAGATCCTACAAAGCAATCATGCTGAAGAAAATACCAGTAATACTGAGAGGGGGGTAGACATGTTTAGCCACAAATGTATGGAAATGTTACATTAGATACCAGAACTGCCAGGATGCTTGAAACATGTTTTTGTTTTGTTTTGTTTTAATTTTATTTTGGCACATGTTTATGATGTAGCGTATGTTTGAATAAAAAATGTTTCCAATGATCAATTCAACTCTGTAACTGGTGCCTGAGTCTGATCCCTAACCTGAGACGGTTGACTCTTTCTCAATCTGTGTACATTGTTGTAAACAAAATGATTAATAATTAAACACTAAATGAAAAACAAGTTTTCCTTTTTTGTTGTTATTGTTGTACGCTGATGCAGAATTCTAAAATCAGTACTGTACCTTTGATTCTTTGAGTACAAAAAACAGCTCAAGAGATTTGATTGTGCAGCAGTTGTCTGATCGTTTTCCTAACACTAGTGGGCACTGTTGGTAAAGGAAAAAAATGACCACTTCAGCTCTTTTCCTAACTCAGTGATACACTGGGGATGAATTAACCATTCACTATCGTTCATCAAGGCTGTTTTTCCAAGACTTTTAAAGCTACAGTAGCATTTTATTGTATATTGCTTGATCTTTCAAGAAGATGCATTTCAAATATAAAAAATATAAAAGTAACAGTAAAAAAAACTCCATATGAAATACTAATACAATATTTTTTACATACCGTAAAACAATTTCTAAAGTCATTTTAAGTTAAATGAAACTTCAGCCATTCTCGAAACTGTCATAAAGAAGCATCATTATCAAGAGAAGCAGCCTCTTCATAAATGTTTTCCAGGGCCCTGATGTAGCAGGGCTTAAAAGTGCTTTCTGGACCACACAGCTGTTTCCAGATCAGTCCATAACACCTAGACTCCTTTTGTTTCTGAATGCCCACCTATGCCCCACTTGGTTCTTGGGCCCTTGTTCTTTTTCACCTCACAAAATGACACATTTCTTTTTCTTTTTGTGGTTTCTCTGTTTTCGATTGAAGGCCAGAGTCATTTTGGTGGCCTCTCTGAAAATGTCGTCCACGTTCTCCTGATACTTTGCCGAACACTCCAGGTAGAGCTCCGCATTCATCTGCTGTCTGGTCTCCTCACCCTAAACAACAACAACAAAAAAAAACAACCTGACTGCCAAGAATGAACTTCTTTCAGGGTAAAAAAACCATCATCTATCCTTTTCAAGGGTATCCTGATAGGCAGCAGCACAGGGAGCAATGTTTTAAAGGTTAAGTTAACAAAGGTTTGACAGAGATCTGTTAATACATTCAAACTGAAGTGCAGTTGATGTGGTTTCAGGCTCTGGTTTGGGTGCTTCCTTTTGCACGCTGCAGCCTCGAGGGCCTATTTTTTACACAATGACTTTTGTCCACACTTCTTGTTGCTTTACCTGCATATAAGTTATGGGGGCCAGATTCATGGCCTTGAGCTTCCTCGTACACTCTTTGTCCTTCCTGAGGTCAGTTTTACAGCCAATCAGGATAACCGGTGTGTCCCTGCAGAAGTGCTTCACCTCGGGATACCACTGAGTGAACAAAAACAGAAAATGAGGAGCTGTTGCATTTCTGTCTGCTCTTTTTCATCACTATACTGTGTTTGCCCCACCATTTAAACACTATTCGTACGATGTCTATTTGCACACTTTAACAAGGGTCAATGTCCACATGCAGGCCCAGATGCATGAGTTAATCATAGTTAAAAAGAATGCTGCCAACACCAACATACCAGCCTCTAACAATCATTTACAAAGTGTGTGTGTATGTGTGGTAAAACTGCAGCTCCGGTTCAGCGCTGAAATTCCTGTCTCATTAGATCTGTTTAACTTGGCATGCAGGCAGATTACCTTTATCATGACATTCTCAAAGCTGGTGGGGTTAGTCACATCAAAGCAGACTAAGACCAGATTAGCTTCTTGGTATGACAGGGGCCGCAGTCTGTCATAGTCCTCCTGTCCTGAAAGAATAAAGGTTAAAATATATATATATATATATATGATTAAGATGATTAACATAATTTAGTGAAATTGTATATGGTCCTTGTGTGTAAATGGCCAATAGAAATGTTCAAAAGTGCTGAGTTTTGGGAGGGAAATTGTGAGCACGAAGATTAGACGTATGCCTCAGAGTTGGTGTCAGTGTTTAAAACCACATCCTGGCTCGAGCTTCCTCTTCCTCTGATGTAACGCACCATGCTGCAAGTGTGCACAAGATAAGCTGCCAGCCCAGTCTGTGATGGGTTTTCCTGAAAATGGTCTTTGGTGGATTTTCTAGCCTGATATTTTACGTAACAAACACCTTGATTTTTGTACCAATATTTAACAGAAAGAAGAATTTTCTTTAGCCTCATGTACTAAATTTAAACAAATTTTCCTTCAAAAAATAATTTCACTTTTTAATCAAAATTAACTCCTAAAACAAATATCAGAAATTAGAGACCCACTGACTGAGAATCTGCTCAATTACTTTCACTGCACAGTGCTTTCTGGACACATTTTAATCAATACTTGAGTATTAATCTTTATTATACTATCTTATAATTCTGTTTTAGATTTGAAAGTGACTGATGGAGTGATCATTAAGTTTCCTCAGAATAATGTCAGCTATGAAAAAAACATCTAAATTGTCTAATCTTAATATTAGTCTGTGGTCTATGTACAATTTGTAGTCACAATGAAAGTAAATAAATGTTCATTTTTATAGGAACATGGAGATTATACTAAATTTTGTTTTCTCCGTTCTGATTTAGGAAGATAAAAGTCGTCTGTGTCACTGTACCTGCCGGTAAAGTTAAGGCCTTGTATGATAGTTGGAAGTTATTTAAATGCTAAAAGTTGATCAGTTCCTAAAAACATGATGATAATGACCCTTAAGCACTTCCTCTGTCAGTGTGAGAAGGGAAAAAAACAATGGGTGTACGCCTAAACCTAGGTTTCTGAAGTGTTGGTATATAGTAAAGTGAATTGATCAGCTGTATGGACCTCTAAGTCAGTGTGGTCTATATAGCTAAAGCTGCTATATTCCATTCAGTAGCTATAGTATGTCTCATTTTCCAAACCTTAATTTCTCACAACATACAGTGAAATAAAACTAGTATATTCAACATGGAAGTGATTCTTATCAGACAGTCTTACCAGCTGTGTCGTACAGGTTGAGCTTTATCTCTTTCCCTCCGAGGGAGATAGTGGTGTTATATTTCTCAAACACTGATGGCGCATATTTCTGTTTTTAAAACACAGGAGGAAGATGTCCATTTAATGAAACAACAACATTTTTTCAGCTTCAGGGTTGTGAACGAACACTGTCATTTGGATTAATCAAAGTATCATATATTTGAAGGACATCTCCAGAGTTATAGTACTGTACAAATAAATTACAATATATCGAAGTAATAAGGTTATTTTAATGACAAGAGTTCTTACCTCTGGAAAATCACCTTTAGCATAGACCATCAGAAGTGATGTTTTCCCACAGCCTCCATCTCCCACTATCACAATTTTCAGTTCTTCTCCTTTTCTTTTTGGACCATCACCAGTCACAGTACCGTTTTGTGTCATTTTTTTTTTGCTTCAACACCATCAAACAGGTGCCCCGCAGGAAGAGTCTGAAAATATTCCTTTTAGATTCAAGTTAAATTCATGATGAAGGCTGCGGAGTCTAAATATGGAACAGCTGAGATGATTTACAAGCGGAGTGAAAAAAGAGGAGCAGACAAGCCTCATGTTTTACCAGGTAAGTCGATTCATTCACCGCTTCCTGTTCCTGTCACATTGATGCTGTTTCTATTAAAACATCCCTACACTTCGTCTCCCCTCCTTGTCCTATCAGAAGCCTGCTAACTAAAGGCTGCTCTGAGTGAGAATAAAGCCGCAGATGTGGAGCGTTCAAGTCTGTCTGCTGCTTCACTTCCTGTATTGAAAATTCTCAGCCTCCACTGTCAAACAGTTTTAGTCAACATGCACTGTGGGACTTTTTTTTAGATTTATATCTTTGAAGTCATGCATGTGTGTTCTGGAGATGCCCTGATGGCAGTGAACGGGGAAGATACTTGTTTACATGTGCATTTAACCTTTTACTAAAATGACAACTTTTTACATTATGGGACATGCTTTTCTGTAAACCCTCTTTAAAAAAAAGCATCCTTTTGAGCTTTCACACACTTTTATTGTCAGTCATAGATGTTTAAATCAACACGACAGATAGCTTTCATACTAAAATCGCAGTAAATCAAAATTTTTGTTTTAATTATTTGATCTTAAAGGCCCTTAAAAAACCTTGCACGATGCTGCAACCAGTGAAATTTAAATCCTAACATTAGTATCCCTTTCTTGGGATTTCAGTATAGATAGGACTCTTGTTTATTCCCCTTTAATGTGATCATTTTCTATCCCCAGGGATTTTCACATGCAGGATGTCAGTCATACCTCTCTGTTCAGTCTGTTTGGCTGAACACACCAGTGACATCACAGATTGGGCGTGATGAACTAACCATTTTCTCTCATATTCGTGGGTGAAGTGATATCTTACAAAGCCACAAAGTCAATAAATTGACAAAAATAAAATGACAAGAGCTGATAAAAGGGGGCACGTTGTAGCTTTCATGAGGTAAAAAACCTGTATGTGCTGTTTTTAACTATGAAGCTGCGGGTGTAGGAGGCAGACGGCTGCACAGTGAGAATTGCTTGTTTGTGTTAAAATCAGGGTTGGATAGTGAGAGAAGCAGCTTGAAGTCTTTTATGTCCCGTCCATTTACCTTTGAATCACTACTAGACCTGAATGAACAGGAATCTTCATGGATGTATGCAATAAAAGGATTTTTCAGACCTGGTAATGTATCTCATTTCAGTGATAAATATAGGAACCTGGTGTAGGTGGATTAACACCGTTGTCAAGAGAGAGCACATCATAGAGAATAACAAACACATCATACACAAAACATAGTATTTTAATGTTTTACTGTAAGCTCTGAAAGGTTCTCACATTTCCACAGACAGTTAAACTCAGACCAATTTAAGCTTATAGTCAAATTTGAACATGTTGAATGAATGTTGGATGAAGATAGTCAGTTGTAGGTAAATATGCAGAAGGAAGGTTGAAACGGGAACAAGCAGATTTTCCTTTGAAGGAAATGGCTCAGCCATCCACCACCATGACTAACACTTATGTGTATTTTAAGTGTTATGGGAGGCTACAGTGATGTTTGAATGTGGGCTTCAAATGTAGATAAGGTTAAAATATTGCCACACAAGTCCATCAACATAACATAATGACTAACTCAAGTTTCCACAATAATGAACCATAAAATGTATGTATATACTATTTATTGAAATGTATGACAACAGATTTTTCCAACTGATAGTGACTAAACAGCAATGAAATATTACACTGTTAATAAACCTACTGACATGCAAATATCTGAGTAAGAGAGGAGAAAAACCAATAAAGTACAGTACCACCAAACTGCTTGAGGAATCCTTGGATTAGCCAATATAAATAATCAATAAATACAAAGCCATAAGGAAACCTGGATTAATCCTCTGAGCAATCCTTCAGCCTGGACATACAGAGAGAGACAGAGAGAAAATGTCATGTTGCAGTTTGCCAGATTACTCTGGCTCCACATGAATAGACAAACCGTGCTGTATGCTTCCACAATACCGTATGGCGCTGCAAAAGCCGAAAAAGGTTTTGTTCAGTCGGCTATTAAGAGTGTTTTATCTTTTATCTTTTACTTAAAAGGTGAAACTGCCAGCAAGCCCTAGATTTAAAATAAGGTTACCTATAAAAGGATATTAAATTATCCTGCGAGTGTAAGAAATGTCCATCAGTGTATAGCCCATTTTGATCAGTTAATAAGCAAAGAACATTTGCCAAAAATAGTTTTTCGTCGTGTAGAGAGAAAGAGAGAGACAGCTGTCCGGATGAAGAGAGGCCAATCCTCTGTGTGGAATGTTCCAGTAGCCTGTCAGCCGCGCGCAAAACTGAATGGCGCAACCCACCAGCTTTTTTTTTTTTTTTTTTTTTTTTTTTTTTTTTTAGTGAGATTAAAATGTAAGAACTGCATATTTTCTTACACACATAGAACTCTCTCGGTTAAACTAAGAGTGGTTTTCCATAAAGGAGGGCTGCAGTCAGAGAGAGAGGAATGTTGTTTACAGCCTCGTGACCAGCTATTGAAGGAGTGCGCGCCCTTGGCAAGCTGAGCTCGGAGTGGATAACAGGACTAACAGGCCTGACACACCAACTGCCTTCTCACACTCTACACACACGCTCCCCCTCCCCCATTTCCAACCCCCATCCCTTAAAAACATAAAAGTTGGTGTTTTCAGATTTTAAGAGTGAGAAAACATCCGCCGTTTTTCCAGTATTAGGCAAGAGAGCGCGCGCAAAATTCCGCACCCCCTTCTTTAATTTTCGCCTAGATACAGACTACCAGGGCTCGTGCCGATTCCTCATGACCTTATATGGCAGTGTGGGGGATGCAGCAACATGCTCGAGCGTTCATGGCAAACGGCCAGAGCTCTCGGATTACTGCCGTCGTTAGGGGCGAGTCAGCCTAGCAACTGACAACCTGAATACGCAACCCTGTCAGCGTTTCTTCCCTCCACACAGGCACCGTCGACTGTTTTTTCTTTTTATCTACCTCTTATAAAACATACAAAATCCGAGACAATCTGCCCTAAGTCGATCGTTGGAAGGACTGCCAGGTGAATCATCAGAAACGTCCTCCGAAAAAAAAAAACCAGAAAAACAAATATCCTGTCTCCGAGTGAAAGAGCCTCACCCAGTCATGGCGCAGCAACATTATACAGCAGCACACTGCTCCCCTTTGTCTGTAAAGAAGCCATTTTGAGACAGGAGAACAGCAGAGAAACCACAGTACAAGAGTAGCTCTTACACCAAAAGGTCTGTCCTGGCAAAGGGAGGCAGTGAAATATACAAGATCTGTCCCCATATGATTTCTTTCCTCGTTAAATAGTTGGATTACATGTTTTCAATACGAACTGTAAGTTTGCAATATTAAAAACTTTGGGTTTAAGTTTATTTTAAAGGCAGTCAATAAGCTTCTCTTGTTGAAAACGTTTTAACCACGATTAACTGTCGTCCTTGTTGTCTGCTTATTTTTAGATACTGACACGTAGACGCATAGGCTGACTCAAATAAAATACAATGAAACATCTAAAAATCCATTACCTTTCGATAAATATCCTTTGGCTTACATATGATGTTGCTCAGTTAAAAAAATGTCGAAATTGAAGACGTTATACTTGACTGCAATCCTGTCTTGAAGGAGAGAGAGGAGATGGTTTGCATATTGCCCACACAGATGATGCTTGAAGATGCATATTCGCTGGCTGAGAAGCAATGCCTGCTGCCACTGCTCAAAAAAGTTTTCAAAAGAGCTCAATCTTTCGTGCTAATGGATTCCTTCCTTTGCAGGAGACGCTTTCCCACCCCTTATTAATGCCAATATTAGAGGATCCGAAGATGGAGCTGAAAACAGTCCTCCTGCCCCTGCGTTTAGGCCTGTTAACTGCATTTCACAGTGCTGAGGTAAATATTTTTAAGAGGAGTATTCCCTCCATCTGTTTCCTTTTAGGTGTGACGATCTTATTTTTGTTTGTTTAAAAAATGCTAAAAGGCCACCTGGCTGGGATTATGTAGATATTTAAATGTCCCCTCGAAGCAAGGTCAAGCCAGACTTTAACACTTTGGACGCATTTGGTTCTTAAATGGCAAATGGTCAGCACTGAGGTTGTCTCCACGGCTGTAGGTGGGGTACAAGCACAAGCCACAGGGGTGTTAAACGTTGCTGAAGTGAGAGGACATGTTTAAAGTCATTAATCAAAGACAAAGGGTTATCAATCAACAGTCAAAACTACTAGCAGTATAATAATCTTGTTAACAAAGGGCCATTAGTTATAAATGGCCTGCTTTCTGTCATTTAAGGAATAAGCTCAAATATGTGCTGTAAGATTTATGTTTAATGTCAGCATGCCAGTGAACATGTTAAATATATTGACTATATATTACAGGTGCCAACATTTCTGTAAATAAATTGATAGCTCAGTAGATGAAATGACAAAAAATAATTTTACTTACAGTATTAGCATGCCTCACATTTACATAGATAAATTACCAAAATTTTAAAAATGATAAAAGAGTTGAACTTACTCATTGCTACTCCTATCCTACAAGGCCATAAGTGCAATGCCAACAACCAGCCATTACACATTGTCACTGTGTTTTTTTCTCTTTAGTCTCACATCTCAAAAACCATAATGCTGTTTATTTAAAACACTTGATTTCTTTTTTTGCTCAATAATTATAAATACTGTTATATGGGTGTGCCATGACCTAGTTAGGACAAAGATGGATTCCAGGCAGAGGAAAAAAGGCTCAAAATGTCACAGGGTATTACATCCAGTACATTCTCTTCCTTCTTCTCAATCCTTTGAAAGGAGGAATCATAGTTTTATCATAGTCCATGAGAGATGAGGAAATCAAGTGTAAGATCCCTTTTGGAACAAAGGAAACCCATATAGGCCATTGAGTCCTGTTTTTAGGAAAATGGCTGCCGAGAGCGCTCAGCCCCCTCTCTCTGCTCTCTGTTGAAGGACTCCTGAGCCCTGCTTCTAATAGCAGACAGCTCCTCTGCTGCTGCGCTCTGATTGGCCCGCCGAGCTGCCGCTGTTAACCAGCCAATTGCCCGAGCACTGCAAAACACCAGGCAATGTCAAACAATATCCAGTTTGTTCGACAAAATACACTTCTCCAAAAAATTATTTTAACAGACAAGTCTGAGTCAGCTCGACACAAGCTTAAAATCCCGTCAATTAACTCCTGGTAACTCTATTTTCGAATAAAAATTTGTTAAATATTTCTCACTCGGAGTAAACAACGAGCTCTACCGATAGCTCCTTATCCGTTTTTTAAATAAAACCCGTAACGGTTAGATTTGGTACATTAGCCTTCGACGAACTCGTATTTATTAGCTTTTATGAAGATGTTCCCCTGTGCCTCTCTTGTGTTTGCCGTTTAGGTAAATACAATCAGCAGATTCAACACAAAATGGATTAGCGATACATCGACAAAACGGCCGTTATTAAGACTTCGATATTATAACGCATGCTTACGAATACCGTTGCCGACACAAATCCCAGCAACTTCATGTGAAGCAGCCGTACGGTGTAATTACCGTTGGTAATACACATAAATTTGTAACGAAAGTGCGGCTAGCTGACGAGGTGGGCAAGCCTGGCGGTGTATTGTGGGAGAGACAGAAGCTACAGACCAGAGGCACACAATATGTGTTGGCTCTCGCCGAAAAGGAGGCAGTATTCTTCAAGCAAAATCATGTAATGTAAGCGGCGAAAGGAGAGCGATTTCGTCTTTTCATCAATTAAAGGAAAATCACTCGATCGGACAAAACATGTCCAAGCCAGGGGAGAGAAACAGATTGAACGAAGACCATGGCAGAAAGCAGAGTTCAAGTAAGCTTGTTCTTTTTTTCCTCTTTCTCCAACCCTCCTAAAGCCTGTGTTCCGTAACTGGGATCTACACTAGATCCCGATTTCCCTCTCACTTGGGTCTCCCTTTGACCACCAAAGTCATGCATCTGTAGCGTTCGGCTGTTGTAAAGTGTTGGGGGCTGGTAACGGGACCGTGTTTAGCCTTGCCTCACCGTAGCACCTCTCTCCTTGTCGCTGCCCGTCATTTCAGGTTTGGCGAACGGCATGGACAGTCATCCCGTCTGCGGCTCGGCGGAGAAGCGGAGTCACCACTGGAGAAGTTACAAGTTGATCATCGACCCGGCGCTGAAGAAGGGATCCCACAAACTGTACCGCTACGATGGACAGACTTTCAATATGCCCGTAAGTGGACCGCCTTTTGACGCGGGGGATCGGCCAATAGTGACCGAGCAGCCGACCTCCATGATAGGTTACAACGTGTCTGTGTTGCCGCTGTCGGCCACGGGCATGCTCCCCTCATCTCAAATGGTGTGTCCGATTTAGACACACACCACGTCCAGTTTGTGTACTGTAAACTACTTTGCAACAAGTGAAGTTGTGAATGGGATGATAACACTGTATCCCCCTCCTCCCCCTCTCCTCTACTCTCTTACAGAACCCGGGGATACCACCGGTGGACATGGTCCGGGACCCGAGAATCGGTCGTCTCTGGACTAAGTACAAAGAGACGGATCTACCGGTGCCGAAATTTAAGGTACGACTCCTGACAGACATGCTTGATGCTCGCGTGGTCCTTGTGGAAAAAGGGCGACTGTCAGAAGTTGCAGACACACCCCCCTCACTCATCTTTGGGACGTGGGGGATAAGTTTGATCGTTGGATGGCTGTCACAACTAAAACAACACGCTTGCCTGGATTTGCATTTTCATCGTTTCTACTCCGCCGCTGTTGTCCTTATCTCAGCTGTCAGGAATGACCGCACATGGTGCAACATTAACCCGAGAGCACGTCTTCTTTAACTCCTCTCCATCTTCTTGCAGATCGACGAGTGCTACATCGGCCCTGTGCCCCCGAAGGAGGTGACATTCGCCCGGCTCAACGACAACATTAGGGAAGGATTTCTTACCGACATGTGCAAGAAATTCGGAGAAATCGAGGAGGTGGAGATCTTGTATAATCCGAAGAATAAAAAGCACTTGGGAATTGCCAAAGTTGTTTTTGAGAGCGTGAAAGCCGCCAAATTGGCCGTGCAGTCACTCCACGACACGTCTGTTATGGGAAACAAAATCCACGTGGAGCTGGACCCGAAAGGTAAACAGTGATTCAGCCTTTCAAGGGAACGACTTGTAACCTACATTTATGCATGATCGAGTCCTGTCTGTGCTACACAATCAAAAGGATACACTCAGAGTGAAGCGTTGTCTTGTTTTGAGTCATTAGGAGGGTGGCTGTCACGTGTGTAAATTTACGTGCGTTGCCTGGTAACCTGTGGTAATTGAATTTCATTGAATGTGAGCTTGCTCCCTCAAGCCCAGAGCTGAGGGTGCTGTGTATTCCCTCTGTGCATAATTCAAACGTGTAAACAAAAAATTACTGATATGTCAGAGTCCCAATCAGATCATCTTCTTTGACTAATTATGAAGCAGTTTTGATCAGTAGTATTTTTAATAATGCAGACCGTGGTGTTGTTTTGCATTGATGCAGAGTCAAGCTTCCGCAAATCACCTTTACACAATGTTAAATATATACTGTTGAGTACACAACCCCGTCATCTCTTTTGCTTCCTTAATATGCGAAATAATATGTTTGTTTATCTTGCAGTATGTAGAGTTTTTACATCTTACAGAAGTTCAATTACCTAAATTATATCTATTTGATTAATCAGTTTGTTACGAAGAGTTTTGGGTAGAAATATGGTTTGCACGCTTTGCGCACGTTGTATTAGTTTAAGATCTACCGCAGCCTGTGGGTGAAGTAACTTTTGCTTTATTTTATATTTATTTATTTTATTTGTCGTACCATATATACAACCAGACCTGCACTCTCTGACTGGCGGTGGACTAGTTTTATTGTTTCAACTGCTGATGCCAATAATTGGAGAGCATACGAACCAGTACATAATGCTGACATCAATGTTGTTGTGTTGTTTACTTGATAAAGTAGAGCTATTTTAGAATCCTGTAAAAAAATTTTGACCAATTATTAACAGAAAAACATATCCGATTATGCTGTTGATTTCAGGGTATGTCTTATGTTTATGTCATAGTATATATCAAATGCATGATTGTATACATCTTAGCAGAGTTGATATCAAACTATAGCGAGTAGCTGCTGTAGATCTGATGTGCTGTCTTTCTGGATGACACGTTAACATTGCTCAACAGGACGAGGTTTGCAGAGTCTGCAGACATTTGTTTGCTCTTTAATAGGCCCAGTGAGCGCAGGCGTTGGCGGATGCTGATAATCTAAAATGCCATTAATCAGCCAGATTACTTTGTCCAAAAGATGAATTGATCCACTTCTTTTTCTGATATTACTCAGTTTTACAGTTAAGATTTGACACACAGGAAGGAATAGACAAAAAAGGTGGTTTGCATTTGTCCCAAATATTTACTCAAAGAATATGCTGCATGAATGTAGACAGCCTATCTGTGTAAATGTTTGTATTATGCCTCAATATTCAAAACTTACCACATTATTTGTGTGAAATCTTGCTGGCATTATTCCAGCTTTGTAGACTTGGGATGAGGATTTTTTTTTTATTTCGCTTTGCAGGTGAGAATCGCCTCAGGTACTTCCAGCTCCTGATTAATGGCAGCTACACCCCTCGGACCCTGCCTGTCGGTGGAGAGGAGGCCAGAGAAGTTTCTCCACGGAGCCTTGCAGAAGCCTTACTGGTAAAAAGAAACAAAATAAATTCTCCTCTTTTCATTTTATTTTAAACTGCTCATTTTACAGTGATGGGAGAGTTAAATCACGGTATAGTTGGTCAAAGTTACTTCTGTGTTGTTGTGATGGCTTAGTTTTAGAAGTACTTTGATAAAACAAGCAAGCTGTCCAGTCGAAGCTGACATCCTTATCTGTGATACAGTTTATCAGTACTGCAGGTGGTGGAGTAGAGCAGAGGAAATGTTACCACGACCCTTGCCTGTACATTGAAATCACAAAGAAACACGCACTTCGGCCTTGTATCACAAATCCACTCAGGCATTTTGTTCACATACTCTTATCCACTGGTTGTTTTTTCAAAAGATCTTTGTTGCAGGTTCAGACTGTTAAGTTGGTCATGTAGGGGTAGTCATTCATGATTGTATTGATGAACAAGCTTCCTAAATGCACCCTCACTTCACACTCAGGGATTTTTGATTGAATATGTGTAGGTAATTGTTTTGCTTTGATGCCCTTACTCATCCTTATCCTGTCCATCTCCTCTCAGGCCTGTGAGCCAATCCGCAGGTTGTCAGAGAGCAGCATGTCAGCTACTGGAGTAACGTTGCCCCCCAGTAGCTCCACCACTCCTCTCTCCCTGGAAACAGGCTACTCCAGCCTAAGGCAGGACACGCCCCAGTCCCAGGGAACCCCTCATACCCCACGCCAGACTGGTACGCCTTTCTCCCAAGACTCCAATTTCTCCAGTCGACAGTCCACACCTGCGTACCAATCTGGCCGGCCTGAAAGCTCTGGAGGTTACAAATCTCGCAGACACGAGAGTAAATTCCAGGATGCTTACAACCGCAGACCGGAGAGGCCTCAGTACCGCAGCAACATGTACCGAAACACAACAACATCTGAACCCTTTAAACAGCACCAAGTCACCCCGCCTGAACCTCCGCCTTCAACCCCCTCCTTTACCTACACGGCACCCCCACCTGCTACACCCAACTTCAAGTCTGCCTTCTCGCCCTATCAGGCCCCTTTGCCCCCTGCGTTCCCCCCGACAGAGCCAGCTTTTCATCACCCTGCCCAAAGGGAGAGTGAGTACCTCCGACCGCCACAGCCGCCTCTTGCAGCTGCCCCAGACTTTTTACCCATCAAGGAGAGACCAGAAACTCCTCCCATCCCAGAGCCCCCACCTGAGCCCGTTCCCCATCCCACTACTCCTCCTCCTCAAACGCCAGAGCACTGCCCCTCACCCGGCTCCCCGGCGCTGGATCCTGAGCGCAATAGCCTGGATTCCCGCATTGAGATGCTCCTCAAGGAAAAAAGGACAAAACTGTTGCCGTTCCTGGATGAGCGAGACTCGGACACTGAGGTGAAAATGGAGGGGAGTCCCATTTCATCCTCCTCCTCGCAGCTTTCCCCCATTCCCCCTTACATGAGCGGTTCACAAGCCGGACAGCTAAATTCCCGACCCTCCAGCACGGGTTTGGAGGACATCAGTCCGACCCCGCTTCCAGACTCGGACGATGAAGAGCCCATTCCTGGAACAGCTGCCCTGATCAAGAGAATCAGCTCACCTGTCCAGGAGAAGAAGAGCAACAGTGACCTCAAGGATGGACACTATAGAAGCCACACACCCACAGATAAAATGGAAACGGTAAGACACATGGTGCTTTATATCTGCATGTAGTGAAGTGTCTTTTGATGTCAAATGTTTCAGCATGGGCCTGTTTCCACAGTCCTGGTGGGTTTAGCAGTAGCACATTGCCGTTGTTTACCCCCAGCTTTGAATGACGGTTACACAAGAGGCACAGGAAGTCAGGTCTAGTTTCAGAGCGAGTTGATAGTAGTAAACTTTCCCTTTTGTTTCATTGTGTTGGTTCTGCCCAGTGAAGGAAGTTCTGGCTTAGTTACAGTTACAATGTTTGAAAGGTGCTACTAAACTGCTGACTTGTCTTTTCGCAGTGACCCAAAAATCTTTGTTGTAGGAAACGACATCAACTCTTTAAAAGGGGGGTTCCTTGTACACTCGTCTGTTGATTTGAGTGTAAAAATGAATCTAGTTTTTCTGGCAGGGAAAACAGCTGAGAGAATTATGAATGAAAACTTTGACATGCGTAACTCAGCCTTACAAACATCTTTGCATCGAGACAAACGAAGTCTCCGTGTTTGAAGTCCCAGTAAACACCATCTGCTCTGTGAGGCCCTGTTTCTACACTCGGTGCTCTAAAAGGAGAATTAAGAGCCATTCGGCTGTTGGGGAATTGGAACACTCTTGTTTCCTCTTTCTAACACTAACCACACACTCTCATGCAGGAAGACACAGTTTGGCTGTGGGCCCCATTCAAAAGCACGCTCGCTGGTTTTTTTGCAGAGCCTGACAGTCAGGATCAGCCCCGCAGCGCCTCACGTTCTCGCATTTCAAGTTATCACAAAGCAAACAGTGCAAACAGGTCATTTGGGTACGACGCCACTCCCATGCTGCGTTCACTTACTTTCATTTCTGCGACTATTGTAACACAAACCCTCATGCGTAATAATGGACATAGAGAGAGAAACGTAATATGTTTAAACTAGCGGAGTTCAGTGAAGCTGCAAGGCTGGCCATGGCCAAGTAAACCTGATGATTCATGTTTTCTCTGAATATGATTCTTAAACTTAAGGCCAAATAGATTTGTACTGTTTGGAAAGTCGATGGTAAAGCCTTATGATGGTCTGATATTAACATGAGAGTATATCCTAATGAATGTGAAATTATTACCCTAGTTCCACATTTTTATGAAGATGTTAAAAATGTTGATTCTCACAGAATTTGGTGGTTTACAAACTATCAAGTGAAAATTATTGTTTGATTAAAAAATAAATCCTGATTTCAAATACGACATGTTTCAAAAAAACCCAAAACAAACACTAAAAAAGTGAAAAAAAAACTGGAGTGAGTTCCCCCAGCCAATGGTCTGTGAATTTGCAAAAGGTTAGTAACATCACTAAGTATAAAACAGGCACTCTAGAGGAGCTGAAGTCAAGATGGCAGTTTGTTCACAACTCAGGAAAAGAATGTCCGACAAGTTCAAAGTTATGTTTCTCTGTGTAAAATGACAGAATTCAGGCTTGTCATCATCTATTGGACAATTTCATTATCAAATCATGAGAGAATCTGAAGAAATCTCTGTATAAAAAGGGTAAAACCAAAATCCAATATTGGATGTCTGTGATCTTTTAGCCCCAGGTGACATATCTCTGCAGTGGAAATCACTCATAGGCTAAAAATCCCTTTATCAGTTCACACATTTTGTTAAATTTTACCAAGCAAAGAGGGAAACTTCATGAAAACATCCTCCAGAAACACCAGAGATTTGTTTCAGTCTGTTTTAAGGTGGACTAAACTCTAGAAAAAAGCTGTCCTGTGCTCTGAAGAATCAAAATTATGGACGCTAAGTCCTCCGCTCCAAAGAAAAGACAGACCTCAATTGTTACCAGTGTACAGTTCAAATGTCAGCATCCAAGATGGTGAAGTGATGCAGAAGTACTCATGGCACAGGTAGCCTACACATCTGGGGAGGCACTGTAGTTGCCGAACAATACATACAGGTAGAAGAAAAAAAAAACATACCCACCTATAGTCCTGACCTGTCACCCAGTGAAATCATTTGATGTGGAAAACCGTGAAATATTGAGATGCTGGAACCTCTTATCAGGCAGTGGAACCATATTTCATTTTGAGATAAAACATATGACTGAAATTACAGGTGCAGAACTTAACAGGGTTGATGTCTTCGATGAAAGTTTTAGGGTCATCTTGTTTTCATGGATCTTTGAATGAAATAGCACCACCAGTTTGTACTTGGGAGCTCTGGAGAGATGCTAGTTAGTTTGAGTCTCAGTACAGACCAAGTTATGGATCTGGCTGTCTCAGTTTACTGCCTGCTACAAATTCAACAAAACCATTTTGGAGGCTACACTACTTCTTTTAAGCACACAGAAAAGGTGTGCTAATGTTAAATGTTCTTTATTGAAAATTCAAACTTTGCACTGGGACTTCTTCTGAGGTTGTAGTGATACGAGTGCATGCCTGACATTTGTACTACCCTCTGTAGTTTGAGAGTGAACGGTTAGAAAAGCAAACACACCTGTCTGGATTCAAAACCAACTTCATTGGTCAATCATGTTTAACGAAACTTTGAACTCAGATCTCTCCTGAGATCACGTGCTGCTCTTAAAAAAAAAAACAGGTTTAGTTAATGTCACATTTTCATGGTATTTAATCAGAAATGAAGTTTTTTTAGGGCTGCGTTTATTTGCTCTGTGTTTTTTCTCCCACAGAGTCATCAGTCGTCAGGAGAAGACATGGAGATCTCTGATGATGAGATGCCTGGGACTCCCATCACTGGTGCGGACTGTGGCCCGATGCAGACCATCCCCATGCCTCCCCCAGGCTTCCCCCCTCTCCCCCACCAAGCCAGCTTCGCAATCGCACACCACCACCTCGCCCCTCACTCCGCCGTCCCGGGACACCCTGCTCACCTCGCCGCTCACCCTGGGGTGCCTCCACATTTGCTGGCACACATGGGCCCCTACGCTCCGAGTATGATGCCGCTGGTACAAATGGAGCTGATGAACTGCCTGCGCTGGGAGCAGTGGAGCAGCACCGTCCCCATGTCCTTCCAGATGCAGCAGCAGATGCTGAGCCGCATCGCACAGACTCGAGGGCCTTTTCCTTTCCCTCACTTTTTGGACGGTGGCGCGACAGGGCCTTTTGGAGGACCTTATCCACCTCTGTCTATGGGTGCTACGCCTGGTAGTGGAGCAGCAGCACCAGGACAACATTGGCAGCATCAAAGTATACCAAAGTTCAACCCCACGGTTCCTCCTCCTGGATATGAGAGTAAAAAAGAGGATCCCCACAAGGCCACAGTTGACGGAGTGCTCCTGGTCATCGTCAAAGAACTGAAGGCCATCATGAAGAGGGACCTCAACCGCAAGATGGTGGAGGTGGTGGCTTTCAGAGCCTTTGACGAGTGGTGGGATAAGAAGGAGCGCTCAGCAAAGGTGAGACATACTGACTTCTAAGATATTAAGACAACATCCCAGAGTAGCGGATATCCACACTAGGGGTGTATTGATGGAACTTTTTAACCTCTGATACAATATCGATTTTTTAGCCTTCAGTATTGTCCGATACCAATATTGATCTGATATTGGCACAAACATGTGCATGACACTGCTACACGGCCGACATCACTCCTACTCCTTGGTACTTTGTCAGTATCTTAGTACACACTGTTGTTGTGATCACATGGGCTCTACTTGTTGGATTCCGGTGCTGCTAGATAGAGGTGCTGGAGCGGAGTCTGGAATGGACTGCTTGTATCGGAGTGGTGATATCTGAGATTTTAGATTCAGGCCGATGTTATCCGATATAATTAGAAATTTTGCTGATATTGCACTGATATCCAATATCAAATGTCAATGTGGGGAAAGTGTACATGTACTGACCTCAATCATACAAACTGACTCAATAATCCTATACTGTCTAAATTATGAGGGCCACATTTGAAAATGTCACTAAGACTTTGACTGCCTGTGGTTGTGTTGCTGAGATGCAAAAAGATAACAGAGTTGGTTGATGGCAGATAAATTGTTCAATTCCTTTGATAAAAATTGACAATTTTTCCCTTTTTTCTGGCAGTTTGAAGACAGTTCATTGGGAAAATAAAAAAAACAACACATGATTAGATCGTACTTTCTTAAGCTGCATGTACCTCTTTAAAATAAATCCATAATAAAAAACTCTTCATGGTTCGAGGTTCTAGGGCAGGATGTTTGCAGGTAATGACAGGAATCACATTTATTTCCTCTTTTTGAGCTTTAACACAAAATGGGCAGTTTTACATAGTTGTTTGAAGGTTTATCAGGGGTCAAAAAAAGACACAGACACTAAAATGAACACAACTTTAGGGGTCTTTGTGAAGGCTTTAGGTATAAATATAAGATAACTGCCAAGAATTAATATGTTTTCTTTACCTTTTAGGCGTCTTTGACTCCAGTGAAAGGTGCAGAAGGGAAGGAAGAAGAACGGTCCAAACCCAAAGAGACGATGGGTTCAAGTCTGCTGGAGAACTGGAACAAGGGCGAGGCGCTCGGCTACGAGGGGATGGGCTTGGGAATTGGTTTGCGTGGAGCCATCAGGTTACCTTCCTTCAAGGTGAGCACTCAAATGTGTTACTGAGCGAACATGGGAAAGAAAGGAGTTTTCACGGCACGGGTTCCGCTGTAGATGCTAAACTGTTGCGTGTTGTTGTGTTCAGGTGAAAAGGAAGGACCCGCCTGAAGCCGCCGCAGGGGGGGACAACAAACGAGCTCGCCCCTCCACTCCTGTGGACGATGAGCTGGAGGATGAAGGTAGGAGAAAACCATCAAACTAAAAGAACTGAATCTCTTCACTGTTTTCTAAAACTGCCTGTTGCTAACCGACTTTGTCCTCCTCTGTAAGACCGAGACCGAGACCCTGCAGGACTCCCTTCGGACGACCCCAAAATGGACGCCGACGGTGCTTTGGCAAAGCGACGGCACTCGCGGCCTCTTGAACTGGACAGCGAAGGCGAGGAAGAGGTGGACACTTCAGGGAAGGAGGAGTCTCAGTCTGACAGGGAGGAGGAGCCTGATGAAACGGAGGCTCCTGATAGGCTGTTGCCAGGCAAAGTAAGCTTCTGAAAAAAGAAACTTTCAGAATGAATTTTGTTGATTTTTATAAACATGTAAACACTTTGTTATTTCTAAGGAGAGTGGCGATGAGGACGGTGACGATGAAGAGGAGTCATCCAGTGAAAGTTCCTCTGATTCTTCTGATGATGGTATGTAAAAAATCAGCTGCAACAGTTGGGTCATATTTTTTTTTAATCCAGTTATTAATCCCTCTTTACCTTCTTTCTTTTTTTCCACAGAAGCCGAGAGTTCAGGTTCCTCGAAGGCCAGCTCAGACTCCTCAGCAGAAAGCTCCGACTCCTCCGACGAGTACGAGTTAAGCTCAGAAGAAGAGGAGGAGGAGGAAACAAGTTCACGCGATGCGGACGACAATGTCAAAAAGGCAGTGACCTCCTCGTCCTCGTCATCATCCTCTTCATCGTCGTCTTCTGATGAAGGGGAGGGGGAGGCGGAGACCAAAGCTTTAAGTCCTCCTGCGCGACAGGAGGTACAGGAGGTTCAGAAGAGCAGGGAGGAGCTCGGCAGTAAGCCTAAAGGCAGACCTCCCAGTCCTGAGGAGGAGATGATGGAGGACAGAAAACCACCGTCACCAAAAGGACTGCCAGGTAAGACTCTGTGAATGAATTAGAAAGGAACCAAAGTGATTGTTATCGCCTCCTAAAGTCGTGATGTCAGGTCTGAAGTTAAATCCAAATGCTTTTGTTTCTCACAGTCGAGGATCAAGTCATCAGCGCCGATGGCAGCAGTACCGCGGCGAAGCCTGAACCTCAGGAGCGAATAGTAAACCTTCGACCATCAACTCCCACCGGTGCCCTCCCTGACAGCGACAAGGAGCCAAAAGCCAAAGGTAAAGCAGAGCCTGAGGAAGTTCCCTGCACCCCTGGTCGATTACCCCCCTCCCACTTGGACCCCAACACACCTGTTCCCAAATCCTCCTCCACGTCTCTAATGCACCTTCCTCTCCCTCCTCACCCAGCGCTAGAAGGTCGCTCACTCCTGCACCCACCCCCAGGTCCCCTGCCTGATCTCTCCCAGCGGCCACGCCTCCCCACAGATGAGGACATCCCCCGCACGCCGGGTAGGGACCTGCTGGAGCGGGCCAGGAGTTTGGGGAAGTCCCAGAGCACGGACACGGTGCCCATCACACCTGGGAGCGATGCCCCGCTGTCAGGCAGCAGCCTCCTGCTCAGCTCCCCTCACATCCCCGGTAGCCCCTTCTCCTACCCCGCACAGTCCCCTGTCCTTAGCGCAGGAGTCCCCCGCACTCCAGGAAGAGACTTAACCTTCACCCCTGTCTTTCCTGACCCTGCTGCACTGACTCTGAATAGGAAGGTCTCCTCAGAGAGCATAGATGATAGACCAGTTTTTAAGGAACCGCCTGTCAGCACCTTGCCTAACCAAACTCCCTCAGCTGGATCAGAGCAGTCAGCCCAGGTAGCTGAAGATCTGCCCTCTGGTCTCACTCTAGATGTCCCTCTGCCATCAGATACCCCCTCATCAAAGAAGAAACCTGGGCGACCCAAAGGCAAAAAGACCCCGGCCCTGTCTGCATCTGAGGACTCTATAGAGCTCTCATCGGAGTCAACCCTCCTGCCTAACCACACACAGATCAGCGATCTGTCCATGCAAATAAGCGCCAAGTCCCCAGATCACCCGAGTCTGGACTTCAGGGAAGGAAAGGTGGAACCTCAGACTGTCCTGCCTGCAGAAGACGGCTTCATTTCCTATGAAGACGAGGCTCCTGCGGTGGTGAAGCCCGCGCGGAGAGCGCGGCGATGCTGGGAGGAGCTGCTGCTGGGAAGCCTGTCCCCTGTCACCTCACCGCCGCGGCCGTACTTCAACCCACGCTCTGAGTTTGAGGAGATGACCATCCTGTATGACATTTGGAACGAAGGGATAGACGAGGAGGACATGAGGCTGCTGCAGATTACATACGACAAGATGCTGCAGCAGGATAACGGAAACGACTGGCTCAATGACACGCTCTGGGTCAACCATCCTCATATCCTTTACTACTTCAGATCAGCAAATGTTATTGAAAATATTCATTGTTGTTTATCTCTTATTTTTTAAAGTAACACTGCATAGCGCCCCTTAAACCACCTGACAAAATTGAGTTCAATTCACTTCCACTACATTGTGTTTTTTATGCAGTTTGTTATCAACAGCAGCCCCCTCTGGTGGTGGAAATGAGGAACTTTTTTCTGCTATTAAGTATCTGTTGAGCTACAGAAGTCTGAAAGCGTCCCAGCCATGCTTTTAAGTCTTTTCAGCTTCTTCCTTGACTCCCCTGCACCTACCAACATCCCCGGGGTGAAGAAGAAAAGAAGAGACGATGGGATGAGGGATCACATGACGGGCTGCGCGAGAAGCGAGGGGTACTACAAGATCGACAAGAAGGACAAGATCAAGTACCTACAGAGCACGAGACTGCAGTCAGAAGAGCCACCAATGGACACACAGGTGGGCAAAAGATCCAAATCATGTTTCTTTAGTATGTTGACTTTTTATGGATGTGCAAATCAAAGTCCCTCTTCTCTGCGCAGGGGATGAGCATTCCCGCACAGGTCCACGCCTCCACCAGAGCTGGCTCAGAGCGGCGGTCAGAGCAGCGGCGTTTGTTGTCCTCATTTGCATGTGACAGTGACCTGCTGAAGTTCAACCAGCTGAAGGTAAACTCACTCAAACAGGACTTTGCTCCAGTGGGATCAAAATGAAGTTCAAAGGAGGAGCTGTAAACAAGAAAATAAGACACAAAATGAAAGACACACAGCTAATCGTAAAACTCCTGTTTCTTACAGTTCCGCAAGAAAAAGATCCGATTCTGCAAGTCCCACATCCACGACTGGGGTCTCTTTGCCATGGAGCCCATCGCAGCAGATGAAATGGTGATCGAGTATGTGGGGCAGAATATCAGACAGGTGAGAGGAAGATGATTGGTTAGGGTGACCATACATTCTCTTTTACCCGGACATGTCCTCTTTTTTGGGGGCTGTCCCGGTTTGTCCAGCTTTGTCCAGGGAAGTTTATGAAATCCTTCAAATGTCTGCGGTTTTGTACCAGAGTTTCAATTTTGTGTCACACGGACTTACTGAGTTAGAAGCGCATAAAAGGCACTCAACCCAACCCTAAAAAAATCAAAATGAACTTCATACGTCTCCATGACTCTGCCCCTGCGTAGTCACGTCCTCTTATTGGAAAGTCAGAATTTGGTCCCCCTATGATTGGTTGATTTAAGCGTAATGAAAGGATCTCCGTGCATTCATCATTCGCAGCAAACTCAAAACGTTTTCTCTCCACAGGTGATAGCAGACATGCGGGAGAAGCGCTACGAGGAGGAGGGTATCGGCAGCAGCTACATGTTCCGGGTCGACCACGACACCATTATAGACGCCACCAAGTGCGGCAACTTTGCCCGTTTCATCAACCACAGCTGCAATGTAAGACAACATCAACGTTATATTCGGTTTTTCAAACTTGAGTGTCGTCATTTTAACCATCTCCCTCTCCTTTCCTTCCTTCAGCCTAACTGTTATGCGAAGGTGATCACAGTGGAGTCTCAAAAGAAGATTGTGATCTACTCCAGGCAGCCCATCAACGTCAACGAGGAGATCACGTATGACTACAAGTTCCCAATCGAGGATGAGAAGATCCCGTGTTTGTGCGGGGCCGAGAACTGCAGGGGGACGCTCAATTAAAGCCCGTTTGAGGTGGATCCTCTTCGGGGTTCTTGTCCTGGAACTCAACTGAGGTTTCACAGAAGAGACCCTGGAAAGAGGAGTTGAAGAGGGAAGTTCCTCACCTCCTATGAGGTGGTCTTTACATATTAAAATCTAGATTGTTTACGATTTATGGTGCTCTTGAAATGCATAGTTTTTTACATCTGCCATTGACCCAGAATTTACTAAAACTTTTGACTTGCTGGTGCGGCATTTCCCCCTCCTGTCGACACAGGAGGATATTTTCAGCATGGTTTCTTCCACATCCAGTCTGGTTGTACAGTTTTTTGATACACTTTTTCTCCTCTCAATTGTCTCATAAGCTTTACCTAAAACCACACGTGGTACAAAAACAGAACACATACTCACATGTTCAGCTGCTTTTTAACAATATTGAGACGCACAAGCCCACCGGGGAAACACATTCTCTGTGGGGGGGAAGACTGCATCCGAGCAGATGGCAGGCGGCACCCCACTTTCTTGCCCCTGCCTCTTCTGCACAAGTTTTCTCTTAAAAATAAATCAAACGGATGGAAGAAAAAAACAAAAATCAAGCTACAAAAATGGTTAAATCCTGCCACAAAATCTGGAACATCTGAATATCACAGCTGCTCTCACCAACCAGTAACAGATCATGCTGCTTCCTATTAGTTTATGCAAAAATGATCATTTAAAGATAAAAGTGCAAAATTTTTTATTAATGATATTCCAGTGTTTTCCACATTTTGTTTAGGTAGACCTCTTCTTGCTTAGACACTAGATTTGTGTGTTTGTGTGTGGATGTGTGTTCTGATTGAGTTGATCATCCTGTGAATGTGAGTGCACTGCCCCCTGTAGGTTAGATAGCGAAAGGTCGACTAATCATGCAGAGAAAAGAATGAAAAAGAAAATCACGCCTGTCTACAACTTCTTGGCAGCATTCAAAGTAATGGAAGTAAATATACTGCTCACTTTTTTTAAGTGCCATATGAATGTGTAACTTTTTGTTCGAGCAGCAGTTGACAAATTGAATTATCACACGCAAAAAAAACAAACAAAAACGTTGCTGCCTATTTTGTTTCCAGTGCTGTGGGTGTTTGGTGATGATGTTTCGGCTCTCTTCATCTGTGCCTGAAATTTTCTCTCTGATAGATTCCTCTTCACCTTCAGCAGTTTGATATTGTACTCCTCAGTGTTAGATGTTTCCCTGAGACAGAAGCAAGGGTTCCTCTTTACCACATGAATGCACTTGATGCTTGCACTTCTGTTTTACACCAGTCAGCTGCCCCCCCTCAAGAAGACCAAGTCAGACATTGCTTTTCATTCAGTTCAGCGTTTTTTCACCAGTGATGTTTATATTGTATATGATTACTTGTACAGAAGATCTAAAGCTTTTTTTATCTCCACAGGGGTAACACTTTTATGATGCATCTGTCTCTCTTTCTCTAGTTCTCTTTTTTAATAAATGACTGAGTATTTAAGAATATTTTCAGGGATCTGTAAAAGGAATCTGAGGATTTAAAAGGTTGTTTATTTAAAGAAAAAGGTCCACTTTGTACAGAAAAGTCTCCACCTCCCTTTTGGAAAGATTGTTTCTTGTAGAAACGTCTTCAATTTCTGCCCATTTGCTTTATAATCCTAGAATCTGTAAATACTATAACTGTGAATACTATATAAATATATATATATATATTTTTGTTCCTTGGGATTTGCTACAGAAACTCAGCTCAGAAATCTATGTAAAATATGAAGAGAGCAATGAGCTGGTAGCAGGAAATTCAGCTTGTGTCAAGCTTTGTTTTTTTTAATTTTCTGTTGTAAATTCTATGAAAAGTTGTTTGCGGTGTGGAGAAAAAAATAAAACGGTGCAGAACTGGCATGGGAAGAGGATTGAGGCATCAGCCTGTTTCTTATGTCTATTTATTACACAACAAATGTATGAACAAGGAAAAAGTGGAAATAAAGCATTTTTGCATACATCCATAAACAGTGTTTATAATTCATTCAAACCGGACACTCACTGTCAATGGGTTTCATCTTCATTAATAGATGTGACCAACTCGCATATTCCTCCTGAGAGGAAACAGCAGCATCTGACCCAACAATGGGTTTGTGTCAGGCTTGCTGTACAGTGAACCATATCATGTGATCTACAGTTCTCCACACAACACAGAGTGCAGCAGTCTGTCTAATAACAATAGAAGTTCAAGTGGAAATGAGGGACAGTTTTCATTTGTTTCTAGTTTCTGTGGCATGCATACTGATTTCTTTGTTTTGCACATCTTAATGTTCTGCACTGACACAGTATTTGCAAATCCTCAGGGTATTTTTATCATAATAGCCACTGTCTCATCAAATAGAAACAAAGGCAGAGATGAAAATAAACCACTGTCATTCAAAAATAAATAGACACACTTATAAAAGATTGTAGTATGTTTATTGTTAGAATACATGGATTATTATTAGCTAAGTTGGATAATGAATTTACAATATAACATCCCCATGTTTTACCCCTTTTGGTGGTAGTAGGATAGCCTGTTTACATACTATTCATCTATCTCTGCACATTGCTTATGATGTGGATGCTTGTGTCAAAAATGCAAATCAGACATTTATACACAGAAGTACAGTAGTGATGGCTCAATACAAAGCTCCTTAACCTTCATATTTTAAACCATACGTGTTCACTAATGTGCCCTTTTAACATGTCATGGCTGGAAAATCACAGGGTTTCAGATGACTTCAACTCCTGGTTGGTATCCTGGTATTGGTCCAATAATTAGTCACAAGACTGATAGTTATACTGTATATTCAGTCTCTTTTAAAACATTGTATGAATGTTTTTTTTTATAATTACTTGTAAAAAGGCCATTTGTAGAATAAGTGATATAGTGCTTTTTCCTCAGCAGTTCTTAGTATGCTAGTTTATCTGGTTTAAAGTTCCAGCTCACAAAACTGTATAAGATGAGTTAGAATTCACAAAACCAGAATTTTCTCAAACTAACACTGTGTTATTGATGAAAATACTAGCTGCTTCATTATTAGTTTAACGCATAAATATAACATTTTGTTTAGCACCATGATTATATCTCAATAATACTTTTAGTTTTATGGAAAAACACGTCTGTAAATACAATCTCTAAATGTATCCACTTTATTTCAGTTACATTTTTTGGAGGGTAAAAATGTTATTTAACAAAATTCTTGAATAAGTCTGTCAATACGTTAAAACAAGATCCACAGAGCAGGATAGTAACAGTGTTAGCTTGTAGGAGCATCATAGCTAGCTACAGTGTTAGCTTGTTAGCTTGTTAGCAAGCGGACGTTAAGATTAAGCTAGAGCCTCACAGATTTTTTTAGGGCCTTTTTCCTCAGACTAACTTCTTTTAAAACTAATTAACTTTATTTTAAATTGAATATTTGAGGAGCTATTAAATATTGTGGTTGAAAAGCTAGACCAAAACCATACATGTTAGGATTATATGTTAATAAGAAAAAGCAAACTATGAAAAAAGCCTACAGTAATTTTTGCATACATAGCAGCAATGAAATGCCACAGTCATGTTATTGTTCGTTAGTACCTTTTTTTTCCTCACATTTTTTATGCACCAATAGAATAATTCCTGTAGATACAGCTGGACACATAATGAAACACTTAGTTTTAATATTACAGTACTTCATCTTCACAGTTTGTGTATCTATAACTATTTTGTTGGAGCTTCTGTTAAAACTATTTAACTTTTAAATACAGCTACTTCATCTTTGTTTGGTGTTGCAGTGCTCAATGATCTGGACTTGAAATCTGCTAAAGTCTTGAAATAAAGACCCCCAGGATAATAATTATGAGTGGCAGCAGTGACCCTGCTGACCTGTGGATATGACCGGCTGCCCCTGAGAGCCATTTGGCATCTTTGGACATGGAGACAGTGCGGCTGAAAGTGGGGTGGATGTGTCTGAAGTTGTTCTGCAGAGGTGTCACCTGCTCTGCATCCTCCTCTGTGGAGAAGATCTGTGAGGTAAACTGTGCCAGCTGAATAAAGACATTAAAAAAAAACATATTTACCACACTCTGAACACTGTTTCTATGTTCTGGAGAAAAAATAACTAAAAAAGACCTACCTGTGACCATGAGATGTAAATCGGGACTTGGTATAGAGTCCATATGACTGCTTGAGAACATGGCGGGGTGGTGAGGCTGCCATAATAACGGAAATACTGACTCATGTTGTGCTTGGGCAGAAGGCTCATCAGTGGAAATGGCTTCACTTTGGTCGTTTGGCCTTGAGAAAGGATTCACAGCCATTTTAAGAACAAAGTTAAGAAACAACACCGACAGGAATAAAAGTTTAGTATATTTTATTCCTTCTAACCTTTGTAAGCAACAGAAGACAGCTTCTGTGATATGTGTCCAAAGTGGACATTTTCTGCATAAACAACCTGCAGGAGTGGACAAAACAAGAATGAGCAGGTGGAGCTGAATGTATGTCAGATTATTTTAAAACGTTATGGTTTTCATGTCATGTTGAACTATTGGTAAAAAAGGGAATTTGTAGAATCAGTTCATGCAATCTATCTTAGTGATTCATAGCATGCTAGATTTTCAGTGGTTAGCTTCAGGCTACAGCTCACAAGATGAGTTAGTATTCACAAAACCTGAATTTTCTCACACTAAGAAACAACACATGCTGTTCAGAATGTTTAAGTGTAAACCCACATCAATGAAGAATCCAAGAACAGCGAGTCCTGTTGGGTCACCCAAGGCTGTTGTCACATTTGGATGGATGGACTTCATGTTGACGATGTGCATCTAGAGAAACATTGAAAAGACATTTAGGGAAGTCTGCACCACATTAGATAGCTGAAACAGTTGCTTGGTGACAGTGTGGATCTGTCTACTGACCGTACTGTACCTCCATCGGGTATCTGCGATCATCTATGGTGTGCTCTGAGCCATTCGTAGCTGGGCCTCCCCAGTGGAAGTGCAGCTGGATGGTGTGGTAAACATCTGGAAGACCTCCACCACTCACTGACATGCCACCGCTGACATGCAAAATGACTGGGAGACAGCAGTGACATGAGAAACTCTGAATATAGACAATAAAATAAACATGTCATATGTGAGGAATATTCACCAGAGTGTCCATCATTTTCCAGTGTCCAGTGGCCTGCTTGGATCACATCGAAGCCCTCCAGGTGTAGAGAATACAGAGACTCATTTCTGGCCATATGGTGGTCCAGATTGATGGGGGAGTGATGCTCTTCAAGTAAAGGATGACAGGAGGGGAACATGTCCCCCCACGCATATGGATCTGAGGGAGGTGAAGGAACCACTTACAGTAAAAAAAAACACAAGTGAAAGACGAAGAGAAGACGTACACAAAGCAGCCATAAAATCCTGATCTCCTGCTAAATATTGTGAAGATATTGTAAGGAGGGGGGCTCCATGGGTCAGTCTTGGTCCAGCACGTCCCACAGATGTTCAACTGGATTCAAATCAAGTCCAAGACGAGACCAAGTCAACACTGTCATGTTCCTCTAGGTCACCTCCATCCATTGTAAGTACTTTCAGCATTGGGTCACAGTCAGCATGAACACCCTGATAAGTCTGCAGCTTTTCATCCCATATAAACCAAACTGTGTTGCTCTGAGCATTTTGAGAACTCTAATATCAAAACCAGCGTCATGTTTCACAGAAATTTGAGTCCCAGCGGCTCTCCTATTGACACAGACCTTTCAGGTGAGCATTCGCTCCCCACCTGCATCACTGAGTTTTAGCCCTGAATCTGAAAGTTCAGAGGCCTTGGTCCGTTTTGTTGCTCCTCTGGACCTGGACACATTACAGGGAACTTCCAGTTTCTGATTAAAAAAATCTCCTGATTACTGGCAGATCAGGAGCTTTTGATAATAACATGCGAAAAAATCTCTCTTTTTGTGGTTGTCTTGATATTGCACCATTTACCTGTATTAAATTTAAACATGTTAGTGACCTGATTTTACTGTCATATTTCATGGGCTGCTATTTTGAAGGGGAAAAAAAGAGGGAAATCTCTCTCAAAAGACCACACAGGAATGAGGACCATATATCATCAAAAGTGGACCTTTTATAGGAGAGCTTCTCAGAGGGAAAAATCCTCATAAATACATTTTTTCTGACTTTTCCCCCTTTTTTTCGTCTATTTCTTTTCTTTTGTTTGAGGGCTAAAGTATTTGCAATGACAAAAGCAAAGAGGTTCACTGGGAAAATAGCTCTAGAGGATGTACCTAGAAAGATATTTCTCTGATACAAACAAGAAAAAGCTCTATATATTTGTTAAAAAAAATACATTGATGATCAAAATCCCTCCTGCAGCTGTAAGACTCCACAACAGAAACCTCAATGTGCAATTAATCATATTATTATGTAAATTCTGAACAGATGTAAATATGACTCATGTACATCTCTTTTCAAATCAAAGTTTCTTTATCTTTTAATTAGTTTCTGTATCTGTAATATGCTGTTGTAAATTTGGAATTTCCCCCCATGGGACTATTAAAGGAATATCTTATCTTATCTTCCTATATATCCTATATTGAAATAAAGTAATCGACGAGTTACTCACCACAGTGTGGTTCAGTGTAACAGTAGTCCTCTGGAACACAAAATAAAGACAGTAAGTCATTGAAAAAATCAAAGTACAGAAGAAAATAGATTTCCCAAACAGCACCCTCACCTGAAATAACATAAGACACGACAATCATGAGGAGAGCAGCGGTCTGAATCATGGTCAATCCGGCGCACGATGAATCCAGACAGGTGTCAGACAGGTGTCCGGGAGTGAGGTAGACTGAAGACCAGGGAGATCTTGGTCCTGCTTAAATAGGGACTAAGGTGAAGGCTGAGTTTTTTCCTGCTGCTCTGATCAGTGATCTGTGCCATTACCAGTCTAGTGGTCTTTTCTGATCAACAGGCTCATTGATGTCGGACAGCTTCACTGCCCCCACCACCACCCACATGCACCCCCCCGTCCTCCCGGCTGCTGCCACATAGATACCCAGTGACCAGTAACAAGACCCATTCATCTCATGGGAAAGTCAGGATGTGTAGTACGCTGAATTAGAAAGTACCAGAATAAATGTGGCTGCGTGAAGGTGGGCTTGATGTCAATGTTTAGATTAGATGTCATTATTTCTTTCTTATTTATATCAATGCACAGATAGGATGCTCTCTCTAGTAATATCAGTGTATCTTTTTTTATGTCAAAATCAGCAGTAAATCTGTATAAAGTGGCAAACTAGTACTAGATTGAACAACAGGATTTTACTGTAGTTTCACGCTTGAAAATAATGTTTTCAATTAAGATATTAAAGCTTATTAAAATCAAAATAACCGGTGCGCTCTAGCTAGTACATCCAAGAACTTGTTGGCGATTTCTTTTCATTATTCCAGGATTTGACTCCATTTCTCTCCGTCTCATAAACCCACGTATCTTGACCAAGCCGCTCTCCCTCGTTCAGAAAAAGATCATGTGGTTCTGTCACTACTCGGTCCATGTGAACAAAGCCCCTTTTCTTCGACGACAATGCTCTTCAGCGGGGTATCACTGTATCTGCTCTGACCGCTACCTTATGAGTCACTAGGAGGTGTGATATATCCGCTTTCTTTAAATTATCTGAATCTTTGGACTTCGGGGAGGGGAATTTCCCCTCATACCCCCTTAATCCTCTGACATTTGGTGGCTGCAGGCGGACATATTTCCTGCACAAGTCAAAGGAGTAACAGAGCAGGTAAATGTCGTGATTGATGCTTGTGTTCATACCCACTGACGCATGAGTCATCCTTCATGGTGCAGTTTATTTGGCATTTGGTTAAATGTACATCTACCTCAGAAAAACACAAGCCCGGCCCCTGCAAATGAAGCACTTCTTTTTTTTTATTTAAAAGGCTATGAAATAAAAGACAATGTAATGTAGCAATTGATGCATTATACATAAAACATTTCCAAATCCAGTAAAATTAGTTTTAACACCACCATAGTCCTACACAGAAACTACAGTGTCAATGCAGCTGTTGGGGTCATGGGCAGGATTTTTTTTAATGCACACATAGTCTTTGAACCTACTGTACAGGACAGTCTGCCGAGCTAAAAATGTTTCCATCAAAAGAAAAATCTTTCAGCATGCCAAATAATAAAAAACCATGCACCTCAGGGCAAGAAAGCAGTTTTAAAAAAATCAAACGAAACTAACTCGATGGGAGAAAAGAAAAAAAAAGAATAAAATCCAAACTCATCTCTTTCCTATACACACATGCACAGTTTTACTCGATTCCACAATTTTCAGATTTTGTCGGTTGGATAATCCTCTGTGGATTGTCAAAGCCAAAATAAAAATAACATATAAAATAGGGAAAAATAACATACATTCAAACATGAGATACACAGACGTGCACAGTCATACGGACACATTTACAGCTGGTTTTTCTAGCATATAAAAAGCTGTCAAATTGCTGGTGGTTGTGGGTCTCTGATCGACAAACTTCTTTCAAAATGAATCCTTGAGTGAATCCACCGATTGTCATCATAACAGGGGTCTAAGTATTTTTCATCATTTTCTTTTTATTACAATAATTGTTCACTGCTATCCCACCCAAAAAAAATCAGAGTAACAGTAACAGACCCATCAACAACAGCAAACACAAAAAGACTCACAGCTACAGTCAGTGACATTATCTTCATCAGTAGCTGAAAACAATCACATGTAGAAACACATCAGGATGAAGAAGGGGGGCAGCATCCAAATATGACACCTGACAGATTTATTCCCAAAATCAAAAGAAAAAGAAAAAAACAAAGACAAAAACCCTGAATTAATCAAGAGATGAGCGTGCAAAACATTAAGCTTTTGAGTTACTTAACATGGTTCAATTAGCAAATACACAACTATCCTGCGAAGAGTTAATGATAAAGCAACAACGACGGGAGCTTCTGCATGATCAAGCAACTTAATGATTGGAGCAGTCGTGTTAAATAAACCGATTTACCAAATCTGTTAGCGGGATATCATCATCCCTAATCTTCACAGTTGAGCGTCATCGCTGATCAGTGGACAGTTCAGACTGTGTCTCCCCCCCTCCCTCCGTTAAACTAACAAGATTACAGCCTGCAGTCATAAATTAGAATCAAAAAGAACGATACCTAACTCAGATATTTTTCAAGTACCACCACGAATTCCCCCCCGACACATTTCTTTGTGTTAGACCCAATAAAAACCCTTTTTGCAGGAAACTAACCGTACCTTCTGCAAAGTTGAACCTCAGTATTACAAAACGTCTTTTGCCGCAAGTGTGCGCTATAAACCTGGAAGACCACTTCATGTATCAGACCTATAAGAAAGTGAGAGGACAGATTTTCATGAGCTCGTAGAAGTTGAGATCTGCGACATGCCGGGAGAGACGGATTTGATGAGTATTGAAGCCTGGAGATAATTCCGATCGGTTTGAACGACAGTATGACGCTAACAAAAACGCACAAGGGGGCATTGGCTGGCTCAGCTGTCCGTCCGTCATTCTTCGCCTTGTGCTGGACTCTGACGCACGTGTTTAACTAATCTGACCGGCACAGACCTGAGGGGTATTTACATCAGGGTTCCTCCACCAATCAGACCGACTCTGAGATGTTACGAAAGCTGTGCTAAGCCGACACTAAAAGTAAAAGAGCAGCTTTTTTTCCCGCCTCTTTCTTTATACAGAAACAGTCCTCACTCCCACAAGCTGCTGTCTTTCAAACATACGCTCTGTAGGGCCGCCTGCAGATGAGTCTCCAGAAAGACGGCGTCCTGGCATCGCTGTAACTCCTGCCTCTGATATGTCTGTACAAGCTTTAACTACACAACAGTCTGCCGCGTCCTCTCCTGCTGCAGAGTGCACACACGGCCCTCCTCGTTCTACGGTGTGTGTCCAGATACAGCTCCGTGTCCACAGTCCTATACCACAGTGCTGAGGGAGGAGTCTGCAGGCATGGAGGCGGGGGCGTTTCCATCTGTCGGAGTGTCAGGACCCACCAGCAGGGTGCTGCTATCTATGGAGTCCTCTCTCTCCTGAGATGACGGCACTGAGTTCGACACGGGACCAGAGGCGTCTGGGATATCGGCATGCAGTCCATCTCCTATGGTGTTCATCTGGCTCGGCACCATGGCAACCCCGCTGTGTCCTGAAGGTCCGGCAAAGTGTGGACATAAAGATGAGAGCGTGTCTCTGTAAACACTCAGATTTGATCAAAACAAGGTCATTGCTTACCAAGGTCCACATAGAGGAGGCTGTCTGGGTTGATGGACGCTTCGTATGGAGGAGGGGGGTCGTCGGGATGCTGGATGTCGGGGTATTTGTAGGCTGCGTATGGCGGGGGAGGCTCTTGGAAATGGAAAGCGCCTCCCTCTCCATCATCAGACAGATGCAGGGGAGTGAGGCCGGTGCCAAAGGCGTCTGGGCCGTAGTCGAAGCCTGGGACTCTTCTTCCAAGGTTAAAGTGGTGCACTGACGAAAGACAGACGAGGATGTGAAAACACTGCTGAACAGTATTGACAACAAGATCAGACATCCAGACTTTTGAAAGACGACTTCATTTACAAAACATATTGAATTAGTTTAAAAAAAGAGGATTTAGCCGACTGAATTGTTTAGAAAGGTTCTGTTTTTCTTAAGAGACGGATGTTCTCCTTTATCTCCTGAAGCAGCGATGGGAATCTGTATTACCGCTAATATGAGCAATTACTGTTGAAACAGAGTGTTAACATGCTGTCAGCATGAAATCTTTGAGAAATAGTGATTTATTACTCAAGCCCTGTGAAATTAACTGCTGCAGTTAGTGTAACAGAAACTCATTATGAAGCCTTATTACATAACAACACGGTCATGGATCAGAGAGAGTGTGTGTGTGAGTGTGCATGTCTGCGTGTTTGTGTTCAATAAGTCGAATGCTCACAGTTTCCTCCAATCAGAGTTTCGATGCGTTCACGTCTCCGCTGTCGGAGTCTGTGCACCATGAAGAGCAGCAGCGAGAGGATGAGGAAGGACGAGATGCAGCTGACGATCAGCCTCATCCCGCTGGCCATCGAGTCGAACAGGCTGTTTCCATCTGACGGGAAGAAATGGACAAAATAGAAAAATATTCTTCACAACAATCTGCTGAATTTAGACTCTAGAAAAACATCTTTAAATAAAATTTTAAGTGCTTTAAAAAACAATGCTTTAACTACTTGACTGTGAGCACTGAGATGCAGGGCTTATTGGTCGACTTAAGTACTATTATTTAAGATCAATTTTAGGTCAATTGGTCGCATGACATGGAAGCTATCGAAGGAAAACAGCCTTTTTTGAGAACATCAACCGTAAATTTATTAGCAGTATTAACATAAAAAAATATTTGTTGCCTCGGCTAATTTTTTTTATGCGCACATCTGCCCCTAGATTATTTTACAATTTGCACACATCTGCTTTTAGTCGCAAATGTGAATGAAACTGTCACACTGTTGAGCCCTGGACATGGCAATCTTTTCATGTGAACACCTTTCCAACAGCAGCTATAGCAAACTAGAGCTCAAATCTGAATCTACACAGATATCTAAATGTGGCTAAGATGAGGGAGGTGTAACCGTACCTGGATCCAGACAGGTGAACTTGCAGCACTCTTTAGGATCTTTGCGGAAGTGCTGGCAGCCCTGTGGGCGCTCACACAGCGCCGCCACACACATCTCCGGTTCTCCGTCGTGACACGTGCAGCTCAGACAGGGGTCGTCTCCTTTAGGGGTGAAGTAGTAGCCCTCGTTCACGACGTTGTCTTTGATATCCACGCAGGTTTGCCCTGTGGAGGGAATACAACATCATGAAAATGTTAAATTTATGAATGGAGGACGTCTAATGCTTTCAAGGACAGGAGTCAATGAGCACTCACTCCTCTTGCAGAGGAAGGGAAACTTCTTGTAGCAGTTCTCAGCGTGCCAGCTGTGCAGGCCTCGTTCATTCATGCTTTTAATCTGAAAGCGCTGGAGCTGGGCACAGAAGACGTTGTCCTGAGTGGGAGATGCTTCCCCAAAATTGGTGAGACCTTCAGGTGGCAGAAACACCTGCATGGACCCTGAGGAGGGGAGAAGGATAAACATTTTTAAGCATTACAGATCAGACTTAAATAAAAAAAAAATACATGTTTGCTGCAAGAGCAGATAGACACCTTTGTAGGCCACTTCCCAGCGTCCCTCTAGGGAGTGGTTCTGATTGGTGATCACATACTGGTACCCCACCCAAAACCTAGAACAAACACAAACAGAGAATTCACAAGAAGTTTAGATCCGTGATGTGCTGTGTTGTATTTAACACTTTATACTTCCACTTGTGTCCACTAGAGGGCCTGCAACCCTTGAACCAGCAGTATCACTCCTTCGCATCAAATCAGGAGATCTGATTTTACTCAGACAATAGAGGTCAGCAACAGCAAAGTTAAAGCTCCACAAGTCCATAAAAAAAATACATGAATGAAAAAGCAATCTTTTGACTTCAGAAGTTAACATGGAGTTTTTAAAGTGAACTTTTCCATAAATACATGAAAGCATTATTTGGAGATTTCAGGCGTGCATTAAGTCAGATAGTTCCTCTCTTCATTAGGACCAAATAAAGTGCTAAAGAAAGAGCCGCACCTGCAGCTTTGACAGTCAAATTGAGGGTTTGTTTTTGCTCTTTATTTGAGAAGTGCTCTGAATTTAAATGCATAAAAAGGCACTTTAGTAAATCACACATTATTAACTATCTGAGGCTTAGGCGTGTGCAACACTTAGAAAAATGAATATATTCAAAACTCACTTGCACTGGTCTCTGCGCTCACAGACTTTGTCGTCGAAGTCGACCTCGATCTTCAGTATGAACTGCAGCTCCTCGTTGGTACCAAAAGTGGCCAAAGAGCCGTTGACTTTCTGACAGGTGTCCACGGCCTGCCAGTAGTTCTCGTTCCTCAGGTACACTTTATAACAGCTGGCTGTCTTTTCGTAGTGGTGCCATCCACTCGGGCATTTCTCTGTGGACAGAATAAGAGAGTTTCAGGATTGTATCTGACTGACACTCGGTCTTTCAAAGACATTTAGCAGGTTAAAAATGAATCTAAAGCTTACTGTTGAAGCGGACAGGCTGTGCCACACCAATGACATCTTCTACCTGGTCGTATCCATTACCAAAACGAAACCTCTCCTCCTTTATGGCTGCAAAACAACAGATTAAAGGTAAACATGTGCAGTTATTTAGCCTCTTTCTTTTGAGTCATATGTGAGCAAAGGCTTTTCCTCAAATCCGGCCAGAGCAACAATCAGATCTGGCCCACGAGATCATATCATATTTGTATTATTATTGGCCCACCAGTATGAAGTCTGCAGATTTCCTCCAGTATAATAATGTAAACTTTAGCACTATTATTTAAAATGTCCTTAATAAACCACAAAAATCTGGGAAATTAAAGAGTAAGGAAGATTTGATAATGTGGGGGAAAATATTTGGTGTTTTATTTCATGTTTTCAATTTTGCATCTCAAGATTACAAGTCAAACATGATTGGATTTTTTATTTCATGCTTTGATTTTGTTCAACTCAGTATTTAGACTTGTGTCACTTAAAATTCCCATTTTAAATTTTAAGTCATATTTTAACCTTTTAACCCTGATTTTAATGTTCTCCTCGTGTATTTGCTCTTTAAAAGCATTATTTTTCTATTTTTAATGTCATGCTCTGATGTTTTGAACTAATAAAAAAAAAAAAATAGAATAAAAAATTAAAAATTTTCTATTTCAGATTGCCTTTAAACTTTTCTTTTTATCTTTTTTTTGAATTTCCAAATGATTTATAATTATTGCTATTTTTGTTATATTTATTTTGAAAAGGAAGTTGACAGTTTTGGTGAAATGTTGACCCTGTTTGGTCCTCAGGTTAGACCTAAATCCAGATTATGGCCCTTGCTGTGGTTGAGTTTGACACCCCTGTTATAAAGGTGTCTGTAGTGACTATGCTGACCTGAATTTTAGTCACTGTGACCGTCAGTCACTTTCTGACGCACTCTTAGTACAATCCAATATCCAATCCAAGGTTGTTGAGTTATATTTTTGCCATTTATTGATTAAATGAAAAACAAACAGAAAAAAAGACAGATTCGTCCAATTTACAACGAAGGTGATGTTCGTGATGAGGGTGAGAGTGGTGTCAGAGATTAGCGGTAAAAACTGTGTGCTCTTCCCGTTCCCCAAATCACTGCTTTACCTGCCCATTCACCTGAAGTGCCCCTTGTGGTAATTGTGCAAGTAACAAAACAAAACAAAACCCAAAAAATAACATAGATAAAATGGCTCATACAGTGTCGTCTGTATGATTAAACTAGACCACACTGTCCATGTGTCAAGTCGTCTTGTTTGCAGCCTGTTTTACATTTGTACAGTCTGCTAAGTGCTTGTTGCTGTCTGGTTATCCATTTAACAGCCACAAGCCGTACCTTCTCCTCCTCTCTGACCTGCATGTAAGCTGTGAGGTTAAACAGTTTCTACTTGTGTTTGGTTTGCCAGAGTTACTGTGACGGATTGCTCAACCTTCTCTGAGTTTTTCATCAAAGAGCTTATCCCATACTGGAACACTGATTTCTAGGTATGCTGTTGATTTAGAGGAAAATAAACCTTCACTGAGGCCTGGGGGATCGTTTATGGGTTATCTTTCATCTTTATCAAAGTTTATCGTCATGGAAACTTTCATAACTGATTATTGGTGAAAGAATCAATGTTTAGCGTTGACGTTTGAACGACCAGCTCTGCCCTTAATGCTGTTTGATAAAAAGGGTTTAAACTGAGGAATGAATAGAGTCCAGGCCTGCAGCATTTACCCCAAAGCATGCATAACTGCTGCTGTATGGAGGTCACATGCTGAACTCAATCCTTTCAATAATTCCTATTATGCGGTCAGAGATCTGGGGATAAGGTCTCTCCGGACTTAGGAGGGGCAAACAATAGGATTTCAGTCCGAGGATTAGCTGCTGCTGCAATATTTATGTAGTGTTGAAGAGATCAACAAGCAGTAAACAACACAGATACACATGTGCGGCCACTCAAAATTTAACTCGGCCTCAGTCTGCCATCTGATGCTGTCAGTCAGGAGCTGGTAAATCCGCTGCGCACGATTCGTGTTACTACTCCTTACCTGCAGGCTGATATCATCTCAGAGCTGTTTGATTAGATGAAGCAGCTGGACTGTAGCAGTGATGAGGGCTTTGTTGTTGTATTTTGCATGTGTGACAAGGTCATATTCACGTCTATATGCTCTCCACTCAACATCTCTGGATACTGAACTCTAACACCGCCCTCCAGTACTCACACCTGAATTGAGAGCTGTTCAGGTATGATGGGATTGTCTGAGAGCAGAACCGTTCTTGGTCTTTGCCGTCCTTCGCAGTGATCATCTTGTTACACTCGTTAGGTAACAGAGTGGGCGTAAAAAGGCTTAAGTGACTCATACTCACGGGGACAGTCCATCTCGTCACTCTTGTCATCGCACGCTGTCCAGCCATCACACTGCCAGGACATGGGGATACACTGCATCTTCCCACTGCGGCAGGCGAACTGCCCCGGGCTGCAGCGCTGCTCTGTAACACAACATGAGAGATAGTGTCGTCAAACCTGTGCGTGACCAAGAACACTTTCAGAGTCCAGCAGAGGACTACATGAAACCTTGGGGACTGTGTTGTTTCTAATACAGCATAATAGTTAGGAGGTTGATATTTTTCCTCTGCTTTGCATGCACTAGTGGTGACACCGGCAAGATCTATTTGCAAATGCTGTGGGTGTTTCTTTTTGTTTGTTTTTTTTTGCTCTCGTCTCTTTTGGTTAGCATGCTGCTCGAGAGTGGTGTGGTGTAGGGCCCGACCGATTTATCGGCGAGCCAATTAAATCGGCCACTTTTAGCCCGTTTGAGACTAATCGGTAATCAGACAAATCTCGCAGATTTTCGCAGATATTTTCAGAAATAAAAAGCAGAGAATAAGATTCGGTTTCACTTTGAAAATGTTCCCCGACTTTTTATCCTGTAGATGGCGCAGCGACCTCATGACAATCTTCATCCACTAACTACCTCACAGCACAGCAGAGTGACGGATCTGAAGCAGGCAGCTCAGGGACGCACTGAGGAGAGTGGTCCGCCTCAACGGTAAATAAACCAGTTTGTGAAATACACAATAAGTCAACAAGTTTCAGTTCAACCCACTTCACGATTTTCCCCACTGTGCTGGTCTCGGTCATGCCAAGTTAACAGTGAAGCACCATGTAATATGCAAGCTAAAGTTAGAGTTAGCCATCTGCTATTAGCCTTGCTACACTGTTAGCCGTGCCAATAACGGAACCATGATATGATACTGTTGCGATTTTTAATATTTTGCAATACAGTGAGTATTGCGATACAATATTCTGCGATCTATATAATTTTTTCAACTGTTAAGATAATTTAGCGTTTGTCTTTCCTTTATGTTTGTCTTGTTCACACTGTATTTTATTTTCATGTAGTACATCTTGCAAACCCAGTACATATTTGTTGTACTAACTTTCTCCTGCTCTATGACGTCACCTCTGTCAGCCTCACTGGATAAACAGTTGATTTTGTTTTTCCGTTATCATAGATTTGACTTCATATTAGCAATTAATTTGAATGTATCACCAGACAAAATATTGTGATACTATACCGTATCGATTTTTTCTCCCACCCCATGTTAGCGCTGTGGCCTTCCAGCATCAAGACTGTTGGTGAATCCACAGGATGAGGCCTTAAGTGCATGCTTGGGTTCGGTTCAAAGTTGGCTTGAGTACAACTAGTTGAATAAGTGTAAAAGGCCGCCTGTCTCTACATGAGCCAGCCCCGTCACTGGCTGTCATCCTGTCCAGTCTAAACCCAATCCTACCCTCTGTCCACTGGGATCAGCTCCAGTGGATGTTTTCCATCAGTGTTCATTATTTCATCACAGGAGTAAGGGCCCCAAATTAACCACAAGCATCTCTTTCTCCACTGAGTCCTGGTTTAAATTTAATAACTCAGTGTTTATCTCTGGCAGACGCACAAAAAAAAAAGACAGAGAAAAAGAAAGAAATGCATCCGGAATAATCTGTGCCATATCTTTTTATTAGAGGACTATAAAACAATACCATCGATCACAATTATATTGCCATATTAAAATAGCTCACTGTGATTGATGGCGGCTTTTAAAATGAGATTATTTTGCTTTTCAAAACAGTCAAAGTTCATAATGACCGTGTGAAGCAGTTCTTACCGGTGTCTTGATTTTGTAATCAGATGACTAATTCTACTAAGCTCTACTTGCTTTCCCTATTTCATAAGGGTCCTGTATGAATGACACTGTTGTTCTCCATGACGATAAGACATCTGACTGGTCACCTAATGCCAATCTGAACCTCAAATGCCAACCATTCAGCATGTGCTGTAGTTCCCTCCTTCACTTTAATTTCATCAAGTAGTGCTCTGGTGGCTTTGGTGATGCAGCTAGCTGATTAGATGGACCTGCAGGCTGTAGCGTACTCTGATGATATCTTAATCTGTTTGACATTAAGTGCATATTACTTTCTTTTACTTGTCGACTAAAGGGAGTTATTCAGTGTGTAATGTCTGCAGTGTTTTTCATTACAGCAGCAGCTGCAAGAGGAATCAGGAAGACTCTGTGGTGGTTTAGCTATGGTGTGACAAAGGGGACCTATGTCATGGGGTCAACCAAAAAGGTCATGTGTTTATTCCTGACCTCAATAGGATCATGCGTTACATGTTAACTAAGACATCCATAACTGAATAATATCCTTTTACATTATTCAGTTCTACCTATTCATGCAATCATTTTTTTTATGTCTCACTGGTATCAGGTTGGCAGGGTCTCTACAGGTTTCAACAGGTCAAATTTAAGACTTAAGACTGTAATTAATACAGTTTAAGACTCATTTAACATCAATACTGGCAAAAAAGTACAAAAGACATGAAGGGAAATCGGAACATTTTACATTACTTCAAATCAATCTTTAGTCCTATGGCATGTTATTTATTTATTTGTAAATAGAGTAAATACATTTTGAAGACCTTTCAAAATCTTATCCAAGACATTTAAAGTGGTTTTAAGGGAATTTTAGACATTGTGAGGCCTTGAATTCAAATTATTGGATTTCAGACAGTTTAAGACTTTTAAGACCCTGCGGATACAAAGGTTGGGAGAAAAAAATCGATTCACATAAGTATTGCGATTTTTTGTTTTACAATTTTTGAATAGATTTTTATGTTCAAAAATCTCTTTTTCTTTTCAAATTTAAGAATAAATCATAAAAACTGACTTAGGCCACATTCACACTGCAGGTTATGATGCACAATTCGGATTTTTTGTTCAATCCGATCTTTTTGTGCGGTTGTTGACATTACAACAACGAATGTGGCATCTAATGTGGAATGGAATGCGTCCGTGAAGTGACCCGCATGCGCACAAAGCACAAATTGCTTTCCGCGCCTGTTTGTGTTGTCAAACAATGGTGATGTTTGTCTCATATTGATGACGTATAGGTCGGATGAACGCGCCTGAGAGTCCAAACTGCAGTCACATTGGATACTTGTCCGATTTATATCCACATACAAAAGAGGCCTGGGTCAGATTTGAAAAAATCTGAATTGCACTATTCACACTTAAATTAAAAAATCAGATATGTGTCACGTATGGTTAAAACATCAGAATTGACCTTCAGTGTGAACATAGCCATAGTATTCCTGGAATAGTCAGTAGACAATCGTAATCATTCAACTGTTTCACTGGTGTTAAAAATGCAGACTAAAAATCGAGAAATATCGTAGAATCGCAATTTAAATAAAAAAAAAATCGACATCCAAAAAATCGTAGAAGAATCGAATTAGGAGAAAAGCATATCGTCCCAGCCCTAGTGGAGCCGACGTCTTCTGCGGATATAAAAGATTTCTGCCGACTTTGCAGAGTCAACTGCAGAATTAACGGCGTTCTGAATGAAGGGGACTTTGAAAAGTCCTGCAGCATGTGTTAGATGTCACCACTACACATGGACCAATCAGGGGCTGCCTTTCCCTGTTGTCCGGGTAACAGTGGAAACATAGTCTCTGATTGGCCTGGTTATTTTCTGATCGGGAATACACGTTCTCTATGGGCCGAAGTCCAGACTGTGGTGGGAAGGAACATCAAGTGATTCACGCAACAGGATGACCCAGCCAGGCTACTAGTGGATACCCTGGGTTGGTACTGTGTAAGGCAGATTAGTTGTTTATCACCAGCTTTCAGAACATTAGGGCAAAAACTGCAAAAACATTTAAAAAAATTTGATTAACAGTTACACAATGCCAAGACTAAAACAACACCATAGGGACAAACTTCAACTGAAATATATCGGACAACAAGAATGCACAGTCTGTTAGTCTGGGAGCTTGCTCACAAATTCAATACACTGAGACATATCAGTGCTTTTAAAGAGAAAATCAGTAACACCCTCTGACTGAATAAATCCATACCCATCTGGAGAAATCTACATATCCATCTCAACCAAAATTGTTCAAAAAAAATCAACAAGATGTGTTTCTGTAAGCAACATTACTGTTTGGAGGCCGAATGGAGAGACAGAGCCTCATTAGACCTGCAGCAGATACACACACACATAACACAGTCTATAGGCTTTTTGTCTGTTTGTATCCTTCAGCAACAGTCTCTGCTATGTGGGTCTACATACCACACGTGATTAACATAAAGGATGCCTCACAGAGCTGCCTGTGTCCCAATTTGCCCATATGAGGACTGCAATGACACCAAAGCAGACTCCCACAGTGTTTATGACTACAGAATATCGGGGGATTGCTTTCATTCTCTTACAGAAGTAGAGACGGTGTAACAATGCTTCTGTTGAGGGTTTAATCTGGACTCATTTATTCTAACAAAACATCACAGCCACTACACTAACACATACACTGCTTGCTTACCTGACAATAATCTTGCCAGAGCTACCCGAGGACCTGGAAAGAATAGAAACAATAAAAGTGACTATCCTGTTTGTGCTGCTCATTAAGTTCCCCTATAAAGAAAACAGTTCTCTGGTATTTGTCAGAGCAGAGAGGGGACATCCATCCCACCATCTGTTTCTTAGATACAGGTGGTTACTGTTTGCCTACAACAGAGCTGGACCACCCACTCACCTGTCAAACATGGCAGCACTATTCTAAAAGAGGCTAGGTGCTATTAAAAGGGACTGTTGTTGTTTCATGTGTGTACCAACAAATCAGGTGACATTAGCCCCAAACACCAGACTGACAGCTGTGATGATACCACACAGCAAGACCACCACCTACACTGTGTCGACTAGACGGCCGTTGAAACCTGTCTTTGTTTTTCCTGCTTCACAAATTGAAAACCTGCCTGAAATTTAGAAAAAACGACAACCAGATGGTGCTGAAAGTGTTCCCCAGAACAATCCTGTTTTAAGGAACAGTTCTCCAGAGGTCAGCCTTTATTTTCTACTGGTTGTTGCCAAAGCCTGAACCGTTTTCTCAATGGACCTGGAGGGGGAAACTTGTTGTCTATGAAGAACATGTGAAACCAGCCTCTTGGAAGACTCTGACCCATCTAATGAGACTGACCTTAATGCAGGTCGCAGACGCCTTGCCAAAAGCCGATGTCACCTCATCTTAGTTAATGCTAAGTGGATTGAGATGCATTACAGGCCTGTGTGGCTCTCCTGGGGCTGGATCCATTATCATTGGTCCCACTGAGCCTGAATGAGCGTCAAACTGATGGATAACATTAGAGACCATGTATCCCAGACACATTAGAGAGGATGTGTGATGTTAATAATTAATGCATCATGTTGAGACAGAGGAACTGTTTGTGATTGTATGAGGTTAAAAAAATTGAGTCTCTCTCAAAGGAGATCAAAACTATTTAAGAATTCAAACTTCTTTTAACTTCAACTCAAATCGTTTTACTTTATGAATGTGCCACCTTAGACTAACCCTTTAATGCCTTTTGAGTTTGATACATACTTTTATGATACTTCTATCAACTCCATATGATCAACAAATTACTAAAAAACACCTGAATACAGTCTGATAAATGATAAAAATTTCCTCGTGTGGTTTATCAGTTTCCAAAAACATCTAATGTATCAAACGAGATACATAAATGTTTTTGTTAAATTTTAAGGACATTTTGATTTTTTTTGGTTTTCAGTGGGGCCTTACTGATTTATCGGCGAACTGATTAAATCAGCCACTTTTAGCCCGTTTGAGACTAATCTGTAATCGGCCAAAACTCGCCGATTTTCGCTGATATTTACATTTTCAAATAAAACGCGGAGCATAAGATTCGGTTTCACTTTGAAAATGTTCCGCCTTTTGAAAAGTTCCCCGACTTATCCTGTAGATGGCGCAGCGACCTCATGACAATGTTCATCCACTAACTACCTCACAGCACAGCAGAGTGACGGATCTGAAGCAGGCAGCTCAGGGACGCACGGAGGAGAGTGGTCCGCCTCAACGGTAAATAAACCAGTTTGTCAAGTAAATAATAAGTCAACAAGTTTCAGTTCAACCCACTTCATGATGTTCCTCGATGTGCTGGTCTCGGTCATGCCAAGTTAACGGTGAAGCACCATGTAATATGCAAGCTAAAGTTAGAGTTAGCCACCTGCTATTAGCCTTGCTACACTGTTAGCCGTGCCAGTAACAGTAGAATAAACAACAGTACACATTACGTGATCGAGCTACTTCTCTTACTGAGGCAGCTGCATGTCTCCAGATGAGACCGGTCCGGAAATGAGTAACGTGAGTTAAGACGCGGAGGCACCAATCGGTGTGGGTGGGTGGGTGGTGTAGTCGAAAACGCTTCTCTGGTCTGAGTGAAGAGCAGTAGCCTACAGTATATCTACAGTAAATAGTATACTGTAGATATCTGCAGTATATATATATATATTTTTATAACTTCAGAAAAAAAATTAAAATTGGACAATTAATCGGTAACCCCCCCCCCACCCAATAATCGGTATCGGCATCGCCCCCAAAAAATCCGTACCAGTCGGGCCCTAGTTTTCAGTAGTAAGTGAAATAAACATTTCAGCTCCAAAAAAAAAACTGAATTCTCTGACCATAATTTGTGATTTCAGGAATTAAAGGGCTAACACTTTCAGAGATTTGAAAAACATCACTCAAAGAAATTGTAAACAAATGGCTTGTTTTTGCAAAAATCACAACTCCAAACCTAAATCCTGCTGATATCCTTTAAATTAAAATAGAGCTGGCTACACTTTGAGCTGTATCTACATGCGCTGAGGACTAAAATACATCATACAAATGAAGCCTTGCTGCCTGACTAGTCTTCATCAGTATTCATTCCTTCTCAGAGCTGCTTCTGCTGCTGCAGAAGAAAGCCTCAAAAGCAGAATTTATCCAGCTACCCTGGCCTCTACTTGAGGTTTATCAGATATTACATGATGGAGGCAAGAAAAGCCTCTATTTATAATGGCACCAAGTTGAAATGCACTTCTGCTTTCATTATCTGAACTCTCTGGTGAATTGTATGGGGTACATCAAAACTGACTGTGGTTGAAGGCTCATCTTTCTGTTCCTGTTTCGTAGGGGATATTGCTTCAGAAATATTCTTACAGCGGTTTTTAGCAGGAGGACGACCTCTAACAGCTCATCAACAAATGCCAGACTGTGTGCGCAGAGAATTTGCTGCATTAATGAATATATGTAACTGATTGGAAATGTGCCTTTTTTTCTACAAGGACATCAAAACAGGATGAAACCATCTCTTACTGAGCTTCTCTCTCTCTTACAAGTGTTAAAATTTTGTCTACAAATGAGTGAACACAGGCTACCTCGAGAAAAGTAAGCCTCTGCATCTCTTACATAACCGAGGGGAAAATACAATAAAGACCATGAGACTGCCCTGACTCAGTCCTACTGAAGTATAACAGCACAGTGAACCAGCCTTGTGAAAACACTGCTTTATCTCCAGCCACCGATGATTCACATCAACACTGAGCTTCGCTGTTAAAAGCAGTGAGTGGGTATGCACTCTCAGTTGGTATTCTTTTTGCCAGCCAACGTTTAAAGCCAATACATTTTCCCCCACAGTGTGGATGAAAGCGCTCCGAGTCGAAATCAAGGCAAGTCGGTTATGTAAAAAGAAATACTCAGAGTCAGGAAATTATTATGTCACATATATTATTTTTCAAAAGGGTGGATCCGTGCATCCTTTAGTGTTTATTCATGCATCTAATGTGCAGAAAAATAAGCATTATCTACCTGCGGGTGCATGATTCTCTGCTGTCAAACCTCTTCATACTGACACACTGTCAGGTCTTCTCCCCTCAACGTACTCATTTCCTTCCCTGACACATTCAACTGCCTGACAATACAGGTAGAGAGCATGAGCAAGAGGTTGCGAAATGTTTCAGACGGGAAGGTGAAAAAGTTGTTTTCCTCAGAAAGAAAGAAACATGCTGAAGGTCTGGGCCCCTTCACCCACTTCTGTTGACAGGATATGATGCATTTTTTAGCTGCTGCTCAAGGCCGAAACCCTGAAGAAACATGACCTTTGTTACTGGACTGACTTTATTTTGACAAATGGAAAAAAGCTAATGTAACACTGTTGGAAGTGGATGAGTTATCCTCTATTGCACGTCAATAATGTGCTGAAGGAAGGGAAAGACTTAGGAGTATATTACTGTGACAACTTCTGGCTGTATTTCAAATCCTTCACATTTGGGTCACTGCAAGTTAACTGTCAGCTGCAGCTGTAGTTCCTTCAGTCCTCTGAAAAGTACTGATAGATGATGTTTGTCTGTAGTTAAACTGCAGCCCACTTTTTTTTTATGAGGAATAAATAGTGATCAAACTGCTGCCAGTGTTCCTCAGCCCCATAGAAAAATAAACAGTTCAGCAGCGGCAGACTGTTTGCTGAATCTGATGTCTGTAAAGTATTTTGGTCTTTTGAGTCCCTGTCATGTCTGCACTGTAAGAACCCAAACCAGACTTTGTCTGGTGCTTGACAGCTATCTGCGGCCCACATTCAATAAGTTCAGTCTGGGCTGAGGTTTGTGGCCTTTCGATGACCCATATCTGCTGAACAGTCTCAAAATCATACAGGGCCGTCAGAGTATTGGCAGGAATGCGGTAATACAAAAATCTATACACAGCGGGAGCGGGGCTCAAAATGAACTTTTGACTTGGAAGCACTGGTGCTCCCGAACTTCAAACAGATAGGAGAACCCATTAAAGTAGCGTTATTTTGGGACGATAAATATATGCATCTTATTTATCAATACAGCTCACTGGTTTGACATTCAGTTATTGATACATGTCCAAATTATGGGTGTCCCAATACATTTTTTTAAATTTCCAATACAATACAGATACTGTAGCCTTCAGTATTGGCTGATACCGATATTGCTCCGATATTGGCACAAACTTGTGTATGACAAATTCTGCGCTCAGCTGCAACGTCTTTTTCAGGATTAGACGAAAAATACTGCCACATGGCCGACATCACTCCCAGATACAGGAGCTGGAGCGGAGTCTAGAATGGACTGTTTGTATCGGAGTGCTGATATCGGAAATTTTGGATGCAGGCCGATATAATCCGATATTCGTTTTTTTTGCTGATATTGGACCAATATCTGATATCAATATTGGATCTGGACATCCCTTATCCTAATGTGGCCTGTAGTAATGACTAGTGCCCGACCGATATGGACTTTTTGGGGCCGATGCCGATATCTACAATATACTATTTATTGTAGATAATTGGTGCCTTCATGTCTTAACTCACATTACTCATTTCAAGTCTGGTCTCATCAGGAGACATGCAGCTGCCTCAGTAAGAGAGGTAGCTCTTTAGAGGGTAGCAAGGCTAATAGCAGGTGGCTAACTCTAACTTTAGCTTGCATATTACATGGTGCTTCACCGTTAACTCAGCGTGACCGAGACCAGCACAGCGAGGAACATCGTTAAGTGGATTGAACTGAAACTAGTTGACTTATTGAGTATTTCACAAACTAGTTGATTTACCATTGAGGCGGACCACTCTCCTCGGTACTTCCCTGAGCTGCCTGCTACAGATCCGTCACTCTGCTGTGCTGTGAGGTAGTTAGTGGATGAAGATTGTCATGAGGTCAGTGCGCCATCTACAGGATAATAAGTCTGGGAATTGTCTGGGCGGAACATTTTCGAAGTGAAACCGAATCATATTTTCCGCCTTTTATCTCTGAAAATATCGGCAAAAATCGGCGACTTTTGGCCGATTACCGATTAGTCTCAAACGGGCTAAAATTAGCCGATTTAACCGACTCGCCGATAAATTGGCCGGGCCCTAATCATGACCTCTCAGTTTTGTGTCTCCTCTCTGCTTCTGTGAATATTAAAAGGCAACAATCAACTTTTGAACTACTTACTGACACACTGTTACCAAGATATTAGGCGCTAATGTTTATTAAATCAATAATTCAACACACTGTAGTCAGTACAATACTGCCGCAGAAAGAAAAACTGCTATTGATGGACGAAATGAATGTGAACATAACAAAACCATAACAGGACATTTGATCATGGTGTCTGGAGTTGCTTAGTATGACTCTGTTAGAGATCCCACAAACAAATGGTGATGGTTCTCTCATTTACATGATCCTTCTGTAAGTTGAAGGTCCATTGGGAGATCAGTGTATTATAGTTACATTTTCCCCCTGCATAATATATGAATTAAAAGAAATGCTCTCTGCAGGAAAATGTTCACTTTTCTCTTTTTGGCAGCAACTTCTACCCCACATTCAGTTGATTTTGACTCAGCACCGCCACCGAATTAGTAATGCCACTGGTTTGATGGCATAATTGCAGCTCTAAATGATGAATTCACAGAGTGCTGTCATTGGAAAACAGAGTTGTCGTGAAAACACAGTCAGGCTCTGACTCTGAGGCTGGGAGCGACAGCCGGCTTGTGGAAAAAACCTGCAATACTTATCCACCACAGATCACTGTCATTATACAGAGAAATGGGGAGAGGGGGGCACCACGGAGTTCTATAGAGTTCTGATCCAATCGTGACAATGAGATCTACCATTTATTAAACTGGGCGTCAATGGCCTAGCAGTCGAAATGTGCCCCTTTTACAGAGGCAACAGTCTTTGTCACAGCGGTCGTGATCCTGTCCTGCATGTTTCCCCCCGTATTTCCTGTCTCTCCTCAGCTGTCCTATCTCACAGAGGCGAAAATACCCCAAAGCATGACTTTACCATGGCACTACTTTGTATGCAATCCTGGCAATATGCATACATACATTTAAAAATCTTAAATCCACCCGACATGCAGTTTGATCATGACCAAAGGACATTAACATGGATTTTCTGTGAGGCCACTGCTCTGCCCTGATATGTGTACATGACTGTTTCTGTTCCTGCTCGTACATTTTTGGATCCTCTCGAACAGCTGATTTTAAAACTGCAATTCTGCCATTATATATTATAATCATTTGCATTTGGAACTTGGCCATTTAAACTGTTTCTTGTGATATTTTTAACTTGACTAAATGTAGAATGTGTAAAGCCTGCAACTTTGCTGCTGACAAGCGAATATCCCGACCAGTTTGCACCAATTTAAGGCTATCACAAAAGAGCTTTCTGAGACATGCAAGAATCTTTGGTCACCTGAAAGTGGCTCAAGCACAGCTGAACAACGTCTTTACCTCTCAGGAGACACCTACTTTGCGTGATACGATCTGATGTGGAACAAGTGTGGAAATCAGGTAAGCCAATTATAAAAGTCTCGGAATTTATCAAGGCCAAGTGCAGCCTGTTGGGTGGAATTAAAGCCAACATATCAACTCCTGCGGGTTCAGAGGAGACCTGCAATATTAGAGTAATGATACAAGTTTCTCTGCTAATTTAGCACACATTTTGAACTTCTGTGGGATTGCTTGAGCCTACCTGTTTGGCAGAAGTATTTCATGTTCACAGCTGTCGATACTTTTTAAATTATGTGCCAGCAAATTGGATTATTTTTCAGCTCAGTGCCCAAGTCATGAGGACATCAAGCTTTTTGGACGTCTGAACTTGACAGGCAATATCATGCTTTACAAAGAGACTTTCTGTGACACAGCTTGGGTAGGATTTATAAAAGGAAGTCCACATGTAAAAGCCCAATGACAAGGTGCCAAAGATATGCAAATGCAAATTGAAAACCAGGAAGTATTTGATTTAAGAGCGATAGACAGATAGCCTTAACGTGTTACCTTATTAAACAAAGGGCTGTGTGCTTATCAGAAAAGTAAATGAATTCACCTTTGCAAAGCTAAATGATTAAAATTGATTACATCCTGCAATTGAGTGCAAATGAACCTCAGAGGGCTTTTTAGCATGAACTCAATATGTGTCCAAGAACTAAACCTCCACACAGATGAACAATAAGGTGTGCAATGTGTTTTCTGGGCAGCAATGCCAGTTGCTCCTTTGGATTCGGCCAAACAATAACGTGTTTATCCATGACTAGAATTGATAACAGTTTCTCTAATCCACACGATTGTAAGGATCCAAACAAGCGTTTGTCTTCTTGCTACTTAAAATGTATCTAGCAAAGAGCCAAGGAAGCATTGGCATTCACAACACAAGCATGGGCTTTGAATTAAGACAAATGAGGTAAAATAATTTCCTAGTTAGGCTCATGAAACACTGCCATTACATGTCAAGTATGATTACCTGCAGAAGACTGCTACATGCCAGTGCAGTGCTATTTTCAGTATTTGAGGAGTTTTGTAGGATCTTAGTAAGTCAAGAACTACCCATAATATGTCTTGCACATGACAATAAATCATAACGCAGGGAATATAAAACATACATGGATTTACATCACATTTTATTGATTAGGTCTCATAGTCCAAAGCATTTTGGGGCTACTGTCAAGAGGAAACTTCTGTTATTTAGTGCTGATCGGTTTGAAAATGTAACTAAGATATGAACCAGTGTGAGACAGCCAGTTCATGAGGTGCATGTCAAATGTAAGCTTTAAGGTTAAGACACACTACAATGACAAAAACACAACTTGGTACTAGGCCTGCAAGCCTATAACCTAATGCAATGCTAAATTTCTATTTGATATTTTCCATGTGCATATAAACTGCAGCCAAAACTAACTTAGTAGTTGTTAAAACATGCATATATTTTAACATTGACCAGCCAAACCAAATTATGAACATCTGGGAAATCTCATTGTCTCCAATACAACAGCTCTAACACAGAATATACTTTAAGGAAGCTTCTAAACATCCGGTTTTTGGTAATCGTTTCACTTTATATTTATTGTTGAAGATGGAACGGGTGGTGGTGGTAGTGTGGTTGAGTACATTATATTGAAAGGTGTTTCCATTATTTTGTCCACTCCATTAATAACCACGAGGGGAGCAAAACATTAGGAACACCTTTAAACATAATGAACTCAAGTACACTCTTAATACTAAGTACAACTTTAACATTTGTTTCTACGGACAATTACCATTTATATGACTATTTATTCCACATTAAAACGTAGAAGGTTGTTTTAAGTGGAAATTATGGTAGAGCTAGTGTATTAGGTTACAGTTTATTGCCCTACCGTTCATAGTGTTATTGCTTATCGGTGAAAAATGGCGTTAGCTTTTTTTCAAATAATATTTGGCCACAATTGTCGTATTAATGTTGAATTAACTGTTGTTAACTAGGAGCCGACGAGGGTGGATAAAAACACGTTTTGTTGTGCAAAAAAAATTGCCAGCTTGAGGCAGCGACTCAAGGCGGTCCCGCACACTGACCAGCGTGAACTCAGCAGCGGTTTGAAACCACCGGAGTACCCCGGTTTATCCAGCAGGCCTTTCCGCCTGACCCAGCTGTAATCTCGGTTTCCCCGCTCCACAGACGAGCCCTCGGGATTGCATGCAAAGGCAGAGACAAAAGCACAACTCAGATTTGCTTACCTGTCCGTGGTGGGTCCGTTAACGTGAGGACGAAGAGAAGAGAGAAGAGGACGAAACTGCTGCTGTCAGCCTTTGGCAACATTTATCCTCCATTCATAGTAACTCCTCTATTCAGAAATTTGTACAAATATACTCAGGCTCTGCACCGTCGCCGCCCTCTCCGGATTTATAACGTTATTCCCTTGATACCCTCAAAACCCATTTTTAAGCAGTCAAAGCTTCACTTATAGAGGACAAAAACCGTGCGTAGAACATACTCGCACCGCGCAGCGACTCCGACTGTGGGTAATCTGACCGAGCGGCTAACGTTAGCTAACTGCCGTTAACGTCGGCCGTCCTCTCCTGCTGCTGCTCGGTGCGGAGCGGCGCTGATCCAAGATGGCTGCGGCCTCCCATCACAACAATCCTAAACATGGAACACAGGCGATCAGCTGGAGGAGCCGTCGGGGGCGGAGTTTAGCAGATTACACCCAGTGTGACACACGATAACCAGTGTGTGTGTGTGTGTGTGTGTGTGTGTGTGTCCTTTTGAGATATTACGTGACGATGAATCTAACCCAAAATATTAGCACTGGCTGTACTAGGCGGAAAGCAACAACACATTAAATCTCACAGCAGCGTGCGAGCTGCTGGCACACCGGATGGTGCAATTTCCTTTAGTTACGCGTATTAGATGTGATGAAGCTGACTGCTTTAATGAAAAATTATACGGTGGCCAAGAACCGCCACTGCTGCAAATAAAAAAGAATGCAAAAAAAACAGAAGTCACAACGAAAGTTACTGATGCAAAAAAAAAAAAGAAACCGAAGCCTGCTGCAAATAAAAAAGAAACAGTGCAGATAAAAAAAAAAAAACCACAACGGAAGTTAACGAAACAAAAAAGTGGAGATCAGAAAAAAAGTTACCTACTGCGAAAATAAAAGGATGCAAAAATAAATAAATAAAAATAGCCAAAACGGAACTGAAGCTAACACGACATTGGCATCCTTGTGTTCAATTTATGAACTCAGGCACTAAATGGTCCGACCAAATGACACATTGAAAAGTTTACGAAGCGAAATTGAACAAAAACCTTTCCACTAACTTCTTTGTTTGTCTTCTCGCCGCGTTCTTCTGTGTCCAGATCGTAAAACACTGGTGTATTATTAATACTGGTCCCCGGCAGCTCACTTCTGTTGTGGTTTTTTTTAATTTGGATCCTTTTATTTTCGCAGTATGTAACTTTTTTTTTTTTTTTTTTTGCATCGCCACTTTTTTCTGCGTCTTTAAAATCCGTTGTGGCCTTTTTTTTTTTTATCAGCACTGTTTCTTTCTTTATTTGCAGTGGGCTTTGGTTTCTTTTCTTTTGCAACGGTTACTTCCGTGACTTTCTTTTTTTGCAGTCTTTTTTATTTTTTTAGCAGCAACATTAATGACACCAAGGTCACACGAATACACAAACCAATACCACCCATCACCCCTTCAGAGATTTACCCTTATGCAAAACATTTAGAGCAGCCGTTTGATAAGTTTTATATCTTCATTTTGAATGTTTGAAGAGCTTTGTGCAAAAGAAGGAGAAAAATATAAAACGCCCATTTATGGTTTTCTTTACTTTTCTTGGACAGCCTGACCGAACAGACACCAAAAAGGCACACATGGGATAAACCTCGACTTTCACACTTTATGGTCTCCTTTTGTAAATGTATCAAATATTTAGAAACAGTTTTTGGTGCTTTAAGTTCACCAATAAAAGGATGTGTCAAATCAATGTCTGACCCACACTATGGATCACATCCCTGCTTATGAACACACCGACCCTCCACTGATGACCCCCCTCCCTGAAGAGGTCAAGTTGTAAATCAAGCTGCTGCATTTGTTTTGACTTGTGCATACCACAGGACAGCCTCATTAATTATAAATATGGCCTTAGGGGACCCTGTTACCTCACAGGCTTCAAAAATACAAAACAAAAACAAAAGAGGGCATTTGGGATATTTCAGCTGTAGTCGAGAGAAGCAGTCTGGCTTGGCCTAAAACTTCAAGCCCTCTGTGAAGATGAGAAGAGCTGCCTCGTTGTGACTGTTCTGGTGGTAATTTACAAGCTGTCTAACTTACACCCTGAGTGATTTTACAGGGTTTAATAATGCTGAACTGGTATGTTAGGAGAATTGAGCAATAGTTACTGGATGTAGGGCTCTTGGGAACAGCACGTACATTCAAAATGAGGTCATTCCAGCGTATGCTCAAGGGTCAGTGGCTGTTTAATAATCTATAAAACCTTGTGAACGGCATACAATAAAAATATTATAAAAAAGAAAACTGGGTTATGAAATAGAGTTTGGACAATGCCTTGTATTTCACATTGATCTTGATAAACCCGTCTGTACAAAAATGTAACCAATAAATCCAGAAAGTCATTCTTTGCACACGTCCTCATCCAGGTTTCCAGATGAAAGATATGCACTGTAATTTGAGAGAATGTGAGTCTGTAGAGTTTTGAAAGGAATTCTCTCTGTTATATAATGAATTCGTTTATGTACAATCTCAACAAGGATCAACTTCAGTTCCTTAGAAAAAGTCTGAGGCTTTTCGTCTTTTGGGCAGCTGAAGCAGATTGTCTGTGAGTGATGTGAGGTCCTGAGAGCTCGGCGTCTTGGCTTTGTTTGGTGTCGGTGTTCCGGTGGGAGTAGACAAACCATCGAAGGGAGTCTTGCAGCCAGAGGCTCTATGTGAGGGCGAAGGGGTGTAACTCGCTCGTAGTGCTTTGTCCGTGTATTTGCTTGATGTCCGATTCACGAGTTTCTGCAGGGCGGGCGAGAGGGCGGGGCTCAGACCTTTAGGGGTAAGACTGTGGCACAAAGATTGATATGGTCAGTAAATTATGGGGACAGTTCCTTCATACTTTGAACCCTGGCGGGGACAAATACACAGCTTTAAAACTTTTACTTTCAACAGCTGTTTTACAGATAAAACCAGGACATGAGATGGTGTTTACCTTGCGAAATTCTCTGTAACTTTGCGCAGTGCTTCTTGTTTCTTTGCGCGATTTTTAGCAGCAGCTTCATTCGCCATTTTCAACCCCAGCCTCTCTCGTCTTCCTGGTTCTGGAATCTGTTACAAACAAACACGTGTTCAATGAGCAACAAGTCATTGAAAATAAAAGATCTACGAATCACGAGCGCTGCTGACAAAAGTGCAGTACCTTAAATGAAGGACCATGATTCCTCTCGACATACGGCGTGTCCGATCCGTCCAGGCGAAACGGGGTGCTCTCGATCTCTCCCCAGGTCATCAGTGGTGACTCTGAAACACCTGAAGGGACAGAAACAGAGTTCTGAATTATGCTGATGAAAGTTAAGTTGCCTGGCCTCATAAAAGCAAACAAGATGAACAAGATTTACAAAGTCTACCCTGCAGCTTTTACAGTCTTAACCACTGTGAGGGAGGAGGTATGACAGCAAACTAATAGGAAACTCAAAAGCAAACACCAATAGTGGGTGACACAGTTCATTATTAAAAACAGGATGAGCTTTAATACTACCTTGACATATAAACAGGATGTTGTTGGCATCAGATATACTCTCTTGTCAAACACACCCTTAAATACATTTTGTAACTCTGTATAAGTGTAAGAGAAGGGAGAGAGAGTGATCACTCAGACTGGCATACAGAGAGAAGAAGGATCACATTATCATTTCACATTTAATTAGCAGCAATTTTCTGAATGTGGATTTGTTTACTGTCTTCATATTTTATTGGTAGTACATCATTTATTGTGCCATAAGTTAGAGGCCTGTGTCATATTTCACTCGTGAGTAAATGTGCAGCACTGCAAATTAACAACAAGCTAATTTGTTCATTTCAAATCAACAGGCTGAGTTCATCAAAGAGATCAATATAGATACTCAGGAGTGGAGAGTATGGTCCCACATTGAAGCTTGTAAGTACTGAGATTATCCCTTTTCACTTAATAACTTAGTCCCCCCTTCTTTTACATTGTTTTTACAGCTATTATCATTGTCATTGGTAACTTCTGCGGGTCAAACTACCAGAAGAATCACAAACAAGATGAGTAAATTTACAAAATTCACATGTTTCCCCACAGTGGGGGCCAAAATTGACACAAACCAAGACTTCCTCACAGCTATTTTAAGGAAACACTTAGTTGTTACTTTGTTGAGGAGAATTAGAGACTCACTTACCCGGTGCAGGGGATGGCATTGTTTCAAAACCATATCCGTTCACTGTTGGGGATTCATGTGGGATGAGCTCTTTCCCATCAGGGCCGACTTTACCCTGTTTGAACTGGACAGTAAACAAGATGCATCAGCTACACACTATATTAATTCACATTACTGTAAACAGGACAAAGCAACACCATGCTCTAAAGCTACTTATTCACAAGCACTGTCCTGATTTCAAAATATCGCACAATAAATGGTACCTGTGCGTTAAGGGCTGCAGCCTGCTGAATCTGACTCTTGTTGAGAGCCTTGCTGAACGGGTCCCCGACAAAGCGTGTGTTCTTGTGGACGACTTCCCGCGGCTTCTTAAATAAAGCATCATCATCTTTGACACCTGATTTACAGAGAAGAACAGAACGAAACAATAAAACATGAGGATATGATTTTTTTTTTTTTTCACAGCAGGGCTTAAAATGGCTCCCATTGTTGTTTCACATGCTTCTGAAATTCAATCTGTGCAACTTCAAAACATCTCTGGAAGCACTTTTGCAAGCCCAAATCATTGTTGTGGTGCAACATGTTTATTCAATTTCACTATAAAAGACAGTGACTGAAGGTTGATTTATTATGTCTGCTAACAATGCCATGAGTATGATGACGTTATTCAAGAGCCATGTGTGGTTATCCAGTGCTTACATAACCAATCATTCATCAACTTGACATTCCTAACTTTCAAAGCTGATTCTAGACTGTCTGACATAAATCTTCAATTATGTGCTTCATTGTTGTGTGACAGGACTAACTTGCACAACAACAGATGAGCTTAAGGGAGTAGATCCTAACAACGCTAAGGGATTTCTTTTACGGTAAATGTACAGTTGGCCTATTGGAGACGGTAGAGGACAGACTTCCAACAGACAGAGCTGAGAGAATAGCTGACAGACTTCCAACAGCTTTGCAATGAAAATGAAGTTCACTGTGAAGCCAGTGGGACCGAGGCTGTAACTGACACTCTATTTGCCACGTCATCCACACATTTTAAGCATTTTTGTTTTGGTGTCCATTACTTCTCAGATTGTGCTTGTACAATTACCTAACTTTTTAAAGATGGAAGCACCAATGATTCCAAGTATAAAAGTTCATTTCCAGCCCTACACGGTAAAGTTACATATCTGCGGTCAGAGTGTGGTGCACGAAGAGGGAGGAGGAAAGACAATTTTAACCATTTTCTTACCTTCTGGATAATACATTAAGGCATTCTTTGCTTTGTACTCCCATGTCTCCAGTCCAGCTTTGACACACTCGAGCGCTGCTGTCTCTGCTGAGGGTAAGGCGAGGTTCTCCTCGTGGCGCTGAAAAATAACAGTATTTATATTTTCATTATAACCCAAGATTGAACAATATACACTGATCAATATGGCAATCTTTTGCTAGTTGACTGATGGCCAGTGGCAACATTTTTACTGGCTCCATGTATTTTCTCCCTGACTCCCAGTGAAAATAACCTTTTTCCTGTACTTTCGCTGAGAGGTCTATGTCACTCTGAAGATTTCTGCACAAAAGTTCACTTTAGAAACGAAACTTTAGCATTTGTGTTTTCACTGCCAGCTCTTGCCTGTTTGCGTGAGCCATCTGCTTAATGTTTCATACCATTTGCATCTTAGCAACAACCATCTCTGTCAACTCTCAGAGAGCTCTTCATTGAATCGTTTATGTACAAGAGCTAAATCTTTAAGCTGAGTCATTTGCTGCTGTGTTCCTGCAGTGAAGTCAGGTGACGCAAAAATGAGAACAGATAAAACTTTGACAGAAGTCAAAAAGTTCAACACTTATTTTAAATCAATATCCATGCTCAAATTCAATAAATAAAAAAGTAATGCGAATAATCGACGATTGATTGATGAATGGACATGTGCTCTGTCAGCAAGCTACTGATAGACTTCACCCACACAGTTCAGTTCACAAATCACGACTTGACGTTGCAGACATCTTGACTCTGATTAGAATGAAAAAAGAAAAGATGTATTGATGAGCAGTCAGTAGCCCACTCTGTGCTAATGGACATTCCTCGTATAAACTTTGCTCAGTCCCAGACCATGGCTTATGTTGGACCCTGATATATCAACGACCATTGCAACTGATAGTTACATCCATGGAAGAATAAATTATATTTTTATATAAACAGGTATAATTGTATCATTTAAAATTCTTATTGTATATAAGCACATAAAACACACTGCCTTTAACTGGCATGAATTCCTCTTGGTTTTTTTCGTATCCCAATACATGTTGCAGAAAAGAAAAATATCGCAATCTTAGATTTTTCAAGATCGTGCAGCCCAATTTTCAATTCCTAAAAGATTCTCTGCTACCACAACCATCAGGTTTGGTTCTCATTCTACAATCAGCAAACTGAAATCACAGCAAGTTTTAATTGAACCGATGCTTTCAATTTTTGTAATAAATACCTGTTTGTATTCAGTCTCAGCCTCATATAACCAGGCATGTTTCAGCTTCTCTTTGTCCATCGCCAGCTCCATTATCTGCTCAAAGGATGCATTATCTTCACTGGTGTTTTTGGCAAGGAAGCGATCCAGAGAGGGCAGCTCTTTCTCTTCTTTTTCATCCTCTTTGCTTTCTATGAATACAACATTGATAAAAGAATCATTCATTTCTGTTGACTACCTGTTAACTACCATCAGACTTTACAACTCTTTTATAAATATTAGATGACCTTTGAGACATGACAAATGAGATGACAGACAATTAAATTTCCCTTTAGGGCTCAATAACATTATTCTTATTCTTATGTCACTCTTCCTCTAAGGGCATCACAGAAATATGGACTTCTTTTTTTGGTTGGAAACAGATCTCTGAATGTTTATCAACACATAAAAAGTGCAATCATTACGGTACGTGTTGTAATGTCAAAAACCATGATTCTTACCTCCATCTAATCCTTTACTACCGTGAGTAGAGGATGGAGACCCGGAGCGGCCAACTGGTGTCTCAAAGCTAGCTGGTGTCACATCTTTAATATGAAGAAGGAAAGAGAATACAGGTGTCAAGCACATTCGCCAAATTTGTGATGGATATATTTGTACCTCTCATGCTGTTAATAGATTTTTAAGTCAATATTTGGCATTATCACTTATAAAGGTCATTACTCACAGGGTGCAGTGGAGCGAGGAGTAGATTTAGTCAAAGATGACCCATATCGGATGGATATCTCTCTCATTCTCTCTAAATCACCGGTTTCTTCCGCATCGAGATAGTCCTTCTGTGCCTGTAGTTTGGTCACATCTGGGAAGAAGTCCCTCTGGATGATCTTTTCTAAGTTCTGTGAAGAGTGGAAAAAATGTCACATCAATTCAAAGTTACATGATGCACATAAACAACTCTGGTATGTTGTTGGTCATCTGCTGATTTATTCCTGTATATTTAAATCTCTTACTGACAAGTTTTTAAGTAAATCAAGTCATAGATACTTCATAAAAGACCCTATGTAGCCCACAGGAATAGATCGGCTTTCATCAGTCCTCTATAAGAGTTGCTGTACCTCTGATTTCAGACGTATATCATAGTCTTTTCCCCTGTAAGCACTTCACATTTGAGCGACTGATACCTGACAACAACATGTCTGCTGCTAAAACACACGACACCCCTGCTCAGAGTGAAGCTGAACTAGCGGATAGATACCTCAATGTACTCCTCTTCATCGAGGACCTTCCTCTTAAATGTCCTCTTGTCCGTCTCCTCGGGTTGCTGGATGAGAGACACTGTTGTGACCGCAGAAGGCACGAGAGTCCCGGACAACGATTTCCTTACGCTCGCGCTGCCCTCCATTGTAGGTCTTGTTAGCCTGCTAGGCTAATGGCTAACGGAGATCCTCTAAAACCTGACCGGAATCTCACCAGAAAACGGTATCAGTACTTATAGAAACAGCCCAGTATCTTAGAAACACGTAATTAAACTGTATGTTAAATACTATCTAAAGTCGACCGTTGGTAACCAGCATGTAAGCTAAGTAACTGTTGGCTGGATTTAGCACAGCAAACAAACGACGTCGTACGTAGTCCGATTGTTGGTTACGTCACCGGATGTTGACTAAGGAAAACGTCAATATTTCCGGTTATTAACGACATTTAAATTAACGTTCCATTCAGTATAAGGTTTCTAAGTCTTGTAATATTTCACTTACAAGAGCTAAAATTATTCAAAAAAAAAAAAAAAAATTAAAATAGATAAAAAATAAAAAGATTTTTAAAAAAACACAACATAAGTTAATGACCCAAAAAAGTGGTGAAGCAAAAAAATAAAAGGTACTTATTGCAAAAATAAAAGGATGCAAAAAAAAAAAAAAGCCACAATGGAAGTGAGCTGCCAGGGACCAATAATGATGATGCACCAGTGTTTTACGAATAAACAATAACCTTTCCACTTACTTCTTTGCTCGTCTTCTCGCCATTGTCTTCTGTGCCTAGATCGTAAAACACCAGTGCAACTAATCATTATAGGTTCCTGGCAGCTCACTTCTGTTGTGTTTTTTTTTAATTTGCATCCTTTTATTTTCGCAGAAAGTAACTTTTTTCTTTCTATCGTCCACTTTTTTTTTTTTCATCAGTAACTTCTGTTGTGACTTCTTTTTTTGCATTCTTTTTATATTTGCAGCAGTGGTGGTTCTCGGCCACCGTAGACATGGATAGGCTACTAATACTGCAACTGCCATATAATCAGGGATGTAAGAGAACTAAAACCTGTACAGTTACACTCCTGACATTTGACTTTAATAGAGATAAAACTACTAACCTGTTACCATACTCTTCTTTAAGTAGTAAATACACTTTATTTGAAATATATACTGAGCACTAACTTATTACCCATGGTGGTGAATTTGGCGATATCGCACAAATTACCCACATAAGCAAATTGTATATTCTTCCCAAACTAATTGTATGTGATGCAATAACCAACAGCGTCAGTGCTGCATTAATATTGCTCTGCATCTATAAGAATTATTGCATGATTTCACATTATCTTTTGTCAGTATTGCCCTGCACATGCATGTCACCCTAGCTGTGCAGTGAAACTTGTGAATATGAGGCAAAAATTAAGGCTTTAGTGATTGTAATGCATAAAAAGGGTAGAGATCAACATTCCTAAAACATATTTAAAGGACCCTTCAAAGAAATAACCACTAACAATAATAATAATAATAATTGTGACTGCCAAAAAATGTCTAGAGCTTTCAAGGTTAATTCTTTTATTGTTTACTTGCAGAAAGTCAGAATGTACCAGAAATATTTTTAAATACTTTGAATATAAAAGATAACTGTTCTCTACATGCCAGCTGTTAAATTGCTATAATGCTTCTGTTTTGATTCATCTATTATAATAAATGAGCAGACTCAATCTCCCAAAAACAACTTTATTTGTTTTCAAGGACACTTTCATTTGTACAAGTGCACACTGTTAATTCCATTCACATATTCAAGATGTAACTTTCAGAATAAGAATTAGCATATTGGTTCCCTCAGCCTGTCTTGGACTCAGCCAGTTACTATTGAATGACTTATTGATGATTTGACCATAAACAAAAGCTCGTACTAGAAAGAGGTTTCATGTTGCTGTGACATTAAATAACAAGAGCAAGAAAGAGTCTTTGTTTCAATGTCAGCCAAGCACACACGCATACACCCACAGCAATCTGTTATCTATATTCCTGTAATCCAAACAGTATGTACATGACTGAACTTAGTTTTCTGTGTTCCCCACACCAAATGACAGTCTTTTCTGACGCCTCCACTTTGCTCTTCGGTTTTTAAACCATACCTGTCAGCAGAGAGAAATTGATATAATTTAACTTTTCCTTTATTTCTAATGGCATACAGCTCTAACATATGTATTTGCACCTCATCTATTACATTTGCAGCAGCACTGGATATCCTTGTGAACAAGGACATATCAGTAAAACAACTTAGAATGATCAGAGATGAATTCAGGAATAAAAGTGTGGTGATGTTTTTACATTTGCACACATCTTTTGTATTTCATTGGTTGATTCTATATCCAAATGCTTATGACTTACTTCTACTCTTTCCTCTCTCAGGTGAGTCTGCTGTGCCAGCCTCTCCCTCGTGTTCACATCTGGATACTGATTCTGCAGGAACAGCTCCTCCAGTGCATCCAGCTGCTCCTCGGTAAAAATAGTGCGATGTCTCCTGGTTCTCCTCTGCACCTGACTGGGCAAATGCTCATCTCTGTGAGCGTCTTCGAGCCTGCTGGGGTCTGTGAGCATCACTGGGGGCCATCCATACTGGCACGCTGCATAAGAAGAAATCTGAGATACCTCTAAAGTGAAAATCAGCCGAATACAGGTGTCTAAATAGGTGATGTTCTTACCTTCATGGATGAAATCAGTCTGGAAAATGTCTCCACAGTGGGAACAGCAGCAGCAGCACATGCAGGCATGATGGACCCTCTCTGTGTGACCTCCACTAGCACCCACCACCTTCTCTTTTAATACAGCTGTCCCACATGGTCGCCCCTCTCCGTTACTGTTTGGATATTTGCTCAGGATGTTCTCAATGGTGAAAGGGAACTTTTCTCTCTCTATCCTGATCAGCCCATCCATCTCCAAAGAAAACCACAAGCAGTAAAAACCAAGCAATATGTACAACAAACACTTTTAGATAGTTCAGGCTCGACTGCTCTTCTGCTTCTCCTCTTTCCACAATGTGTCAGGCCCTTATAGTGAAATTGGGAGGCACAAAAAAAAAGAAGGTAAAACCATAATCCTCCCCGATGGACCAGACACATAAAACGGTTGAAACTTAATTCCTAGCTAATCTGGGCAGTTTTGTGAAGAGGTTAGAGAGGACAGCAGATTCAGTTAATCTTGCCTCATTCCTTTTCTCCCAGAGAAATCAGATTTCGCTGCATAAAATGAGAAGTGGAGAGCTCCTAAGATCCTCATTGTTGAGGTTTTAGAGAAAAGGGGATTGCTTGGTATTAGAAACCTGGATTTAAAGATGAACTCTTCTTTTTTTGGTGTGGCCGGAGACTTCTGCATGTTGATTCTGAGAATCAGCTCTTCAATTTCCTCCATCATGTCACTTTCCTTTTTGGTTTTGTCAACACATCATGTTGTGGATATTAGTACATTTGTTTAGTGAATGATTCGAGTCAAGGTGTCATGCACTGACGACAATGCATGATACACCAAGTAGGCAGATGAATGACTCATTTTGCAAATGACTTGAGTTGGTCACACCAATAGATTTGTGTGGATAACTTATCACAAACTGCATGCATAAACACAGAAAAATGCCCCTTGGCTGTGGTTTGTATTCTCAATCATGCATCATGTCTCTTATCTGTGTGCTGCAGTCTTTCACAGCAGAGGTAAAGCTATTACAGGTTAAATTCAACCCCCTCCTCAACAAATCCTGTGATTTCATACAACGCAATACACCTTTTTTTTCCTCCTCAAAGAATTATTGGATTTCCACAATCTGTCCTAAGCTCCTCTTATACGGGCTTTTGAAAACAGATAACAATAAACACCATCCCATCCTTTTCACCTGGCTTTAATAGCAGCCAGATTGTTGATGTATAGTTTGCGCAGCATGTGAGATCGTTATCTGCTCTTATTGTAGTTCTCAATAGAGGGAGTTGTAGCACATCCACATCGGTTCAAGCAGTTCAAAATTCATTACAGGGGATTAGAATGATAAAGGTTCATTTTGTTGTTGTGAGAGAAATATTTGGTATTAGAGGAAAAGTGAGAAACACCACAGCTGAGCGTTTTAGATTTTTGTTATATAGCTGTGTGGTTTGATTTAAAATCAATTTTCACCTGGAAATGTTACTAGATCTAAAATGTCTTATTCTATATGTTTTCATTTAATATAATACCAGAAAATCAAAAGATAAACTATAATCTTGTGCCCCGCTGAAAAAAAATAACAAAATAACATAAGAGGTATAAGAATGAGGCGTTTAGACACAAGGTAAAGATGGGAAAAAGCATAATATGGAGTTGCTTTGCCACTTTAAACTGACGGGACGCTGTGATCTGAAGGGGGAAATATTGCACAGAGGCACATTAGATTAATAGGAGGTCAGTTTACCCGCTTGTTGCCGGACCAGGGCCCAAATTCTCATGGGAAATGGGAGATTGCAGCTATGACCAGGATACACACAGGACCAACCTTTTGTAGAGTTACATGTGTGAGCTGTGCGGGCATTGAGGGGGAAGAAAAGACCCCTAAGACCTTGAGAGAAATCGAAAGCTACGATATGGTTGCAGAATCTCCATGTCTGACAGCCGTATAAATTCAAACATGATGTGTTTTTCCCCATATCATCTGCTGGAATCTGAAAAATGAGTTCTGGTTTTTGGTGTTTGAGTTGTCAGATTTCACTGTCAACTTGTGGGGTATACTTAGAGAGCTGTTTAGATGTGCTGTGCTCAGTTTTATAATATTTTTCAGTGTGTTATAGAGCTATGAAATGTGTGTTTCCCAAGAGTATTCAAAACTGAGGGAGGTGGTCAGGTTTCCCCTCTCTGGCAGTGTGCACTGTCCTTTTTTATGGTTCTTGTGCGGAAACTTGTCTGTTGTTTAGATCCACTTTTAAAGCATCAAATTAAGTCTCAAAAGGCATGTTTCTGTTGGTTAATTGTAAATTATTTTAATCAGACCTATTTATGGCCTAAAGTAAATTAGACTCTGACTCTGTCACTCATTCAATCTAAAAATGACCATTTATTTTTTAAAATACATGAAAAACTGGTTTCTGAACAGCATTAGAAGTTCTCAACAGCAACTTTTGTTTCTGGAAGCAATATAACAGCTTCATTAGGAATAAAAAATGGTTTATCAATGGCTGCTATCTACCATGATAAAATATAATAAAAGTGATAAAGCGTTAATCAAACAATAAAACAAAGTAAATTAAAAAAGAGGTAATAAAACACAAAATAGCTCCTATAGGACTAAAATAGTGTAAAATCACATAATGTAGATTGAAAGATTAAAACAAAATTCAACTAAAAAGGTAGGTCTTTAGTTTACTTTTAAAATATGAACATTAGGTGTCACTCTTAGGCTGTTCCACAAATGGGGACCATAATATTGGAATGATGATTCACCATATGTTTTAGTTTTTACTTTGGGAACAATTAAAAGACCACTACCTGATGACCTGAGGGCTCTACCAGGCTCATGTGGTAAAAGCAAATCAGACCAATAGAAAGGACCAAAAATAAAAAACTAACAAAAGAACATTAAAATCTGCTCTAAAAGACACAGGTGACCAATGCAGAGATTTTAAAATTGGTCTTCGTCAGTGTGCATGCAGCTGAATTTTGTAGAAGCTGAAGCTGTCAAAAGCAAATGGAATGTCCAAGGCTCACTTTTTGGTCCGGTTCTGCTCTCTCTGTATATGAATCCTTGATCATCCATCAGAATAGCATTTCATTTCATAGTAATACTGATGACACCCAATAATACCTAAAGTTTCTGCTTTTACATCTTGCTTTAAGACTACAGTTTTGTCTTCATGGCTAGTAAGTGACTCTATTATAACTCAATCTGTTTTAGATTTCATTGTTTCTTTTCTGTGCTATATTGTTACCTGCTCTGTATCTACATTTTGACTGTCCCTTTAACTTCTTTCGGTTTCGACTGGTGTGTTTTTGGAAAGCAGTTTGTGCTCCAGGCCTGGGTATTTTAATCCACCTGTGCTGTTGTCTGGCCCCTTTCTAAAAAAGAAGAGACAAAACACAGAGCTCACCCATCTAAAGATTTACGTCTAGGCTGTCTTTGCTGCCTCAAAAGCGAACATGACCCTGTTGCTAGGATTTACTCAAGAGTCAAATGTCACATTTTAACGCCAAAGCCAGGCGGTGGTGTTAAAGAAGTCAATAAAGAGTGGTGCGCCACCATGTGACAAAAGACGACCACGACCACCGAACAGCAGAGCGACACAGCGCGGCAGACAACCTGCCACTCGCGATATCTCGAGCGTTTGGTCAGCAGCAGCTAGGCGGAAAAGGCGGGAGAAGACTGCCGCTTCCGCGTCCGCGCAGCACCAGCAGAAGAGCACTGGGGCAAAATGGACGATAAGTTGATATTGGCTGTTTTTAATTGCCCGGAGCTGTACAATGTCACTTTACCGAATTACCGCTGTACGGAAAGTAGAGCAAATGCTTGGAGAAACATCGGCATCATACTTGGACTAACATGTGAGTATTTATTTGTTATTCATTGTTTACCTCAACTTTACTCCCAAGTCTGAAATGCGCAGTGCATGCAGGCGTAGAAGTCTAACCGGTTATAAATAACTCAAAAATATATGTTTAGAAGAGTTTGACTTGTCTCCTGCGGTCAAGCAGCCGCTTTCGTTTGTTTTTATCCGCGCGAGCACATCATGGCGGTGAGGATGCAGCGGCGCGCACCGTGCTAGCGGTAGCAGGCGCAGCTCGCACGCCGTAGGCCGCGTTGCACCGAACGGCACGGTCCGGCTCTGCCACTGCGCCGCCAGCCGCGTGACCAACACGGCGCTGCTGGAGAAGAAACATGCACAGCGTCACGGACTCGCTGTCTTCACCGAGTCGCGTGCTCTTCGTGTTGCTCGTTAAACACCGCGAACTCCGAAAGCTCGTCGAAGTCTCGTGGAAGCAGCAGCAGCAGCTGTGGTTTTAGCACGTTGTGTGAGATAAAGCTGTCAGAGTCACAAGACGGAGGCCCCCAGCCTGCCGTCTTATCTTATGAACTGACTGATAGATTTACAGTGACCTGCAGACGAGTCGTAGCAGGCCAAACTTAAGAAATTAATTAATTTGTATTTTAATTATTTCTCTTAATAACCTTTCATTATGTAACATATTGAGACTTTGAATTAGAGCCTTAATGTTTATTAAACTGTTTACTTAATAAATGTTTTCTTATTGTTACCCAGCTGTAGGCTGCGCATGCACCTGTACATTTAGGATTCACTCTTTAACACAAGTACCATGCCCCATATTAGGGGAGAGTGGGGTAAGTTGAGCCACCTCCTGTTGCTTGGAAATGGTAAAAAAAAAAATTGATCATGTGACCAAATATTTAGGAGATGGGCATCAGTTCATGGAGTCTGTGAAGGTTAGAAGAGCATGGGTGAAGGGGTTAGACATTTATTTCAAAACAGTGAATTGAGTCTGACATAATGTGGCTGAATTGTGTTCAGAACAAAAAAGATCATTTTAAATTTGTTTTATACATCAATTGTGGTATCTATGAGCTACAACATGAGGTCAAAAACCTAGCATAAAAGTCCACCATTTTAGCTTAGAGGACTAATAAAGTCATCATAGTAGTTCTGGGGTAAGTTGAGCCAGTGGCTCAACTGAGAAAGTAAAGGAGTCTGATGAGAGGATCAGAGTTTCAGTTCAGATTGTTGAAATGTGTTACTTTTTCTTTTCAAAAATACAGCTGAATCACTTAAAGACATTCTCATGTTAAAATGACTTTACAAAACAGCTTTTTAGCAGTTATATGCAATAATAATAAAAAATAATTATTGTACCAGTTAAATAGCTTATAATAGATGAAAATACTCATAAATGTGAAGAAGTGACTGTTATTTAGGGAGAGAGAAGGTGAGGGAGGGCTGGGGTGGTAGGGATACGGCTCAACTTACCCCATACACAGGGTAAGTTGACCATAGGAGACCACTTTTTTTGGCATGCTATATTATCAAGACAGTTATGTTTACACTCATTCTGTTGGTTTGCAGGGATGAACAACATCTTGAAATATATGCAGATTCACTAGTGAGGGACAAAACTATGATTGCCTTGATGTATTGATCCGAAATATGAAAAATGGCTCATCTTACCGCACTCTCCCCTACAGGATTCACTCTTTAATACAAGTACCATGCCCCCTTTTACTATAAAACATTTAGCTAAACCTTTGAGCCAGTGTTAGTGGATTGAAAAACAGAGGAGCACTCGCCTCTCAAGAGTCAAAACAAAAGAGATTTTGTTTGATTTGAATTGATTTTGGGTTATTTGCTTCAACTTTGTCATCTTGATCATTTCTCATCCTTTCAGCGCAGTGCCAGGTAACTGCAGATGTTTAACTGTCAACACTTTGTTTTCTTTTCCAGCTGAGGAGTGTAAGAGAAAATGGAAAAACATGAGAGACCGGTACCTTAAGGAAGTCCGAATGGAGAACAGAAGCAAGAAGCAAGGAGAGATGTTTCAGAGCAGGTGGAAGTACAGGCAACTCATGAATTTTATTGCACCCTTTACCGGGTCAAGAAGTGGAGAGCCAGACATGCCCAGCAACAACGATGACCATGATAATCTGGACAATGAAGCTGGCAGCCCAGCAGGAGAGACTGCGTCATCTGAAGCAGTGAAGACATCTCAATCCCTCATGAGGTCTGTCAGTCAACAGGATGTCAAACCACAAGTAGCGTATGTGGCGCAGATGCCTCAGGATCCGTCATCCAACACACAGCTGGCTGTTGTAGCAAAGGTACCACCAGGCTCCTCAAACATCAACAAAATCAGCAGAAAGCGGCAAATCACACCTGACTCTCACTCACTGAACTCCTCTCAAATGCCCCCCATGAAGTGGCTGGTCAAGGACAATGGGACTTCATTTCCCAACAGGCCGAGGGATGAGGATGAACTCTTTCTGCTGAGCTTTGTCCCTGCACTGAAGCGACTTGCTCCACAGAAAAGATGTGAGACAAAAATGAAGATCCAGCAGATAATGTATGAGGCAGAGTTTAACGTCCCACAGCCAGAACATCAGGAGAAACAAGCAGAACCAGAAGCCCAGGAATAGACTGAACTGACTTTTTTAAAACTTTTTTTCTAAAAAACAAACAAAAACAAAAGAAAAAAAGCAGATGAACCACTTTCATTTACAGCCAAAGCTGGTTCAAGGTACATCCCCTTTTCATGTGAAATAATTTGCAGTTAAGACTGTTAATATTGACTTTTTTTCAATGATGTTCGGTGTCAGGAAAGTTGTAATTTTTTTAAATTCTTCTGTTATTTGGTGGGTCTGACTCGCCTCTTTTCTGGGCAGGATTCCGACTTATTTGGGTTAAAATCTTATCAAAGAATAAGACAAAACAGACTCTGATAAGCATTAGCATTTATTTACATTGCTCCACCGTTAATAGAGTTAACGCCTGCTTAAAAAAAGCTTTTCAACCAGCCATTATTCATTCTTTACATCTATAGTATTTTCGATCTTAATTACAGTAAAAATACAGAAATAAACTTTCCAAAACGGGAAGGAACACTGTTTTGTAAATTTGTCTCAGAACTGCGGACATGCATCAACAAGTATTTTTTTATTTCCTGTAAATAAAAAGAGAATGTATGACGTTTTGATTTGGGTGTGATTTTTGTAAGAGGCGAATGAGGCGTGTGTCTTTTAGTACCAAATACAGAAGAGAAAGAACAACAACAAAAAAACAGAGTAGTAGCACATTAATGGATGGGCAGACATTGTGGTAAAGCCAGTGATCAAGGTTTCCCTCTCACCTCTTGGGTCCATCACAACAATTACAAAAGTATGTTGGCCTATATGGATGGGTGGGCCTTTTCACAGAACGAGTAATCCTAGAAAAGGCTGATTAACAGGCTGCTTCAGTGAAGGAAATGTGTTGATAATGCTACAAGTTATGTCTGTGCCTTTTTTATCATGATATCAAGATGTTTACAGAGATCAAGTAGGGTACCAGTGGCCAGAAATAGGCTGACATAAAATACTGTAAAATTTGTTGGACTGACAGTGTAATATAATGAGTACATTATATTTATGGTTCATTTTTGTTTAGCAGAGATTATTTTAAACAGTAGTAACAGAATTTACACATAATCTGTGTGACTAAAACGCAACAGGAAGGAGAACAAAAACGTATCTTCCACTTTTTTCACCCAAACCAAACAAACCCCTCTATGTCTGATAAAAGTAGACAGACAGATGGTCATGTCATACACTAATAAGGAGGCTGAAATTCTTAGAACAAGAGGTGGTTGAAAAAATATAGGGAAGACTTTGGGTATGCGTCTTTACAAGGACAATGTAACAGTACAGTACATTATACTTTCAGCGACCCACGTCGTGTGGTTCACTTTAAAAACCGTCATACCTGCATTGGAACATATAGATTTATTTAAGAAAAAACTCTGTTAAAATCTTATGTCTTTGTGTCAAGAACCTTATCAAATGTTGGGAAGGCAGAATGCACACCATGATGTGAAGATGTCTTTTGGGTTACCCGAACATGTCGTCTTTCCACCTCAGTTATGCAATCAGCAGCCAAAACATAATCACCAGAGCGACGAACAGAAAAAGTCGAGACAGGAACTGTTCATCCATGTGCTGAGGCGTCCCAGGGGCAGCTGTTTGGGAAACAGTAACAGAATTTCTTTGATCTGTTGTCAATGAAAACAACACAGAGAGGTCATGGTAACGTGTGAAACGTTAATACCTGGAGGAGGTCTCCCGTCGTTGATGTTAAAAGCTGTGGCAAAGATCCCAAATGGAAAGGCACCGATTCCAAACGACATTTGGAAACCTCCATCTCCAAAGCCAAATCCTTGGAAACCCTGTGATACATCAGTTCGTAAATAGTACCAAGTGCATGTGTATATCTATCATTATTCAAGCATCAGTATCTGAGGTAGTTTTCCATACAGGCAGGAAGAACTGATGCAACAGTCAGTGTCATTTGTGACCATCCTCAAGAGATTAGTCTGTTCCTCATTGCTTAGTGTCTAATGGATCCCAGAGGGGAATTTTATTTTGTGAATGAATAAAGCTCACTTTTGCACTACAGCATCTGCATCATCCTGTGGAAAAGTTTCATCATAAAAGTAAAAGTCAAAATCATAAACTTTGTGGTTTCCATTCAAGTGTATTTCTTCACAGTACTTACACCCCGGTTTTCTGGCTCAGGCCTCTGCCCTTGTGGTCGCGGAGGTGTTCTTTCTCTGTAAAACATAATCATATCTTTAAAACGCTGTATTTTCCCAACTTGATGTGTGCAAATTGTAAAATGTATTTCGGGGCACATGTGCGCATAAAAAAAATTAGCCAAGGCAACAAATGTTTTTTCATGTAAATACTGCGGTGAAGTTAGTTTTAGGTTGGATATTCGATGGACATTCACTGCGGATCTACCGGTGTCTTCTCACTCTCCATAACCGGTAATAGCAACAGCAGCGCAGATGAATCTACTCAGCATCCTCGCTGTCAGCGTCAGGTGTTGAATAAGGGACCATCAATAAATCACCGGTTGATGTTCTCAGAAAAGGCTGTTTTCCTTTAATAGCTTCCATGTCACATGACCTCAAGACCTAAAATTGATTTCAAATAGTAGTACTAAGGTCGGAAGATAAGACACACCTTTTCATTTCCCTAATTTGTCCTCATAAATTTTTTGTGTTAAATCTAAAGGCAAATTTTGAACATTTTCTTCAATAGCTCCCATGTCATGTGACCAAAAGACCTAAAATAAATAAAAGTACTTAAGTCGACCAATATGGCAAACATTATTTGATCAATTTTCATTGTGCCCCTAAAGTTCTTTGTGTGCTCCTAACTTTTTCAACTTAGGAGCACATACGCTCCTTGTGAAAAATGTTAGTGTCAAGCCCTGGCCTTTTTTTCAGCTTGTGTCACAGAAGCAGTCTATGTATGTGGATTAGACTAAGCTGACAACACATTTTCATCAAGGATACAATTTCCAGGTCTAGAGTTGCTACTAACGCTGCTATATAACAACTCTTATTAATTATTTAATTAAAAAACAAAACTGAAATTCAGCCACACTTGAGCAGCACAAAATAGGACTAGTGGAAACAGGCCCTAATGGACCATATTTATCCTCTGAGAATATAAAGGAGTGTAGTCATTACAAAACAAATTAATTTCAGAGTCAACCGACATGTGGCAAAACTACAAAAACAGTACCAACCTGGGGTCTTGTTGACCTGTGCTTCCACGCCCATATAAGGGGATAACTTTGTCTCTACTGATGCCAGCTTTACACACAGGGCACACTTGTCTGTTTGGTCTCGTCTCCAACCACTGTGTGCAGAGAAAGGCATAATCAGCACTGACTTTCTTCATGAGATTGGTTTTTAAAAAAAATTCAAAAGGGGGGAGTGATTCGGTTACCTGGTGCAAGCAAGGCCAACTGATGGGAAGACATGCCCGAAATGATGAAATTTGAGGTTTTGTGACAGGAAAAAGAAGTTAGTAAAAATGTTCACAGTCTGCCATCAACACATTCTGTATTCAGACATTATATACTCCCAAAACTCCAAACGTTAAAGTTAAGGCTCATCCTAACTACTAAAAAGAGGGGAAAACGGCTCCCTGCTTTGGATTTATCTCCTTTTTTGAGAATGAATAACTACTTTGACACTGCAAACACACTGATATCAGACCAGATGCTGAAAACTTGTTGGCTATGATTGCATGTAAACAGGGGGACTTGGCTACAGAGACGGGAAACCTTCACAGGATCAGGCTAAGACTAGAAAAATCAATACATGTTTGCCCACAGTTGTGCTGTGTTACACTGGCAGCTCCTGGCTTTTCATACTGAACTGAACTTTTGTAGAATTTGATCCACACTTTCTTTAATACTGAATGACACTTATGGAGAAAGATGGATCGACTTCATAGGCATGAATTGTGGTATACAATACAGACTAACATTGTTATGCTTTATCTGTTCAGAGTAAAAATAATATTAACTTTCTACTAGGACTGGGCGATTATATGATCGTGATCGATGATCGTGATAAATTTCAGTTCGATCACGGTGATCAGCTGAGAGCATATTTACTCAATCAAACATTAACGAAATGTGCATCACAACAGCCAATCAGAGTCAAGCTTTTCCTGCTCACTTCTGTAAGTTGCCAGAGAAGTAAACAGGAGAAGTAAACAGAATGACAGAACATGGAGCTAAACGTGGAGCTGAGGGCAGCAAGATAGTTGTCAGCTGTGACTTTGAGTTATTCTCCGAAGATGTTATTTTTGAGAAGTTATTCAACGTCGGTTGTGTGGCGGTGGTTCTGGTATCTCCAAAGTGACGTTGAGTAATTATGCTGATGAGCAAGGTATGTCGGTGATCGGTGCCCTCAAAAACCGGCAACACAACAAATCTGTTTAATCATTTGAAGAAGTACCTCCCAAATGATAATGCGGAAAGCATGAAAATGTGAGCCTGCCGCTGCTGACGGCATGAGTAGCATTAGCAGTTTAGCAACAACTAGCGGTGCAGCCACCAGACCTAGGCAGCGATTAATCTTATCATTTACGTTTACATCATCTAATGTTTACATTTTAAGGTGTCTTCATTATCTCTGAGGGGGAGATTTGTTTATTTTGGGTCTTGCATACCTTCAAAAACGCTCAGGACTGTAAACTAATTCACTGTATTATCTAGTATTTATCTACATTTGTTGTACTGTTGAGTTAAAATGTTTTTTTATATTTTTCTAAGTGTTTCTTATTCAATTTGCCTGTTTATTTACTTTGTATGTTAATTAACTGTTGAACTAATCTCTAGTTTCTTTAATTTTTAGTAAAGATGCTTTAAAACAGACAGTTTTTAAAAAAATCGTGATAATAATCGAGATCGGACGATATGATGAAATATATCGTGAACATTTTTTTTTTTTGCCAAATCGCCCAGCCCTACTTTCTACCTTGATATCAGCTAGCAGAGGCATCAGACAGATTTATATCCAGTTCACCTTTGTTCAGTTACTTACAGGCAAGATTATCTTGGCTGATCCGGATCGGGTCTGTCCTATAGTGGCCTATTGTTTGGCAATGTGAACAAAAGCATAAACAGCAGTTCTCACCAGAAGAGGTGTCCACAAAGGCTGATCACCGCATCCTTGGCGGTGTCCAGACAGATGTTACACTCGAAAGTGCTGTCCTGGTTTCCACTGTCAGCCGCATTTGAGTTGCTAGACCCAGGATTTGGGTTTTCAGTGGCCGCAGTGGAGCCAGAGGCTGGAGGGGGAGCTGCGGTGGCCATTTAGAGATAGATCCAGTCGACAACAGGGTTCAGGTTGGGTGACTCCACTGGCACCCAGCGCTTTAAAATAAGCTCATAGGTACGCCCAAAGGGTGGGGGTCGGTAGCTGGCGAGGCAAAGAGACGAGGGACTGAGTTTGGAGCAAACAAGTTACAAAAATGAGATCAGTCGGATATGCTAGTTAGCTGCCATGTACGGATCAGCTAATGTTGGTTAGCAACAGCGAGTGGAGAAAATGACAGTCTTACTGTCTCAGGTATTAACTCAGTTTGTAAAATAATAACACAAAGGCGTATCCTAAGCTGTGGTTTAGGCAATAATTCTGTTTAAGCTTCACCAAAAGTTCGTGAGAGAAGTTTAAGAGACATTCTTACTTCTAGTTGCATCACACATCCGCTGCAGGACGAGCTAACCGGTAGTAGATCCTGGAGAGGAGGAGGGGGCGTGGTCAACAGCTGACTCGGAGTGTTTTGCCCTCAGCGTGGCCTTTCAGGAGCCGACGAGAAGAGCTCCATGAGCAGGCGTCAGTTAGCCTGGCCGGGCCATCCTGTTGCGTGAATCACTCGATGACACCGTAACACCGTGTTAGACACCCCGTCGAGAGATGTTGCCGACTGCTTGCTTCTCTAGTTATACCAACTCTAGTAACGACTGCAGATAGCAATACAGAACCATGCTCTCAACCACAAAGCCACTCTATAGCCACAAATAATGCTCAGAACAGCACCTAACTTCATCAACAGTACATACAGGGTCCTAACCATAGTAAACACAACTCACCGTCTCTCTTCCAGCAGCCGCTTGTTTATGGGGAGACCTATGGACAAGTCCATCGACTGCTGCGGGGTGATGCAGCTCAAGGAAGAATATTTATGATCATTTCTTTATCATTTCCTTGAAGTAATAATCATCATATTGATAATTTTGCACTGCAGACGCGGTAGTTCTTCTGCCTTAGCATCTCGGTCTGATTGCATTTCCATGAGGAAATGATCATAAGTGTTCTTCCTTGAGCTGCGTCATCCCCCAGCAGTCCGTAATGTACTGGCCTGAAACGGCTGCTGGAAGAGAGTAGGTGAGTTGTGTTTAGTCTCTTTGCTAAAGAAATCAGGCAAAGCTAAAAAGATGCTTGATGGCTAGTACTATGGCTGGGACCCTATATGTACTGTTAATGAAGTAAGGTGCTGTTCTGAGCATTATTTGTGGCTATAGAGTGGCGTTTTGGTTGAGCGCATGGTTCTGTATTGCTATCTGCAGTCGTTACTCAAGTTGGTATAACTAGAGAAGCAAGTGGTCAGCAACATTAAACTCTCGACGCGGTGTCCAACTCCGTGTTAGGGTGTGTTTGACCCTAACTTAATTTTACGTTAGAATATCCCTTTAAAAGATCTTAGAAGTATACATTTGAGAGATAGCTCCACAGCATGTATTTATTTTTGTTTTATTTTTTATCTAATAAAGTGATGTATACAACAAAAGGGGAAAATTAGTTTGTTGCAACATCACATGGACAGGGTAAGTAATTACAATAAAATAGAGAATAGTGATTAAAAATACAGAATCGGAATCAGAATCAGCTTTATTGGCCAAGTATGTGAACACATACAAGAAATTTGACTCCAGTTAACTTTGCCCTCTATGTTCAAACATTAAACAACATGAAATGTTACAAAAATTGTTACAAAAATTATATATATAAGCTCAAACTAGAAATTTAACTTATAGATATGTAGAATACAATAAAAATAGCAGGTATATACAACTAGTATGCAAACCAGGAAAGAGACAGGAAAAAGTTCCGTAAAGGACTGATTAGAGCATTATGTCAAGTGACAAGTTAAGTGAAAGTTACTGGAAAAGTAAAAGACCTTTATGCACTCACTTGCCACTACTTTCTATCTTACATTTAGTGCTCGACAGATTTAATAGCATCCCATGGCTTCTTCACAGCTGCTTTGGGCTGAAAACATGTAGGCAAACTAAACCCCTAAACCAAAAATGGCTCAGTAAATCGAGGAGTTGTTTGTGACCTTGAAATACTCTTCTCATGTTGTATTTTTCTCTAATGTTAAAATAGAAACTGAACAAACAGGTTCAATTTTTTTAAATACGTATAAAGCAGAAATGAATGTGTGAAAATACAACTTGTCTTGAGAACTTGACAAAAAGTGAAAGGAAGTTTGAAACTGGGAAGTTTGCAGAAGGAAGTTTACAACACTTATTTATGACATTTCCTATAAAACAGTCAAACAAGAACTTAACTTATTAGTATAAAATTGCCCAAAATACCAAATGAATATACTGACACAAGACACTCAAGAGCTGTCCCATAGTTCATACTGTACATAAATGTTTTTTCATCCTGATGAACCAACCATTAATATGTCAAGCAACCCCTTTTTACCTATAAAGCAGGTCTAGAATATGTATTAAGAGAGACCCAACATCAATCTACCATGAGTGAGCAACATTTTCAAACAGTGTCAGGGACAGCAGAACCCTTGGACAAAACCAGACCCACGGTGTCCAGCCACCTGCTTTAAATGTCACATGGATATACTGAATGTTTTAAGAAGCCTGCTGATGTCAAACATGGGGACGCAGGATTTTGTCACTATGACTCAGCCACCCAAATACTGTATTGTAAGGATCTCAGAATCATTTATGTCAAAGGTTTGACTAGATTGTTGATGACTTCCATTGACCTGCATTTTGAGTGATTGAAACCACCTGTGCGGAAGTCCTCTGCCATCGCCTCCTCTATTCTTGAGGTTAAAGAGCGCTTTAGCGTTCGTTTGAAGTCATTTCCAATGAACACATAGAGGATTGGGGATATGAAACTGTTTGCTGCGGCCATTGTGGCCCCAACCTGCAGCCCAGTCTGTAGCACCTCCACGCTGTGGTTATCCAGGTCCAGCTCTATAAGAACAAAACTATGATAGGGAACCCAGCAGAAGAAGAATGACAAGATGAGGGCTGCCATGACTTTGTAAGGCTTTGTGGACTTCATGGTCAAACGTCTCAGCTTAAAGCCAAGCACAGAGCTGCAGAATACAATCATCAGAAAAGGGATCAGGAACCCGCAGATGAACCGGGTCAGTACCACTGCTCTGTGCATGGAGTGGTCCATGTAGCTGGTGTAGCATTGAGTGACTGAACCATGGACTGTGATCTGCCTGAAGATCAGCGACGGCAGTGTCAGGAGCGCAGAAAGGAGCCACATGAGAAGAACGACCCCACACGCTTTTGGCACCGTCCGATGGTTATGTGACCACACGGGGAAGGAGATCATTAAACAGCGGTCCATGCTGATCAGGACCAAGAGGAACACACTGCTGTACATGTTGAGAAACAGGGCGGAGGACGTAAGCTTGCACAACACCAGCCCAAAAGGCCAGTGAGAGGTGATCATGTAGACAACTTGCAGGGGCAAAAAGGCACAGAACAAAAAGTCTGAAATGGCCAAACTGGTGTACCAAGTGGTGATAACAGTTCTTTTCATTTTACATCCACAGATCCAGATCACCAAGGAATTTCCTCCAAGGCCCACGAGTGATATGATTATATTGACTGACACCAGAATGTGAGTCAAAATCTGAGACTGTGAACTGTTGAAATTCGTAAATCCAGATGAGTTTGAGCTGTTCTCAGTCTCATTGCCTGCAGAGTAATCATCGTATTCAAAATAATCCAATTCCATCTTGGTGACGTTACCTGAAATATGAACAGTCATATTTACAAACATCTGCGACTACTGGATAGTTTACAGTTTCAACAGGATAAGATACTTTGGTGAATTTCTTTAATAAAACGTCCTTACCTTAAGTCCTCCCGATGTTGAGCAAATCTCTGTAAAGTGCCTTTTGCCCTGACTTCTTTCAGCTAGATGCAACTTCTCACTTCTTGTTTCCTGGGCAGAGCTGCTGATGACGGAAACACCGAATATCAGAACTAGTCCGTCACGGAAGAAATGAGTGACCGTCTCCTTTCACTTTCCTAAAACATACTTTGTGTTTGTGAATAAATTTTTAAGGTAGTCAGAAGCTCAAAAAAGTGCCATCTACTTTCGAGGTATTTGTTTGCCAGATCCCTTTAGATAACTGTGTGAGATTTTGCAACAGCTGACAAATAAACTGTCGCAACCTCAAAGGAGATCCCCCTGATGCATCCACATTAACCACCAAACCACATTTCTCAACCCAGGGTGTAACTTAAGGCCATTTAACAGAATTGCAGGGTTTTCATTAAACTCAGGGGTGTTTTTTGTAGGCAATGTTTGTTGAAAGTCATCTGGGATCTTTGATTCTCATTGAATATCCTTTTTGAGAAACTTCACCGAGAGTCTTGATAGAGATGACAGGCAAGAAATTGCAGTAAGAGGGACATTAAATCTGCATGTTTAGATATTCAGTGTGATTTTTTAGTATTTTAGAAACGTGAATGTATAGACAAACTTGTTTTTTTTAATGTGTACTATTACTTTTGCATTATTTCAGCTCTGTTCAGCTCTAATGTAAAAATGTTTTTTTTTATTAACAGTGGGTGGTGACATATTTCACACTAAAAGCCTCAGTTCAGCCCACTGTCTGCATAGGTGACATAAAACATGTTCACACCAGTCTGATTCTGCTAATTCATGAAACACTCCAGTCCCTTTGTGCTGCACGTGACGCACGTGGACAATGTTGTGAATGTATAGACAAACTTGTTTTTTTTTATGTGTATTATTGCTTCTGCATTATTTCAGCTCTTATCTCAATGTGCGACACAACGTGTGTTTAGACAAGCTATAGTGCAATTCGATAATGTGAGAATCACCTACCCATTAGTGTAAGGTGTATTATTTCTGTTTACTATTATCTCCATTATCACTCCATTGTTTTAATACTGTTGTTTTGTATATTGGTTTCTGCCATTTGCATTTTTATCCTTTACCTGGCCACCCTTGGCTCTTACTGGAGCTGTCCCTATGATTAAGTTACCCCCAGTTATCTTCTTTTAAATGACAAGTGTACCATGTTTTTACAGTGACATTTTATCCCTATCCTAAACTATTACACAGTGACACTTTTGATTTTTTAGTCATTCTAATGTAATTTTTTTTTTTTTATTAACAGTGGGTGGTGACATATTTCACACTAAAAGCCTCAGTTCAGCCCACTGTCTGCGTAGGTGACATAAAACATGTTCACACCAGTCTGATTCTGCTAATTCATGAAATACCCCAGTCTCTTTGTGCTGCATGTGACGCACGTGGACAATGTTGTGGGTGCAGTTCCCCAAAAAATCATATGATGCTGTTGTGTAATAGAAAGAAGCTGAGTATGATATTTTTACAAAATTAGCACATCGGATACCATTGGATAAACGAAGCATCCATACTAAAACAAACAAGCTGCTAAAAGGATACAAATGTGAAAGTACAATGATCAAACATTAAACTGTAGGTAAGAAACAGTTAAGCTTTTGATTCAGTGTAACAGCTCTGAATAATTTTATGAAATAACAAGAAAAAACAAATCAATAGTTGTCTAAGTTGTTATGACAAAACTCACAACAGATATGATATTGTTAATTCTGCTGACCATGTTTGCACATTACTTAAAGACTAAAAATTCAGTTAATCTTCTCCCAAGAAAGTAACTGTTTTTGTCAAACAGATTCATGTTTAGTTTAAAATGAATCACGTAAAAAAAGTATGTAAAGATAACTTAATGTTTTACCAAAGAGATAAGAACTTTTGCATCTTAATGTTTAGTTTAAGAAAACACTAGTAGTTGAACTTCACCCGCTGATTCTTACTTTTATTACACAGTGACACTGCTAAGAATGCACTACATTTAGAAGAGAAATGTCATGAAAGCTTAGTAAAATATTAGTAATAGTTTCAAAAAGAGTCAGTGGTTTTAAAGTGACAATCAACACCTGCTGTCTGATATATTTTGGAGAAAAAAATTGGAAGTGAATCAAAAGAAAGTATTTTTGTAACTATCTACAGTACAGTTAAACTTTGAGCAGTTATTAAGTTGTGAATGTTTCATGACATTTTTAGTAGTTAAGAAAACATGTAGTCAGCTAACAAGCTGGACACTGAAAATGTAGATATCGATCCAGGTTGGCCCTTCTGACCAGTGTTCAGTTTGTGGTTGTGGTTATTGACATTTACACCATACATTTGCTGATATGGAGCTTAAAGGTTTAGATCTCCCCCTAGTGACTGGTTAAGGTCATATAATAAAAGTAACATGAATTTTATATATATGTCAAAGTACTTTGTAAACTTCTGTTTTTAAAAGTGCTATACAAATAAAGTTATTATTATTATTATTATTATTATTATTAACAACTGTTTTGAATGTATGTTCAAAATGGATCTAATAAATAAATAAATTAATTGATACTTATACTAATACTACTACTACTACTACTATTTCTACTTCTACTACTACATTTAATAAAAATAATAATAATAATAATAATTATTATTATTATTAAAATTTTAGCTATGAGCGCCTTTCTCAACACTCAGTGTCACTTTACAGATTAAGGGGCTATAATAAAATAACTATTGTGAAGAGATGTTTGCTGCATTTGTATAGTTTATCGCTACGCTTGTCGCTGTGTTAAAGGCGCATGCGCAGATGTGATTATTTCAGCCCCTCCCTTCACCAGTGACGTATGTGTCTGTATTTTGGAGCACAAGCAGCTCTCCTCTTTCAAACTGCGCCATTCAGCCTCCGACTGTAAACATGGCGGGTACCGTGGCGAAGAAGTGTCTCAGTCCTCTGGGTTTCCTCACCAGGACGCTCTCTGCTCCCGAGTTCATCACTCAGTGCTGCTACCACAAGAAGGTAAAGCTGTTGTTTTACTTTGGCTGTAAGATGGAGGCTATCTGCTGTTTGGCTAATGTTTACATTCATTACTACGTTTAAGGGGTCATGGTTATAATAAGAGCATCACTGTCATGTAACAGTGGTTTTATGTGTTGGTTAACCACAGAATCATCTGTGTGAGACTGATGTGTGTGGCCTGAGTATTTCTAACTAAGTGACATTGAATAATCTGAATTAAAAGTTATATAATTGATTCTGGGCAAATTGAAGCCAAAATAGCCGTGATAATCTGCCCTACAGTAAGCCACTGTAACAGCTTTAATTCCTGAATCACATCCGAGTTAAACACTTTAAGGGGTTTCAGTGCTGTTCAGGACGACAAAAAGAGCCAGAAACCTGGTCTGTAATACCTGGTAAATTAGTGTACCTCCTCTTTGAGAGAGCAGCATCCCTCAGACTTTAACAATGATAATAATAATAATAACTTTATTTTATTTTTATAGCACTTTTAAAAACAGAATTTTACAAAGTGCTTTGACATATAGTCATAAAGCACATGGAAAAAGCCAGATAAAAACAAAAAGCTCATTACAGCCACACAAACACTCACCTTGACTTACAGTATATGATGCAACATGAACAAGATTGTGTGAAAGTCAGTTAAAGACATCCTCAGTTTATGTTTATTCTTTTGCAAGTTTACAGAGATGCTGTCAGGAGTTTGAATTTTACATTTTAGTTGAATGTACCTTAATTTCATGGTGTTTTTTTTTTTTAGCTGTGACGCACAACAACCTTGGCCTATCACTTCCTATTTGCCCAAACAGAACAGAAACTGTTACCAAACATTTGTAATCTTGACTGCTCTGAAATGACATTTTTACAAAGAACCTACCAAACTAAAAAAAGATTCTTATTTCAATTTGGGTCCAAATCCTTCAACATAGTTTGAAAGCCAAAAAAAGTCAGCAGAAGAAATAATACAGTCATTAGAAATCATATTAATAGACTCGATTTTTTAGGTCCCATGTTGCCCTTTTTGAGTGTCCACGCATATACATGTTGCACTCATATTATGTGGTCAGAGTGACTCAGCAGAAGAGAGGGGGAGGGGGGGCAGGATGCAGGCCTCAGTCAGTACCATGACTGACAATGAAATCCACTGGTAATCTGTTTATTTCGATGACGTTTACGTAAGATCCCAAACTTGTCGTTGTATAATCGTGATACCCTTAGTTTGAGACATTTTTGTCTTGTTGTCACAGGATACAAAAATATTCTGAGGATGTAACTATTGTTTTACTTCATCCAATTTATTCCAATGTTGTGGAACACTGTCAACAAAAACCCACTATGACATGTTGTGTTTGCTTCCTAACACAATGCCTCCTTTCTTGAAGGTGGTGGACCATTATGAGAACCCAAGAAATGTGGGCTCATTGGACAAAAACTCCAAAAATGTCGGGACTGGTTTGGTTGGTGCTCCGGCTTGTGGAGACGTAATGAAGCTGCAGGTCTGTTAGTCACTAAGTACAGTATTACACCCTGAAGACCCAATTGAGTGAAGATCCACTCTCCCTATGAGATGACATTATGCTCTTGTTTTGTTAGGTTGATTGAGTTTTTCGTTATTTAGTTTCTCCTGTTTTTTTTCCTTTTTGATTTTTTTAAAGTATTGAATTGCAGAAACACAATTGGACACATGTATCATTGTGGTCATAGTCGTGTGAAATTATGTAAGAATCTTCTCTCGCTGTGGCTGTAAAATAATCCTTTAACACTTAATTTGACAGATTGAGGTCGATGAGCAGGGAAAGATCGTGGATGCCAGGTTCAAAACTTTTGGCTGCGGTTCTGCGATCGCTTCCAGCTCTTTGGCTACAGAGTGGGTGAAAGGCAAATCTGTGAGTAAAAAAAACTTCACACATGATGATTACTTTTTTCCTGTGTTGTGAGTGTTTCTTAGCTCTTGCCTTGTAGTGACTGGAGATATTTCTCTTTGCAGGTGGATGAAGCTTTGACGATCAGGAACACTGACATTGCCAAAGAGCTCAGTCTTCCACCAGTCAAACTTCACTGCTCCAGTAAGTTTTAATAACAGGCTGTTTCATTTTTTATGTATTTTCTAACCTTCAGCATTGTATTTACCCTCAACTTTGTCTCCTCAGTGCTTGCTGAGGATGCCATCAAGGCTGCCCTGGCTGACTATCGCCTCAAGAACCAGGATGACCAGCAGGAGGCAGCCAGAGCCAGCAATTAAACAGCGCACCCACACACTGAGCCGGTCGTCACTGTTTCCTTCCTGCTGCCGAGAAGACAAGTAGCAGTAGTGCAGCAGCACCACTTCAGTTTCCTGCAGTATACATGAGACAAACCAATATAACTGAAGGCACCAACGTCAACCCACTCTAGCAGTGTCACACCAGGCTTCATGTGTTAGTGTGTGGTCCTCTAACCTAAACTGTTACTGTCAGCCCGTCACATAAACGCACAATATAAACACTGTTTGGATTGTTGGTACAAAAATGAGCCTTATTTTTGAGATTGTGTAATCCTTTGAGATAAATGATTGGGGGAGGAGTATTGATGGTGTGAAGGAGTTAATGCTCATTTCAACAGCATTCCCACTGTGTCCTCCCACTTTATCTGCACCCCTTGCACTGATAATTTGATATGCAACTGAGTTAAGTGGCTTGAAAAGATATAAGGGTCCATGTTTTATGTGTAATTTGTAAGTTTTTAGTAATGCGCCCTTTGCTGTCTGCAATAAAAGTATACTGAAGTATATTTTGTTTTGGGTCCATGTTTTTTTTTTTTTAGAGCAGTCTGAAAATTGGACTGCTGCAACAACACACCCTCTTGTAGGATATGACCTCTGAAAGTCTTTTTTTCTATTAATTTTTGTAGTATACCATACTAAGTTAACTGAAACCATGTGTGTATGTAGGGGTGATATTTGAAGAACACAAATCACATCACACCATAAACAGGAATATGATTTATAACTAAAGCTTATTACATAACTTAATACATGCTCCTACTACAGCATGAATAGTATATAAAGTTATAGCTTGGCAACAGTCGGCTGAATGTGTCCACTTATACTCTATACAAACATAATATGATGTAAATCACTTTTATACTTGAATCAAAGCAGCTTTGGTAGACTCCTAGTCTGGTGTCACCAGACTCATCAGCGAGTCCTTTGGAGACACATTTTGATTGAGCTTTCATTCATTAAATCAGACACTCAGGTGAGAGTATTCAGAGCAGCTAGAAAGCAGTTTTCTCTCCTGCAATGAGCTGAAGTGTGGCAGAGTCATTGTGAATATGCAGAGATGGAGGCCGCAGGCTTGTACCAGTCAGAGGCTCCTTTGAATCGTCATCTTGCTGCTCTGGGGGCTTCAGCTCTGTGCATCCTGCTGCTGCTTTTTCACTCTCTGGAAGCTCACATGGCTCTGTTTCCTCAGGGAGACTTGAAAGCTGTTGGTCCAGGATACTGCCCTCTTGTTTGGAGCAGGCTTCAGGACTTTGGTCTGCTTCTTTCTGGCTGGGGTCGCCTCCATCTGCAGCAGCTACAGCAGCAGCAGCAGATTTATTTGGTGTGCGCAGGCTCTTTGCAGCCCTCATGATGTCTGCCTGGAGCTGCTTATGTGAGTCCACAATCTGAACTTCCTGCTCAGGTGCAGCTTTTTCTGGCACTTCATTAAAGAGTTTGGCCCCACCGGTTTTGTCCCTGTGGTCCACATACATTTTTGAAGGGAAAGAGGAAGGATAGTAAGCATTTACTTTGCGCCTACGGCTCATGAAAATGGCTCCGCAGACAATGAGGAAGAAGAGAAGGATGAAAGAGCTTGCGACAAGGATGAGGAGCATATTCTCCTCCATAAAGTCCTTAACCTGACTCAGAAACTCAGTTTCCACATGTGTGGGGCTGGCAGGGGTGGTTTGGTATTCTGATGTACTGAATACCAAATATGTCAGAGGAGAAGTGGAGTTTGTGAGCTCTTCCTCATCTGTACTTCCCTCCAAGAGACTGAAGGATGGTAGAGGTGTGGCCAAGCCGCTGCCGAGGCAAAACACCAAACACAGACTGGTCAGATGAGAGGCCATGGGGAGCATCGTTCCCCTCACGATCTGTAAATAACAGTGAAGTCAGACATTAGTGCCATGTGCGCAAAACATTTGCGTTGTCCAGATGGTTATTATACTTGTAAAGCTCCTCTGAAAGTTTCAAGATTTCAAGAAGACTCTGGAACTGGATGAAGAATATTCTCCCTCTGAAGATGGTAGATGTCTATGAAAAGCTTTAGCTTTTCTTGGATTTGATATAAAACAAAATTATTACTGTTTTTATAATCAGCAACAGCTGTATTAAAGGAATAGTTCTTTTTTTTTTTAAGCAGGACTGAGCAAGGGAGATGTCAGTAAAGTGCCCTCATGAGGGACCGGTCAGCCGTGCAAGTGAAATCTGTATGTAGATATTTTTCTGAGCTTTACCTCACTATCAGAGAGTCACTTTGTTTTAGTATTACTTTCAATGCAACTAATACAAATTCCTTCTCACTACTTTAAATAAACTGAACTATCCCTTTAAATTATGAGGCAATGTGCTTTTCAAAATTTCATGTTTTCCATTGAATTGGACAGAGGACTGCTGTTTTTGGACTCCTAGTACAACAGAAGGTTTTATATCTTACATGTTAAGCTGCTGCTGTGGGAGTAGGTGTACACACTGCAGAGTCAGCTTTTTAACCCGCCATTTTACACCGAAAAGTTGACAGGATGTTTGGTCAAAAACATCCTTTCACATGTTTACAAGAGATATTGCTATGTCCACAGGAGGGTGCCAAAATCAGCACAAACAGATGCCCTCACAGGAGCTTTAAATCCATGAAAGCACCTCAATCCTATGAGAAGGCCTATAAAGACAGATATTACAGGCAATGTATAGAAATTAATTTGGCAGAATCTGGTGTGCTGACCTCTTAAACTTTTGCGATTTCTGTTTATCTTTCTGTTTCAGCTCCTGGCAAAATCTGTGTGTAAGCTGGCAGCAGTTTACATACTCTTATCCTCATTCTTCTTCATCTGTGTGCAAGCTGGGCAACATGAAACTGCTCTCATCTGGAAAAAGAGGGGGAGTGGGAGCTGTTTTTTTTTTTTTTTTCAAAATTAATCACACACTAACCCTAGACCAAATATACACCGCCACACATGCCCGTACAATCAGACACATAAACATACCCACATAAGGCCGCCATATGCACACAGACAGAGACATACACACATGGAAGGAATCTCAAGTCAGCAGATTTTAAAAAATGATCAAAACATCAAAAAACAACATGACCCAGATTCTGTCTTCAAAGCTGAAGCTAAAGTGTCTTTTACTTTGATAATCATGCTCCTTATTTCCTGTGGCTGGATGCTGCCCTGAAGGCATCATGATGCTGTAACTTCACTTACATGCAAGTACAAAACAATTTAAAGAAACTCTCAATTCCAGTTTTATGTTTATTTTGCAGGAAAACAAAGTGAAAATGAGAAATGGACTCACCGTCCACAGTTGCAGAAGAAGTGGCTCCACTGGAGTCGCCTCAGATCGAGGATGGCTGTAACCAACGTGGAAAAAGTGAACTGAGAGAGTGAGACGGAGCACAGCAAAGAGTGGCAAAAGCTGGCCAAGCCACGCCACTTCTGCAGTTTCAGATTTCAGGCTGCAGATCTGTCTGGGCAGCCACAAAAAAGATGTCATTAACCAGAACGACAAATCCCTCCTTCTGCCTCTCCTCTGTTCTCCTCCCCCCTTTAGTTTCCCCCAAGAGTGTCTGCGCTCTCTGGCCTGCACACAGATTGTTCTTGTTAGGTAGGAGTTTATAATGTGCAGTGGGGGCAGGGACCTCTCCTTCAGTCTCCTGTGCAGCTGACTGGACGAGTGCAGAACGACTTACTCTCAAAAAGATGATGAATCAACTCTCACACATCGGCTGCTCTTAATTTCTTCATCTTTGAGCAGGAGTCTTAGGATTGACATCCCAGCTCTAACCAAACTCTAACCTCAGCCTCTGATGACTAACACAGACCTGCTGCACTTTTAAGAGTCTGAGAGCAGCTTGTAAGAGTGACCCACTAATGCAGGAAGAGGTTAATGTTTCCTGTGTGGCCAAAACACCCGAAACACCCGGGGGGGATTTCTGGCCTTGCTAAGAAACAAAGTGTTTTTTTTGTTCTCTCAAGACAATCCAATTCACATGGCAAATGTGTATGTGACCACTTTAGGGAAAGAGTGTGACCAAGTATGAATGCATTTTTGGCAAGTCAGCGGCGTGATCAATCAAGGCGAGTCGAGCTTTATATGGTCTTCTGCGGCGGGATGAGACCAGGTCCTGCATCCTCCAGGTTTACATTGGTGTCAGCTCTGTTGATAGTCACAAGTGTCTGTTTCAGCTGCTCAGTGTGAAAAAAAGGAGAAGAAGAAGAAGAAGAAGAAGAAAAACATGGCTTCATAAGCATTCAGGGCTCTGTTTTCTTTGCACAGGAAGGGAAGTGAGTTTGAAATCCAGTCCATGAGTGGAAGAAAAGCCCTCTATAAAGCCTTTCATAAATAAGGGAAGTGTTGTAGTCCACAGAGCTCTCAGTATTATTTTGACTGTTTACCACTGAGAGACATTTAGGGAACAAAAGTGCTTTGCTTTATGAAGCTTTTTATTCTATGTTGAGTTTTTAACAAAAAAATAAATCTGAATATTATGAAACTTGAATATATTTTTTAAATTCAAGCTAAAAAGCATAGAGAAACATCAATATTATGTAAGAACAAGTTTGATTATTTCTAAAAAAATATGTTTAATGGTATCGATTTGGTTGCCTTGTGTTCGACAGTTGCCCACTCTCTTCTCCGTACATTCCCTGCCCCCGTGTTAGCAGATGCATGCTAAAGATCTGCAACAGCCCAAAAAATAAAAGAAGAAGCAAGCAGCAGGTTCAGAAAGGACGCAGATTCAGACATACACATACACACAAGGGCCTATGTCCACTAACAGCATTTTTTTTTTTTTGCATTGACAGCATCTGTTTTCTTTGCCCAGAATTCTGAGTGCAAAAACAGGTTTCAGCTTTATCTGTTTTCTTGTGTGCTGTGATGGATTGCACAGTTAAAAATATTTAATACCCGTGCACGTTATCACCCATTAATCAAAACTCAGAAAGGGCAGGACTTCTAATATCAACTTATTCTCCTTTTCAGCTGAAGTACGTGTGGCGGAAAAACTTACAGCACTAATTTTTTCCAGGTTGTCTTTTTTATAAATTGTTTTTATGTTTTCTATGTAAGCTTGATTACGGTTCATTTTAAGACACATTTTGTGGTCCCCACTGTGTGTTGGGACAACTTTTGTAGCTTAGCAACAAGAAGCACCAGTAAGATGCATTTGAGAAAGACGTCTTGGTGTTGGTAGTGCAAGAAACGCAATTAGGGGACATAAGCCCTCTAGCTGTTTGTGTCTCTAAAGGATTCTTGGTCTCTTTTCAGATGAGTCATCCAGCAACAAATGCTAAACTAGTATAAAATACTCTTCAGGAGATCATCAGGAGATAACTGAAAGATAAATAAGCTGATGTCAGAAGTTACATTTTATCCCAAGGGTATATTGAGTAAATTAAATGCATAGATGTATGTACACTTTGGGTTTCCATGGTTTTTAAAACCAAACAAACAAACTAAACCAGGTAGGAAATTTATCCCTGCTGTTCAACACACAACCACGAAGTTCCTTCCGTACAAAGCTGTGAGGGTGTGAGCAGTAACAGGCCTATAAGTCAAAATGTAAGAAGCTTTTAAATAAGAAATTATAATTCAATACAATCAAAAAACAGAAACTTTATCTCTACATAGAAATCCATTCACATCAAGTTTACCATCGTTAAAACGACAGCATTTACATGAACAAAGCTGCTGTGCTACCAGAGGAGCTCTTGTAAACTGAGCAGTGTCTTTGAAGAGCAATAACCCCTCTGTCAAAACAAGTCTTCCTGTCACTGAGTAAAATACCGTCAGGTCTAGCTCAGGATGTTTAAAGAAAACAATCTTTGATCGCTGGATCATCCTGTGTCCCTCCAGGGAGTCAAATTTATGCAGAAAAAAAAAAAGAAAAGAAAAAGTAGTCTTTGCTGTCGCCTGAAACACACATCTGATAAAGTCATCTATACACTGTCTTCTTTGTGTGTGTTTGTGGTCTCTCTGCCGCTTCCTTTGCAAAAATGGTGCGTCGCACCAATGCCAAACCCCCAACAAATACAGGAAGAGAGAGTTTATTAAAGAAGCAACTATCTATGTAACAGTAAATTCAAACTTTCATCTAATAATAACAATCATTTTCTGGAAGAAAGCTGCTGAGAGTGCGATTATCTTCTCCTTCATCATCGCTGTCTCCCACTGTGTGCATCACCAGCACCCCTTTGCTCACCGGGCTGCGCTGCCTGGTGTAGGTATAGTTCCTTTCAGGCAGCAGGGAGGAGATGCACATCATCTCCGTGGACTGGTGACGTCTCCTCAACTTGTACTTCCTTGATGACAGCTTGGTGCAGAGGATGATGGTGGTGACTATGAAGATGGTGGCCAACCCTGCTAGGGAGGCGATGGCGATGAGGCACTTCTTCACCACACCAACGCTGGAGCAGGGCTGGGTAGTAGTGCTGGATGGGTTCTTTGAGGGTGTTGTTGATTCAGCCGGGTTTGGTGATGTATTGGATCCACGAGGGATTACGATTACTCCTGGAGAGGTGGAGTTTGCAGTGGTGTTGGTGGAGAGAGTGGTGGTTTGAGGTTGAGTAGGAGTTTTGGTGAACTCTGTGGTGGAGATGTTGGTTCTCGTGGTAGAAACAGGTGGAGACATGGTAGGAGGCCCAGTGGATGTTTTATTGGGCTCTAAGGTGGAGATGTGGGTTCTTGTTGTAGAAGCAGGTGTGGAAATGGTTGGAGGCCCAGTGGATGTTTTATTGGGCTCTAAGGTGGGAATGTAAGATCTTGTTGTTGGACCAGCCAGGGAGGTGGAGTGTGCAGTGGTGTTGGTGGAGAGGTCGGTGGTTTGAGGTCGAGTAGGAGTTTTGGTGAACTCTGTGGTGGAGATGTTGGTCCTCGTGGTAGAATCAGGTGGAGGCATGGTTGGAGACCCAGTGGAAGTTTTATTGGGCTCTGTGGTGAAGATGTGAGTCCTTGTTGTAGAAGCAGTCGGGGATGTGGTTGGAGGTTCGGTTCCATTGGCGGATTTCTCTTTTACAGTGGAGATAAACATGGGTGCTCCACTGGAGGTGGTGTTATCTGTTGGTGTAGCTGCAGTGGAAGCTTGAGGACTGCTCTGGTTGTGGGTGGAGACTGAAGCTTTGGTAGAAAGGTTATTAGAGTTGGTGGGAGCAACTGTGGATGACTCTTTATGTGTCTTGGTTGATGCAGGCCCGGTTGGAGAAACAGTTGTGGCTGCGGATGTTTCAGAAGCTGCTGAAGGAGCAGCCATGTTGGATGGAGCAGTGGACGACTGCGGACGTAGTTGGTCGCTTGTTGTTTTTCCTGTCTCTGGGATTGTGGTGTTGTTTGGAGGCTTTGCTGCAGCAGAAGTGTGAAGCAAGCCTCCACCTGAGCTGCTTTTTGTTGTCGCTGCTGCTGCTGTTGTCTTCTCCGCCATGACTACATCAGAAGTTCTGTGAGTGACGGCTACCTCATCTGTCACCTTCGCTGTTGCAACATCACCTTCTGCTGGTTTGCTGGTTGGATGAATCTGTGTGCCATCATGGGCATTTGCACTGAGCAGCGGATGTGTTGTCGTGTGGTGCGGTTGAGCAGTTGTGTAATTGTTGATTCCTGGGGTTGGAGCACTTATGGACTCGGCGGTAAACACAACGAGTATTCCCAAAAGCGGGATTAAAGAAGTCTTCATACTGAGCTGCATCGTCACTGTTTAAGAGAGTCTGAAATGACAAAAATAAGATTAGAGCTATTAAAAAGTTGTAGTTTTTATTACTCTATTTCTTTCAAATGATTTCAAAGTTCACATTTGGGACAAGTGTAGCTTTATTTATTAAATAGATAAATAATGAAATCCAATGAACACAAGCAGAAAAACAAAAAGAGAAAGCAGATCTTGAATGCAAGATCTTTGTTTTCCTTTTTTTGTTGCGCAACTTAACTGATAATTTTACTTCCTAGCTTCTATTGTTTTCATCATTTTTGTATCATGTCTTCTTTTTTTCAGTCTCAAATACGAAATGTGTTTTCTTGTTCCTTTTTGCTCTCTACACCCTCTTCAAAACAGGACCCTGTTGGTGACCATTTTTACCACAATGAAGGGGATAATCAATCGCACATACTCACTTCCCTTCACCGTTTGATCAGTGACATTTTGAGATTCTCATTTCCACCTTTGTTGCCGTCGAACGGCAGTAGATGTTGTTTATTTCAGAGGAAAAGAGCTCTGTGATGCAACAGTCTACAATCTTTCACCACACTAGTTGCTACATTTTCACAGTTAAGCTACGTTTGAAAGTCAACCTGATACTTTCATGTCTATTCAAGCAGAATTAAAATGTATAATTCTGATAGAAGTAATTAAAGTCTGATGATCTGCTGCTTTTGAAAAGATTAAAAATGGTGTGAAAGCTGAAAATAGGAAAAAACATCTGAATTTGTGAGGAAAGGCACCATGGATAGTCAAAATTTGGGGCAGTGAGATTCAAATTTTACCTGACACCATTTCACCAAAGGAAACATCTGATCCACAAACCAGAGAAAATCACCTGAAGACGACTTTTACATCAAATATCAAAGCTAGCCATCTGACAATGTCTTACCTTGCTGCTTGAAACTCCGAGGGACAGATTCGAGGATGAAAGCTGCCGAACGTTGAGTTCAGCTCATTTCAGTCTCTCGTCCTCAGAGCGCTGGTCGGTGTAGGAAAAAGGAAATGATCAGACTCTATGTAAAAGCAGAGCTATATAACACTTTTAGAAAAGTCAGATAAAGACTGACACTTCCCCTAGATACTCATAGTTTTGTTTAGAATTAGAAAGGAAGTTAAATCAACGTTAGCTCCTTTTTTTCCAGCCTACAGCAGCAGAAATATCACCTTTAGAGATTTCTTATAAGGTAAGATAGGGCCTACCTCAAAGATGGAGATTAAAGGTGGAGTTCAGGTGCTGCAGGGCGTAATGTGTCCTGATATTCGGAGCAGTTTTCTTTTCTCTACATACAGAAGCAGGAAGTTGTGAGCTCTGTAAAGGGATGTTTCTCACACGTCAGCTTCTGACCAAACTTCTGCGTTAGACTCAAAGTGTCATGTGGGTTAAAAGCAGCGGCACAGGAGCCTGGAAACACTGATAGATAACACATCACTGTTACGCAACATCAGCTACTCCAGGATAGTCTATCAGGTGGAACAGATGCATGAATGCAAAATGCTGATAATCGTTGTTTTCATACGGAAAGTTTAAAGTTTAAATAATGGATCTGTGGATGATTTTTTCATCCAAAGCTTGAACTCCCACTTTTGTACTCTGTGTTTTTTTCTGAAGCTGAAATTATAACTGTCACTTCCTGTACCGGTGACTCACACTGAGACTGAGATGTGGTTTAGAAAACTGTGTAGGGGTTCAGAAGAAAAAGGAGATTCACAAAGATAAGCTTCAGTCTCTATTTAATTTTTTTGAACATTGACATGTTTTAAAAGAGAGGGGTAAAAAGTAATAAGAACAGACTGACTTTTATGCTGAAAAATTTTCATTTTTGCTCCAAGAAGGTTGTAAAAAATTCCTTCTAACAAGTGTTTTAAAATTTTTTCCATATCTGTTCTGTTGAATTTTGAAGCAATACCTAAAGTGAAGTCACAGGACATCTATCCTCAATACTCTCTGTAAGAAAAGTCACATTTTTACGAGCAAGTAAAGTCAAAAAGCGTTTGCCTTGTGAGGAGAACAAAGTCCGACCTTTGCTTCCAGACCTCAGAGTGAAAGCTGAGGCAGGTACACTTCACAAAAGAGTGCGCACTTCCTCCAACACTGTCTCTGCATGATGAACCATCAGAGAGGTGTAGTTTTTCCTGGGACACCATCTTGTCTTTGCAACTATTGTGTCTGCAGGAGTTATCCTATCAAAGTTGTCTAATTAGTGATGATAAGTATTGGCAATTTCTTCATTGATGCCAGCTGAGACTAGTTCAGGTAAAGTGTAGTTCAAGAGTTTAAGTTCCACTGTAAGTATGATAGGCCTGCGATTAGAGGGGAAATCTTCAACAAATAGAAATGTCACAATGTTGAATAAAAACTGGAAAAGACTGAAGGTGAAGAGACATTCAAAAGATTCAAAGGACACACACACACACACACGGCTAAGTGACGGATATGGCATTCCCCAGAATTAAGTGATAGGAATCAAATAAAAAGTCTGGGTTATATTGTGGGACAAATTTTTGACAAAATGAGGTACAACTATGAGATGAAAAGTTAGAATTATAGGTGAAATAATGTCAGAATTTTAAAGTAGAAAAATCAGATAAAAAGTTTAATATTTGAGATAAAGTAACATTTAAAGATAAAAAGTCAAGATTACAGTGAGGATTTTGTCTCCTCATCATGACTCTTATTACTTGGGACTCTTATTTTTGGCTATATAGGCTCTGAATTCATCTCTTTATCTCGTAACTATGACATTTAATGTCAGAACACACTTTTTATTTCATAATTGACTTACTTGTAATTTTAACTCCCTCATAACTTTAATTATATTGATTTACTACCTTAGAAGTCTGACTTTCATCTCATAATACTTGCTTTTGAACTCACTGCCTAACTCATCATCTCTTTATCTCAACTCTCCATCTCATTATCTCCACTCACGTCATCATCATGACTACAGTTCTCTCGAGTTTTACTCAACATTTGTGGTTTTCTCTTCTTCGTCCAGGCTAAAGTTTCTGCTTATGTTTTTCACAGTGGTTATGAGCTCCCACACCCAAAGTGAGGTGAACATTTGACCTCATGAAGCTGTTGTAGCACCACCATCTGGTGAGAGGGAAATTGACAGTGATTGAGGAAGTTTTTAAAGCTTCGGTGAGGGTTGGTTGTAGCATTCAGCTACAGGTGAAACCATCAGTTTGTTGAAAGAAAGATACTAAGAGAATTTTTTTTTGTATGTATGTGTTCCTCGTGGTTGAAAACAGTTTAGATCATGTTAAGGATGATTCGTTTTGTCTCTTTATCAAGGTAACAAAAGAAAACGAGAGGATTTCCTGTGTAAAATCTTTATTATGTGCACAGAACTGTTTGTCAGGGGTTCAGTGAGTCACAAGCTGGGTGAGTGGTCCCTTCCCAACACTGAATCTGCACTGTGGAGAGGGCGACTGCAGTTTGACCCTTAACAGTGACAAGAGGCACCACTACATTTGCACAACATTTACACCAGAGAGATGCAACACCCCCGCCCCCCCTCCCCCAAAATAAAACCCAAAGTTTAAGTTTCAAGCTCAGAAGAACAGGAACAAAAAGAAGAATTGAGGAATTCTTCCACATTCATAAATCTGATGGTAATCAATGAGCAAACTGGTGGCAGGATAAAAGTTCAACAGCTAATGTTAAAAAAAAAAACAAAAAACAAAAAACAGAATCCAGCTCAACTAACTTCTTCTACCAGGTTGTGACTGGAATGTACGACAAGAGGGAAAATAATAAAAGTCAAAGTAGTGCATGAAACCGCACACCACTCATATTTGGCAACACAAAAAGTAACAATGGAAATACTGATGCTACATACAGTTTCTGAGTAGTAAGTACAAACTTCACATGAGAATGTTTTACCACAAAAAAGTTAAGACTTTTCCTTCAACTAAAATGTCTTTCCTCCATATGTGAACATGAGCTGCGAGGGTTTCCTTTTCTCTGTGTGTGTGTGTCTGTGTCTGTGTGTATATCTGTGTGTGTGTGTGGGAGGTGTAAAAGTTGGCAAGGAAAAAGAAATGAAAAGTTCATCTTGGAATGTAGGCTTGGTCTCATCCCAGGGACGATGCCAAGCTCGGTGTAGCCGAATCTTGAGAATTTGGCCGTAGCTGACCCCGTCTATTCGGTTCTCTCTAAAAACAAACGAAAACAAAAAAAAGTCTCACATGGCGACTTTGGCGACCTGCTCTTCCAGTCTAGCAATCCGGCGGTCTTGGAGGATGACGCGGTCCCTGAGCGACTTGAACTCTCGGAGTACCTCTTCCAGTTTATCTTCCATTTTCTGCACAGAAACAGAAATAAGGGGAGCTCAAACCTGGTTCAAACATTTCTCGTTTGGCTGAGAGTGCTGCTGAAGATTTTAAAACAGGTTTTATCCCTTTAAAAACAAATTTCAGTGTTAATCCTGACAAAACAAGCAGGGATTTCACCGAGAATTAAAAGCCTACAGCTGTTTTCCTTTGAATGGAAACCCAAATACTGAAGTATGTGCTGATCCATAACTTTTGTAAATTGTTCCGACCAAAATCAGGAGAACACAGCTGTCAGCAAAAATGCTGTTTTTAGAGTTTGAAACACTTGGAGAAAACAGGAAAGTAAGACAGTTTTATAAAAGGTAAAAGAAGAAAAGTGGATACAAACTAAGATATACCTTTATTTACAGAAAAACTCATCCTGATGTTCTCAGACTCACCACTGAGGGCTGTGGAGAAGCATGCTTCTGAACAGTAGAGATGGGTTCTGGTTTGGTGGCTGGTTTGGTCTCCAGGACGTTTGTCTTGACCACTTTCAGGTCTCGGTTCTTTGTGGAGACGTAGCCGTCTTTGAGTGAGATCAGGATGGGGCCTCCATTCTTCCCGGCGAACCATTCCTCGGCCTCCAGGGCGGGATCGGGGCCAGCTGTGTCAGGATACAGGTCGTCCTGGAACAGATCAGACTAGAGGGGGGAAAGAAATGTCAGACTGCTGTTTGATAATGTCAAAGTGCTCACAGGAGTAGATAAGGTAAAAGAATGAATCTGATAAAAACATATTACTTATCGCTTGCTACACAGACTTTAGGTTGTTAAATTCAAATGTGTTGTTTATATATGATGTGTTTTTTATTCTATCTCCATATGTGTAGAGTTATGTCCAGTTATGTTTTGAACAATCTATGTATTAAACTAAGGACAAGAGTTAAAATGAGCAAATGCATCAGTTCCTTTCATACACAATAATATTGGTGCTTCGTTAAGTCGTTTCATCTCAATATGAGTTGAAAATTCAATGGAGTTCCGAGAGAAACCTACCTTACGCGGGACTGTCATGATGATTGGTTCACATTTTCTCTCATGTAATTTGTAGAACCTTCAAAGACAAAGGATTAAATGTGATGAGTTTATGCACAAATGTTTATGAACTTTTTTTCTGAATACTTAAAGGTCACATAAAAATCTTAATTTTATAGAAACTTGTGAAAAAAGGCGATTAAAGGAGCAGTATGTAATATTTAGAGTGCGACACACTTGGTAGAAATAAGATATAATATTTATAAGTATATTTGAATCAGTGTATAATCACCTGGAGATAATTATCGTTTTGTTTTCGTCAATTAAAATTGGACCTTTTGTATCCATTTAAGAGAGGGTCCCCTTCTACAGAGGCTAGCATCTCACAACACCTTATTTCAAGGGAGCATTCCATTCAATTTTGACTCGGTCTTCTTGATATAACTTAATGTTTGCATGTGTGTTTTGTGTGAGCTTTTTAATTGTAAAATGTGTCTAAAAATGAGCCACTGATTTTTTGTCTCCAAGCAGAGGTTCCTTCAAGGAGAGAAAACTAGGGCTACATATCACTACTGTTGTCTGTATACAGTAATCTAACCTTCAAAGAAAATTTTCACTATAATAAAATGAAAAGTAAAATCTCATTCGTCTAAAGCTTTAAGTTTTAAAAGTCTGGGTTTGTTTGAAAGACAGTTTAAAGGCACAGTGTAGTTGGTGTCTCAGTTCAGCAGTGTGGCAGCAACTGAGATCCCCACTTTGAGAGTAACACCAGAGAAAAATCCCCACCCTCTGTCGGTCAATACCTCGCGATTTCACATTTGTTGACATCCAGGCCTCTTTTGGGCATGTATCCCATCCCTCTCTGGGGCTCCTTGGTGGAGAAGGTGTTGAGGTAGTGGACAAACGGGGCCTCGTCGGTAATCTCAAAGTACCGGATGCTGCTGTCACCCTGAGGACACACAGTCAAAACTCAGAATCAGTTTGTGAACCCGGTCAGAGAGAATAAACCTGAGGATGCTTTATAGAGCTGCACACCTTTCCACACAGGTAGACCACGCTGGTGTCGGGGTCGTAGAAGGGCAGCAGAATGCCATTACTGGAGTCCATTTCTTGAACACAAATGGGCTCATCCATGTTGTCCTGGAAACACACAATACATTTTTTTTAGGGGAAACCCCTTAAGATGTCAAATTTGCTCCTAAACCCTGAACAGCAGAACAGACCCAATAGGAAAAACAAAAATGACATGTGATCTGTAACTGTAACAGCGTCTCGTTGATGTGACTGAATGATTTTGACGCCCCCTTCTGGAGCTGAGTTGTAATGAAAAAGAAATTATATCAAGAAAAAGGGATCCTTGACATATTCAGCACATCTACTGCTGAAGAGAACAGTTAATAATGTTTGTACACGTGTCCTGGGTAGGGTGCTGTATGGAGATGGTAGTGATAGCCGTGTGTTGTCTGTATTTAAGGTGGAATGAGGTTCTGCTGACGTACAGCTTTCCACAGGGCTAGCTGGCGCTCGCTCATGCGGCTGAACCCGGTGGTGAAAATGTTTCCATCTGCTAAAAAAATCGCTCTCATTGGCCGAGCTCCCTCGTGGGCTTTGTCCTTCTCCTGAAAACAGAAACACACTTGTCAGACTTGGCAGCCATGTTTGTGGGATTCACTGGGACGGCTTTGTGATTATAGGAAAGATTATTCCATACTTTGATTCAAATCCCAACCCCGATTCAACTCACCGCGACAACCTTCTTTTTACGTGGGTCGATGACGCGGACTTTCTTGTCCTTGCAGGCGGTGCACAGCAGGCTGCCGTTGCGGCTCCAGCTGACACTAAAGATAACGTCAGGGTGCATGTCCTCCAGGTTGATCATGGCCTCTCCTGTGCCCACGTTCCAGATGACGACCTGGTTGTCACACCCTAAAATGGACACAAGCGGCACAGCTTGACCACTCGAACCTCTGTGTCAAATTCTATTTCAAGACTTGACATCACACAAAGTTGATGCAACAGGGGGGCAAAAGATGATGGGTCAGATTTGGAGTTCAGCTGTGCACGGCGGACAAACTACTGTCAAAATAAACCAAACAGTTGTTTCAGTTTGAGGCAGGGGGTGGCGGGGTGGGCAACACCACAGGCTGCGATGAAAAGTTACCTGCGCTGAGGAGAACATTGCGAGCGGTGGGGTGCCAAGACACGATGCCAACTCTTTTAGAGTGACCTTCTAACACGACTACAGGCTCTGACAGGGGGCTCTCCAGTCCGTTCTCAGGGATCTGCCAAACCTGGATCAGAGCGAGAGGAAACAATTACATACCAGACAGACATTAGGAGCTACAGTAACATTGTTTTAACAGCACAGGAGGAAAAGAGACTTAAAGCTCATATCCCAAACTATGAAATACAGAGGAGATTTTTCTAACTTTGTAAGTCTAGATGGACTGTTATAGAAGTAAAGGAAAATTACTGTATTTTTCACACTACAAGGCGCACCATCAATGAAAGCGTATATTCGCTTCTATTTTCATACATCAAGCGCATTAAGCCAAACAAAACAGTCAGATAATCAAACTTTATTCCGACAAGCCATCAGGCTGTGCGGCTCTGTAGCTAACTGAGGTCGTCATAAAACATTTTGACAGATTTTTGAGCGCTGTGTACCACATAAAATCGGTTAGAGGTCAGTAAGCACAAACAGAATTCATACATAAGGCGCACTGAGGAGTTTTGAGAAAATTAAAAGGATTCTAAGTGCGGCTTATAGTGCGAAAAATACGGTAAATTGTACTTTAACTTTGCTAGATATGTAAACAATACAGACTAATACTGCAAAATAAATGTAAATACTGTAAATTTAAATGTTCTTTATTTATACAGCCCTTTACAACAACCCTTTCGGTGAACCAAAGTGCTTTACAATGCATAGTAAATAAAAATGAATAAATTAAAATGATAAAAAGCAACAAAAACAATAAAAGCAATTCAAAAAAGAAGAGAATAAAAAATAATAACAATAAAAACACTCAATGCTCATGGGTTTGATTTTAGAGGTGAACTCACCATGACTGTGCAGTCCTCTGAGCCGCTAGCGATAACTTGGTCATTATGGGGACACCAGTCAATGTCCAACACAGGACCCGTGTGACCACAAACTGTAGGGTAGACCTTGTCTATGCGACCAGTCTGTCAAACAGAATACAGAGAGATTACAGCTGCAAGAGGAGAAACGGCATCGTTGTGAGTGGATATCTGTCAGAAAGGTATGAAAATGACAGGCTGGCACTGCAGCTCCATCAGGAGTTTAGTTGTATGATGACGTTACAATCTTTCACCCCTCTCTGACCATCACATTAAAACTTAATCATGAATCTGTCCTCATGTTCGGCTAAAAAAGACACTGGCACTACTGTGTAAAACAAGCTGGTGTTTCCCAGTATCCAAATATCTTGGATTCATCCTCCCAAAGTTAGAGCAGCAGCACCTCCAGAGGCGTGACTTCATACGGTGAATATAAATCAATTAACCCAGTGGCCTAAAATAATGACACAGCAGCAGACATCCCCTCTGTGAGTATCATGTGTTCAATTAGCTGACCGTAATAAGAACCACATTGGATGCCTTTACTATCAGGCAGATTTGAGCATTGATTATCTTTGGTTTGTACTATAGATATAAGCCTCAGGGGACGGCAGGCTGGGGTCACAGCAGAACAGCCGAGTGCTGAGGCTCTGCTGACACAGGACAGGCCTATGGGATTGATTTGTTACACACTCTGGATGCTATAATTTGATACAGCCCTTGTATCTCCTGGTATGCTTTCCACCCTCTGTGTCTAGCTTTGGTCTTTGGTTGCCAGTGTCACACAGTTATTTATTCCCAGCTTATGGTTAAAGCCCCTGTGTGCAGGATACAAATCATGATGTGAATGCTTAAAATGTCAGCTGAGTTAAATGTGTTGCTGTAGCAGCCTCTGGACCTTAATTAACCCCTCGTGATGAAGCTTCCATAGTTCCTGGAAACATACTTATATCTGCCCATCCAGAGACCCTCTTAAAACTGAACACACTATTTTTTGACATATACTCATAACACTGTCACTCACTTTTTGCAGAGGAAGGACAAGAAAGGCTCCTCCCCCGCTGGCGTCTATGATGATGGCAACAAATTTCGGGTTGACGGCACAGAAGGAACTGTCCCATGTGACCCTGGACACGCGGATGTCATCGTAACACTGGTCATTCCTCACGGCCTGACCGAACACATGACGGAACTTGCTCTGTCGTACAACTCGCCGCAACATATCTGCAAAGAGAATACCGGGTACATTAAACCAAGGTGCATATCATAGTTTCCTCTGAAATTCATGTAACAGTTGCAAATGAGCATCCATCACCTTCACTGAGCATATTGAGGATACCTGGAGGTTATCTTTTTCCCGCCAGTCTGTCTAATCTGAGATTATGCTGATTACGTGTGGCTGAGTTGGTTTCTGTGCATACCTACTGGCAAATATTTGAAGTAAAAGCACAGGAGACACATTTTTTCTCCAGCTGTGTTTACCTTTAAAACCTCACTGCATTTTTTCTGACTTCTTTCAGACTCAGAGAAAAGGGTGGAATGAGGTGAAAACCCTCAACTAAAGGCGTATCTACACAAAAATTAACTTTCTGATTTGTCGAAATGTTAAATCTTAGCACAGAGAAAAAAAATCTATCTTACTGAGAAATATGCCCTGATATGACTTGACAAATTTACTTAAAAAGGCTGCTTTGTTGAAGCAAATTCAATCTCACTGAGCGATGTTTACCAACTCTGGTGCTGACCTCCATGTGCACAGCTAAAATGATCCACTCTCTGCATGGTCAACATCAGGACTGGAGCATGCTCTGCTGGACAAACTACACCATGACAACACTTACAGTTCAAGTTATATATTGTGTAAAAAACTAAATTATACATCAGATTGATAAATATCTTGACTCATATCACCCCGATACTATCAAGTCAAGTTTGACCTCATGAACTGAGACCAGTTTTGGAGTTAATATTGAAGATTTTATCTAATAAGCAGTAAGAAAAGAGAGTCAAATAAACTCAACTAACATTGGCATGGTTTTGTTTTCTTCTTAAATGTATATATAGAGGTTTAACAGCAGAGCACTTGAGCTAAATTAAATGCACCTCACTGAGGCACCAGTTTTAAGTTTTAGTGGTCATTAATATTTATGCTGCCTGTCTAATGAAGGTTACTTCTGCTTTTACAAGTCAGTGCACAACACAAAATCTGCAGTCAAGCAGTTTCTTCTCTGCAACAAAAAATTAAAAACGTAAGGATCAAGCTACTATCTCTTTTTACAGATAGTGTGTAATTAAAGATAGTGCTGCTTCATGTGTGCAGCAACGTTTTCCTGAACTAGATCAGGAACGCTTCAGTGCAGGCAAATCTCAATGCCCTAGGATGAAGCTAAAGCTTTACATTCATGAAAATATCCGCAGTCCTTTTCTTATTTTGAGCACATGTCTTGCGAGCACACCACAGATGGCCTGTTGCTGCTCTGAGATTCTGGAAATGATCTCAAGTGGATGATCTACATTTAATGATCACATTGTGGCTCAGTGGCCCCTCAAGCATTTTCACCTTCTCCTGTCTCCGTTTTAACTGCCTCCAGCTTCTAGGAAGCATTAGGCTATCCTATTTTTCAACTGCTGGCATTTTGACAACTTGGCCGAAACAGAACAACCGAGGGTAAATCTGTCGAGCACTGACTACCTGGGGAAATGTTCTATCCTTTAACAGACAGGTTTTGCTGTATTTTAGACTAAGTGAGTCAGTATGACAATCAGGCTGCAAGTTCTAAGTGACATACTGATCCATGAAATAGACTTTAGGACTTTTCTTTACTTATTGATGGACATGTAGATAATACAGATATGTCATTAAACCCCCTGCTCTTTCACACTCAGCGATGGCCTCTTTGACCTTTTTGGACGAACACATATAAATGGATTTTCCATAAATCTTGCCCAACAGTGTCGTAAAATATTTGTAGATTTTTGGATAAGACTGGTATTTATCAAACAAAGGTAAGATCAGCTTTATCTTTTTTCTGTTGTGGTTTAAAGCTGTCATCCCACAATCATTCTCTTAAATGTCATCTTCAAATGTTTTACGATTCTAAATCTCCCCCCCCCCCCCCCCCATGTATAAATCATACACCCACACACAGCTGTTGTCAGTCACTCTCCTGATGTGACATTGTGTCGGGAGTCAGTGGATTGGTACAGATTATGATTGAAAAATATGAATGTTATAATATGAGCATGCATGTGGTCTTGTAACATTTTAGGGAACTGTTTCCATCACAAAATGTGCATCAGCCATGGGTTCAAAACTCATACAGCACCCAATTTCTAAACTGTCCATACAGGTCAACTTGAGGACACTTGGCATTATATATTCTTTTTGCACTGACAGGCACATGCAGCCTTAATGTGCACTTCATTCTAGCCTGCAACTTTTCCCATCTGAGAATAAACTACTGCAAAATGCAAGAGCATCAATGTAAACTGAGAGATAAACCTCTCATTTTTGAACAACTTGCCCTGGATGTAGATGATATTAGAAGAATATCCTCAGGAGCTGTAAATAGTCATCACAGCACTGTAAAGCTGCATAATGGCTGGTCAGTCCGGGACTACAGTTCACATCAGAACAGCGTGTTCTCTCAGTCTTCATCAGAGCTCCATTCAAGAGCAGCTACCCTCATTCAAAATATGCATTTGATAAAATGAGCTGCTGCTTCAGCCCCTGCAGGCAGTGGAGAGTTGATGTCATACGTTGTTGCCACATGCTCCTCTCACACCACATCACCGCCTAACGAGCACAACAGAACACCATGATGGTGGCCACTCAATGCTGGGCCTCTTTCAACAGTTTCAGATAATAATGCTGTGATACTGGTGTCCAAGACAGTGAGCTGGTGTACAATATTATGGCTCCTCTGGTTGTATTGATACATTGAATGGCACGGAAGGAGCATTTTTGTCAGGCTGTATGAAGAACTACTAACCGCTAACCAGGTGTTCTCCTTAACCTCATAAGTGTTGTCACAATCACTCCTAGTTTAAACAGCATTTTCGGCCACAAACGGAGTATTTCCAACCGTGCTGGGAACAACTGCACCGTGCTAACATTGAACAATGGTCGGTGGCTAACGCTAGCTCACGGTGACACAAAGCTCGTCTCATTATAGCTATTTGTTAGGCACAAACTAAAATGATAAGATAATGACGAGGCTAAGCTGTGATTTGTAACCACCCAAGCAGTTTATAAATACGTTATATTAAGGTTATGGTGAAGGTTTGGTTCAGAGTAGTTTAGCTAGCAACGGTTGCTAGCGTAACGTTAGTGAAAGCTGGGAGCTGAGCGGGGTCTGCAGATATGGATGTAAGTGTGAAACGTTACGCCCAAAATCTGACTTTCACTTAAAATTGAAATCAAGATACATGTTTTATTTGATTTTAAGATTCTTTTTAATGGAGGCTATTAGTTTATGTGAGTATATCTAACGTAACGGTGGTAAAAGTAGACCCGTGTTCCGCCGCACTGCCCCGCCGGCAGGTCGGCAGCTATGCCGGGGCTGGTCCCGTCTCGGCAGCCGCTGTCCCCGCTGACACACATCGCAAACAAGGGGGAGGCAACCAGAGGGGGGTGTCTTTTTCTTCACCATTTACGCGAAATATAAATCTACTAGCCCAACTCCCGATGTCTTTCCCGAGCAATGAGCTCTCTCTATGCTTTAAAGTGTGTTATTTTCTTAGAATTGCTCAGTTAGCCTGTCAGTGTGTTTCGCATCCATACGCTCGTCGGTAAAAGCTAGCAGACTAGCCTAGCTGCTAACTGTTAGCTGCGGTGGACCGCCGCCAGCTGACGCAAGTGCAGATATTTCCACCCAAGCTTTTTGGCTGCTCCCATTCCCTAACCCATCCAGCGAGGCTAAATGGATGCTGCACAGCCCCGACCGATGGTTCACATGCAAAATGCACAATTCAAAGATACTTTTAATGTTTTCTTACCTCCTAAATCTATGCAAGATTTCTGTAAGCACGGGGGTAATCAATCACAACACATGAATCTGGTAGTTTAGGCGCGCCCTTATCCTGCAGGACGTTGCTCTAGTATCCCTTGTCTCCACAAAAAAAGCTCGGTCGCTATGTTCTTATTCCCACTTCTGACTGCAAATATGTGGCCGGAAAGCAGTGTATTAAATCTGGTGGTATTTCAGGATGCCAGTTGACAAATACAGCATCTCCTGTGTGCCTCTCACCTGCGGGAGACTAGCTTTCGTCTACTCTCATCGTTATTAAATTCAATAGAATACTGTGACGACCGGCTACGGCACATGCGCAAATGAAAAGTTAGATTTCATTTCCCAGGGCTGTGAATGGGGATGGGTCTGCACGAAGACTGAGCTTCTTGGTACACCCTCCTCTTGTCTTCAGAAGTAGATCTGCTGATGTATTATATTTTGTTCATGTCTGCAGAAATGTGGATTTTTATCGCCAGGAGCATCCTTTGTATCACAGTCCCTCCCCTCCCCCTCTGTCCCATCCCATCCCATTCCACTCCAGCCCAGCATGGGCTATCCAAACACAAAAAGCCCCCCTTCTCTAAACCCACAATCCTAGACTGTGATGCACTCATACTAAACAGATGCAGATGAATCAGTTATTAACTAATCACCCTGTTTGCTTGCACAGTAAACAGGATATCAATCCTTTATTTCAAAATGTTGTCTTCCACATCTGGAGTTTGTTTGTAACCAAGTTTAAGTTGTTGTCCTATGAAGCCAGACGTAATATTTAAACACTGTAATATGCCTAAAGTAGCCAATTTAACTAATATCAGGCTACCAGACTGCTCTTGGGTACTGCTAATCCTCATAATGAATATCTGTAAAATACAGAAACAACAGTGAAAATTATTGTAAATGAACAGCTTGTGAGTGCCAATAAAAGAGTAACAAAATGTCCAAACACAAGATTAAATCCCTTTTTTTAGGGGTTTTTAATCACATCATGTCACCCATGTCATTTTTTTAGATATTAACATAAACCTCCAGTGTTTCCTTATCTTGAGTTTGAAAATGACGTTTCCTCAGTGCGCACATTAATGTTTCCATGAAATCAAGCCCTTTTTAAGTTTATGCATTTTAATACTGTTTCTGTTGCAATTAGACCGTGAGGTGGGAATGAGGGGTTGGCTGGGGTTGATTTGGGTATTCTTTTAATCTTGGGTTGGGGTAAATTTGGGTATTCTTTGTTTCTTTTATTCCTTTTTCTGTGTGAAGCACTTTGTGCTACATGTTATGTATGAAAAGTGCTATATAAATAAAGACTGATTGATTGATTGATTGATCCTCAGCGACGTCAAGAACCACATATTTCAGTTCATGAGCCAATGCAACAAAAAGGTCAAGTCAGTAACACTTATATGAGGATTATTCTTCATAAATAACACAACTTTGGTGAGGCTCTTACTTTTTTGATTTAAAAAAAATCCATTTTTATTTGAAAATTAATTTGATGTAGTTTGGTTGTCAAATAGTTCTGTTGTTTGAGGGTTTCCGTCATCTTAAGTGTGTTGAATTTATGGATAAAATAACTGGGGAATAAGAAAAACATTAACCTTTTCTCTCTTTTTCTGCTTACTTCAAAAAGGTCACTGGGTTTGGAACCAATTCCAGTATGCATCAGCAGATGGCAGGGAAACACCACAAGGAGCTGCCAAGACTTCCACAGGATTTACCAAGGTAGCCATACACAGTAGTTCTCTCATTTACACCTTAGAGTAAATTAAATCATGTCCGCCATGAGCTGTGGGAGGAGGTTAAAATAGGGAGATGTTCCAAACTGTTTTACAGCAGGACGAAGATAAGTTCACTGGAGAGACATGAACATTATCACCTGACTGTTTTGTCTTCAAAGTTATGTAAATGCTTCTGCTGAATCCCAGTTAAACCATGTGAGAAGCTGTGTGAGAAGAGCTTGCTTCGTTTCCTATTGAATTACTGCTCAGATCATTCAGGGAGAAGAAGTTTCTTGATCGAATTAGAGTTAAATGTTTAAATGTGTTCTGTTACATAACGACATGTAGACCTGTTATTGGGTTCTTGGCAGAACATGGATGCATCAGCTGTTTTTAATAAGGAGAAGATTTTTTTTCCTAAGCTGTTTGCAAACAGTCTTTTTGTTTGTGTTATTCTTTGTTGTGTTTCACGATCCACCAACTTTTGAAGGAAAAATCCAACTTTTTGGTTAGTAGAGTCTTCATTGTCTTTGGTAGCTACCTTCCTGCTTTGTCTGCTTAATGCGGGGTGGATGAAGGTACTTTTTACACAAATCTTCCTGGCACCATGACTTACAAAGTACACGTTCAAAACAAACACATTTAATAGCTTCCACAGGGTAAAATAATCAACTCCTCTACAAAATTCCCATTTTCAGAGCAAGGTTTTGTTCAAATAGTGAAAACAGTAAACCTTCATGTTAGGTTCCTTCACGAACCTTTCAGTAACTTTTGACACAACAGTTTGTTTTGTTCAGTTTGGAAAGTACCCTCTCATGTCAGTACATCACATGTGCTTTCCTCTGCATGAATGCTTTCATTAAGTCAAGAAACAAAGGCAGAGTTGAATTCTCGAACAGTCCTTACCTTTCTTTGGGGATGCTTGAACTTCTTGTGGTCTCTCTCTGGTTTTCTTTGGGACATCAAAAGTGTTCTTCATCTGGGACACTTTCACACTCGGGTTCTGCTCAGCCACTCGAACCTGAGCTTTGACTCCTTCAGGTTTGACTCTGTTCTGATATCTCTGAAGTTGATTTGTCTCTTTGATAATTTCAGATACTGGCTTGTTTGAACCCATCTCATGTCCTCTGTCCCTGTCATTACTGTAATCACTCATGTCTTTATAGTTACCATTTGTAGACTGGACGTCATTGCGTACCTGTGTGCTGGCTCTGTCAGATATGGGCTCATGGTAGGTTTCTCTTGTCCCAAAACAAAAAGATTTTGGTCTCTGGACCTTACTGTCTGCTGTGGCCTCAGGTATATGTAAAGTCTCTGAAGACGCATAAGGATTTTGGGACTTTTTTGCAACAGGCGGTTGTGAGCTTTTAAATCTTGATCGTCTCTCCAGGAACACTCTTCTTTGCAACATGTCGAGGTTCTGCAGGTCTTCCTCTGGGGACAAATTTGCCATTCGATCACAATAATCAAAGTCGATCATGTCTCCAAACTGATCATCCATGGGTCCAAGTGAGGGCTCCCATTGGCTGAGGTCAACCGATAGCCGCCGAATGTTGGTTGGCAGAGTATAGGTGCTCCTTTCGTCCCACAGCAAGCACATGTCCTGATTAGTTGGAGCGTTACATGGCAGGAATTTGTTGAAATCAATAGTGTGTCTTCTCCTGATCCTCTCCTCTGAACGCAAATGACCTTTGTTTCGTCTTTGCACATCAGTAGACATTAACTGTGCAGTTTTGAGCTTTATAAAAGGATTTTTAGGTTTTTTAGGCACAGGTGGAGGAGGGCCTTTAGCTTTGGGCTTCTCTTTCGGTGTAGACTCAGCTGTAGAGTCAATTGAGACTGGTGTGGCCTGAGAATCCTCCATTCTTGTACTGGATTGCTCTTCCACTGATGTATCTCTCATGGGCAACAGATGAGTTACAGGTGGAGGAGTAATGACTGCAGAGAAACAAACAAGCTCGCTCTCCCTCTTTAGGCTGGCGATATGTTTCCTTTCATTGCTGACTCCATTCCTTGGTAGAGGAATAGCAGGAATCTCATTGATTTGTTCCAATGAAAATGAGACATCATCTTGCAGTAATGGTATATCAAAGCCAGGGACCTCTGGGAGGCTCCGCTCAGATTTTTGGTTGAACTCTTGGTTGTCCTCCTTCTTGGTGCACGGACCAGAAATACCTTCTTTAGCCCTTCTAGAGACGACTCCAGCAAACCTGCTCTTCTGATGGGATGGATCAGCTTCCACTTGTTTTCTAGAAGGATCCACCTTTTCCAAGCATGGCTCCAAACCGCCACTGCTCTTCCTAACTAATACGTGCTCCTTATTAAAGTTGGTTGTGACTTGCTCCTTGCTACGGTCATTCCTGTCATGTTCCCTCTCTGCTGTTTCTCTACCAGTTGTCTCAGTGTGAGTAGCTCCAACATGATTGACTCTTTTTAGCCGACACCTGCTGCCTGTCACTTCAGCCAAATGTTGACCCCCTTCCCTCTGGAAACCCTCTGTGGCTGAGCAGCCAGCATTTGCCTCCAAGCTGTCAGTTGTGACTGAAACTGTATCAGACTGTCTCCTGTTTGTATGGGCGTGCCTAGATGGTTGTTGAAGACTGTCTTCACTGTAGCAATCAAAAGTGTTGTTAGCTATTCTTTCGATAGATGGCTGAGAATCCTTAGTTTTTATCCCGCCGCCAGAGGTGATGTTATTTTCCCCATCAGAAGACGTCCAAGTCTCGTCCCTCTCCAGCACCACAAAGTCTTCCTCAAGACTGGGGTCACATGATGCTGTGAGACTCTTTGTCTGAGAATCAAGACTCATCTTAGGGTGGCCAAGTTTAGATTTTTTCCCAGTTTCCTGCTCCTCCATAGCTGTAGTCCCGGTTGAGGCCACAGCCTTGCTTTTTAGGTTTCGCTCTTTGTTTGAAGCTTGTCTCACCTCCTTTGAGCTTTGGACAGTTTTTGACTCCTCTGAACTTGAATTGGCACTCCGGCTCTCCCTATCTCCACCCACCCTCTCTCTCCTGGTCTTTGGAGGGTGCTCCTGCTGACCTAGAGGGCTGATTGGCTGCCCAGTTTGGGGGTCTGTACGTGCAGTAGTGACAGTAAGCCCCCCTGCGTGCCCAGAGACCATGCTGCTGATACTGATCCCACTAATCTCACCAATACTCCCAGGGGTCACCAAACTGCCATCGTCCTGATCTCTGATCTCAATTTGTTCTGCTGTCTTCAATGTTTCTGTCACCCCAGTTTGCTCTGAACAATCTGAATTTTCAGGAGATTCTTCATCCTTTTCAGAAAGCTTTTCCAGCTTCTGGCCCATAGTTGTTGTTTTGTCTTAGCATGAGGGAAAGAGAGAAAATTGTCAAGACATAGCATCAAATTTTTATGGAACTCAAAATTGCAAACAATTACAGCTTGCCTTCCCAACTAAATGAAATCACACTACAGACATTGCTGTCTATTTTTAATTCCTCTGAATCTTTCTCTAGTTTAGTATATTCTTCTATACTGCTCACACTTGTCCTTCGAAGGCCTCTCCATCTATCGTTCCCTATTCTGTTTGGAAAGGAATGCTATGGTGGCTATAATTAAAGCGGGTCTGACTGCTGCCAGTGAGTCAGGGGGCAAAAAAAGAAACAAGACAAGTGAGATAAGGGGTCAGCCAGGTCTGGTTCCAAGGTTGAATGAAACATTCAGAGAAAATGTGATGCAAATGCTTCCAATTTACAGACATTAAACTGTTATAATAAATTTATTAAACCAACTATGATTCTTTGAACTCATTAAGTAATGAAATTAAAGTTTAGTTTTGTCTGATCATTGAGTCTCATAACTAATTTTGTAAACATGTCCATTCAGAGTCATAAAAGTATGAGACTGCATGCACTGTCAATTACTGGAGACAAGGCATGTTGGTGCTGTGTTTACCTCGGCTGACTGTTGACGGTTGTTTTGGTAACAGGGTGTACAGAAAGGTCACCTGGAATATTTGATTCAAGTCACAAGTGCCTTGACTTCTGAACTGGATTGTTTGTTGGGGCCTTGATGATAGCCGAGTTTAACCCCTGACGTGATGGATGGTTGAAGTGAGATTAATGCAGGGGGAAAACAGCTCAACGGACTTTAAAGTGGCATGTGGGATATGAGTATTTTTAGATGACAAACACGCTGCCGTGTGCACGAGTATTGTCCTGCCAAAAAGGTTTTTCAGGAAAACAAGCTGAAGTTAATTTTGACGAATTCACGCAAAATTCCAAGCTTAATGTGCTTTGAGATTGTCAGCTGAAAGGTGAGTGAAGACTGGGAGTTGACCAGACCGCTTCACCCCTACATCTACAATCATGTGCTCTGCTGCTTAGGCTATTTCAAGCCTGAGAGGTGTTGAGTGACACTTTCTTTTCAGACCTGTGCATTCAACTAACGCACTAATACCAGATGCATATGAAACATTTCCCCTGAAGGCCTGGCTTTTGTTATATTACTAGAAATGATATCCTTGTTCTTTAAAGTGTAGTGCTAGCCTTTCTGAGGCTCTTGTAAGACAAACATTTGAGTTATTAAATTCATAAAAAGGAATTAAAAACGCATAATGGGACAAAGAAATAAACAGATCAAGCCAGCAAACAAAAAATGTTTAGAGTGCATGAAAACAACGGTAGTAAAAAAAAAAAAAGAGATAAAATTTCCAAATGATGGTAAGCCTAAAATACTCGCTTGAAGACCAACAGTATAATGAGTACACATACGCAAATGAATGGTTGGCTAACCAAGGATGAATTATAGTTAAAAGTAATAGAAAGAATTTAAGCATCCACAGTGCAGATGTGTAATCGATCTTAAAAAAGTAGAAATTGTGGTCAGAATTTAGCATTTAAGAACAGATATTTAATAGTTAGCTTAGGGAAATTGATGAGTCTTCCGACAAGCTAAAGATATTGGATAAATAAAAGTATATAAGTAGACCAATGATGAATAAATAGTTAAGATAAATGGCAAGATTAACTTTAGTTCACTTTGGCTGTGGCGTGCTTAATATATTGATAAAAATGTCTCTATGCTGATGATACAATTACTTGAGTTCAGTCTGCAGAGAAGTTTCAAACATGAAAAACTTAAGCATCAGGCTAAATTTGATTATTCTTTTCACATTGTTGCCTCATGCCTCCTCACCATGCCTCTTTGATTGTATTAGAGTGCGAATAAATCCAATAATATGGCACATGCATATTTAGCATACTTTAAGTGTTATAATAACAGTGAGAGGCACCCGTGAGAGTCAGTGGCCTTTAAAACTAACTTCACCCTCCCACTTCCCATCTTGTCTCATGCTTCAATACTTAGCACACAGTTAATGCTAAACTTGATTACATAATTTTAAGCCCGGTTTTTAAAATGAGTTGCACTTTTCAGAAACAGAATACTTTGCTTTCCTTTGAGACCTGTTGGTGTATAACATGTAATGTGCTGAATTCGTACTAGTTGGTGCGACAGGGTGTTCATCAGATACATAAACTAGTTTGAATGTAAAATTTTCATAGCATGCTGCAGGACTCGGTGTTGTAAAAAGTTACACATGTTGTGACTGAAACACAGTATAACAAATATCTGCAGTGTACCAGCTCAAAACAGACCACTTCCTCAGGTTAAGTAACATGGTCTAGTATACATAACCACAGGAGCATACTGTATGCCATGTACACAACAGACGTATGTTTTGAGTGGGAATCAGTCTGTTTTTGAGGTAAACATCAGCATACAACTCAAAAATTTAATTCCTTTCCTTGCTTGTTAAAGTAACATTTTTATGACAGCCTGGACTTTTTAATTCTGATAATTTCCTGTTCATGGTCTGCTGTATCGAAATCATTTGGTTGCTCTCACCATAGAGTTACGCTAATTCAAATGAAAAATTATTCAGAGGTACTTACTGATGTGGCTGCTTTAAGCTGATGCTCCGTCTGTCCGCTGTTCTGTTAGACATCGGCCTCTCTGGGAGATCTTCTCCTCATGCAGTCACCTGGCACATGATGTCAGACTGACTTCATTTGACTAATTCAATAAGTGCGCTCCCTGGGCTGTCCATTTCACTAAAAGAGCAAGGGAAGGCTAGAGACAGGCAGACTATTCATACAGTATGATCAGAGATAAAGGTATGTAAAAGGTAACAGGCTTTCAGTGAGAAACACCCCGCCGACTTCTGGAATAACCAAGGGAGTAAATGAGCAGAGAAAATGGTTTATTTCCATGATAAACATTGGACTGGACATCAGTTTTAACAAAATGTAAAAAAAAGTGCATTACACATGAACATTGGCGATGTACAGTACAGTACACAAAAGGTAACATAAACTGATAAACATAAAAAAACATCAGAACTCCCAGGTAGATACTTTTTGTTCAACATTTTCCACCTCACATGCTTAGGGGCAGACTTGTGCTTTATAAATACACTCTTAAAATGCCCGAATCCCCCCTTTAAACTGCAGTATGTCCTAATGTTCTTCCTCACAAAGTCTTGAATAGGATTGTCAGTTTGATGCCTGCTGTCTGGGTATAATGCAATAAAAAGAATTCAGTCGAAATTAGAGATTGCCTTTTTCTTTTGCTGTGGTACAAACACGAGAACTTAATCATGAGTCTTCAATACACAGTAGTTTTATCAGTGCTTTTCATAATATTGACCACATCTGCAAGCTTACGGACTCAAGAGCAAATTGTAGAGAAAAACTATATACAGGCTTGTTAGTTTTGAAGACTTAATGTTTGAATGTAAATGATAGTTCTCATTCCAGCAGGTAAGGTTCTTCAGCCAGCTATTGAACCAATACAGTGTACCACAACACCAAACAAATACCATTATCATTGTAGGCTATCGATAAATGGAAGTCCATCAAGTATGCGTGTAACGGGGCGTAGGGCGCTGTTGTGCATGAGCTTATGTGTGTGTGTGTTTGCATACATTACAATATGTGCTGAGTTATACATAGCGGGGAGCATGACTAATATTGGGAGTGAGGAAGTAATGTACAAAAAAAGCCAGACCATCAGCACTCTCACAGAAACTTGGTACAGCCTGTGATGTTTTTTTTTCTTCTTTTTTTCTGATGGAGCAAAGGCTACGGTTAAGGCACTTAAATACGAAAACAAGTTCAGAGCATGGAGCGAACAACCAAACATAGTGCTGTGGTCTGGGAGCTCAAAATGAGGTTTGAGTGCTTTAATATCAGCTATCAGGCTCACCTGCCAAAATGACATACTTGGAGTGACTGGCTTAAATTAGATTTATACTATTTATATGTCAGAGGAGTAGTGAAACGTTTAAAAGTTGGCTTACTTTTGTTCCTTTTTTTAGCGAGAGTGAGTTAAAAGTTGTGTCCTTCTCTGACTTAACGTGAAGCTAAAGCGAGTTAGCTTTCTCTACTGCTCCCAACTTCTTGCATGCTTTTTTTAAAAACCATATTCAGATCTCAAAAAATTGACATAACATTAAAATAAAGCTTTAAGGGTGTTGCTTTTTGGCTTCCAAGTAAAGCCACATCAGCTGCCTCCTTGTTTACAGTCTGCTAAGCTAAGATAACCAGAACTTGATATCATATTCCTCTCCGCTACAAAGCAAATGCTCACTTTCATAAGAGTTAAAACTTTGATTTAGTCTTTGTAGTATTTCTAAGCTGCAAATTCTTTCAGGAACTCAATGATTTTTTTTTTTAAAGTTTGTAATTGTTACATCTCCAACAGCTTAGTGCCTTGGTTACATGACTCTCAAAAAACTGTGTTTAATAAAGGGAAAGGGCAGGTTAAAGGCAAAAACAAAAAACTTTAATCTAACTACTGGAGCAAACCTGCAGCTCCCTGTGTTCAAGTCAGTCGTGGAGAAGAAACAGAAGATGCATTGATGATATTTGTAAAGAAATCTAATTAAACTAAATATAAAAAAACCCTACAAAATATATACACAATAATTCCTATTTAATGAGGGTTAACTAGTTTGCATTCATTCATTGCAGTTATCTTTTTTCCTGAAGCACTCATATCTGTAAGCACAGTATCAACATGTGCATTCGCTTTTCCTGCACACAATCAGGCCTCATCCAGAACTATTTAGCACACCCAGCGTGCCAAACACAGTAAGAACACAACATCATCTAAATGCAAGAACACCCTGTGGCACAGCAACTTTGGAACTGGTGGCAAATTGAACAAAACAGGCAAGATAAGAAGTCAAAAACCTGCGAGTGCTGGGCTTTGCACTCCAAGTTAAATAAATATAGTGCTTAAATGAACGTCATACAGCTTATTTAAATACCTAATTTGGTTATTTTTAAGTTAGAATAAGAAGGACTGGAGCTTATTTTGTTCTTTTTCACAAAGACTATTAATTATACTTCAGAGGATTGACCCTCCTCTTCAAGCAAAGTACCTTTTAGAAGATGCTTTCTTTGTAAAGTTGCACTTTTTGCTTGAGTGTTGACAATTTATTGTATTAAATGTAGCTGAAGTATATGTGTGCACTCTGTGAATGGATACAAGTGTTGTGCTTGAGTGCTTCACCTATACATGACTCATTTTGTGTTTCTGTTTGATTTAAGAGTTGACTGAGAGTGAGCGAGGTGCAGCCAGAGTTCAAATAATTAGTGAGTGTGTGAAAACTGTGTTCAGGTGACCAACTGAGCTTGGCTACATGATATGGCTTTGTTACATCAGGAGTGATCTGACCAAGAACAGAGTAAAAAGTGAATTTCAGCCTCTTGATATTGAAAGAAATGAATGTGAAGAGCTTCAACACTTAAGTTTCTTCATGTTTCTTTCACTTCTCATTCTCTCCAGTAAATAAAAAGAATTAAACCAGCTGAACAACTATTCAGTAAGCGATTGCACCGTTTTGATACTTCAACAAAATGCTTGATTTCAAACGTTTTTTTCCTGCTATTTCAACTAAAAAGGTAAGACAACTTTGATGTTTTCAGTCCAAGCATGTTGAAGATATGTTATGTAATACTGCAAGTCATGCGTGGGCTCAAGTGAGCGCTTTAACTACAAGATTACATTAACTTAAATGGAGGAGGTCGAGTGAACTCAGCCACTGAGCGGAGACAACAAAACAGTCTTTGACCAAAACAGTCTGAGATGCTTGTGGTCCGAGGTACGACGCTTTACAAAGAGGCATCAAAAAGGCTCACATAGGCTCACATCCTTTTAAAAAAATGATTATGCTCTCACGTGAAATGCCCCAAAAGCAGCTGCAGCGAGGATAGTATCAGGGAAGGTAAACGCGGATTCAGTAATCGGTGGTAACATGAGGAAATACTGAACTACAAACATTCACTGAGCTCCTTCAAGAGGACTGTGAAAGATCTGGATTGAAAAAACACACAGTACACTAAGAGAAGCATGTTACTTGTGTTTTTTTTTTGTTTGTTTTTATCAACATGGAGGGCTAGCAATAGCTTTTTCACAAATCAGAAAACACCACTGTTCCTACTTCTTGTGTTTTGGGAGGTCAAATGGCAGATGAAGAACTTCACAGGGCTGTTAGGAAGGAGGGTGATCCTTTATGTAGGGGGGGAGGGCACAGGAGAGTCTTCAGTCCTTACCTGCGTGGTTAAAACAACCAGCTTCTTCTGGATCTCAGTGCCAGTAGATAATGATAAGATGCTCTCTGTAAGTACAGTGAAGGCTGTTGCAGCTTGTAACAGTGCAGCTATGACAGCACAGGTCAAGGCAGAGCTTCGTATCTGGTACAGCACCACAGCAGCAGTTTTCAGAAAAAGCCCACAGCCACTGTCATCCACCTATCAGAGGCAGAGTCAAACCTTCTCCTTGATCTCGTCCATGCTCGGGACACAGTCTTTAGACAGGAGCCCTACTAGAGCTGCCCCTCCATGGACAAATTTGGAAGCTTCTCTAGCTGCTCTGCCCTCTGCCGCATCAGTTCCAGACCAAATCCAATCCCCAGTCCTGGCATTTGCAGCTGGAGCTCCACAGCACCACCTGCTGTCCCCTCCCTTGACATTTGCTCTCCCACTTCCTGCGCCTGGGGCTCTTCCATGTCCTCCGTCTCCGCGGAACTGCGATCAAAAGGCATGTCCTCACAGCTCATGGGTGAGACCACCTTCTGTCTGATGGTCAGTGGGACACCTGGGACGCAGGTGGCACAGCGGTACACATGACTGCAAGGCTGGACAAAGTTTGGGGGGATGACAGAAGCACTTTGCAGAGATTGCAGGGTTGGGGTGGAGGCAAAGTTTGTCCCGGGCGGATCTATGCATATGGAGGGTACGGTGCAGTGGCGGGAGGGGTTAAGGCGGTGAGAACGGCCTCCAGCTGGACGGTCACATCGCCGTCCTTGTGGTAGACGCAGGCAGTCTTTGCAGGACTGATAGGAAGGCTTCACTTTGAGAGGGTTTCCTGTGCTTGCACTATCCTACGAGGGGCAAAAAAACATCAGAACACAGTGTCAAGATCACAAATCAAAGTAAACTGAACATTAGCATGGCTGATAATCATTACATGTTTGTTGTTCAGGACGACCACATTTCCTCCAGTGTGATACTACCGCATTTTTCGCACTAAAAGGCGCACCAGCGATGAACGTGTCTTATTCGTGTCTATTTTCATACATAAGGCGCACCGGATTATAAGGTTCACCCGATTACAAAGCGCATTAAGCCAAACAAAACAGTCAGATAAGTCAAACTTTATTTAACTCATTCAATAACTCCGCGAGGCTACGGTAGCTGCAGTGCTCCGACAGGCCAAAAGGATTTTAAATGCGCCTTACAGTGCGAAAAATACGTAATTTCTATAAAACTTCTATACAGCAGCGTATTCATCAGGCATTAAAAGTTACTGTATAAATATAGTCATTCTTGTTGCTAATGGTCTTGTTGCTTTTGTATATCAGTATAAATTTCAGTCTATTTAACTGAAGTCAAAAACTCCCTATAGGTGCTTTAAGTTGATTGAACTTATCAGTTGGCTTCTTCTACTTGTAAATGTGTGTTTTTGTCAGACCAGCTACATTATACTATGTACGCAGATCTAGATATTTCTAGATCTGGTGAAGTAAGACATCTACTTTTATCGCACATTTGATTGGTTGATAAAAAGGACATTAGCTGTGATTATTATTTATAATGTGGTGAAGATATATATAATTAAAGTAATGTTGCTGTCAGATCTTTTATTGGTACTCATAACATGACTCTTATCCAATCAAATGACTTGGTTGTGACTGCATGAGTATGCTGCCGACATGAAAGCATTTTGAGAAAAGCTTTTTAAAATCGGAAACTCAGTATTTTCTCTCAACTTACATCAAAAGCTGCAGGGCAGCTGCGTTTAGCTGCGAGGCGGTTGCTGTTGTTGGTGTTCAGGTTAGCTAGGCCAATCCGACTCTCCTCCGTCCTCTCTGCCTCCTTTCCTTCGGAGTTTCCAGGAGTCTGAGCCAACGCCGCCATCTCAGCTTCCTCTTTCTTGGCCTCTTCTTCGTCCTCTTCCTCCAAAGTACTGAACTCCAGCCTCAGCCTCATATCCTCCATGGGATCAAGTCGCCCACATGTCTGAGCCGCCGTACCCTCACCTGGCAGAGCTAAATGAGCCATGGGGAAACCCTCGTCCTCCAACAGGGCATCCCTCTCCACGTCTTCAATCTCAATGAAAACTCTCTCCATACCCAGCAGAGGGGGGCCCCGCACTGGAGTGGAGGGCTCGCTGTCCAGCGCAGAGTCCGACAGACGTCTGAAGTAATAGTTGTAGTTCAGAGAGTCAAGGGGCTCCATCTCCAAACCCATCCTACAGGGTGATGCCCCGCAGCCTCCCCAGGCCTCCTCCCCTCTGAGCACAGGTGTCTCCTCTCCTCCAGTGCTGTGGCCAGAGGCTTGTAAATCATCAGACCCCTCCTCATCTGTATCCGGCCTCCACAGCTTGTTGTGGCGCTGTTTACTGTCAAGGCAAGACAGTCACGGTGAGATTTCTCTAATGCACGGACAATTTCATAAAGAAAGTCAGTCAGTTACACCTAAGACACACCACCACCAACTTAAATCTTACAAATGTCATCATCAGCACAAATCATTATTATAAGAGGGATGTACCTAAGACGATCTATTTTTTTTTTTATATGAGACACTAATCAGGGGCAAGATCCCAGAGGACTCGAGGAGACATTGTGTAGACTAAAGTGGAGTTCATGCCATCCCTACAAAAGTCAATGCTAGCTTGGCCACTCCAATCAAAGAAGACACTTCCTGAGGCTACAACAAACTACAAAGACTCAACCTCCATCTTGGTAAAAACTTGACAGCTTCTCAAACTCTTACATTTGATGCCAAGTTCGCAGTGGTGTTAATCTGTCTCTGACCAGGGCACAGTTTACAATTTACCACAACATTCTTGTCCTTTTTGGCAACTAATTTAAAGTAAGTGCAAACCTCCACGCCTCAAAAGACGTTGGTAATTATAGCCAAATGTAATCCAGTTACGGTAATGTGTTACTACTGTTAGTTAATTCCTCTTCATTTGTAGGGATTACAGATCAGAACCTGGCATAATTCCTCGTGTCTATTAACAAAAACACCCAGAGGACTTAAGGTTGCTTTGCAAATTGCAAACCAGAGTGAAACTGTATTCCCGCTTACCTTGCATCCAGGATCCCCTCGTATTCTGCCAGCTGTTTCATGAAGGCAGCGTTGGGCTGAGCTATGCTCCGTTTCTGCTTCACAAAGTTGTAGGCTTTCTCCAGGGACCAGCCGTATTCCTTCATTGCATAGGCAATAACTGTGGAGGCGGACCGGCTCACCCCCATCTTACAGTGCACCAGGCACTTGGAATTGTTCTTCCTGTTGTACAGAAAAAGGAAACTTTGTACATCCCATTGTGTGGATCCGGTATGTCACGGTTACGACAGTGAAACAATAGAAATATGGTAAATAAAAATATGGCATTTTTAAGATTTACAGGCTCTCAGGACTCGTCTGTGAGAGCTCCATATGTCTCAACATTAACCTTTTCAATTTTATCTCAATAAACTTCCCTTTTCTGACTGAAGTTAGCATGCCTGATAGTTGCATAGCAACCAGACTGATTCTGAATCAGATCTCTCCTTACTCCCTCTCCTTCTCTCACCCTCTTTGTTTGTCACTGGAACAGCTTACAGCTTTTGTCTTGGATTTGGGTGAAGGAAGAGAGACAATACTATGAGCCAGTCTAACTGTGTAACTTCAAAACAAATAACTTTAGTACTCCCACAGTCCTGTGGACTCATAGCTCTCACACCCCCTTAATCTTTCCGTCCAAAGCACCTGCTCACTGATTTCATTTTCAATCGGACTCTTACTTGGCTTTGACAATAAAGTTGTACGTTTCGTTCCAGTGAGCCAGCAGATCGGTGGCCTCCTCATCATACACGCGGACGTTGTGATACGAGAACAGTCCTGGGAAGAAGTTGTCAATTTCTCTGGTGACATTCAGTATGTAACCAACCCTGCAAAAAAACAAAACAAAAAAAATAGAGGGTTTAACTCTTTTCTGAAATAAAAAAACAAGGAAATACATCAGATAGAATATAGAATTGATTGATTGATTGATTGAAGTTTACTTTGAACATATATAAAAAAATAATGATAAAAAAGTAAAGAATACAACAACAAATGACAAAAAGTTATTTATGTTCAAAAAGGATTGGAAAGAAGTCGAGACTTATCTAGTCCCACTCCTTCTCCTACACTAATTACTAAATGTGATTCAGAATTAGACTAAATGTGCACAATAACGCAGAATAACTCATTGAGATAATATTCAAATTGTTGAGCGCAATAGATGTGCTTCAATATTTAATTAAGTGCCTTTTTTATTAATCTTGGAGTTTTTCACTCTTGTGTTGGAGATATTGTATTGTGAGCGGGTCATTGTGTGAAACAGAATCCGGGGAGAGTGACCCTGATGTGTTTTGTCTGTCCTGTGGGGGTTTTATTTCACATTATGACCTGCTCAGTAGACCTTATCCTGCTTTTTACCCACTGACCAACTTGACATACAAACAAGTACACACTAAGTATTAATTCAGAAATGATTTTATTGATTTAGAAATGATTTAGAAATGATTTATTCATGCGGTTTTAAAGATTGAATGGTTGGTAGCCTGTTGATTGAAACAGGAACTATAATGAGCATGTAGATGAGAAATCTTAAACTTAACTATTAATGTATTGGACTCTACAGACTGATTTGATGTGGTGTGTGTGTGATCTGCTTATTCCTCGTGTTGCTCTCGCTCTTCTGGATTAATTACTGTTGTCAAGGTTTTTAACCAATCAAAATTAAGCATTTAACACTGCAGGGTGATTAGTTAGAAAGCTGGGCAATAATGTGTACTAACAGACATACATTAATGAAGTTTACAACATCAAAATACAATTAAAGTCCTTTATTTAGAGATCATTTCAGATAAAGTATTCCTAATTAGGGATTGTGTGGTTTTTATGTAGTCAGGAAATACAACCTGTGTAAGTCTACTTACCCACAATCTCGAAGTTCTTCCAGGTTGGAGGCGTTCCACTCAGAGCCCTAAAGAGGAACAAACACAGTCACTTAATGTCCAAGAATCACTGTGAAGTTATCTGACTTTTTATAACAGGTTTCAAACATTATCAAGGTGAAGGAAGAGAATATCTAATGTAATGGTACATTAGATATAGCACAATGAAAGAAACAGAGTTAATATTTACCAAGTAGACATGGTCAAAGATGAGCGTGGCCTTGTCCATCTGACCAAGAATCAGCAGCATCTCGTTGTCAATGAACTCCTTGTACTCTTTGAGGTTACAGCTCATGTGTTGCTCCAGCTCGTTACGGATCTGAAGACAAAGACAAGGCGGGAGCATGAAACTCTCAGAAAGCCACAAAAACACAAAAGTGCAAATAACATCAATATTTCTGTGCCATAAAACTGAGAATCATAGAAGACATTTATGCTTGCTTTCATAATGCATCAAATCCTGGGTAGTTGCAGGATTTTGACACATCTCTAAATATCTTTAAAACTCACGAAAAAAAGAAAATCAGGTGTCTTTTTTTCTTGGCACTTACTTCCTTAGAGGTAATATTCTCCAGGTCTTGAAACGTCATGATGGTGCGTAGCTTGGCTTTAATGAGACACTCTGTCCTCTCTCGCTCAGTCGGCCTGCACATAATGAGTCAAAGCATCAGTGCTGCTGTATGAAAATTAACATCACAGTGTAACCACATGTTCCTGCAGCTGAAAACAAAGGACAGCCACAAAAGGACAACAGCTGGTGTCGAAACCATTGAAATCTATTCTGTGACTGAGGACATACACACACCACGAGTGTAAGAAACCAGCAGAAAGTGCTCTGCTTTGGTCGCACAAGGATAATAAAACCAGGTTTGGATCAGAGCTAGAGCGATTCATTGAAATAATCAGCATCACATGGAGAGCAGGGCTCAAATTTGATCAAATTAAAAACCATCATCAACAAATAAATGATATCAGTGTTATAAATCAGACAATCTCTCATAAACAGCAGTAGAGAAGCTGATATCACTAGTTTCAATGCTTCAGCTGTGATGTTGTAACCAGCTGCATTGAGCTCCTCACCGGTCAACGAACATGGTGGGCGAGTCCGGCCGTGTCGTCTCCAGGTCGGTCATAGCGTTCCACTCATTGATGCAGCTCTGCTCGGAGGAGATGCAGCTCTCGTAGAAGGCCATCCATGTGAGAGCGGTGCCCCCTGGGAAGTAGTTGAACCGGCGTGACACCTCGCATGCTTTGTGGAGGATCTGCAGGGCAGACCTGCAAAGACACAAAAGAAAAACTTGATTGAAACTTTCCAGGAACTTTGAGGCCACCCTTAGTTTAAGTGTGTTTTCGAACCTAGCCTCTACCTAAACTTTTTGTGTGTTTTAGTATCTGTTTGGCTCAAGTTGTTTTGGTCGATTACCTAAGCTTGCAGCCTCAAAAAGAAAACAAAAAGTGCTTTCTACTGCCCCAGATAGGCTCAGAATATCATCACAGGTGTTTAAAAGGTTTCAAAAATGGTATTTCCTGGGGTCTGATCTTTGTTGTCAGAGCAGGAAAGTGCTGTTAGCTACATGGTTATCCTCAAACCGACCAGTCTCCATCGATAAAAACAGTAATTTCAACTTGGGAGAGACAGGATACAAGTTTCTGGACAATCTGCTACACTGGTTTACGAACACAGGTGCCGATCAAGACAGTACAGGACACACATCTCAAATTCTTACTGAGTTTGGCAGTAGATTCAATACAATGACCGTTTATGTTAAACAGGCACCTTATCTTACCAAAAAGCTCTTGTAATGTCACTATGTATGACTATCTGAGCTTGTGATAGAAAAAGCACAATAATTTAGAGCCTACAATGAGTCAAAAGGGTCCAGATTTGAACACACACTAAACTAAATAAACTGAAATGATGTGCTATGAGGTTTAGGATAGGCTCTCTTTAAATCAACCTAATGTTACATAACGTGTTAATGCTAATATCATTTTCGTCCCAGGTAAACATGACAGATCGACTCACCACATGGCCTGCACGGATACAGGCTTGAAGACATGTGACCGCCCTGCTGTGTTCACACTGAAGCCCCTGGTGAGGAAGAGGAGACAGGAGATCAGTCTCAGAGTCTTGGATGGAGATGATGAAGAGCGGTCATGAGGACATAAAAACACAGAATGGACACGGCTCATTCATGGAACTATTCAGGACGCGGGACCAGTGGAACATTCCTCCAGTGTACAGAGACAGAGTTAACAGGTCAGCAAGAACGGCCCTCACTCACTCACACGTCCACACACACACAGAAAATGCTTGTTATTCACTCCTCTGCCTCTAGAGGGCAGTAAAGCCTAAAAAGCAGAGAGAAGTCAAAGCTACAGCTGCGGGAGTGAATCAGGAAGAGCATTTACAGGGTGGATGTTTTGAAGAAAAACAGGGAAAAACATACCCATCTCCGTCTAGGTGTATGTTGGTGTCACTCCACAGAGGCAGCACCATCCCGATAGAGCAATCTTTGCTGCACATCATAAAGATTCAAGAATATCAGTTCAGTAGAGCCAATAGTGAGATTAAAGTGCACTGTATGTACAACTGCAGGATGCTGAAATACCTGTCTTTGTCCATGAAATCCATTCCCAGGACGATGTTTTCTTCTGTATCTTGATGGCCACTGGTGTAAATTACGACCATGTAACGCACCCGCTCTGTCCATCCACTTTCGAGGCGAACAGCCTGCGAAGCAAAGGCAGAAAAAAAGGTATTTTTACCTGTCATGAGCGAGTGAGACAGCATGAGAACCCCTTAAAACTATTTCTCTGAGACAGCTCATTTTACTCCAGAGACACCTTTTGGATGTAAAGTCATCTTAACCAAAGCAACACGTGAAAAAAAATCATACTTTGATGGTTTTACTGACCAGCTTGATGCGATCTTCAGAGCGCAGGATCTTAAACATGACCTGCAAGTGTTGAGGTAAATCACCTGAAAGTGAAGCACACAGTAAGATAATTGTGATTAAATACTTGAATTAATTTTGTTTATCAACTGAATGTCTTTTTTGACTGACACTGACAACCTCACAGTCCTCTCTTCAGGTTGGGAAAGTTGTGTTAGAATTGTGGGAGCAATAAACTGGCACCCCCAATTATTTCCCTGAGGCAGCCCCTTTTTACTTGTGGTGTCCCCCTAGGGTCTGTTCTGGGCCTGATCTTATTTTCCCTATATGCTTCCCTTGAGGTCCACTTTCCAAAAACACTCCGCTCTGCTTTGCCAGAGACGTACAAATAAACCTGTCTTTGAAATTCAAAGAGACGGTCCACCGCAGCCTTTGCTTAATTGTCTAAAGGAGATTAAACATGGCTCAGCCTGAAAAGGTTGTTGTGTTTGAACATCCCCAACAGTTAGATGTGAGCCCTACCCACCCCCTCTTCAGATTTAGACCTGCTTTTCTGACATCTTCTCTTCGTTATAGTAACTCTTTTCATGTGTGTCTAAAAGAGCATCATCTATTCAGCACCAGCAGCTTGTTTAAAATCCTGCTGTTCACCTACTGACTATGAAGAAAAGGAGAGACCAAACCGCACCCATGCTGCTCTCTTCCTATTGGCTGTTTCAGGGTTGATTTAATTCATCATTTTTTTGGATACTATCTTTCTTAGTTCAACTTCCGCGTGCTCCTATTCCAGCTACTGGGGTCACATAATCAGCTCCTTCTGGACGTGAAAAGCATTGTAAGCCTTCACAGTTGCCACCCCTAACCACTGATCAGGACCCATCTCCTCTCATCATCATCATCATCATCATCATCATCATCATCATCATCATCATCATCATCATCATCATCATCATCATCATCATCATCATCATCATCATCATCACAAATCTCACTCTTTTATACCATCATGATGTATTTATTATGTATTGTTGTTTTCTTTTTGTAGGTTTTTCCTTTAAAAACACTTGAGATAACCTTGTTCCTTTTTAAACGTCTTTAACTTGATCAATTAACCTTCACATTTATATTCTGTTAAGCTCAGAGAGGTTTTGACAGAAATACTGAAAAAACTTAACAGGACAACAAGCCCACAACAAGCTGAACTACAGAGAAAAACGGTACAAAAATTCTTCTACTGTGCCTTTAACACTCCTTTATTTAGTCGGAGAAAAAATGTTAGCAGATAATTCTTACTATACAAAAATTTAAATCCTGTGACTTTCTAGCGGTGAGCAACACCTCATGTAGGAACCGACTTCTCGCTTTGTTTTTGTCCTCAAGTGACTCCACACCCGTCGTGGACGGCGGGATAGAAACTCAGTAGCAGCGAGTATCTAAAAACAAAAACGTCTCGGATGCTTCAAAGCTTAAACACGAACAGGTTTTTATTTTTAGATCGTGCAGAATTATGCCACGTTTGACGGCCACTTTGAAGTGTGGCGGAGTGTAGTAACAGTCTGCTAAATTTGCAGGAGCCAACAGAAAGAGAGGACATCAAGCTTTTAGAAAAAAAAAGCACTTTTTGTCAAAACAGATCAAACTCAGTGTAGTTTGAGGGAAGAGGTGAATCTAGGTGAATTCAGGAATTTAGCAGCTTCAAGTATTTTCTTCTGGTTGTCTTTGTTTTCTGGTTTCAGGACCATGACAGCTTTAGCTGGAATTTTTCCCTCTCCTTACTTTTAATTGGTTTCGTTAGCAAGTAAATGTTTCTGGCATTTGTGCTTTAAGTCACAACATTTGGATAGCGAAAGAACAGACTAAGAGCAAATTTCCTTTAGGAAGCTGTAAGTAAACTGCGCGAGACTCAGTCCTTTTTTGAAGTAACCTTGTGAGCTTCTACTGAGTTCAACTGCAGGTCACCTCGAGTCAGATTTAGCTCTCTATCAGCTCCTCATCGTTTTTCAAACTGTGAGACAAACCCACAAAGAGAAAAGCACCCTCAGCAGAACAAGTCCCCCTCTCTTCTGGAGCGTGTTTGTTGCAGAGCGTACACAGAATTTGGGCAGAAAAACAAGACACAAAGCTTCCTCTGTGTGCGTTTGTTCCTACCTGCGTGTTTGTGATGGGTCGGGGTCTTTGGTCCTTGTGTGCTGCCGCCCTGCTGGAGGAAGAGGGCAGCTCCTTTGACCATAAAGAAGCTCTCACTGAGGCTGAAGGAAAAAGAAAAAAAAAAACGATTATTTCTGGCTTACAACTGCTATCAATGACTCATCTTGTTGGAGACAGGCTGAACCTCATCTTCCTTACACCTTACCGTACAACTCAACATTTTCTAGATTGATTTAAATTCACTTTATCAATAAATACAATTCACTCCAAACAAAAGATATTCTTTCTACTATTAAAAAAGTGAAAGACAACAACAAACTTCTCAACCGAGCAGCTAAACTCAAACAATACTAGGGATGCACGAATCCCCTTTACTCCGATACAGATATCTATAGTTTAGTAGCAGCTGGTACCGATCCAATTACCAATACAGAACAGCTACGCAGAATTAACTTTTGTTGTAACCTGAAGTTTTACCCCTCGCCCCTCGGAACGTTTACTGCGCAGGTATTGCAAGTGGCCATCGAGCTTGTAGGCTGAGGTATTGTGATAATTGATTTGCTTGCTCCATTTTGAAAACAATGTAGGCCTCCGCTCAGCGTGTTAACTTGCCGATGCCACTCACGGTGCATAGCATAGAGTTAGACTGAATAGATGGGCTCCTGTGCATCGGTAGCCTGGCTGGGCCATCCTGTTGCGTGAATCACTTGATGTTCCTTCCCACCACAGTCTGGACTTCGGCCCATAGAGAGTGTGTATTCCCGATCAGAAAATAACCGGGCCAATCGGAGACCGTGTTTCCACTGTTACCAGGACAACAGGGAAAGGCAGCCCCTGATTGGTCCATGTGTAGTGGTGACGTCTAACACATGCTGCGGGACTTTTCAAAGCCCCATTCATTCAGAACGCTGTTAATTCTGCAGTTGACTCTGCAAAGTCGGCAGAAATCATTTATATACAACGTCTTCTGCGTATATAAACAATTGGCCCGGTTATTTTCTGATCGGGAATACATGCTCTCTATGGGCCGAAGTCCAGACTGTGGTGGGAAGGAACATCAAGTGATTCACGCAACAGGATGGCCCTGCCAGGCTAGTGCATCGGCCCATTGTCACGATACCTGATCCAGAATTTTTTTCAGTGTGGGGACCGATACTGATATCAAATATCGAATCGGTGCAACCCTAACATGAAAACAACAAAAACTTTAGTAATTCAGCCAAGCCCCTCACCATGTGTAGTTATGCATAGCTTTCAGCCTCAATATAACCAACATAGGTGAGTTGTATCAAAACTCAGCCCTTGAGCCATTGTTACAAATGCAGAAATGAGGTACATTAACTGTAACAGGAGGCTTATTGGTCTTTGGAGTCAGCCTAAAATGGACACTATGCTTTTCTCTCTTTTTTTGGACTCATTGGTTTCATTTTCCAAAACCACAGACAGACACTTTTTGCTCAGACGTATTTTTCATCGTAACAATGAGCGCAGAAGGATGAAAAGTAGCAATAGGTAGAGCAGGTTTATATATACATGTAGAGTCCAGGTGTTGGCTGTATGTTTAATGAGTCCTGATTGGATAACAGAAAACTCAAGTCAGCCGTCTGGACGTACTGACTTTATGACTCTTGAGTTTTATACCACAGTGAACTAACTAACTCTACATGACCTCTGCTGAATCAAGTGCTACCTCGACCATTAAAGGTACGCACATGCTCACGCTCAAAAACTTTCCCTGTCTCATCTGTGTCGGACTCAGCACTTCTTGGTCATGACTTTGCTGTGAAGGCTGCAGTTAGCGACAGGAGGGATTTTAGCGTCTTTTCTCACACAGAACAGAGTACAGCTTTGTTTAAGAGCACCACACTCTCATTCCCAGCTCAACCAACACTCACAAAGCCTGGTATGACTGAGTGGGACCACCACAAGGCCTTTTGTTACAGCTCTACTGCCATGTGATAGCATTGTTTCTCTTCCAGTTATGTAAAATACATGAGAAATGGGGAAAATCTTCAGGTGGCTCAATCCAGCCCAAACTGAGAAACCCCTCTCTGTAGGTCATTAAATGTCCTAAAACTGCAGTATATGCCTCGAGTACTGCCTTCAGTACAGTATCAGGTCTTAACAAGTACGTGAAACAATGTTTTCAGGTAATCATCATGTGACAAAAGCAAAAAACAGAGTAATGTAGCAAAAGGAAGGAGTCCTGCTCACCCTCTACGGACTCACATAAATCACTCGTTCACTTAACACAACCACATCAGCATACTATCATATTATCTATAAAGACAAAAGGTCTCATACTTACACATAAAGTCATCAAACTATGTCAAGTTTTCTTTAAATGATGTAACTTACATGCGACAGATCTCCCTCTGATCAACAAAGTGAGGCAGTATGTCAAACACAGATTTATGTGATGGTTTCACAACCAGATACATCCTGCTGTTAGTTTCTCGACTGTTCTTAAAAATTTAGCGTCCTCTTCTTAACTTTCTTCCACAAATCTTTTACACTCTTCTGTCCATATCCACAGTCAGGGCGCCGGATATTTCAGCTCAACCGTTCTCGTCCTGGTCCTAGTCTGGCAGGTTCTTCTCCCCACAGCTTCCTCCTTGTCTCTCCTCGTCCTTGCTGCCCTATCCTCTCAGTGACTGCTCCCCATCTCCTCTTTACAGTGCCTGTCCTGCCATCAGTCCAGCCACAATAGCATCATTCATCTAAGTGCTGGGAGGCACTGGAAAAGCCACTTGGCGTCAATCTTGAGCTTAACAAGAGGAATCCTAAATTAAAACTCCTCGCTGATGAATGAATAACCGAGCAGGAGAAACGTGTTGCTCATTCAGAAACTCTTGGCATGACATAACTGTCTCATCTGTGTGACCCCACCCCCCGCACACACAAAGACATACAATCACAGACACACGAGGTGAAAACAAAGACGAGTCTGTGTCAAAGCTTTGCTGACATAAATCATGACTTCTGTGACGTCGGCGGATCAAAGAAAAGCATTGTGAGCACGCAGAAACAACAGTTTACCTACCCCCCTGTTATGTAACTGAGTCAAGAAATCACTCAAAAATCCTGTCATGGTAAATCAGCTGTATTTCCATCAGGACATGAGGGAAAATAAACTGAATTATTGATTTTAATTGCTGCTTTAATTAAATTTAATCTATGATTTATTATAAATATTCTCATTAAGGTGCGTAGTCAAGGAATAGCAGACAAATATCGAATGAAGATATGAATGATTGGAGCAAAGAAGACTATAACAAGGAAGTGGTTACAACCCAACTCACTGACACTGGAAGACTGGCAAGGAACTGTTTACGAAATTTACATTATGGAGAGACTGACATTTGCTCTGAGACTACAGTCAGGGACATTTAAGAGACGTCGGTCAAAATGGATCAGATATATAAGAGCACAGAGACCTGAACTGCTCTAAATACTACTAATACATGGCTTGAAGTACCAGACTACTAAACTACAACTGAGAACTGATATTGGTGGATCTTGTGGAGAATGAAGAAATTTGACAGCCATTGTTCAAATGTTCATACTTTACATATTACAAAATGAAAGGGAGTGTAATAGACTGGAGAATGTGTTAGTCTACTGTTTGTTTGTTTGCGACTAATGTGTAATTGTGATTGGACTCGTTTTGTATATTTCTCCCTGATAAAAAATAAAAAATAAAAAAAAATAATAATAATAATAAAATATTCTCATTAAGAACCAAGTTTCTTTCACAACCGAGTTTCATTCCAAAAAGTTTAAAAAAAGGAAAAAAAAAACAAAGAAAGAAAGTGAGGAATAGTTAATGAGAGAAAACATCACAGAAACAGTAAATAAATAATTAAAAATGAACAGATGTGTAAACAATTCCTTATCGATGCCATTATCGATACTGCTTATCGATTCAATTCTTTAACGATTCCCTTATCAATGCCTCTCTTTGATTAAAAAAAAAAGTAGACTATAGGTTTTTACCATTAACTTAAAATTCTATTGAGTCTCTGATAACAGAAAAAGATGTATGCCACTTTCAGTGAGAGTCTAAATATAATCAAACAAAAATGCTGTTTGTGCTGCATTTCTGGCATACATTGTGTTTATGTAAACACAGGACATACGTTAGGGTGACCATATTCTGAATCCCCAACAAGAGGACACTACTATGCGGGGCGGACTTGTGTGTGAAACTTTGAGGGGTTTTTTGGTCGGCTCTTCTAACTCAGTTAAACGTCTAACTCAGTTTTTTTCTCTGTCTCTGTTCCCGTTTGCGTAGACTGGCATTCGCGAGACTGTTTTTCGAGGCACCTGGAAGAAAGGAATCGTTAAAGAAATCATTAAGATAAAATGTAAATGATGTTGATGGATTGAACCATTCGGAACCAGTTGTCAACAAGAACCGGTTCTGGATTCCCATCCCTATGTCAGAATGGGCCTTACTCTAAACTGCTTCAGCCTGCCTACTCTTGCTGCTTGTTCCACAAACCATGTTGCACCCTAGCTTTCTTTTTATGCTGCGTCTGGTTTTACCTGTGTCACATGTATTGTCCCCTACGCTCTCAATGTTCTGTACTCTGGCTGATCTTTGCTGCTGCTCTACTTGCCTTAGCTTTTCGTGCATGCAAATGAAATGCCCTACCCCGCTGCAGGCTTCTGCATTCCACATATGCACTTGGGAGATCCTCTTTCACAGCATGTTGGATATTGAATTATTCTAAAGATACTCCAGCAGCTCAGAGAAACCATTCAGTTTTCACCCCGTAACCTGCATTTTGTCTCCTCTACATTCAACACTGCACCACAATATCCCTAAACACAGGTGGCAGAGATTTGCGCTCCACTGAAAAACACTGCTCTGGTGAACTTAAACATATTCACAAGCCCTGCGTACGAGTTTCCTGAAAAACACAGATTCACAAGTGTGTACACTGAAAAAAAGGAAAACTGTTGCTCCTTTTTCCAAAGAAGTCAAACCCACTGAAAACTTTTCTCCTGGATTTCCCCTTTGTTGCTACAACAGAGGAGAGTTGGCTGATTCAGGGTCAGAAAGCCCACTGACCACAAAATGCATTCCACTGAGTCAGAAACACTAAACATCTGCATTGAGAGCTCCAAACACTCCACTTTCTAAACAAAAAGCTCTTACCTCTGATTGTTTTTGCGGTCATCATCGCTTCCAAAATCCTAAAAGACAAAAACAAAGCAGAAATTTCACAGACTGCTGCACAACCATGCTGTCTAACATTAGTGTGGAAAACATTTGTTTGAGAATTTAAAAGTCTCCCCTCTCTTCTAACTTAAACACAGATGTTTTGCTGAGACTGGATTCATGTACAGACCCGGTCATTTGGAGGCCGAGAATCATGGGAACCTGGTACATGAATACTGCGATAAACATCTAAGTGTGTATTTGGAAAGGCTACAGAGCCACATGAGCAGAACATATCAGCACTTTTTGGACCTTTACGTGATAAAAAAAATCCCACCCATCACATTTTCATTTCTGCTGTAATGCACAAAGTGATATTAAAAACCCAACTTCTCATCAGAGGAGGAATGTTGCTGCTTATTTTTGTGCCAAAGCTCAGTCAGCCTTTCAGAGCGCGTAATCCACTCTCCTAAAACTAGAAAGTAGAGCACTAACCCTGATGTTATGATTTCACTGGGCGCTGCTCCACATTTGAATGTCTGACTTTGTTTGATACTAAGATTTGCAAATGCGGCTTAACTTGTGCTACACTGCCACAAATTGCTTCTTATGTCAGGAGCTGAAACCTGACTGCTACTTTCTAAGGCTTCAACATAAGAAACAAATGCTTTTTCATTTTAGTGTTACGGGGAGAGTGCGGTAAGATGAGCCATTTTTCATATTTGGGATCACTACATCAAGGCAATCAGAGTTTTGTCTCTAACTAGTGTATCTGCATAAATTTCAAGATGTTGTTCATCCCTGCAAACCAACAGAATGAGTGTAAACATAACTGTCTTGATAATATAGCATGCCAAAAAAAGTGGTCTCCTACGGTCAACTTACCCCGTTTATGGGGTAAGTTGACCCCTAAATAACAGTCACTTCTTCACATTCATGTGTATATTATTTATATTATACGCTATTCAACTGGTACAATCATTATTTTTATTATTATTGCATATAGGCCTGGGCGATTTGGCAAAAAAAATGATCACGATATATTTCGTCATATCGTCCGATCTCTATTATTATCACAATTTTTTTTAAACTGCCTGTTTTAAGGCATTTGTACTAAAAACTAAGGAAACTAGAGATTAGTTCAACATTATTAACATACAAAGTAAATAACAAAGCAAACTGAATAAGATACACTTAGTCCTGAGCATTTTTGAAGGTATGCAAGACCCAAAATAAACAAATCTCCCCCTCAGAGATAATGAAGACGCTTTAAAATGTAAACATTAGATGATGTAAACGTAAATGATACGATTAATCGCTGCCTAGGTCTGGTGGCTGCACCGCTAGTTGTGGCTAATCTGCTAATGCTACTCGTGCCGTCAGCAGTGGCAGGCTCACATTTTCATGCTTTCCACATAATCACTCAGGAAGTACTTCTTCAAATAATTAAACAGATTTGTTGTGTAGCCGGTTTTTGAGGACACCGATCGCCAACATACCTTGCTCATCGGCTTAATTTCTCTACGTCACTTTGGAGATACCAGAACCACCGCCACGCATCTGACGTTGAACAACTTCTCAACAATAACATCTTCGGAGAATAACTCAAAGTCATGGCTGACAACTACTTGCTGCCCTCAGCTCTGCGTGTAGCTCCATGTTCGGCCATTCTGTTTACGTCTCCGACATCTTACAGAAGTAAGCAGGAAAAGCTCGACTCTGATTGGCCGTTGTGACGCACATTTCCTCTATGTTTGATCGAGTAAATATGCTCTCAGCTGATCATTGTGATTCAGAACATTCACAGCTGTATTTTTGAAAAGAAAAAGTCAAACATTTCAACAATCTGAACTGAAACTCTGATCCTCTCATCAGACTTCTTTACTTTCTCTGTTAAACCACTGGCTCAACTTTCTCCAGAACTACTCTGATGACTTTATCAGTCCTCTAAGCTAAAATGGTGGACTTTTTTGGAAATAAATGTCTAACCCCTTCACCCATGTGCTTCTAACCTTCACAGACTCCATGAATTGATGCCCATTTCCTAAATATTTGGTCACATGATCAATTTCTTTTTACCATTTCCAAGCAACTGGGGGTGGCTCAACTTACCCTCTGGCTCAACTTACCCCACTCTCCCCTACTCCAGACCAGCCTATCCAACCAGTCCTGTATGCTGTGATTATTTCTGGGTGTAACCCTAAGGAAGGCGCCTTGTTGCATTTCTTACAAGATGACACAACAACATCCCACACCATATGGTTGTTACTTAAGTGACATCACTGAGGACGTGATTTTCTCAAGTTCATGAACACTTGACTGTAGTTTCCTGGGGCACACACTCAGCAAAACTCCCAAAAAATGATGTAATTCTCCTTTAAAGTCTCCTCCCATGCTCTAGGGCTGCATTACTGTAAATAAAAACCATTAACCAGGAGGGAGGACAACCTGAGTCCAACGCAGTGGATGTTTGTGCAGCAGCAAAATGAGCACTTTGTTCTAACAGCTAAACCCAGCAGCCTCCCCCTCCCCCCTGTGGAGGATTTTGTTTACAAATCCGCAGCCACAAACAACTCTCCACTTGGAACAATGCGACCATAAATCAAGTTTTTAGCTCCCGCAGAAATTGATAAAGTACGGTTAACTCTTCATGTTTAAAAGACAAACTGATAGGAGCACCTGAGCGTCTTCTGACACCGCGTACACAAAGACACCTCCCCGACTTTCCCACCTACCTCCCCCGCGCTGCTGTTGGTCGTGCTAGCCGAGGACGCTGCACTCGGGGTGGGGGAACGCTGCAGAGTCACCAGGGCCATAGTCGCTGTGCTGCAGCTTTGGAGGGCAGCAGAGGAGGAGAGGAGGAGGAGGAGGAGGAGAAGGGAAGGGAGGGGAGGAGGAGGAGGAGGATGAGGGAAGATGCGCGGCTGAGGTTGTCTCTGTCACCGGGGAGAAAATGCCTAGTCAGACTCTCATCCAGCGGCACCTGACTCCACAGTCCATCGGTCTACGAGGCTCCCCTTTCGGTCCTAAACCATTTGCCCTCTGCGGTTTCCGAGGTACTCACGAGCGGAGGTGTTTTCTTCGTTTGTAGCGAGGTAACGTTGACGGCAGACCCCGCAGATTCATCCCTGGTGCGCAGACAGACAAACAAAACACGGTGCAGGTTGCAAGCAGGGCAGAAATGACATGCAGCTTTGCCGGGCGCCTGTGATTGGCTGGCCTAGTTCGCGTGCGCGCTGTCATTGGGCCAATGTTGTCAAGGTGACTGGCCAGACTAGGAACTCCCAAATACAAATGATGAAATTATCTTCTGCTCGTGCGAGAAGCGAGGAGCACATAATGTTGAGTAAGGCTGTAGTTATATTAATAATACATTAAACTACTCACAAACACTGTGCTCTGTGTAGGCTTTCATCAAAATCAAACAAACAGAAAAAAATGCAGTAAAAATTTAACAAAATCCCGGATAATGTCACCAAAAGAGTTGACGAAAACGACAAAAATTAAACGATAAAAGTAAAATAATATTATTAATTTAGTTCAGTGTAAAAGAGGGGCTCTTTGAAGGATTTTGGGCCCCCACGATTAAAAAAAAATAGTTAACTACTAAATTAACTACCTAATATTTGTAGGCAGAGTCGGCCCAAGCCTCTGTGGGGCCCCAAGCAAAATTTGATTTTAGGGCCCTCTATTTCTGCCAATAATATTGATCATTCACACACCTTCACAAATTTCTTTAACATACCATGACATGCAAACATGCCCTTATCTTGGCGTTTTTTCTCTTCTTCTTTATTCTTCATCTTTCTTTTCTCTGCTCCTGAAGGAAAGCTCCTTTTCTGCGACATTGTTTTGCCCCACAACTACCTGCGCTTTGGATGCTCAGTGCACAATGCACAGCAGGAGGCACATAACGGTAGCGAAGCTTTGACATATCGGCAGTAAGAATCATAGGCCTACATCAGCAGCAGCACTAAAATGTTTTTACTTTATTTTATTTTAATTTCACAATAAAATATATTTAAGCATACAGAAAGTATCACTCATATATGCAAAAAATTAAAAACATTTTTAAAATATTTATTTTTTTGATTTCTTTTGGGGGGCCCCTACTGACCACGGGGCCCTAAGCAGGCACTTAGTTCGCTTATGCCTTGGGCCGGCTTTGTTTGTAAGGCTCTTGTCTGTAACAGGGCCCCTTGAGACTTAAATAAAGCAACCCTGATGTTAAGACAATATTAATTATGGCAATGAACTCAATCATCAATACACTTGAGAATTTTTTATAAGTACTCTCTGGTGTTTGTCACTTTCATATGGAAGTCCTTGGTGGACATGGATCCATGAATTTTATCTTATCTTGAAATAACCAAAACCGTTTTCTGAAAATAACTGGTTTATTTTATGGCAATCCTTAAAATAAAAGATAAATGGTAAGTTAGGGGTGACTGTTGTGTTTTTGTGCTTTATGAATATGAATTATTGTTCAAGTCAAGATCTTAAAAAAAAAACTGATATTAACTATTTTTGAGGAAAACAGTTAATTAAAAGTGTATGTGCATGAACATTTTTGGCATACGAATTTTGGCTTAGATTACTTGAAAAGTCACTTTTAAAGTAGTTCTAAGCTTTAACCCTTTTATTGCACAAAAATCAACATAAATATATGTACACAAACAGTATATATTACATCATTTTGATAAAAAAACAAAAAACATATACAGTATGTCTACACCTTTAAATGTTTTGTCAAACATGTAGCCCCAAACAGAGCTGGAACACTGGATCTTCTTTTTTACAATAGTTCCTCCTTCCTTGAATTCTGGTGCTCAAACCAGCACAAGCATAGGTGCACTCCCACTCTTTTAGAGGACATTGGAAGTGGGCTTTTCTTCAAGTATCATTTCCTGCTTGTATTGAGAGGGTCTATTGTTGCTTCAACCCATCAGAAAAACTCAGCCCATAGTTTAGGCAACAGTTTCTTCTGAGGCATTTTGTGTTCCTCCAGGTTGATTTGTTACTAGGAATTTGTAGTACCATTTGATTGTTCAGTGTTTTTGTTAGTATGTCTGGCCTCTGGGTCTGTGTTGGACTCCTGAAGATTCCTGCCCAGTGTCTCAATAGGCAGGATCAGGGCTGCTATGCCAGCCAGCAGACAGCAGCCACAGTACATTGACAGGGTCAGATACACCGACTTTCTAAGCATCACCTGAAAAAAACAAAACACATAAACTATAAAGAAGACATATGACTCGTGAAGTGGAGTTGGTATTGTACTTATGATAAAAATGTCTTTGCAAGTATTGACAAAGGTCATCATCTCCGCTTACCTGTGCCACAAAAGGGGTTATTAAAGCACCCACTCTTGCCATTGCACTGCAAGTCCCCATTGCCAGTGCTCTGTTTTCTGTAGGGTACACCTGATAATTAAGAGAGAGAGAGGGTGCTTATTTTCCATATCCAAAACTATCCAAAACAAGTAATTCTTAATGTTAAGGTAACCCACCTCTGGTGTATAGACAAAAGCCACTTGGTATCCTCCAGAGATAAATGCTCGGGCAATAAAGATGAAGATTGTAAGTGGTATCCTGAATAGACAATAAATCAGAGAGATCAGCTGTGTTGTTTCAATGCTGCTACTGTGTCAATATACTCGACACCAAACAAATATAAACTCACCTCTCAATACAGGCATACAAGGGCAGAATACACAGAGAAAACATGAAGAAACATAATGCCATGCTCTTCTTCCTGCCAATACGGTCGACAACAAGAAGGACGACTAACAGACCTGAAACGAACAGAAACACAAATCCTTTTTAGACACACACACACAAAAAACAACAACAGAAACAATACTTAAGTTGCAACAGTAGTACCGCCCAAGCCACTCCCTTAAAACAACACAATGTGTTTATCCTGGACTCCTGAGGCGACAGGCCTTGCAGAGAAATGTGTATATCGACAAGCTTGAAAAACTTGAAACCTGTTCTTACAGTTAAAATTAAACAAAAGTTGAAATGTGTGCTCAACATTACTATTGGCACCAGCGTCATGAAGGTCTTCAGTTTCAATGAGACATCAGAGTTTTAATGATATGCTAACAGTTAGCATTTTACCTGGGAATTCAGCTAAGGTTGTCCACAAAAGGTCTTTGTAGTCAGCTGATGTCAAATGTTTGCACTCCAGACTACAGCTTGGTTCAATTTTCGCCCCATGGGCTGCTAAAAGGGTGAAAATAAATGATTAATGAATATTAAAATGTCAATAATGAATGAATCAATAAGGTTTTATCTTTATTCAAATTAAACCCCATTATGTGATGTTTTAAAATCTGATGCTTGTGGAGCAGGTATTACTTACATCCACATGAATCTCCAGCCTGAAACAGCTCAGTTGTCAACAGGACAATCCCATAATAGGAGAAGGCATGAACAAACCTAAAGTTAAGACACAAACAAACAAACAAACAAAGCTGTATGATAAAATGTCTTAAATACACAATTAAAGCATAAACCAGCTCTTGTTTGTATCCCTGTTGCCTTGACTCAGCACACTGTGTATGTACCCAACATCATATGCTTTTGATACATCAACACAAACAGACTAAAACAGACTTTACAGGACAATCTAGCACTAGTATTATGTCTGGTGACCTAGATGCTGATACTGATATGATGATACCAATCCCAATGTTGTGTGTGCCCATTGCATTTTAGTAATCTATCTGTGCCAACATTTACTTAGGATTAAATAATGTTTAATCACAGTATTAACTGAAATGAAAAAAGTCTTCTGATTAAAACCTGCCTAAAGGGCTCATATCATGTCGGTCTGTTTATGTTGAATTGTGTACTTTGAAATATGCGCTCAACAGCCCAGGTTTTCTGGAGGGTATCTGTAGCTACTTGTTTCTGTGAATGACTTGAAAAATGTTCCTTTTTTATTAGTGGGGGGTCAGTAACAACAAAAAACAAACAATCAAATGAAGAATACTGGAGTATGATATTGGCTAAAAGGTTAGGGTTAACATCAGAATCATCACAGATTTTCCTGACCAGAATATCCTTCCCAATCTCTTATTTCATAAATCAATCAAGTATTGATTCAAATTGATTTTTGAATGTTTATTGAAAGCACAAAGAAAAAACTCCTGTCTTACCATATAAACCATAGAAGAAGAGTCGTTTTCCAGTAATGAGGGGAAAACAGTTCTTTGATACGTCCGCGATCGGCCTGAAATACGAACATAATAGCTCCTCTCAGTGTTTTAAACCATTTGGAAGTCCATTAGATACACATCTCTATTTCTTGAACAGAATCACTAATATTTTAACAGGGAGATTCACCTGTTTGAAGGAGCCGGTCAGCTTCCCTTTGGGCATGGCCTTTCCATTGTCTTTAGCAATACGTTTTAAAGTTGCAACAGCCTTTTGCTGTTTTCCTGTCAGCACATCAAAACGAGGACTTTCAGGCAGCCACTGTCAAAAACACAGAAGGGTTATCTTGTGTGTTTCACTCAGCTGGTATATTGGTTGGATCTCTAAAAAGAAAAAAACACTTGAGTACTTACAAAGCTGAGGCAAAGAAAAAGAACCATTGGTATTATGGACAGGCCGAGCAACCACCTCCAACCAAGGGTAGGCATTACCCATAACGCCAAGAGGACCTCAAACACAGCACCAATCGCCCAGAATGCCTGGTGCCCACACACATAAAAAAGCAAATTAGCTACAGAAGTGACCTAGTTATGGATTTATGACTCAAAAATATTAAAAATTACCGCAATCATCATGATGGAGATGCCTCTGGTCTTTGCTGGGAGGAATTCTGAATACATTGTCACCCTAAAAAGACAGTTTGTGGTTAAAATATGAAATTCGTAAAAGGTTAATGTTGTTGAATAAAGGGACAGACTTACGCCTGAGGAGCTCCACCAATGCCCAAGCCCACAAAGCCTCGCAGGAGCAATAGCCAGCCGTACACCGGAGCAAAGGCACTCAGCAGGCCATAGAATAAAGTCCAGCACATACACATAATCAGACCCTAAGAAATTCACAGAAAACATGGGCTCAAAATTGAATTATATACATAAATCTTTAAATCAAATGTAAAAAAAACAACAACATGAAACTCACAACTCTTCTGCCGTACTTGTCGGACACATTACCCCATATAGGTGAGCTGATCCCAGTGCCGATGAACACCACCTGACGCCAAAACATAAGGGTTTTTAAATATTTGAAATTGAATAGTCTGAAAACGAACAGTTTTTCTTTGAGGGCCTTACCGATGTTATGAGAGCCACCTGATAACCTGGCAGCCTCCACTCACAATGCAGCTCAGGGGCCAAAATACTGAGAATCATCATCTCCATGGCATCTCCTATCTGCATACACAAGGGGGGAGGCAGCATGAGAGACATCTCAAATCACACTGAGGAATTTCCTGCACATTTTTTTTATATTTTTACCCATGATAGTCCAGTGAGGAGACAAATTTTCCACTGGAACTTTCCATAGCCAAAGGCCTCTAATGCATCTTCCACTGTAAAAGTATCTGTGGAGGGGACAAGTCATTACAAGTTCACAGCCTGCTGACACAAACTGAGAAGCCATGATGATGTTTCAATCATATTTAGACTGAGTAGAATTAGCACAGAAGCTGACCAGATACTTGAATTTAATATCAGCGTCATTCACTGTTTGGCATCTCTACAACGACTCCAAGTACAGGAAGGTACAGTTCAATGTAGCACGGGTCAGCTCGAGTCCTAACAGGCTTTTTAACGTGTCTGCACAGAATCCTTTCTGCCTTTGCACGTGGGTAAGACGAGGGGTGTGAAGTATAGGAGGAAAGGGCTGGTTCCAGGATGACAGGGCTTACTGTTGAGCCTTTTAGAGATGTTTTGGTCCAAACTTGAGAAAGCACATGTGAAGGGAGGTGCCCACTTGATCATTTCATGGTTGGGGTGTGAGGGACATCAGGTAATATCAGCCCTGAGGGAATCTGGGTCTAATGGAGGTGTTGGGTCACAGTGGTAGTGAGCAGTCTTTTGGTTTCTTATCAGTAGGGGGAAAAGCATCAGCGTGAGAGTCCCTGAGCCTTTACTGTTTTTAATAAGGGGACAAGTTTCTTATTCTTATCACAGATTTAAAAAACATTGAGGTTTGCAGTTGGAAAAACTGTCAATTTTGATTGCATGTATTCCTTAAATTTCTAAATATAGCAAAGAGTTGAAGTTTAAAATACAGTGTCCTACTCACCTTGTGTTTTATCAACCCCAGATCTGGATGAAGACTTTCGTACCCCTGCGTCGACTGCTGAGGCTATCGTGCAGATCTCATTGTCTGTTCCCTGAACTTCATCATTTTGACCCACAAAATTGGCCTCACCCCTACATGCCGGCACACAGACAGCGGAAATACAGAATAGATATGAAGTTTGAACCTTTAGGCAACACTTTGGTATGTAAACACAGCAATGCAGGTTTCCTCAGCACTATCTGCCCATTTAACGTCACAGGAAGAGAGAAAATCAAACACTCAAAATCTTGTTGTTGCTTACCCCGGCTCAGGGTTTCTCCACCGCTTGTAGGTGATGGTAGGTGTTCTGCCCCAGTTGTCCATTTTTTAGTGTTTTGAGAGGAAGAGAGCGGAAACCCTGCTCATAGTTAGCACACTGGTATTGTGGTGAAACCTGCTGGAGCAGTCACCTCAGGTTTCTGTGCAACACCCAATCAGAGAACAATACCTGGGGAAAGGAGAAGGGAGGGGCTACAACAGGAAACCACTCTGTGCTAATCCAGGAGTGAATGGACTGAAGCTATAGAGATAAATGCACCTGAGATTTGTTTAAATTAGGCAGTTATCTCAAAATGGTTGCATTTTGTTGAGCCAAAACATAGAAGGAGCACATCTGTAAATTGTGAATAATCTCTGCACAGCTCTGATTTATGAATTTATATTTCCTGTTAAAGATTAAGGTGAAAACAAATGAAAGCTCCCAACAAACACAACATCAAATTCACAGTTTTTAACATTGAGTTGAATGAAAAACGTGAATCTACTTAGAGAAGATAAACCAGTCCTTATTAATCTGACATCATCTACTCAGTCAAAGCTCCTAGCTTAGGTTCTTATCCACTGGGACAACAGTAGGCTGAGCTTAAGCTTAATTAAGTAATCATCAAAGTGGAGAGACAGATACTGAGGAGGTGTGTCTGTAACAACTATGTTTACAAGACAAAGGTAATGCAGCATGTGAGGGAAAAGGCTCAGACTTAGATGTGGAGTAAAGTGAACCATGATTTGATGCGATGTCAAGACAAGACAGGACAGGAGGGTGGCGTCGGGAGCGGATTTTAAACTATAAGACTTTGATTCCTCCTCCAAACAGCTGTCGTAGCCTGTAGCTAACAGCAGGTTGTGCTGTTGTCCTTCTTGTCTTGTTGGTGGTGGTTGGTTATTGGGGGCCAGAGGGCTTCAGAGTCTGTTAAACACTGTCTGTCCTACACGACCCCTCAGGTGAATGGGGACAACCTGAAAATAAAGTAGACATAAAGTAGGACACTGTGAGGACATGCTGAGGCGGCTGCATGATGGGACAGCCATAAATACAGGTGGAATATACATCACATTACTCTGTCCTCACACCCCCAGTCACATCTGCAGGAACAACACAGAACATCAGCAGAGCCTTAACAACATGAACTCAGAGGTAAGATTTGCACAGACTATAGTAGGTAACTTATAGTATTCCCAAAAAAATAATTTTTAGTTTTCAAATAGAGATGAACAATACTTCAGGCAGATATTTTATGAGTCTGAACTGCATGCAGAAAATGATTTGTTTTGTGAGTCTGTCTTTTGTTGTGTGTTGCGCTCACTCGATGCCTGATTTCGAAACGCACAACCTAACAGCATGTTTAGGTGTTTAAGTCATGACCCAGCAACACAATCTGTTTTCTCACATGAATAAAGAATTAGTAGAACGTTTAGTGGTTTGAGAGTCATTGAGCCTGTGAATATTCATTTAAAAGAGGAGACTCAAGACGATGTAGACATCAAACCTGTCTGTGACTCCTTAAAAACTAAACCGTCATGGGGTTTTATTTTACCAGGTCTCATAGCTCAGACTTGGACTGCTGTGCTTACAGCTGCATGTATATACCCACACTGTTATGCAATTCTTTGTAGCTCTTAGTGGCTTTTGCTAAGGAACTGTAAGCCAATAGTATGAGAAAAATGAGTTTGGGCAAATCAGTGTTCATGTTCCCAGAATACTTGCCCAACTATTCAAGTGACAACTTTAAAGCTCATGGAGTTTTTTTGCTGGTTGTGAAACAGACTAAAATTAATACCAAGGCCTTTTAATAAACTCAAAGATCAAACAAGACCATTAACAAAAAGAGTAAATGTATGTAATTAGTCATATTTAATGTCTGAAACAGAGGTTGTACCATACTGATAAATGTCTTTTATATGTGCGATAGAAAAGGATTCTAGATGACAGATAGATTTGACTGCATAAAGAAAGCAGAATGACATTCTTGTCAAGAAAAACAAATTACATGAGGTGGTAGCATTAAGTATTAATATGATGCAATCTAAATACAAAATTAACATTTTTGGGACTCCTGACAAAAGCAAATGCAATTGTATTAACAGGGAATTATTGGGCGTCAGAGTGTTATCTGATGTCTCAGAATAATAACGGACTATGTTAACTTTGATTCGGCACTCTGTACACACCCTCCTGCTTATATCTTCCTGTTTTCTTTTAAAAGACAAACTGTATTTGACAGACTGCATTTAACATGTTGAGGATGTCTCCTCCTCCAAGTCATGGTTTTAGACCACACACTGCTGTAGCAGTGCAGCATTTATTTTAAAGCTCCTGTTAGGAGTTTTATGATGTTTATTAAATAGACTGAAAATCATACTGGTGATTTTTAATGATATGAAAAAGATCATGAGTAAACAGTCTTTATACTGTAATTTCTGATACCTGAAAGTGCTGTGAGGGGGTCTTAACTGAGCAGCTGCAGACTCAGTCCTGTTTTTACTATTTACACATAAATTTTCAACAATAAATGACAAAAACCAAAAGTTCCTCATAGGGGCTTTAAGTTATTAATCCAAAAGTCAAGGTTATACATTTGATTGCTTTTCTGATTTTCATACAAAGACACTGGTTGGAATTGTCTTTGTTAGATAGTTTTAAAACCTGATCTATAATGTAAAAGACTGGAATTTTGCTATTATATGCTATTCACTATTTATTTTATTGACTTATACGTATATGTAGATAGGTAGGTATGTGTATATATATGCATATGTATGTATGCTGGTGTATGTATGTACACATGTGTATGTATGTTGTGTAATTCAAAACCAGATTTACTTATTTTATTTTATTATCTTTTTTTGCTTCTGTTTTGTACAGATTTATTCTGTTTATTTTTGTTTTTGCTTTTCTTGTTTGTTATCTTTGAAAGTATATTCTTTACGTTCGGCATAAAGTGAAGAAAGGGTAGGCACAATAAGCCATGGGCTTCAGCCTACACTTTTTTTTGGTCCAATGATTTAAATGAAATGAAATGAAAAGTGTAATTATAATATATTTATTTTTTTGGGACCAAAAATAAACTAAACTGAACTGAACTGAACTGAATTAATGGCGATTCAAAAAACAGTTTGAGAACCGCACCAATTAAACATCAGCAAAGACCACTTTGTCGACATTAGGCGCCAAACTTAACTCAAATAAAAGTTCCTCACAGGAGCTTGAAATGTGTAGTCGATCCATTTAAATAAAAGGTTGTAGACATTTTATTTTTAAATATTTGTTTTTTACTATTGTGTTTGTTTTTATGTCACTACTGTTTTTATTATTAGTAAGTGTATGTATGATTATATTGCACTCCAGTACAGTGCTTTGGTCAACTTTATTTCTAAATGTGCTTTCGAAATGGACTTTGACTTTGACTTGACATGTATAGTCTCAGTTTGCACTCACTGTAGATTAAAGTAAGGCAGTGTAAAACTTTCTTTACATCTATCATTTACTTATTTAGTATAGTTATCTAGTATTCAGGACTGGATCATCTTAAGAGTCCACTATTGTCTGTGTGTGTGATTTACTGTACATTGTGTGTTTACTAGGAGAGCTTTAGGTCTGACTGATGCAAGAAACCCCTCCATGTTTGCATAATGCATCACATCAAGTTGATTTTTCCAGCATGCTCTCTTATATGTCACAGCCGATCTTCAGGCAGTAATGTAAACCGTCTTTGTTGATGCTTACAGGAAGCAGGATATTAAAGTTTAAAGAGACGAGATGAGAGGGCAACGTTACACTGCCCACAGTTCTGTTACAAATGAGCCTGCTGGACCCCCAGAAAAAGGTGGGATGAGGAAAAAACAGCAAAATACACAATGATGAAAGGAGAATATATAAGAAAGAGAGGGAGTACAGAGGAGAGCTGTTTCAAATTTGACTCACTTTTTCGCTCTGTTCTACTTTTACACCGACACAAAGGCTCAAAAAGATTTTCTAAGAGTTTCATTGGCTGTGGCTCCACTGAGCAAATAGTAATTAGTTTGAAATGTATCTGTCTAATCAAAGATCAGTAATCGTATACCTGTGCTTTAATTTTGTGGGCGAAGACGGGTCTCTGAGAGGATTGTGTTACCTCATCCTTATATTACATACCTGCACAAACACACACACACACACATGCACACACTCTTCCTTAAACACATACTGCTGCTGTTCAACACTCAGGTGAAGCACTGAATGAACATTTGCTGCCTGGACTCCATGAATGTTTAAGCAGCCCTGTGCTTCCTGAGCCAGGTAGCTCATTACCACCTCATTACCCACAATGCAGGGACACTGACCCAGCAGGAAACAGCAAGGCCTCACTCCTCCTCTTCCACCTCCTCCTCCTCCTCTTCAGCCTCTCCGTTTAAGGCTGAGGTACCAGGCCTGCTTTAAGCCAGTATTTGAATCAGGGACAGATGCAAACAGAGGAAAGAGCGTTGAAAGTAGATTGTGTGTGATGTTAAAATCGGCTTCATCATGGACCAAGATCTGATCTGCTTCTAAAACTGCCATCCCAGGCTGTTTTTGTCTGACTGAAAAACCAGAGGGCTGAAGCTCAAACTTTTTGGATTACTCCGGGTCACAGACATGACAGATTTAACCATGACGCACCAGACTTTGGAAGTAAAGGAGGTAACTACAGTGTGGGTTTTTGTGTGCTTTTGAATTCAAAACTATTTGTGGAAGATTTTAAAAGTCATTTAAGAATCTCAGATGCTTACAAGAAACAACACTAGAAATAAAAGTGTACTGAATGCTATTTGTTGCTGTTTAAGGCTGGAGCTTTTAAGGAATTGGCATCTGATATGGTCACATTTTTATGTACATAAAGTTGTTTCCTTTAAGTTGCATAATCAATGTTTCTCTTTTACTCTCATTGGTTTAATGTAAGAGACGACACTGATTGTGACAAACAGGCAGAGGTTTGGAGACTTTTACAACAGTCTGCAGTATACTTAGGCTTCGCACACACTGTTTGAGTCTCTGCACTTTGTTTTTGTTTGAGTTGCATTCATCAATACTTTTTAAAACTTTTATAGAAGTCTTCATCGTACAACTTAACAACAAACTCATAAATATAGTTGAGCATCTGTATGCTAGACCCCCTCTGAAGCTAGAAGGACTGTGATTATTTGATCAGTATCAGAGTCACAATTATTAATCAGGGTTAATTATTCATGCTTATTAAATTTTGTTTAATTTAACACCATTTACCTCCTGCAGCTCATTGATTGACATTGCTGGGACTGAGACTTGAACTCTGCCACTGTTTGTGCTCACTCTGTTCCTCTGCTCGACTAACACACGCTGCCTGGTTTTGATCTCAGCGTTAAAATAAGCAATGTCATAAACAATAACATTAAGTGAGTTGGTTTTTAGGGGTTTAGTTATACATTAAAAAAAGGTAAAATTAGGGTTATTTATGGGGACTTGTCTATAAGATCAATAATTGCTGTTCATTTGTGTTGACAGATAGAGACCAAAAACCAGGAGAAGCTGTTTGCTGAATGGTTCACAATCATGGCCACAATAAGAACCCTTAATGTGAAATTATGTGGATGTGTATTCATCCTATTGCACAGTATTCAAATAAAGAAAATAGTAGTCCTTTCTTTATCAAAAACTCCCTTCTTTAATTTTCTTTAACTGTTCATCAGTACCAAAGCCCACTGAGCATTTTTTGGTCTAAAAGAGGTCTAATAGACGTCTAAATGTAGCCAAGCCGACTGGTCTAAAATCTGTCTACCACAGGTCTAAAAATGAAAGTTTTTTAGACGTCTCAATTTAAACCAAGTTTATATGTATATTGCCTAATGGCCATCATAATTAGTTTGGTGAAGTACTTGGTGATCAGTTATGCAACTCACAGTTGCTTTTTGAAATAAATAGTTATCGAATAATGGGTTAAAGAGGAATGTCAATTCCGTCTAAAAATATATAGAATCTCGACGGTTGAAATTAAGTCTAAAAAAAACTAGACTTCTCATAGCCGTCTATTGCTCAGTGGGAGCCTTTTCCTTACCATCGTATGCAGAGCGAATATTCAGCTGCAGGTTGACTTGTTACTGTATGCTTGTGTGTAACACTAGCGACAGAGGAGGTACTGTACTGTTCTGGAGTGTTGGTGGCCTGTGATGGTCAGGTTTCCAAACACCTGCAGACCCCTAAATGTGTGTTGCCGTGGGTGATGTGCAGTGTCAGTCAATGGCCCATAAGGACTGCTATCTCTTTCAGGAGCCTAACTGCCACTTTGTGGCTGCGTAACAGGATCCTGCACCATACTGGATAGACAGGGACAATGAAGCGCCCTCTCAGGTGATGGTTTATGGGTCAGATAGACTTTCCTGTCCCAGCTTGTAGCCTGTCAGCAAACGGAACATGTTTATAAAGGTTTTTAGGATATATGTATCTGTGTTCATACACTTGAAGTAAATCCTTAAACATCCTCATCATTGTCCAGTTCAAGGATAATAATGTTTGCAGGGAAAGTTTTTTTTGTTGCCCTTCCTTTGCAGCAAATATATTGAGTCTTTAGGATCACTGTGTCGTTTTACTGTTAGCTAGGTGTCAAACAGAGGTCTGACTTCCTTTAAACGATAGGAAAGCTCTGCCATGTGCTTGATGCCAAACCACAAGTCTGCTTACAGAGTGCCAGCACAGCAGGTCAGAGTGTCTGGGAAAGACCTTACTGCTCTCAGCTTATCTTTTTGTTAGTTTACAAGACAGGAAAAACAAAGACAAAGAAAAGCCTGTCTAACTATGTAATATTCACAGACAAAACTAAATTGGCAGCAAGATATACAAAAGGTAAAGGACCACCTCTGCCATGAAAACAGGTGCAGAACCTTGTGTTTAAAAGCAAGTTTTTAACATAACCATATAAAACCTATTCAGCCAGTGAACTTCTTTTGTTTTGTTTTGTAAAACTCTGTAGATCAATGTATACATGTTACAATCTACATTAATGCCGTTTTAATTGACTTTAATGTATGGTGTCACTGATGTCCTGTGAAGATGATGATTTTCATCTTTGGTTCAGAATGTAGGTCATGTATAAAAGACACTTTCAATAAGAATATTTGACTTAATACATTGTATTTAAAGCTCCAGTGAGGAACTTTCCATCCGTCTGGACTTTAGCTCCCCCTGTGGACAAATTGGGAACGCTTGTATTGTTGCTGATTTTGTCTTGTCCATGTGAGAGTGGAATTAATTGATAAAAACTTATCTTGTTGTCTTGTTACAGTGACATATCACTCACTGTGAGTATATTATCTGTATGAAAAGTAACAAAGGTTGTTTCATGAGTGGACCGACCCCTCACAGCACTTACAGGCATTGATTTGATGGTTTAGTTTCAGGTTTGATGGTGATAAGCTTGGCTTTCAGCACATACCTGATTATCAAGCTGAAAATTCTACTTTTGATTAATCTTTAAGTCCTCCCAGACCAACCACGGTATAAATATCTGTTTTAAAGATGTGATTTCATGTTAAAAAGTTTCTCATGGTTAACAGTGAAAGTCAGCACGGTCTCAAAACAATTACGGTAACTTATCCATCTACAGACGGAACTCCCCCCACACGCCCGCCACAAATTTAGAAGACGCAGATTTGCTTCCTTTGCTGTACACTCACGACATTATTGATGGTTTCCTACTGAAGGAAGTAGACTCTGTAATCTATCAGTGTTTCCTGTCACACTGCTGTCCTTTTCCCTGCAATAAAACCAGATGTTCAGTCCAGAAAAAAAGTTACACAGACACGCACACCTCAGGCACCTGCAGGGTAGGTAACTTCTCTTTTATTCACTTTTCCTCCTGCAGTACTTGAATTTAAACAGTTTTATATGATCAGAGGAGTTGGTTCAGTGTGATATTGTGCTGTAAACGCCAGCTGGGTCAGTAGAGCAGCAGCTTGTTTTCCTGGAGATTGATCTCTGAGTGTCGGTTACTGCACCGTAGTGACAGACAGGTGGACTTGGCAGTGACAGGAGCCAAACTGCTGAAGCAAAGTGCTGCTTGGCTCATTCATGGCACCGTAATTAAAGTGCATTGCATGCTGATTATTTTACCTGGAACTTCTTCAGCTGTAGCAGCAGGGAATATCCTGTGTCCATAATCTATCTAATGTCATCGTTTTTTTTACTCCTTAATTAACCTTCCTCCTGTGTTAGCTTTTAGTATGCACCCACTTTGTTAAGGGTCGATTTTGACTGTGTCTTAAATCAGATGTAAATTACACTAAAAAAAATTCTCTATCATTCAATTTGGTTCTCATCTCTAGGTTACATTGTCAGGCTTCGTTATCCATGAAAATATTGTTTGTAATATTTTTGTTGTGGTCCTCTTGGCCTTTCTTTGTCAGTATACCCCTCATACAGACATCTATACTGAATTGATCTCACGTGTCTGGACATGCCCAACGTTGTTTTTTGTGCAGGGAAAAACACGGCAAAATGAGAAATGAGAATTTCCTAAATCTCACATGATTGGAAGAGGATCTGACTGTCAGTGTGGTGCCTGACAGTGCACTTATGATTACAGTTTTTGATTTAATAATTAGATATTGATCTAACTGGGTTAACAGCGAGCATAACACGAAAAGTGTCATAATTTGAATGAGAGCATTTTGTAATTTAGTCAATTTAATTTTTTTATTTTTATTTTGTTGAAACAGAATTTCCTGACCAAGTCAAAAAGTCTTGATGCAAAAAAGCAAATTTAAGTGGTTCTTTTAAGCGTTTAAAATAAAAATAAAATAAAAATAAAATGAAATAAGATAAAATAGAGTACAGTCCCTAATACAGGAGGAGGGTTAAAATCTAGATTTTGTTTCGTTCCAAATCTGATATCAAAGAGAATTTTGTCTGCAGGGAGTCTGTTCATTCTTGCGCTTGTTTGGATCAAGACTGATGTCTCTTACATGAACAAAGCCACAGATTAGATAGCAGCAGCTGAATTTAGATTTGTCATAAGCACTGAGGATGTGGTCAAGGCCACTTATGGCTCCGACTGTGGGTTATAGATATGCACACAAACATGCAGGAAGTGTTTTCCCTGCTGGAAAGAATATATCCCAGGTTGTCAATGATTGTCAAACCAAGCAAGGGCATGTTTTGAGTTGTAGCATCCTCTAGAATACAGATAACTCTTGAGGAAAACAGGACACAAAGGAGGGACTAAGAACCAGGTCAAAAATAACTGCAGTTTTAAAATTTGGTTGAAGAGAGTTACAAAAGCATCATTGTTGCGTAAATACTCAGCTCTGTTGTGATACTTTTCTGTTTGGTCCCAGAGCCTTGAGGAGCGCTGTAACAAAATCCTGAGGAACATGGAGGCCTCCCTGACAGCGCGAGATCGCGTGGGCATCCAGGATTTTGTTCTCCTTGACCCCCACACGAGTGAGAGTGCCTTCCTGGATAACCTGAGGAAACGCTTCCATGAGAATCTAATTTACGTGAGCCTTCCTCTGTGACATAATATTTGACAAACTCACTCTAATTAAACCCCCAGTCCTCCACCTTTGACCCTTAAAGGTCCTTTTGCTGTATCACCTTCTGCTGAATCTGGCATCTTGTGTTGCTGAAACAGCAGCTCTCGTTCTTTTAATTTGCAGAGTGAGCAATTTAAAGGTTATCGCTGTCCGTAAGGTCTTATAGAGACATCATCTAACTTATTACTTTTGATAAGAGGAACAAAATTACTGATCAGCAAAGTGATACATGGAACTGCTGGAGTGCTGGAAGTGTTATTTGATTGTGATGTAGTTTCTGGGAAAAACAACCGCTGATAATGTCAAATGTGCAAGAGTCCCAGAATATGACTTCCTGTCTCTGTCTTTCTCTGCAGACCTATATTGGGACTCTTTTGGTGTCGGTCAACCCGTACAAAGAGTTAGATATCTACAGCAAGAAGCAGATGGATACGTACATGGGTGTTAACTTCTTTGAGCTGCCACCCCACATGTAAGATTTGTTTTATTCTTTTAATCATTTATTTATGGTGGAGACCTGTCAGTACTATGAGTTGAGTCTTCTTATGTAATTTATGCAACAGAAGGAAGGCTGTCACTATACCAGATTATCAGCTTACTATCACAGGTGTTATATTATCAAACATCACATATTATCACATTTCCAAATTACATGCAATCATCCATTTTTAATGATTTTCAAATTTGTGATTTATCCACATCACCTGCCATGTGAGTGAAACTTGCACAGAAAGGACATCACCTCATAAATAGTGGTTTCTAATGCTTTTATTTTGATATTGTTCATCTAGCGTTCAGATAGCTTTATTTTCTGCATGCTTTTATTTTTAAGTGTACGTTACTTCTTGTAGATCGTGAGTTGTGTGTCATGGTTTTGAGTTAAGCAAAAAGGAAAGAGCCCAAATGCAGAAACAAAAAGATTTATTCAAAATGAATTAAATAAAAAGCAACGAAAACTTACTTAGAGTGTCCAACAGAAAACCTCCCAAAGGCACAATGAACCAACAAAGAAACAGGAGAAGACAAGGACGATACACACACACACACACACACACACACACACACACACACACACACACACACACACACACACACACACACACACACACACACACACACACACACACAGGGAAACGAGCAACGAGAGGCAGGTGAGACACTAAGACACAGGTGCAGACAATCACTAAGGAGGGAAAACTGAGGAAGTAAAACAAGACTAGAAACACAGGGAATAAGCGACGACTAAGTAAACCAGGAAACACTGAAATAAGGAGTAAAACACTGAGAACATAAGGGAACAGGGGTCGGACACAAACTGAAAACTCACATGACAGGACTACAGGAGAACAGGAACAATAAGGAACAGAAACACGAGGAAAAATACACTCAAATCACAGGGAAAAACTCAAAACAGAACATATCGTGACATTGTGGATCTGATTGAAACCAGTGAGAGGAGCAGTCAGAGATCATAAATTATCGAGACAGAGACAAGCTTTGACATTGATTCACAGTAAATTTAAGTATTTCAAAGTGTCTCATCATCGCTCAGAGGGCTGCTACATGCTAGTTTGCTAGCATGACTACATGTGCCTAATTTTTACGTGTCAAAATGTCAAAATTTTCACAGAAACTGACTTTGATGCATTATTATTATTTTTTTTCAGTTATGCGCTGGCAGACAACGTCTTTCGCACCATGCAGTCTGAATTCAACAACCACTTCATCCTGATCTCAGGAGAGAGCGGCGCCGGTAAGACCGAGGCCTCCAAGAAAATCCTGCAGTTCTATGCTGTCAGCTGTCCGAGTACCAAACTCTTAAACAATGTCCGGGACAGGCTGCTGCTGTCCAATCCAGTGCTCGAGGTCAGTGACATGGATGAATGAGCCCCCCCCCCCCCCCTTTTTGCCGTTCTTGACCATTTGTGATCAACTTTATGTCTCCAAGGCTTTTGGAAATGCCAAAACCCTGAAGAATGACAACTCAAGCCGCTTTGGGAAATACATGGACATCCAGTTTGACCACCAGGTGGAGTGAAATATCTTCATTTTATAACAATACAGTGAAAATTATAATGACATTAAATCAAACTTTGAGCACAGGACATGGATTACCTTTCTCCCCCAAGGGTGGTGCTGTTGGTGGTCACATCCTGAGCTACCTGCTGGAGAAGTCCCGTGTGGTGCACCAGAATCACGGAGAGAGAAACTTCCATATCTTTTATCAGCTGGTGGAAGGTGGAGAGGAAGATCTGCTCCGCTGGCTCGGTCTAGAGAGGAACTGCAAGAACTATAGTTATCTAGTGCAGGTCTATGATTGAAAAAAATCCAACAACACTTCACTCATTTAGTGCAACAAAATCCCAAACTTTTAATCTTTGTCTTTTCAGGGTGATTGTGCCAAAGTTAGCTCCATCAATGATAAAAGCGACTGGAAGACGGTGCGAAAAGCCCTCTCTGTGATAGAGTTCAGTGAGAGTGACATAGAGGTGAGATAGCACTTTAAATCTTCACATACTGAGACTAAAACCTGCCTTCAGTGATCCATGTTGATTTTTTATTTTGAGTGTCATTGCAGAACCTGTTTGGGATAATCGCAAGTGTGCTCCATCTTGGCAACATCAAGTTTGATGCAGATGCTCGAGGTTACGCTTCTCTCAGTAACTACCAGGAGATGCACTGGGTGTCAAAGGTGAGTCCAAACAAACTGCAGATATTTTGAACCCTTTTGTTTCTCTTGAAGGTTAAGGAGGAGACCGTGTTACTCTTTGGTTTTCTTTTTTCTTTTGTTACGCAGTTGTTGGGGATCCCTGCTCAGGTGCTACAACAGGGTTTAACTCACAGGAAGATTGAGGCCAAATCAGAGGAGGTGATTTGACTTTTCTTTTGTTTGTTTTTTTCAACTCAAAGTAAAAAGTTTGTTTAAATTGTTTGTCTTGTAAATGATTTTGTGATCCTGATGTTATAGGTGCTCACTCCCTTCTCTGTGGACCATGCAGTATATGCCCGGGATGCTCTTGCCAAAGCCGTCTATGGACGCACTTTCAACTGGCTGGTCAACAAGATCAACGAATCTTTGGCTAACAAGGTGAGCACAAAGCTACTCGGTCCCATCGAGAACACGTAAAATTTGGAAAAAAATTAAGATACAAAGATTTTAGCAGGTATGGTTTCAAACCTCTAAGTATAGTTGGGGCCCTAAGACACATTTTACTTCAAGTCATGATACAAATGTCCCCTTTGGTATGGAAGTACCTTAGGGTCATAGAAAACATTTTATCCAAAGAGACAAGTTAGATCACCCTTCAATTTTTTTTAAAAGCCATTTTAAAAATGGCTGCCGACAATAAACCGCTTATACACCAGACCCCGTATCTTTGCTTCTGTTAGAGCTATAATCATAATATTGGTGTCAAAGTGCACATTTTTGGGGTCTAGGAATTCAATTAAATAGGTTTCAATGTAAAAAACCCAATGCTTCATTCATTACCATGACAGTGGGAGGTAAAATATGCTAATTTCATGAAAAAATGTACGTTTTGACAGGGTAACTTACCCCCCCACCACCCACCTAGTAACCAAATTTGAAAAACAGGTGATTCTCTTTCCATAGGGCAAATTTTTGTGTTTAATCTAGGCCAAAGATTGGTCTGAAATTGGAGGACAAACAAGTATAGACTATAAAAAAACCTCAAAACACAATTTCTATGTGACTTTTGTAGGATTCCTCCAGAAAAACCGTGATTGGTTTGCTGGACATCTATGGATTTGAGGTTTTCAACGTGAACAGGTAAGCTATATGAACTGATTCTTCTGCTGTACAAATATAAATTCAAATGTTTTCTTATTGATAGTTTCTTTGGTTTGTTGCAGCTTTGAGCAGTTTTGCATCAACTATTGCAACGAGAAGCTCCAGCAACTTTTCATCGAGCTGACTCTCAAGTCAGAGCAGGAGGAGTATGAGATGGAAGGGATTGAGGTTAAGATGCTTGTAACTTTAAACCTTGTTTCTTTGTCGTTCACAGTGGTACTAATATTCTCGAATATCCTTTTTTTTTCTATGCACAGTGGGAACCAGTGCCATATTTCAACAACAAGATTATTTGTGATCTAGTGGAGGAGAAACACAGAGGGATCATCTCTTTGTTGGTAAGGAGATGGTTGAGTGGTCCTACAGAAAGACTAATAATACAACAGCAGAGATCAAATATTGATGGTTTGACCTTCATACAGGATGAGGAGTGTTTACGGCCTGGAGAAGCCACAGACCTCACCTTCCTGGAGAAGATGGAGGAAAAGATGGGTGGTCATCCTCATTTTTTAACGTGAGCTTTATGTTTTTGCTTTTACTTTTTAAAAGTTTGAGAACTTGATTGATTAAGATGACAGACACATCACAAAGTAACCTCTCTTTGTCTCTAGTCATAAACTTGCAGACCAAAAGACGAGGAAAACACTGGACAGAGGAGACTTCCGCCTCCTGCACTACGCTGGAGAGGTGACCTACTGTGTTGTTGGTAAGAAATGAAATACATCAAAGAGTGTTTCTTACTTTTACGGTAAGACTATGTCAATTTATAATGGAAGAGCAGGTGGAGACAGACAAAGAGATCACAAAGCAACTTTGTATTGGGTTTGCTGGCATTACCAAATATTGCCTACATTTCAGGGATACAGCCAGTATCCCTGAAATATTGTCTTTTACACAAAACGTGCCATCTAATAAAAAAAATCTCATCCTGCTGACTTTTAACAATCAAATATATCACTTATTGGTAATGTTTAATGTGCACCGCTGACCCCTCTCTTGGGTTTCTGCTTCGAGTTAGCATGTTACAAGAGTACTGTACATGTTAAAAATACATTTCTAGTACTAGCAAATCAAAAACACCATATTAGACTTGGTTTGTGATTAATCGAAAGACAGGTTCTGTACGAGACAATATCTTGGTAAGGGTTTGATTCTGAAACAACTTTTATGTTTTTGGGGAAAAAGATATCCGAAAGGCAGGGTCCATACTGAAAATTATGTTAGCAGCCTGTAAAAAGGCGATTACAAGAAAATGGTACAGGACGGACCCACCATCACAGGAAGGCTGGTTGAAAATTATGGACGAAATATACCCTATGGAACGACAGACTTATAGAATAAGGACTCGAGGAGATCAATGCTGCCGGAAATGGGAAAAATGGACCGAATACATTAAAACAACAAGACAAAGACATTCACACTGACAAAGAAAAATGATCAAACTGTAGAGGCATGGTGATGCAACGTGTTTTTTTTTTCTTTTTTATTTATTTTTTCTTTTTCCTTTATGTGTTCCCCTTTCACCCCCACATATAGTGTATTATACACTGTTGAAGAAAACCAATAAAAATAAAGTATGAAAAAAAAAAAAAGACAGGGTCACAACTTTCAACTTTAAAGTTTTCCTCTTTAAACTTTCAGGTTTCTTGGACAAAAACAATGATCTGTTGTATCGAAATGGTAAAGAGGTAATTTTCTTACTTCATTTTATTTCACAAGTTGAAGTCTGAAGGAGGTTGGATGATGACATTGAAAATAAATACAAATATATTAGATTCTTTCTGTTAGGTACTAACAACGTACATCGTAACATTGAAGCATAGATATCAGTGTTTCCTCTGAGTACTCTGTGCGACTTTTAAAATTCTTCAGTGTTAACAGAAACAAACAAAACAAAACAGAAAATAATGTGAAGTCTTCATTACATTGTGATTTCAGGTAAATACTGTATATTTGAAACATCTTCCTGCTCTGTTTCAGGTCATGCGTCAGTCTAAGAACGCCATCATCAAACACTGTTTTCCTCCTACTGAACCGGACAGCAAGAGGAGACCTGAAACTGTAAGAAATGAGTCAGACATGCCTGATGACACACTGAAATCATGAAAATCCCAGTCCTTGATACTTTAACATTTGTTACTTTCCCATGACTCCTGAGGTGGTGACTCAGTTTAAGAGCAGCCTGGTGGGTTTGACTGAGATCTTGATGTCTAAAGAGCCATGGTACGTCCGCTGCATCAAACCCAACGAAGCTAAGCAGCCTGGTGAGGCATTACTAGAACTGCTAGAGTTCCTCCATTACGATCAAAAATTATACCTCTACTCTAAATCAACCTTACGGTTAACCCGCCTCGAATTATTTCTCACAGGACGTTTTGATGACGTGCTGATAAGACACCAGGTGAAGTACCTGGGGTTGATGGAGCACCTCAGGGTCAGGCGAGCCGGGTTTGCATACCGACGTAAATATGAAATCTTTCTCCAGAGGTACCTAAGCAGAATTCAGTGTTTTTGTTTTCATTCATAATCCCTTATACTCTTTCTCTTGCAGGTTGTCATTTTTATCTGTTTTTTTTAAACTATAAATCTGTGCGTGGTCTCTTCTTTGCTCAGGTATAAGCCTCTATGTCCAGACACTTGGCCCAAGTGGAAAGGTACAGCAGCAGAAGGTGTGAAGCTCCTGATCAAACACCTGGGCTTCAGATCTGATGAGTACAAAATGGGCAGGTAAGCAGGTGATAACGTGTTTTTTTTTATTAATGCCAGCTAACCTGAATCTGATCTGCTCACTTGTCTTTTTTCCCTCAAGGACAAAGATTTTCATCCGGCATCCGAGGACTCTGTTTGCTACTGAAGATGCCTTTCAGGTCTGCAAACATAAACTAGGTGAGATGACAAGCTGTGTACTTGGCTTTAACGCTGCATTTAGCAACACAACACTCCTGAATAAACACTCACACTGTGGTTGATGCAGCAACGAGGATTCAGGCCAAATACAAAGGCTACAGAGTAAAAGGAGACTTCCTGAAACAAAGAGAGGCTGGTGAGTGTTTCCACAGATTTTCATTGAAACTTTTATGGATATAATTACCGGTTACCGTGTCCTACTTACACAGCAACAAAGATTGAGAACTGCTGGAGAGGTCTGATGGCCAGGAAGGAGCGAGAAAAGAGGGCGTGGGCCGTCAAAGTTATCAAGAAGTAAGTTTAAACTGTGGAGTCTGCTGAGGGTTACACAGTTTCATGAGACCCCACCTGACTCAAACGTTTGTTCCAGGTTCATTAAAGGCTTCATGACCAGAAATCAGCCGGCTTGTGTTGACAACAGTGAGTACCTTGCATATGTAAGGCAGAACTACCTCACACGGCTGATAGAAAACCTCCCAAAAACAGTCCTGGAGAGAGACGCTTGGCTCACCCCTCCTCCCATAATGCAGGAGGTGGGATAAATCTCTTTTCTTGCATCAGTTCTTTCTCAATTGTAAGCCTGGTTGTAGGATCAAACGTGTTTTTTTTTTCTATCAAGGCTTCCCAGCTGTTGAAGAAGCTCTACATTCGCCACATGGTGAGAAAGTACGTCAGAGGAATCACTGCACAGAGGAAAGCACAGGTAAAGTGAACTTCTTCCAAATCCAAGAAGGTTTGCAGACAACACTGGGATCTGGGACAAAATTCTTTCTGTTTTTAATCATTGTGTCATTATTTAGCTGCTGTTAAAAGAGCAGGCAAGCTCTATGTTCAAAGGAAAGAAGGAAAACTACCCCTTCAGCGTGTGCAGACCGTTTGCAGACACCAGGATAAGTAAGATTGAAGTTATTCTCTTGTCTTTGGTTGTATGTGTGAAGAGTTAGAGATGCAAACATACAGAGTAAAAACAAAAGATTTATGATGAGTTTAGGAAACGTTTTCCTGATGCCCCTTTAGGTGCAGATGACATAAGCATCAAAGTGCTTCAGATGATTCGACACGAGCACATCAAGGTAGGAGGATAATGAACTCTATTCTGCATCTTTGTCCCTTTTTTATTCCCTTTGACCTTTTGTATCCGCGTCCCCCTCACAGTACAGCGTGCCAGTGGTGAAGTACGACAGAAACGGGTTCAGGCCTCGTCCCCGGCAGCTCATCTTCTCACAGGAAGCTGCTTACCTGGTGGAGGAGGCCAAGATCAAACAGCGGATAGATTACCGATCTCTGAAAGGTAGCAAGGAAGACCGAAAGGAATTGAATCTTTCTGTCGCAGACGTGTTTTTATCTAACTAGAAATGTGGTTCTTTTTTAACAAGGTGTGTCCGTGAGTAACCTGAGCGACAACTTCCTGATCCTTCACGTCGCATTCGATGACATCAAACAAAAGGTATCCACTGACTGGAGTCACAAACTATTGGAAATAAAGAATCCAGACATGTCTGTGTTTCATTAACTTCAGGATGGATTACTTCATGAAAACATTTCTAGGTTAAAGAGACTCTGATGACTTAAAAAAACACATTTTAATTGGATTGAAGTGCAACGGTTTACCAGAGAGATCCAGTTGATCAAAGGAAATGTGTCATAGATTCTCAGAAATGTGGTCTTGGTACGCTCATGCTGAGACCCTTACATTTACATCGGGAACATCGATTTATCATTCAGTCAGTTCATTCAATAACTCAGTAATGGAATTCATCATGTCATTGAGTTAAAGTACTGACGTCTCATGTTTGTAGGGGGATCTAGTCCTCCAGTGTGAGTACCTGTTTGAGGCCCTGACCAAGCTGGGTTTTATTGCCAACAAGCAGAACTGCATCAAAGTGGTCCAGGGAAGGTCAGGATCTTTTAATTTCATACACTATTTAATTCAAAAGCTAAATAAACAAATAAAAATGCTCAACTTACTTCTTCGTGTCATGTGCCAATTTCAGTGTGCGTTTTGACATCCAGCCTGGTAGAGAGGGCTTTGTGGACTTCAAGAGCGGTCAGGAGTCCATGGTCTACAGGGCGAAGAACGGCCACTTGATGGTGGTGAGGTGGTGTAAATTAAAGAACCATATTCCTTCAAAGTGAAATAATGTTTTTGTTTTATCAGCTGATGAGGTTTTCACTCTCTTCATTAGGAGTCTACAAGAACCAAGTCCAGGTGATGCTGCTGGTGATGTGCGTTTGTGATCCTGCGGGTTTTAGTGACAGCTGTGTTTGTCCTGTTGCCAATCAGTGTTTTACATTTTTACTTTTTGCATCTATATGTTAGTCGTCGTATTCAGTCATGTATTCATAACTATGCAGAAGCACAGACGGTATCTCAGCTGATGTTAGTGGACAATGAGCTCATAGAAGCCAAACCTGAGTTTCAGTGTGTCTGCTCTTACCTTAAATATCGAGGCTATAGTCCAGCACAGGTTCATGGAAAGGAACCGTCCTTACAGCAATAGAGGCACTTGTAATCTTCTCTTTGTGTTAAACTTCAGTGAAATTGTGTCGAGATGATAGATAATATGAAACTTGCTGTATGTGCAGCCATGATTGTAACCATGTTTACAACACCTTACCCTCGCTGTATTGTTTCATTAAAACATGTTTAACCAGACTGCATGTGTCAAGTGTCACACACACACACACACACACACACACACACACACACACACACACACACACACACACACACAATTACATTTTAATGTAAAGCATAAACATCCCGTATGTGCTACTCAGAAGATTTCAGGGAGAGTAGCTCCCCCTACTGGTGGAATGAAGCTTAACCTTTGGATGAAATAAAACCTTCTCTTTATAGATTATATTCTGTTTTTGTTGACAGAAAATGGGTAAGAATCACACAAAATCTGAGTTTGTTCTTCTTCTCACTTCTCTCCAATACAAAATTATTTAATTTCAAGGGCAGTTATCTAGTTAGTCTACAAAACCCAACAAGCAAGTAAAAATAGTGAGTGATAGTATTTCAGCTTAAGTAAAGGGTGAAATAAATGACATTTTACATTCATATTTATGGAACTTGTCTTGTTGTTTTAGGTGTAAAACCGATACCGGGGACAAATACTGAGACTTGGGGTGCAAATCCTTGATCAAGGTTAACTGTATGGAATAAAAATGAGTGTGTTTGTATGTGCAGATTAAATAACCTGAGCTTCAGCACTGTCCTCTGTCAGTTTGCTGTTTTCAGGATAAAATAGAAAATTTAAACATTGTTGTTAAATATTTTAAAACTATATTCCAGCTGTGGGAAATTAAAGTTTCACCTTAACCTCTGACATTTTTCAGTGCTGACATACTTAAAAAAACATCCCTACCGTAATTAAATGCAGTTTTTTTACTCAAAATAAATGAAGTTTTGTTTCAGAATAAGAAGGACACTGTGAATTGAAACTTTTAAGATTTTGATCATTTTAATTTATACATTTGCTGGAATAGCTTAACCTTTTTTATCATTGTTTTGAACGCCCAACGATACTTTTCTCAATAATTGTCTTTGATTTGTATAATGAGTAAACCATTAATAATATAGTAACTGGAAAAATAGTATAGTAACTCTGAGGTGATCAGAGGTAGCCACGTGAGTTTAATTAAAGCTCCAGGTTAGGTCTTATCAGACTGACCTCTGGTTGATGATTACACACAGGCTTGGCAGTGACTGAAGGGCCAAGGTTTCAATGCTCAGGATATAAAGCTGGAGAAAAAGTTGTAAAATAGGTACAGAGAAATCCTGTCAAGATGGAGAGACTGTCAGCAGTCCTGTTTCTTCTTCTGGTTTCATGTACCTGCAGCATACTCGGTAAGTAGTCATGAGCTTTTAACACCTGAAAAAGACACATTTTAAATAACAGTCTTGTTTATAGTCTTACTTTGATTGAGATGTACAAATCAGCATAAGATCCGTGTAAAGATGAGTAAAGCTTTAATGCTGTTCATTAGTTTGAAATTTTAAAGTATACTTTTTAAAAAACAGTAGCAGCATATGTTTGTGGAGGGTCAGAGGTCAAGAGATAAGTTACAAGAGACAGTTTAAGAACCATGATTTTCTTTCTTTTTTCATTTCTGTAAATCCAATAATTCGACACCATCTTAAACTCCTGTTGACCGAATTGTTACAAGCAATCATTTTTGTACAGTATCACTTTAAACTCGACTCTCATGCCTTTTTGTCTTTTTTTTTTTTTTTTACAGCACAGTCCTGTGAAGGATTCTGTGGGAAGAAATTGGGCTTATGTTCATGCCACCCCACCTGCACATCTCTGAAGACCTGCTGTACAGACTATAAAGAGTTCTGTGTGGATATCCTTCCATACTCTGGCCTTGTTCTGGGAGGAACAGATTTTATGCTTCTTACTGCAAGTTTCAATCAAAGTGCCTCAATTGTGTGCAGGTGAGACCTTTTTGCACTAAACATTTCAACCAAGTACAGCGAAGAGTCAACTGTGGTCTTATTCAGGGATTTCAGTCACGGCAACTGATGGAATAGACATTAAAAAAGATTAGAAAATAAGAATGATATACCCTAATCTCTTTTTATAATGACAGGTTCAACAACAACACTAATACTTTGGGTTATGTGGATGGAAACAACAGAGGCCATTGTATCTCCCCGCTGTTGTTTGAAACAGGATGGGTTCCTTTTCAAGTCTCCTCTGATAACGGTGCAACATTCAACAGAGAGGGATCCTGGCTCTCAGGTATGATAACCACAGGGGGAAAAACTCAAAAGAAGGATCCCTCAATGGACCTAAAATATGAATATTGTTCTTGTTTGTAGCAAAATATGCTGAATTAATGAACATGACTTTATGAGAAGTATGGGGTTTCTCTGACGCCCCTCGCACCCCCCAGTTGCCAAAGTACGACTGGTATCTTTTCAACAGGTTTATAATTTCTGGTTTTCTGGTATTCTTTTTTGTTGTTACAGTTCACACTGGCAAGTTCGACGCCAAGTTTAAAGCCACACTGGTCAATTCAACAAAGTGGCAGTACTATGGTACACCTAATGTTGGAGGCCCTCTGGAGATGACATGGAACACCTCTTTAGTCAGCGCGGAGGAAGTCAACATAGAGCTGTGGGGTTACAGGGAGACAGGTGAGTAAACAACTATTACATGACTGTATGTAGATTATATGACTTTGGATGGAGTGAAAAGACTGAGTCCTGTAAAACATGTTTCTGCAGGAGAGCCCTACACAGACTCCTGGCAGGGTGAGTGGACCTACCTGTACACACTCGCAAAGGATCAGCCCAACAACGGGTCCTTTAGCTTTGTGCCCAAACCAGCTGAAAAAGAGTTTTCAAGCTGGGAGCTCGGCGCGTTACGTATCAGCTCCAGCAAACACCCCGATGGCACGAGGTATGCTCTAACAACTGCAATATTTAGAACAATATTTATAACAGTTCAAAACCTATTCCAGTAAGACTTTGAGGTGAAAAGTTCAGCTGATTGTTTTGTGTTTCCTGTAGGAATGTGCAGGCTGCATGGACCGAGGATCACGCTCTGGCTTGGCATTTGGAGGAGAAGTTCAGGGAGAACTCGGCAGCTTGGGCTCTGGACAAATGTTTAGCTTGGGACAAACTGGAAAATGAGCTGCCAAACTTCCTCAGCGAGATCATCGACTGCCCCTGCACTCTGGCTCAGGCCAGAGCCGACACAGGACGGTTTCATGTAAGTGTTGGGTGAAGCACATTTAGAGATAAGGGCATGTAGTTAAAACACTAATGCAGTCAGGATTGAATGATTTAAAGCTGCTGCGTAAAGTATAATTAGAGATCGACCTTATATACATACCTCTGAACAAACAAAGAAGTAAAAATGTTTACACAGCCAATTACAGGCGTTGACTTTCAAAGACACAATTACATAACCAAATTTCCATCTATAAAGCAATAACCCTTTGAATATTGATACAAGCATCATTGGACCATAGGATTTAATTGTCTGTGACATAAAAACTTACACAATAACTTGATTTGTTTTGGTGTTAGTCAGCCCTGCTTATCAGCTTCGAGTGGTGGTTGGCATCAAGATCAAGCACTCTCTGGACAAACTGAGCTGATTGCAGTACAAACATTATTACTTTATATCTGAGAGATGCACAGCCCAGATGAGTCAGATCCATTTATTTGACAATAAAATCAAAACCACGTGTTTGCAGCTTCTGAATTTGCGTTTTTCTAGAACTCATTTATAACAGTATCAGGACACTGTTGATTTATGTGAGTGTTGACTTAAAGACTGAGTAGGTGTCTTTTTGGAATTGTGATTTAAACTCTGGACCCAAATGCCCACGCTTTTAGTCATTTTATCTCAAAGTTCAAGTGCGGTGCCTAGAAAAGGATTGGCAAGTCTCTACCTGGAAATGTAGCAGTATATATTTTTTTAGCATCAACAATGTAGCCTTGAATATTGTGAAATGTTCATTAACCTGTTTTATCTCTTTTCAGACTGACTATGGTTGTGATATTGAGAAAGGGAGTGTGTGCACCTATCACCCTGGGAGTGTTCACTGTGTAAGGGCCATTCAAGCAAGGTGAGTCCTCAACCTGCCTGACCTCAAGTCTGGGCGTGAACCATATGGCAAACCCAGTAAAAAGCAAAGACCTTGCAAAGGCAAAAAAAACAAAAACTGTAATTCCTTGATTGTCCACTTGGGGCTGCATTTAAAAGCCAGGAAACCCCATCAGAGCCTATTTAAAATGCCACCTCTTTGCTCTGTGAACTCTAAAGTAAAAGCATTTAAAGAAAAATAAAATAAAATGCAAGGTGCTACAACAAAAAGTAAGAAAGAGCTGAAGTAAAAGAGGTCAAATGGGAAAAAAAGATTACACACTGTGCATGCAAAGATAAATATTAAATGGACTATTCTGTGGCATATTTATTATTTTACTGTACTTTTATCTTTACTCTTATCTCTATTCTTATGGCTACCTCTCATGACTGTAAGTAGTAGCAAAAACCACTCCATGCCACAGAGCATACACACCCATTTACAGTCTCAGATAAGACCTGTGTGCAGCAGTTAACAGTCAAGAGTGAGCATTTTAACCTTCAACCTCTCGGTCATGTTGCCATATTAAACTCTGTGGTAGCTGTCAGTCAGTCAGTGAAAGATAAGTATGATGTTGTGACCGGGTATGTGCATGTTTAATCAGCTCTAGCACTACAAGCCAGTTAAATAAACACAAGTATTTTCATTAGTACAGGCCTGAAATCAAAGTCATATATTGCGTCTAAGCTGTGGTGAAATCTCATCACTTGCTGACAGCTGCTCCAGTGCTCCACTACCTGGATATAAACAGGTACAGATTAATCACAAAGACCTGGTTTTAGGCTCTTGAAGTTTTTTCCTCTATCAACAGCCCCAAGTATGGAGCCGGACAGCAGTGTTGCTATGACAGCACCGGCGCTCAAATCCTCACAGGAGATTCGATTGGGGGAAGCACCCCAGACCGAGGGCACGACTGGGGCTCCCCTCCATTTAAGAGACCTCCTCGAGTTCCTGGACAATCCCACTGGGTGTATGACGTTCTCAGCTACTACTACTGCTGCCTCTGGGCTGACAACTGCCCCGACTACTTCAAACATCGACCATCCAGTGACTGCAGGACCTATCAGGCACCCAGCACAGGTGAGGGGATCGTTCAATCTTGAGTTTATGTGTTTTCACAAGATAGATAACAATTTCAAGTCCTAATTTTGTGCTTGTGATACCAGCTGTGGTTTTTGGAGATCCCCACTTTGTAACGTTTGATGGTGTCAGCTACTCCTTCAACGGAAAAGGAGAGTACACTTTGGTGTCCTCAGTGAAGAAAAGGCTGACAATCCAGGGCAGAACAGAGCCGGTGAACGGTGAGATACTGAACACACTTGGCTTTCAAAATGGACTGTTTTATGTCTTTCAAACAATTTAACCACTAAGGATGTGACCAGGGTGTCTCCTGGGTTGGAATAAGTCCACCCCAAAATCTTGGTGCCACTCTGGAATCCTAACCTATGATCAATATCTGTGTAAAACCACTTGTTGAGCTTTGGGGCCACATTTAAATAATCTAAAGTGCGTGGCACAAAGTGTTCAAGGGAATGCCTAACTACATTTTGCTGATAAAGCGGCACACAATCTGGGTAATATGTAAAGCACAGGGTGCAAAGAGGTTGGATTAAAGGTCCTTACACACCGGAAATGACGCAAATATACAACGCAAAATTACGAAATATTCAACTATACACATCAAGCGTGATGCGATTTTTCAACTTTCCGGGGGGAAAAAAGATGCATCCCGGGTGGAAGCAAGAAGACTGACACAACACCAGACTGACCGTTTTTCAGTTCTGATTAGACACTAGTGTTGAGATGGCATGATAGCATGTACTGAGTCAGGGCCAGTACCAGATAAGCGCATTAAACTATAATCCATAAACGTAAGGTAACAACCGAGATCTAATGGTGCTGTGACAGCAACGCTGTGATTGAGTTTGAGACAGTGGAAATACATATGGTATGTTGTATCTGAACAGGTTAGCTTACGAGCTAAAGTAACTTAGCACAGATGAAAGATAAAACAAAGACGGTTTAGCAAACTGTTAAAGCACACAAACCATCTTCATATGAGAGATCTGACGCTATGACTCTCCACAAGTTGTCCTTCAGGTCATTATCTTTGTAATGTTTGTGTTTTTTATCAAAAAGCACTCTGTTCTCCAACACAGAAACAATCAGCCGGTCAGCCATGTTGGATATACCGGTGAATCTAAGGTCGAAACAACACGAAATCTGATTGGTCCGAAATGGACACACAGTATGCAAAACTTTAAAAAATTCAACCGTGATACGAAGAAATAAATGCTGCAATATCACAGGATGGGAAAACGTCGCTAATATGAACGCTTGTATTGACAGGATATGGGTTCGAAAAAAAAATATTGACGTCCAAAATAATCGCAGGAAAAAAACGCCCCCGGTGTGAAAGGACCTTAAGTCTCTTGATTACTCATTGGTAGGTTTTGGTTGCGAGATGAACCAAACCCGTCTAGCCCTTTTAAAGAAGACGAGAGAAAATTAAAGATTTACTGTATATGTGCAACTTTGTTGTGTTATCTTCATAATATAAATACCAAATTAAACAGCTTAAATCACTGCAACACCTTACAGTCTATGTGCAAGCATTTGTCATGGCCCCCTTATTCCAGTTAGAGCCACCCCAGTCCAGAAAGCTTGGACACTCCCCTGTATACCAATAAGAATGGTTATCATTTCTTCATCTACTATGATTGTCATGCAAAATAACTGATTGAATCGCTGTTTCTGTCACTCTCAGGTACCTTTATAAAAGCCACTAAGCTGTCATCTATTGCAATGCAAGAAGCAAACTCTGATGTTATTGAGGTGCGCCTGGTCAGCGGTCACAATGGCATTGAAGTTCTACAGAATCAGAAAACTCTTTCCTTTTCTGAGCAGACCTGGATGGACCTGCATGGTGAGAACCAGATCATCTCACTGCTCTCGACTGAACAGTCTTCCTCGACTCATATTTTCGAGGACAGTTTGTAAAAATTGAGACTCTAAACAGTGATTTTTGTTTTTGTCTTTTATCACTCTTTTAACTTTCTAGGTGTATATGTGTTTTCTCCTATACCTGCCAACGTGACTGTGATATTTTCCTCTGGAGCCGCGGTGGAAGTGCGGCTGAGAGAGGGGACCATGACGACCACTGTGCTGCTGCCTCATGACTTTTTTAACTCCACTGTGGGACTGTTGGGACAGATGAACGGTGACCCTGCTGACGACCTCGCACTCAGTAACGGGGTACTTGTGCAGGACCCCAACAATCCTGAGGAGCTGTTTAGCTTTGGAGCAGGCTGTAAGAATAAATTAATGACTAATATATGTGATTTTTTTAACAGTATGAGCCGTGGATCTCATTTACCCAACAATACCTCGTTAGTTTGCCACATAGAACATCAGTTTTACAGGATTATGGTCTTTTAACAAAACATAACTTAAACTAAAGATGATGAAGGAATTGAAGTTGTCTCTAATCATGTGTGTTTTCTTACTCACACCATCCATTATCTCAGGTCATCAAAGTTCAGCTCTAGTTTGTGCTCCATGATTGGTCACTTCAAAAGGATTTTTTTTTAGCTGTCTATGAAAAAGACTAAAATTCAACATTAAGCTTTTTTATGACCATCAGCAACACGACTAACAGTGTTTGTTTCATTATTTTTAATGACTGTTATTTTTACATTGATGTAAAAAAAGTTGCCCAGTATGAAGTTACTTCTACCAACCCTGCTGTTCAGATGTGAAAATCTTTTCTGACTCCCAGTTGCTGTTTTGAATTAAGACACTGTATGCTGTTTTAGGGGTTGTCACTCTTTTATTGTCACTCCTCCGTCCCACAGGCTCCTCATAAACTCTCTTTATATCAAAGGAAATATTGAGGACAATTTTGCCACATTTTTACTTTAATTTTAACAATAACTGTGTATGTTTTCGTTTTTGTCTTGCAGGGGCTGTATTCAATAGGTCTGCTCTGTTCACATATGACTCTGACTATCTTCTGGAGGAGTATTTGTTTAGTCCAAGACATGACCTGAGTTTTCTTCCAGTGTTTTCTGCCCCTGAGAATCCAGATGATCCATTAGCCAGTCAGGCGACGGAGATTTGCTCCGGGGAGGGCTCACAGTTCTGCCGGTACGAGAAGAATAACGTTTTTACTGCTGCTCATAAAGTTCACAGTAAACAAGAGTTTTAGCAGTTGATTAACTCTTCTGTAGCTGTTGGACACGAAACAAACCTGAAAATTGTTATCTGACATTTTAAAGATATGATGTAGCATAAAGATCTTAAAGAAACTATAAACATGAGCGAGTTTATTCTGTTCCCTGTCATACAGGTATGACATCCTGGTAGGTCGTAATCCCAGTCTAGGAAATGCGACCAGGGTGTCTTTCCAAAGTCACATGTCTCTCGTACATGACCTGAAGCAAGGTAATTTCATGAAAATAATGTATCATTTCTTTGTCAAACAGCATTTTTTTCTGGGTTTACAATGTCAGTCATTGTTTCATCATGCAGTGATATCCTGCGGTCATCTGGACCATCCCGAAAATGGAAGGAAAAATGGAACCACGTACTTACAGGGAGCCAAGGTGCACTTTTCCTGCGATGAAGGCTACACCCTCAAAGGATCAGCAGAGCGCACGTGCCAAGCTAACGGCCTGTGGTCTGGAGAACAGACCGCCTGCGTGACTCCCAGTATGAATAAACGTTGAAATCAGTCTTGACCTGTGATTCTGATTCTGACAAATCAGCAGCAAATGTGTGTGAGTGTGAGTGTGTAAGCATGCACGTGTATGTGAGTCTTTGAGCACATTATCTGATCCATCGAATCACCTCTTGAGTGCTGAAAAAAAATTAAAAATAACATCACTCTTTGATTGTGCTTAAGAGTTTAGACAAAGGAGAATCACTGTAGAGACTATTTCTCTATGACCTTAGGTTTTAGTCTGACAAACTTCGCTTTCATTTGAATTTAAAGAAACACAGCGTCCTTGGGAGCAAGAAAAGAAGAAAAAAAGGAGAATTTTACTCCTAAGAGATGAGAAATAGAGATGTTAGAAAGAGGACCAGGGAGGGACAGGAGGCCTGTTTGGGCAAGGACTTAGGCTACGTTCACACTGCAGGTTCAGATTTTTTGTTAAATCCGATCTTTTTTTGAGGTTGTTCACATTACAACACAAATGCAACATCTAATGTGAACAGAATGAGTCCTTGAAATGACCCGCATGTGCACAAATGTTTGTGTTGTCGAACAATGGTGACGTTTGTCGCATATTGATGACATATAGGTCGGATGAATGCGACCTGAGCGTCCACACTGCAGTCACAATGGATACATATCCGATTTATATCCACATACAAAATAGGCCTGGATTGGATTTGAAAAAATCAGAATTTCACTGTTCACACTTACATGAAAAAATCAGATATGTGTCACATATGGTTAAAAAATCGGAATTGACCTGCAGTGTGAACATAGAGTACTTCTACTAGGTAAGAGGCTGTATTCTCAGAGATGATCAATATGTTAAATTTGTTCATATCTTATTGATTTGCCTCATGCTCAAGATATGTGGCTAATAAGGAAAACAAAAAATAAAGAACTGACTCACATACATATGATAATATATATATCTATATATATTTATATATATATATATACATATATTTTAAGAGGGCTGAGATAGTAGTGAGCAGTTTGTTTATATATCAGGGAACATTTTTGGGGAACGGACCTCTTCTTCCTTGTAGCCTTTGTAAGAACAGCACCCCCTGGTGACGGGCTGCAGAACAGGTCATAAACCCCGCCTCCTCCAGCTAATAATGGAGTTGTAGAAGCGCTTTAAAAATTGATTACACATTATTATAAACCCCCCCCCCAGTTGTGATGTTGACATGTAGTTCATGTAAGACTGGTTTGTGCTCAAGTGCAGCTCAATTTCTAAAAGTTAATAGAGGTTCATGTTTTTTATGATTGACACGCTGTTTCAGCAAAGTGTCATCACAGTGACTCTCCCACCAAATGCTACCGCACAAATGCAGGTTTTAGGAAATGGAGAAAATCCCGTAAAATACTGGGAACAATTTGACGTCAGATTCTTACAATGATGGGAGCAGCAACCTCGTTGTCCATAATACATACAGTCTATGGTCACAATTTTGTGTTTGTTGAGTAATTGCTAGTTAGTTTGTAGTCAGACTCCCCAGACGTAAGCACAATGTGGGGTGCAATGGCCATAAATGTTTAAGAGTGCGCCCCCTGTATCGAGGCTGAGTTTTTGTTGCAGTGGTTGCTGGTTCAACTCCAAGTTACAACCCCCTTCCCCCACTGTCTGCTCCTCAGATTTCCTAACCCACTCCAGCTGTCTCATCGAAAAAGTGCCAATAAAATAGCTCAAAATATTAAATGAATGGTTTATGATCTCTTTTACGTCACTCGCCATCTTTTAATTCCACAGTCAAACACCACAAAAATAACCTATGATATATAGTTATACAAATTAAAAAAACAAATCGATGTCAATATCTTCTACTCTTTCTAACAAAGATTTCTCTTCTTGTCATTTTCAGCAAATATTGCAGGGATCATCGCTGGTTCAGTGATTGGAGCTCTTGCACTCATTTTGATCATAACAGCAATCGTACTTCACTCTAAAAAACAGAAAAGGTGAGTATGTTTTCAGTCAGAGTTTTTCATTAACTTGCTCAATATGGAGAAAAAACTGTGCAATCAGCTAACAAAGAGTAAATGTTGTCTCTTTACTGTTTTATTTCAGAAAAGCAGCAGCTCAGCCTACGTATGATTCGAAACTGGAGTCCTTCTAGCATGTTTGTTGTTGTATTGTATTCAAAGCTTTGACTCCTGAGACTGGAAAAATTAAAGATGATTTGGGGGGAAAATACACAAAAATATACAAAACTTTCAAACCAAAGCTCTGATTCAAACCCAAATCATAAGGATTGGCAAAGGCTCTTGAGCAGTTGAAGAGAAATTACGTTAAACTGCAACACTCCATTGAAGGAATCTGTACATTCATCTACTTTGTAGTTTATTGAATGAGTTGAATGTTCAGCTTCAAAATAAGAGGCAAAACTCAATAACTGGAGTCGATTTGATAAGCTGACACCATCAGTATAACTCCTGCCAAAGGTAAAAGGTGACTATTCAAACACTCCACTCTTGGACTTGACACACGAGGTTAAGAAACTGAAGAAGATAGTTTGTCTTTCCCTTTAAATCATGCCTTTTTTTGCAAAAATGAAAGAATGTAATGTCAGTTGAATTAAGTACTGTCAGGGTATGTGTTTTGTGTCAGGAAAATCTCATATTTATTGTTCTCCGATTGCACTTTTTTTTTGGACAATAAAGTTTTTCAAATACATGCTTGTTAGTCCTCTGATTTCAAAAATAACCAGAGCTGCTTCATCCAGATCTCAAGACCATGAGCTGGCTCACAAGTGGTCGGCATTTCTGTTCTGTAACTCAGGCCAAGACTCAAATGCGCTTTAAGAGAAATCCTCCTTTAAGGAATCAAGACTTGATGACTCCTGTTTTTTGTGTATCAAAGGTTAGTTCAGTTGGTTTACATCTTTGCTGATTTTGTCGTGTACACGCCCCTGCAGGTATTCAGACTAAAAAAATTTTCATGCTACCAATGGGAGCTTTAGATCGTTTTCTGTAGGTTCCTTCTTTATGGACAAAGCTTTGCTGGTTTTGATTTGTACGTATGTGACGTAATGGTTTTACAAGAAATCTCCTCCTGCTCCCTTTAAACACTCAAGTGTATCCTTTATTGAGGATCTTTTCTATGGAGCATGTGGGAAAAGGGTTGTTTTGAAGGGACATAAAATTAATTTAGGGTCATCGACTGAAGCGGGTTGACGCAGCTCAAGAATGTTTATGATCATTCCCTTGAAGTAATAATCATCATGTTAATCATTTTACACTGCAGACACGGTAGTTCTTCTGCTTTAGCGTCTCGGTCTTATTGCATTCCCATGAAGAAATGATCATAAATGTTCTTCCTTGAGCTGCGTCACCCTGCTGCAGTCGATGGACTCGCCTGGAGGTCTCCATACAAACAAGCGGCTGCTGGAAGAGAATAGGTGAGTTGTGTTTAGTCTCTTTGCTAAAGAAATCAGGCAAAGCTGAAAAGACGTTTGGTGGCTAGTGCTATGGCTTGGACCCTATATATACTGTTGATGAAGTTAGGTGCTGTTCTGAGCATTATTTGTGGCTATAGAGTGGCGTTTTCGTTGAGGTTTGTTTATGGCTCCTGAGACCACTGTGTATTGCTATCATGTGGTCGTTACTAAAGTTGGTATAACTGAAGAAGCAAGCGGTTGGCAATATTCATCGAGGGGGTGTCTAACTCTGTGTTACAGTGTTTTTGACCCTAAATTAACACCGGAATATCCCTTTAACTGTGTGCAGTTAGTTAGTCGCTTAGTCTGACACCTTCCCATGTTACCCCTGATGTGCCTCCATTACCTGCCATCTGGTTTGACACCTGTTTCCATGCAGCTGCTACGTGCTTTAAAAATCAGTTTCATAACCAGCTAAAAACAGCTTACACTGGCTCTGATTCAACATTTTTTATGATGCTTAGCTCAATTTTGATAAAGATACTAAATATTAACTAAAAAATATTGATTAATGCCCCTGTAAAACTGACAGTCTTATCATTCCTATCTGATGGCGAATAACTTTATATCTGTCTCTACAGAGGTCAGTCTTTGTACAACATAACACATATAAGATCATAGCTCCACACAAAATTCCTCACCAGCCCCTTAAAACCATCAATCCCTCAGTCCAGTTCTTTTTCCTGTATGTTTACACTATTTAAATCTTTTATTTCGTCCTGCAGACACACCACATGACCCTGTGTTGTTTGGTCCTGAGTGTTTTTCATCAACCTTGCTTGTAGAAACTGGAAGTAACTGTGTTGTTTACTGTGTTACTGAATGTCCTGGCTGTTCCTTCACATAACACAAGGCTGTGATTTCTGTGCACAAAAGGCGCCAGTATGTGACAAGACTGCAAAGGCCCGAGCTGAATAAGCTGTCTACTTGTTGCTCCCAGAGTCACCCTCCAACAACTTGTCACGGACTCACCACAGATATAAATACAAATAATTAACGTTGTCCTCGCCAAGTCCCGGGGCAACCAAAGAGCAACACACCAGCTCGTTCTCACCCCTTAGATCACACCTAATACTGACCGAGTGCTAAAATGAATCAGCTGGGTATATCAGCAGTGTCTCCCTCAGACCTGCATCTTACTTTCTGCTACTGCCTTTTGTTTTGAGTCCAGGTCATAAATTCAGTCTTGTTTGTGCAGGTGGAGTTTAAAGCCAACAGATTCAACATCCTTCTCCTTCATTTAGAGTGAATTTTCTAGGATATGGGCGACCAAGATAAAATATTATCCCGCCCTATTTTCCGCCGGGATGTTGGATGGGAGCCTTTCCCAAACTGGACTCAACCAAGCCGCATCTTTGCACAGGATTTTGGCCTCCCTCCCTTCTTGGATCCCAGTGATCTGGACTGGTTGAACTGGGCGAAGAGGAGACTGGCGTCGTTCTCCTGGCCTGGGTACGCACAGACTCCTCTTCTGCCTCCGCTGAGCAGTCAGAACCCTGCAGCGGCAAATCCAAAGGGTGTGAGACAGCTGACAGGTGGGGTGTCAGAGATCCAGACGGGGCAGGACAGCTGGAGGATTAGCCTGGATGTCAACCACTTCTCACCAGAGGAAATTACCATCACAACCAAGGAGGGTTATCTGCTAATATCAGGTACAGCTTGATTGAAGTGAAAACTGATATATTTGAGGTAAACAAATCATAGCTAGTTGTAAATAGTCTTTATGTTTTCCTTTTAGGGAATCATGAGGAAAGGCAGGATGAGCATGGGGCAGTTTCAAGATGTTTCACCAGAAAATACAAGTAAGACTGAAGGATATTTGTGACCAACATCTCTGTGAATGTAACTTGATGTAATTAGAGATCCTAAATGTTCACTTGTTCATTTGATTTGGCGTGTAAGATGATGATGGACTCTCTCTGCGTTCCTCCAAGGTTGCCACAAGGAGTCGATTTGCAGCACATCAGTTCCTCTTTGTCCACTGATGGAGTTCTGTCTGTAGAGGCTCCCACTCCTGGGACATCCCCCAGCGATTCAGCCAGTGAGATCGTCGTACCAGTTCAGATCAGACAGACGCAGGACGGTGAAAAGTGACACCAGTAAGCCGGATCTAATTCTGATGTAACCGGCGTTGTGTGAAGCTCCTTTTGTTTGTAAGCTTTGGCACAAACAAGTGAAAGTGTTTGTTGTAGTGCATGAAGTGAGATCAAGAAAAACAAAAGTGAAGCCAAAACATTTGGAGCTCTCTATACTGACAGGCTGCTGTATAGATAATCAATTCTGTCTCCTCCATGTAAACAGATTGGACATGGGTCAAACTGTAAAACCATAATACATGTCAAAGAAATTGTTCTCAAACGTGATGTCTGTCATTATAATTACTTTTTATCATGTTGATTTAGGCCCAAATGTTTATTTTTCTGACCAGTTTCTCTTAAATCACTTGATGCCATGATGAAGAAATGCAGTGCTGTGAGCTCCTGCTAACCGGCTGCAGGAAAGGTCTTAAACCCCGCCTTCTTTATGACGAATATGTCAAACTAGAAAATTAAGCAGGTAGTTCTCATCATGCTGATTTATGTGCAAATGGGAAGTCTAGATTTACAAGGTTATTTGATGATAAAAAGATGATCCTGTTGAGAAATGCGGGTCCCTGCGAAACTTTTCTCCAATAGAGTAGACAAGGAACGGTGAAAGACAACAAAACAAACGTTAACTCAGGCCTCATTGGACGAACCATTAAGCTTACTTCTTAAATCAACCTCAGAACAAAAGAGAGATCTTTGACTTTGTATTGGTGAGTTTAATTTTGCTCTGATCTCCATAAGGTGTGCGATATTGCCACTGTGGATGCCCTGCACATCACTTCACATTTAAATGTTCATTTGATGTACAGTTAATGGCACCAGATCAGTAAAAAAGAGGAGAAACAGCAAAAACGTAACTAAAACTATCACAGAAGTTATTGAATTTTCCAGAGAGTGTCCATTACAAACAAATGCAAGAATCTGTTCGCTGAAGACGGTATCGATCTGAGGGATCTTTGGTGTTTTGAATGTAAGACAAATATGTGTTTTGGTCTGGGTTAGGCTCCACACTGCAGCTCCCTACTGCTCCAACAACGAAGTGCCAGTCACATGTTATTTTGGCTTCACTCTTGTATGATAGGAAGTGGTATCTTTATGTAACGGTGAGCAAGTTTTGTACAAGCAAGTTTTTATGCCAAAAGTTGCTGTCAAATAAAAATGCAGAGTGAAGTGACTCTAAACATAAAATATATTCTTGCATGTCCACCGTGACCTTCTTTTTCAAACAACACATCATACATGTTCTTATGCATTATTACTATATTCATTTAGAAAAACAACAATCACAAGTCGGTGGTTTCAGAGAGATTTTGAATGGAAAGATTTCTTTGGCAAAGAGTAGACAGAGAGTAGCACTGTAATACTTCTTGTCCTGGATGCAGTCTGAATATTTATATCTTAACAGCAAAAGATGTTTGTACATCTGGAGAAAATGTACTCGTGTGAAATAGAATAACTTAGTGGGCAATGAACTCATATGATTTTATTTTGGTTGGTTTAAAAACTGTAAATCTTTTTTGTCTTTACTAAAAGTTTCATAAAGTTACTGCCAAATTAATGAGTCTTATTAAGTTCTGTCTTCAACAAATGTATGAAACAGCTCATGGTGTGAAATAAAAAGATTCCTCTTCATTACTGTCTTTTATTACTCACAAACCTGTCAGCAGAAAATCAACGGGAACAGCTTTTATCAGTGACATTTTTAAACATGTTTATCCTCAGACACTTGTGTAGGCAAGGATGTCAGAGTGGTTTTGGTTAAAATGTACAAATCCTACAAAGTCTCCCTGTTCACTGTGGAAACCACGGCACTAGAGGGCACTGAAGTCCTTCTTGGTTGAGTATTGTGTGCAGTTTTGCTTCTTGTTTTAAGGAGATTGTATTCGTCAAGGTTCTCCAGTCAGCCAGACTTGGTATCACTATTACACCTGTAGACATGCTGGACAAAAATGTTGCTAATTCCCCATTCTCCTTATTTTTCCAGGACATGATATTAAGTTGTCACAAACTTCATATTATTGTAACAGAAGCTTCTGCTCTGATGATCCCAGGGGGCCGGTATCATCCAGAGTAACTATAAAATCTCATTAAGGCCACTATTAGGTCAACAGTGACATCTAGTGCTTCTATGGAGTGTTACATGACAATATAACCATCTTTTTTTTGTTTTACAGTCTTAGCAAATGCAAAATGTAAATAAAAAAGATTCTTCATTAAGTTTATTTATCTTAGCTGAAGGACAGCATAACACATCTTGACAATGTCCCAGAAAATTATGATAGCCTCTGCAAACTGAAAATTGTCTATGAGCAGAACTTCTACAATAAAATGCAGAGCTTCTTCAATCTAAAATAAACCTGCAGAAGAAGAATTAAGATAGGAACAGACAGTAAATTAACTTCTTGGCAGAGTAAGAGCATACTGTACACCTCTACACCAGCAAAGGTGCAGAGTTTCATCCGGATGTCATAGAACCCTCCTCTGATGACACATTAATATCAGATCTTCAGTGGTGCCTCATCCCAGGCACTCCAAGGAAGACCTCCAACCAGAACATTATCATACAAATATTCCAGTATGATGGCGCTACCTCAGATGCAGGAAGTCTTTCAATATTTAGCCTATTTGTACACAACTGCAAAGATGTGGCAGGTTGTCTCCTCTGATACTAAGATAAGAAACAGATAAAAAAACAAAAAACAAACTACAGATCCCAGATTAGCCACTTGAGGCAGGCTCCAACAGTGAGGGAATTCCCACAAAACCCAATACTAAAATGCTCAACTTTACAACGATCATATTATAAGAAACTTGTCAGCAAATACAATTGTATCTGTTCAGGTGAAGACTGGCATCATGTTATGTACAATTTTGAGCTTGGCCTAATCCTTTGGCCTATTTCAATGGATTTAAAAGATCTAGTTTAAATGGAAAAAGGACAAGTCTATTAAGTTCTTTGCTTTATCTTTTCCTGTCTCTAAACTTTTTTTTTTAATGCCAGAGTTTTTTAGAGAAAATATGTTGTATTAGCCAATTGCTTGCCTATGTCTTTTGATTTTTTTTCAGATATTACAAATTAATGCAGAATTAGTTTTTTGTATATTCAATTAAAAAACGATTTGTACCCTTTTTTGGTGTGGGGAAAATCAGCCTAAAGATGAACAATGATGGCTGAACAGAACAATTCTTTCACTTTATAATCTGCAAAAGTAATTCAACTGGCATTTATTATGTTGTTCATACCAGGAACTATCTGGAGATATCTGGTGAAATGGGAAATTCAGTTAAATGTACAAAATCACATGGTGGCACTTTTTGATTGATTGATGGATTGAAGTTTATTTTGAAAATATATATACAAAAAAATAACAATAAAAAAGTAAAGAATACAACAACCAATGACAAAAAGTTATTCAAGTTCAAAAAGGAGTTGGAAGAAGTCGAGACTTATCTAGTCCCACCCCTTCTCCTACACTAATGGTTTAAATATATATCATAATATTGTATAATAATATTAATCATCATAGTAATAATAACAATAAAAATTATCAACACAGTGAAAATAACAAAACAATGATGATAATGATTGTACTTTTGGTACCAGGTTGGAATTTGTTTAACCATTCCAGAGAGTGAAGCTGTCCACAACAGCCTATTGATACTTAACCCATGGTGTCTAATGATATCTACACATTTACATATTATTATGTGTTATTTTAACTACTTTATTTCCTCATATGGAAATCTACAATCCAAGATAATTACTGAAACATGAAGGAAATGACTTTTTTTCTGTTGAATTCTTTAAAACTTGACACAGATCTTATAATTTCTCGACCCAACAAGGATGATAGAGATATAAAGGAATTAATGATAAATAAGGGATAAAGGGTGAAAATAGCTCGAGATGTTCCTGTAGTATTGCGGTGTCTCTTTAAAGGAAGGGGGAGTGTAGAAGAGGGACAGAGGAAAGAGATGAATAGAAGGCACCAGAACCACCTACCATGACCAAGTGCGCTGTAAATGTAGGACAGAAATTGGAGTGGAATACAAACGGATCATCAAGCGACAGATTTGAGGGAAAACCATGTTTGGATGTGCCTTGTCTGAATCTGGTATTTTTAAGCATGCTACTACATGCGATCATTGGAACACAGGGAAAGTGTTTTTCCTCCCCACCATTTCTTGCATTTTGAAACGGAGAAGGAGAGTGGCAGTAAAATACATCCCTGTGCTATCTTTCTCTGATTATCAATGGTAGGCATTGCATAATTCACCCTCTTTTTTACCGGAGCCGTTTGGTTCCTCCTCTTAAGGAAAAGGGGGGACGCCGGAAAAAAAAAAAACGTCTCCATCCAGAAGCTGCTGCCTCCTCGGTGGTGCCTGCAATTGTTTGGCTATGTCCTTTTCTCTCGTAAGAAGAACTTGCAGCCAGTAGCGGGAGATCAAGGATGCATTTAAAGCTGGATGTGTGTTGCATTCAGGGAGATTCGGCAATAACAGCGGCTCTAGCAGAAACGGCGAGTGCGGAGGGCCTGGGAAGCACCCAGCCCCACTATCTCCTCCTTTTCCTCCCCCCCTGCAGGACCATGCTTGCGTGAGGGATGAGGCTGTGCACAGGGACACCAGGCCAGAGCTGCGGCCTACTTCTCACAAGAGCCGGTCTTTCGACTGCAAGATCTGTGAACATATTGCCACCATCAAATCAGCATCTTTGGTACGCTGCTCCCCACTTTTTTCCTCCCCATGCATTAAAACGCGCGTCTCTCTCTCTCTCTCTCTCTCTCTCTCTCTCTCTCTCTGTATGCGCGCGTGTGCCTGTGAGTGTAAGTGTATGTGCGCGTGCTGGCGGCGGGGGGTGAGGAGAGGAGAGGAGGGGAAGGGGTGTCTGTGTTCTCAGCTGTACATCTGTAGTCATGGCAACCAGATCCTGTTAATGGATGTCATTTTTTCCATCCTCAGCTTCCCTCTCTGCCTCTGCTTTTTTTTTTTTTTTTTGTATGTGTGTGCGTTGCATTTCTATCTCTTCCATGGACATGTCTTCCTCATGTGTACTACCTGTTTTCATCCTGCCAGCTTGTGATGCTGCATTTCTCGATCCTTTCTCATCTAATTGTACATGCAGCCCAGTTCACAGATTGGCCTACACTGTGTCAAAAGATTTTACTCATTTACCAGAAATGGCGCCAAAGAGGTAGATCATCGGTAAAGCCTTTGCAACGTCAAGATTTGATACATGAATGATCAACTTTGCATTATTCTGTAAGGATGACCCTCAGAAGCGTTTCTACCGTCAACCCGTAAGGATTGTAATTCTGTATCAGTCCTTCTAAAGTAAAGGGATGTGTGCATATTTGCAAACCTGGCTGTGTTTTTCTCTCTTTTCTGTGTCCACCATAGCAGCAGTTTCTCTCCCTCAGTTCTCTACCTTTCACTTCCTGCTTCCTGTGCTCCTCTGCCCAGGTCATCAGGTAGATCCAGGAGCATGAGCAGGACTTTGAGCTGCGGGAGCAGATGTCTGGGTATAAGCGCATGCGGCGGCAGCACCAGAAGCAGCTGATCGCTCTGGAGAACAGGCTAAAGGCCGAGATGGATGAGCACAGGCTCCGGTTGCAGAAGGAATTAGAAACACATGCAAACAACACTTACATTGAGCTGGAACGACTGGCCAAAAGGCACGCTGCTCAAGTTGACAAAGAGGTACAGTTTGGACGGCAGGAGGAAGGGACCACACTTTTTAAGAGATCAGCGAAGTGTGCTGATTTGACTTTTTCAATGTTTCTTCACAGATGAAGTCAGCGGCAGCAGAAGAGAGGAGGATTCAGCAACAGATTGTTGCTCAGCAAAAAAAAGAGCTGACTTCTTTCTTGGAGAGTCAGAAAAAAGAGTACAGGCACTGCAAAGATAAAATCAAAGAGGTCAGTATTATAAGGAAATAAGAGCATTCAAGGATAAACACTTGTAACATGAAACTTTATTTAAATCATGTGTACGCCTTTCTATCTTTATTTGTGTATGTGTTATAGGAGATGAGTGAAGACCCTTGTATACCGAAGGAGGAGAAGCAAGAGCGTCTGTCCAGGCACAAAGAAACAATGCAGCGCTCTCAGGCGGAGGATGAAGCTCACCTGCTGGCCCAGCAGAGGCTGGTGTACGACCGCAGCTGCAGGGCCCTCAAACGCCGGAGTCTGATCAGGAGACATGAGTTTGAACAGGAGCAACTCAGAGAGGTAATGTCATCTGAGGGCAGCAGTGGCTCAGTGCTAGAGTTAGTTGTGTCACAGTCAGACAGTTGGTGGTATAATCAAGGCTTCTGCAGTCACATGTTGACGTGTCCTTAGGCAAGCCGAACCCTGAAGTACTCCTGAGTGTCATATCCAGTATAAATGTATGAATGTGTTTGGTTAGTAATGATAGGTACTTTACATTGCAGCCTGGTCCCATAATTGTGTGAATATGACATTAATGGATGAATGTGACCTGAGGTATCAAAGCCCTATTGAGACAGACCACTAGCAGATAGCTGCATATGTGGCGTTTATGATCAATTTCCTGATGTAAACACACTGAAGTCAGAGTTTTGGATGATCAAACTGTTGCTTCTAGAAGATGTTCGAGTACACAAACATCTTTCACACAACAGTTTGGGATTTTTACTAAGTTTAGATCCACACCCTCAAAGAAGCAACCTAAAGGGATATTCTGGTGTAAAATTAACTTAGGGTCAAACACACCGTAACACCAAGTTAGACACCCCCTCGAGAGATGAATGTTGCCGACCGCTTGCTTCTCTAGTTTTACCAACTTTAGTAACGACCGCAGGATAGCAATACACAGCGGTCTGAGGAGCCATAAACAAACCTCAACTAAAACGTCACTCTATAGCCACAATAACGCTCAGAACAGCACCTAACTTCATCAACAGTACATATAGTGTCCCAGCCACAGCACTAGCCACCAAACATCTTTTTAACTTTGCCTGATTTCTTTAGCAAAGAGACTAAACACAACTCACCTACTCTCTTCCAGCAGCTACTTGTTTGTAGTGAGACCTCGGGCCAGTCCATTAAGGACTGCTGCGGGGTGCTGGGACCCTAGATGTACTGTTGATGAAGTTAGGTGCTGTTCTGAGCATTATTTGTGGCTATAGAGTGGCTTTTTGGTTGAGGATTGTTTGTGGCTCCTCAGACCGCTGTGTATTGCTATCCTGCGGTCGTTACTAAAGTTGGTAGAACTAGAGAAGCAAGCGGTCGGCAACATTCGTCTCTCGAGGGGGTGTCTAACTTGGTGTTGCGGTGTGTTTGACCCTAAATTAATTTTACCCCGGAATATCCCTTTAAAAACACTGACACGGTGGCTGTTTGTACAGCTCACATACTGAATGAAACAGCTCAGTCTGTCCATGTAAATAATTTCTACCCTGGTTAAAAGAAGTTAAGTGTCCTTTACCCTGAGATCCTGAAAGACTCTAACACGATTTATTAGAGATTTAATATTGACCTGCAGGTTCAAAGTAGAAAAACAGAAGTGCTATTTTATTGGTAAACATCATTATATTTGCTGGTTTGATCCGTGTCACTTTGCATTTTGGATGAACAACTTTGTTTAAAACCTTCCAGCATTACTTACTATTGTTGATGTACCTTTAGTGATCTGTACAGGTGTGAAAGAAAACACCTTTACCGAACAAATTTGGTTAAAAAATCACATGCTGTAAAACAAAAGAGGACCAAACACAGAGCTCTGAGGAATGCCAAAATAAGCCAGATACAGAAGTTATGGCCTTTTAATGTCAAACTTGAAGTTCAATGTGAACTGTATCCTTGTACCAGGAACTAAACAAGAAGAGAACCCAGAAGGAGATGGAGCATGCCCTGATGATCCGACAGGACGAGTCCACGCAGGACCTGGAGCGAAGGCAGCTACAGATGCTGCAGAAATTGCGTATTGAGCTCATGCGGTTGCAGCACCAGACTGAGCTGGAGAACCAGGAGGAGTACAACAGCAGGCGGCAGAGAGAACTACACAGAAAACACTCTCTGGAGCAGCGGCAGCAGCCCAGAAACCTCAAGGTGCTACATCCTTTTTCTCCCTACCGTGTGGTTTTTCACTGATATTCATGTCATCTTTCCGACATATTTGTGGCTACAGTTTGACCTGAAAGTGCTGCAGTTACTGTGCATCCTCAATTTTATTCTTTTCCCTAATTTTCCTTTGAAAAAATATTGATAGTAAAGTTGTGTTGTTGTTGAGAATCAAGAGAAATAGAGCTGGAGAGTTACATAAGTAACCGTAAAATTGTATTTATCATTGTGTAAAACTATTCAGCATCACTTTGAAGTCAAAATGAAGCAGTAGCTGAACTGTTTGAACATAAAACAACAGTGCATTGATTTGTCTTTTTACCCCTTTGTAGACTCTGGAGATGCAGATCAAGAAACAGTTCCAGGACACTTGTAAGGTGCAGAACAAACAGTACAAGGCTCTGAGGAACCATCAGCTGGAGGTCTCTCCCAAAGGCGACCATAAAACCATCCTGAAGGGCCTAAAAGAGGAGCAGACGCGCAAGCTGGCCATCCTGGCTGAACAGTACGAGCAGAGCATCAACGAAATGATGGCCTCACAGGCGGTACAGAGATCCTTTAATGCCACAGTTTGTTCTCGAAACCTTTTGCAAAAGTTGTTGACCTCAAGTTTTGAACATGAAACCCAACCTGCGCTTGTTGCCGACGCGTTCGCAACTCAGCTGTGTGTGCTGTTTTTTTGTAGATGCGATTAGATGCGGAGCAGGAAACGGAGTGCCAGGCTCTGAAGCAGCAGCTGAAGCAGGAGATGGAGCTCCTGGATGCCTACCAGAAAAAAACCCAGTCACAGATGGAGACCCAACACGAGCGGGAGCAGCAGAAACTGGAGCAGAAGATCTCCATACGTAGAGCGCACCTTGAACAGAAGGTAGGTTTAAGACTGAAGCTGTTTGAAATGATTTTGAATGAACGTAGCGTGATGTCATTAGACCTCATCATAGGTGTAAAAAAAAGGTAAAAATCAACTGGTAACGAAAACAAAAATGCATATATGTCGTTCCTGGTGTCATTAATCTCTGCATATCCAGGAGCTTTGTGAAATTTTCTTTTGCAGACCTTTCAATTGAAAAAAAAAAAACCACTTCACTCTGACACTTACATATCAGAAAGTTGCTGTACCTAGTTTCTAACTACTAGGCAACAAGATTAAACATGACTCAGCTGCATTTTAGGCCCTCTGCTCTTTCAAGGCTGTAACCTCATAGCCCCTTGCTCATCTAAAACACACTTACACAAATTTGGACGATGAAAAATGTCTCTATTACTGGATTGTGGAGGAAGGAAGACACAGTGAATGAATTAAATGAATGGAAAGACAGGAGCTCTGTAAGAGGGAGTTAGCACTAGAGGCTAATGTTAAATGGTAAAATTTGGGAACTAGCATGTCTGATAATAAGCTGTAAAGTAGAGAACATGTTCCTCAGTTAAATCCATGTTTGGATACAGTTATTTAAAATTTTATACAGGTGTTCATGATCATCACTGAATGAATTCCTAAGACTTTAGTGCCACCACTTGGTTGATATGTGTCATTGTGGGTGAAACGTCTCAATATGTGCTGTAATATCTTACTGAGTATCGATAACCAAGTGCACTTCTATAAACCCTGTGTTGCGTGCTAAAATGATCGTATTTTAACTGGCTGAAGTCAGAGGTGGAAAAGGTTATGTATGTATGAATAGATATAGCACAGTACAGTAGAGTGAAGGGGTGCAAAGAGGAGAGGTTTGTATTTGAGGTGGGGTGCTGCTCTTGAATCTTTGCCATCAAACAAAGAATTGCCCAATATTACAGAAAGCTGCTCCTTTGGTTTGAAATGTTTGACGTTTGAATGTCAAAGACTGTAAAATACAAGTTTTGAAAGACCAACAGCTCCAAAACATTCAAGATCTCCAGTGTATTTGCAAAAACAAGTCTTTACTAATGCATTAATGCTTGTTTAGTGTCCATAGAGACATAACTACAATCTGACTTTTCGATTACAGATTGAAGAGGAACTGGCAGCCCTTCAGAAGGAGCGCACCGAGAAGATAAAGCACTTGTTGGAGCGTCAGGATAGAGAAATGAACACTTTTGACAGTGAAAGTAGAAGCCTGGGCTTCGGCAGCCTGGGGTCTCTGGACTTCCCCAAAGAAGACAACAGATGAAAGTGGATTTATCTCTAGAGGACGACATATCCGCGCCGCTTTTCATGTCCACTCGACCATTTGTCACACTCACGGTGACAAAGCTGGATAACTCTATTCTCTATTGCTTTTTCTTCTCTCTTAGATATCGCATCTTTGACTGGAGGCGTTCACGTGCAATGAGAACTTCTTTTGTGAAACTTGAAGGGGGAAAGTCAAACAAAAGACAACAACATGTCAATAAAACTCAAACCTAGTCAGTGTAACTCTAAACTTATGTGTTTCAAAATAACAGACTCTTTCCTCCATGCCATTTCCTCCTTTTTGGTATGAATAAATCAGGAAATTTTAGTAAAATTGGCACTTTGATATGTTTAAGTAGAAACCCATCATGTTCGTATGATGCTAAATGTGTGTGCTACATGGAGGGACACTGTGGAATGTGAGCTGCGGACTCCCCCGTGGTGTTAAGCTGCTTTGTCTTTTTTTTTTAAAATTCATTTTCTTTTAGTTTCTTTCAATTATTTAATGCTCTGAATGTGAATATTACTGTATGGGGTCACTGGATAAAGTCAGAGTTTATCTCTTTTCTTTTCGCTCATACTTCCATATTGTGCTTATGCATACAGTATACTGTGGTTCCTCACTTTTCTAGGCAACTGTTCTTACCTTTTTATTTTCATTTGATATGTAGGATCAATTGGCGTTAGCTTGATCAACCCATTTCTCTTCTCACAACTCAAGATCCCACTTGGTAAAAACTGCTTATAATTGCATGCACTTTAAGGACAAATTCAGGTTGTGAAGTGAAGCATGAATCTGTCAGAGATTTTAGCTGTTTGTAAATAAAAGCATTTTTTTTTTTGTTTCGTTTCGTTTTAAGCCTATGGATACTGGACATAAGCGCCATATTTGATATGATAATTTCACAAATGCCTTTCTTTAAGTTGTGCCTGAAGCAGAGTTAAGTTACGTGTTTGTTCTCTCTATATTTTATTTATTGATTTACTTTCTGAGGCCGGCACCATTTTCTTTTGGTTTCATCTAAACTTGTGAATCATTTAATGTTCACTAATCAAAGTTCTTGTAAAGGAAAAATGGTGAGAATTGTGCTGTATAACTTTTGATATGAATATTTGTACATGAGAATATAGCTAGAACATACAGAGACATTGGTCTATTACTGATAACAGAGCTTAACGATAAAGAATTTGCTTCGTTTTGTTTTATAATATAGAGATATGGTCATACAATAGCTCAATATATTGCTAAGTCGAATCACTAGACTCTCAGATTGTATAAATGCTGGTGAATGGAACCACAGACTTCTTATATCAGTAAAATGATCTTTTGTGGATCAACGCTTCTGAAAAGCAAACACAACAACATGTGGGTCCAGATTGCATTTGAGTAATTAGTGTCTAATGATCAGATTTACATATTTTTTGCCATGTTCATTATGGTCATTGAACAGGTTGCACAATGTTTCCATTCCTACTGAATGGAAAGATAATTGTTTGGTGCTTAATTTCTAATACCACCTTTAGCCTTGTAGTTTTCTGTCTTGGAGAGACGGTTGATTTTTACAAAAATGTAAACATTCTTAGATCCCCTGAGTCAAAATGCTGATAAGTTTTTCAAACACTCATGACGTATTTAGGGTACCCCATGCAGTGAAACCCTCTAAAATGAAGTATATGTATGAAAAAATAAATACTATTTTATCACGGGTCAGTTTTTTGAAACATTGTTTAATGTGATGGTCTTGAATGCAACCCTGTTATGTTTGGCAGGATCTTTACCTGTTTTATTTGATTTTATTTTAAAGCCACAACTTGTATTAATGTTTGGTCATTTTCCTCACAGGGCTGCAAGGTGGAAGACGTCCCCTGAATTAACAAAGTATTTTAACAGAGGAATTACAATGGCATTGAATTTCTGATGGCAATATATGCTCTTGTTTTACACGTAGAAACCTAAATTCTGAATTTGTTATGTTCGACCAGATGGTGTTCTGAACTTTGACTGGCTCCTCTACATTTTTCAGCCTTTTACATTTTAACAAACTTTCTGAAAATTTGATGAAAACGTTTCTCATATGCAGTACGGCCTTTTGTCTGGTCACACGTATAACTGAAGCCTTTGCGGACAAATGGTTCCATGAATAAAAGTGCTATTGGAGTGCTTAAATGAGGTTTGCCTGAGAGCTTCAGAACAGTTATGAACCTTACAATTTGTGTGAATTTTATGTTACTACAGAGATGTATTTAGTTAGAATAAAAGGGGACTTTCCTAAACAACCTTACTCACCATTTCCTGTGCAGTTGAAAGACAAAATAAAAGAGATTCTGTTGAAAACTAAAAGGGTCTCGATCGACATCCTGCATCAAATGACGGTGCATTTCTTATTGTATGTGGTTTGATTTCTTTGTAATACTCTCTTGTGCGGTCTGGGACTTCTCACTTTTGCTTTTCTTTGGTTTAACGGCTGCCATGACCTACATTGTGCTGCTTGTGATGATTTACTGTAAATCCAAAAACAAATATGCAGGTCAAAGATAACTTCTGAAAACCAGAGCTTGAAAGGGGAACAAGAGGTGGGAAGGAAGTCGCATTCAAAGGCACACGCATTTTCTACACTAACTAACATTTTAGGTCTTCATCTAGGTGTTGATTTCTGTATTTTTAAAAAAAAAACCGTGCTTGTAGTGAAACTGCTGGCAGGAATCTGACTCTAATTTCCTTGAACTGGCAACATCTGCAGCAGTTACCCCACTCACCACAACCCCTTTTATTGTCCCATGGGGCAACTGGAAAGCCCCAAGGGTGGCAGAGGAGCGGTTAGCCTTTACCTGAGGTAGTGCTGACAGGGTTTGTGGTGTGTTGAGTTCCCCCATTCTTTTCTCGAGTAGTTGGTGGTTTGACGGCGATGCAGCATGGATTGTGGATGCTTGAAAACAGCCTAAATCATTCATAATAATATAGGTCATGTCCGCTTTTTAAAAATTTCTTCTGTTTTAACTCGAGTGGTCTGATCTTTCAGTGACCATATTCACATGCTGACCGTTGTCGTTTCACGTCAGACTAGCTGGGAAGTGTAAATGCTTAAAAAAAGACCCATGCTGGACTACTAGGTAGCAGATCCTTTAAATAGTATCAAGCAGTTTCCAACAAATCATTTGCATTTCACTGCTTCCTTTGTGATCAGCAAAGTAGAAAAAAAAGATATTGAGAATTTAGAAGGGTTTCCATATTACCAAGCAAAATTAGTATATATCATGACTTATCAGCAGCTGTAGGAAAACAAATCAGTAGATAGTAGAAAGCCCTCCAGATTTAAGCCATCAAGTGTCTTTTTATTTTGCATTTAGAGGAGCTGAAATGATACATTTTACAAAACTAAAAGACTAGAATACAGCAGTTTAAGGCCACTAAAGCATTTGAGTCTCATGCCCTGGTGCGACATCAAGAGAAAATGGCGTGTGAATAAGTTGAACTAACCCTCGTGATGCGCATGGCTTGCTAAGAGCCACATCATTCCTTCGAAAGAGTGTATCCTGATTAGACAACACTTGAAAAACCCACTTCTTGTTTTTTGTGTCATATTTACATAACCTCTGTCACTCACCACCCAAACAAATAAATCATCATTAACGCCACCATGAAGTCACCCTCTGAAATTGTGAGCGCAGCAGGTCAGAGGCCTAAACCTGTGGCATCATCTCAGTGACACATAGCCTACATTAGCTCAGCAAGCTCTCTCTTTTACGCACTTGTAAAAGTTTTTGATTGAGAAATGCATTTCCTGTGACCCTGCCAGCTTCCTGCACCAATGTCCGCATGGAGAATAAAGTTGCACACATGATTTAAGGAGGCAATGGTGGCAGTAAAAGTGACAAAATCTAGTTTGTTCAGATTAAAAGTAAAAAAAAAACACCTGTTTGGAGTTGTTTTTAAAAATGCTGTACTGATCAGGCTTTTCAGACCCTCCATTTTACTTTAAAAATACAATTTTCTGGCTTAAGCTACAGGTTTTCAGGGATCCAAGCATGCCTTAGTCTTCATTTATTGTTTTGATGTAAACTGTTGGTTCAAACCTCTGGACAACTACTTCTATCAACAATCCAAGTCACATCAGTTTCTCTCAGTTGCTGCAAGTAAATTAATGTAAGAAAAACACAAGTATGCCTTAAACTGAAGCTTACTGTAGTGGCACTTTCTCTGCATATCTGCATAAGAAAAAAAGATAGTTCTCATCTTCTCATCTAATGCCCCTAGAGGGTGCTATAAAGGCATACCAGTGAACTGTGTCAAAGGGGGGCTGACCTCCAGTCCTTCATTTTTTTCCAGGCAAGTCTGAGACTTGTCTAAATTCAGCAGAAAATGTCCCTTTAGGCATCAAAAAAAGACAAAAGAAAAAAAAGGATTAATGTGTTTATGTTTCCTCACGCTCACATAAAAAGGAAGTCCTTTCAGAAAAGGCTTCAGAGTTTGATCAGACATGACAACAAAAAGAAATCATGTTTACATGCCTGCTCAATGTCCAGACATGTTGGGACGCTGTCCACTTGTCTTAATACAGAAGGAAGAAAAAAATGCACATGTGAAAAAAAAGGAGGAAATTCTGGGAAATTTGGTTGCCTCACAAAGTGCACGTCATTTCCTCCTATGACAAATGTGTGTGGTTTCTGTGTTTTAAAAAAGTTTTTAAAGGAGTGTGATTATGACGAGTCCTCGCAATTTGCCTGTGACACCGAGAGGAGAATGAATGGTCATGTAAAGAGTATGCATTTTGGACAGTTTATGGAACCAGCAACAAGTAAGTTTTATTACATTTGTGATGTGATGTGTGTACTTTCATGTGGGGAGGAAGACACCACTCAATCTTTTTGTGTTTTTGCATGCACCGGTGATTCTTTTTTGTGAGTTTGTGCATAAAATCTGACTGAAGTTTGATATCAATATACAAACTACTTAAGAGTTTCTTTAAATGTTTTGTATTTAATAGTTTCTTTGGAAGTATTTAGTGAGAATGACAGTGTTGTAAAGTGTCAAACATGGCTGTGAATGAAGCACATTAATGTAAAAATGTGTTAACTTGTTGTGTAGATGGTTTCTTTTTCATGCGCTTAATGTACAAGTGAAGAATCTATTTTTATCCCTCCTGCCCTCCTCTTGTGGCTTTTCGTCGAAGTTCCCCTCACCAACGGGATGTAGGATAACCTAAACTAACCAGTTTCCTTTCTCCTCAGCATTACTCTCTCTGCTGCTGCTTATGGCTGTTGATTCAACACGAACTGTGGCAGCAAGCAGAAACCAGCAGTGTGGGAATTCTCTGCAACAGACTCTGAAACTTACGAGACTCATACAGAAGGAATCTGTCGACTTAATCAAAACATATGTGAGTACAGACGTACATCTGCTGTGTCTTGGCTTTTTCAGTGTTGACCTTTTTACCTTTTCATAAGCTGACTGTTCCTCAGAGCGTCTTGTTCCTCTCCAAAATGTTTGAATGAAACGTTTTGTGCTTTTTGTGTCTGCAGAAAACCTCTCAAGGAGAAATGTCAGAGCTTCTGTGCAAAGTGGCGGTCCCCAGCATCCCTGACCCCAACATCTCAGGCCTGGAGCCCTCTGAGAGGATAGTGAGCATCTACACTCACATCCGGGCCTTCCTCCCTCATATTAAACGTGTTTATGAGCAGCAGACGGACTTACAGTTGCCCACCAGCCCGGTGCTGACTGGGCTGCTCCGTGTCAGTACTCGCAGCAACAGCCTGGCTACTCTCATAAACAACTTCTATCAGAGTCTCTTCCCGAATGTCCCCATCCCAGAGCCGGCAGGAGGGCCGACAGAACTACCTCCGCCTCAGAATGTGTTCCAGCAGAAAGTTTACGGATGTGCGGTGCTGAAAACCTACAAGGAGCTCCTTGCAAACATCTCCAGAGAACTGAGAACTCTAAAAAGCAAAGTGTGCAGAAACAGGAGACAAATCAACATGCTCTTCTTCTGAGGATGACCTAAGGCTGGCCTTAGACGCTCAGTTCCATCATATCTTATACTCATGTGTTCGAGTGTAATTGAGTATGAAGGTGGCTGGTACATCAGAGTAATGACGCCTATTTATGGTATTTAATATTTATTTTTTGTTTGGTTATAATAAGAGGTCAAGAATGTAAAGGAAAACATGCTTCATTGTGTAATAATACATAGTTCCTATTTGCTGCTGCAAACTTTTTGGCTGTAAAAGTAATAAAAGTTCATTTTCAGCTTTATCTCTTTAGTTTTTTTCATTTATTTCTTGAATTGCATCTATGATGTGATTGCACAAACAAAATAACATGATCATGTCTGTAAAAAAGTGTTTGAAAAAAAAAGAGAAACTGAGGTTTACTCACTCCCTGGTATTGCACCACACTTCTAAAAACAGGATTCAGTTTTAGTAACAAAGAGAAACAGGTTGAAGTGATTTTGTCAAAAGTAAAACAAGACAAAAAGAGTGTATTTCAATCTTGTAGGATCATGTGCTGTGTTTTGCACAGACTTAGTCTATCAACAAATCAGGAAGCTGCTGAGACGCTGACTGTGTGATATCAGCTCAGAGTGACGCATGTGTTCGACACAAGGCTGCATCAGATAGGAAAGATTTCATGAAACTGGCGGGCTGTCTGGCCAGTCACAAGGTGTGGGTGTGTGTGGGTCAGATCACTGTATGTGTGTTTTGTACACTTCTACCCTCTTACAGATGGAGACGCAAGTGTGTGAAGGGTGGGGGGGCGTACGGCGAAAGAGAAGTTGAACTTTTGAGACGGTTTTAAATAGATGCACAACAGACATGGCATGCAAACGTTTAGTCTAAAATTACAAACACTTACAAAAAGAGCAAAGATTTCTGTCAGAATGAAGTAATGCTTAACTAAACTTTCCTCTGATCACAAGCTTTCAGGAAACTGGAAGTGGATGGGGCATTCACTCTAGGTCATGAATCAAGTTCCCTGTTATAACTAAGCTTTATTTAAAGCTCAACGCCGAGGGTACCTCAGGGCAACACTCACTATTTAGTCTGTATGTCTTAATGATTTCCACTCCACACGTAATTGTTCTCAGATTCCATTGAAACCTAAACAGTCAGTGACCTAATCATGATTCACATACTTTCTGTCTGTAGGAGGAAAACTTGTTAACCTCAAACATCAACAGGCAAAAAAAATGTAAAACTAGACTCAGGACCAAACTGGCGTGTGGATTCTGCGACCATATCACCAATCTACAGCACGTCATATAACTTGTTTGTATCATGTGGTCCACAAAAACTCTCCCACAAGCAATATTGTTTTGTCATATTGAGAGACAACTCTTTCAAGCAGCACTCATCACTCTCTTTCCATTCAACATCAAAATTTGACACAAGTGACTACACTTGTGCTATCAGCTCTGCAAGGCTGCGCATCGGCCAAATGCTGACATTAGCATCCTAACACGCTTTACGCACGGGCTGCATAGAAATATGGACAATGTGCCTCCATCTTCCTCTGCTGTAAAAGGTGAAACCAAGTCATGGAGTGAAGGAATGCTGAATGTAAGAATGTTTCCCTGGAATCACCACAGAAGCCACAATTATTAACAGAGCTGTCAACCATAACCCCACACCCCTGTTTTTATAATCAGATAACTAACTGAAACTCAACTTCCATGGCAAATGAACTTCCACATAAATCCGCATGATAAGATCTTATAAAGCATGTTGGAAAAAATATGTGCTTGCTTTTATTTCCTTGCTTTTGTTTTCTGTTACAGCCATAGACTGTATATACTATATACTGTTCCGCCTTTCGCCAGTATACAGATTTGAAGCCAAAACGCTCTCTGTAATTCGGCGTTTTCTCTTCATTTCCTGAAACCAACATTGCGCAGTAGCATTGTACGCATTTGGCGGGAGAGTCGCTGTGATGACGCTCGGCTCAAACAGCGTATCCCCCAGGTGAGCTACGCAATCTACGTACCAGGTGTCAATCATAGAAAACATGAACCCCCTAATAACTAAAAAAAATGAAGCTGTACAGAAAAAAAAGGACTTGAGCACAAACCAGTCTTACAATAACCACATGTCAACATCGCAAGCAGGGGGGAGAAACATTTATGTTCTGTGTTCTAATTTTCTAAAGTTTGTCCACAGCCCCATAAGCTTTACTGGAGGTGGTGGAATTTATGACCTATATTGCAGCCCGTCACCAGAGGGTGCTGTTCTTAGAGTGGCTTCTCCCAGCAAGGAGGCAGACAGCGTCCATTCTATATACAGTCTATGGTTACAGTTTTATAATCTTTACTCCAGGGGGAGCTCTAGATATTTTGGCATCACTCAAGGGAAGCAGTTGTGCTGCCCATTTCCTCACATTGTCTTCGACATTTGCTGACAATAACTGTCAGTGGTCACCGAGAGGAAAGTAGACTTATTACTTTTCCTCAGGTGCAAAACATCTGAAATTCCCTCTTCAAATGGTTAATGTACAATTAAAAAGGAGTTTTAAAGAAGTTATTTAGTTAAGCATACTGTTAGCTGTTTAATTAATATAATCACAAAGAGTGAGCCTCATGTAAGTGCCTTTGGTTTACTGGGTCTGATCATTTAGATTGAGGCACTCATAAAGCACTGATAAACTTCATCTTCATTTTACATGTTTAGACCTTTAGGGGGCAGTAAAGGCCCATGACTCCACACTGACTGCAGTGCTGGGGTATATCTGTGGCGTCACTTTACAATCAAACATTGAGTCTTGGGATAAACACACAATAAAGGAAACATGCTCTTTTTGTGATAGTTTAAGCCGCTTTATTGAATGTCAGGAAACACAGGTAGCATAAAAACTTTGATGAAACTGTTCTTGATGTTGCTCCTGATAAATAATGTTCATATTTTCCCTCAGCAACAGACTGGACTATCAGGACAGATTTCAGCTTGGGTTTTAAAATGCCATGTTCTGTAGTTATTAAAACCTACAATTTGTAATGTTGATTTTTAGTAGAATAAAGAAATCTGTGGTGTTAAGGTAGGGATAACAAGGCTTTACATTCATACAAGCATACCCATCTTTCTAGTTCTTATCATGTACTTGAGGCCAGCAGTTACAGATAAAGGGAATTTCCGAAACGTGAAATATTAAAAGGAGAAATATCTCAGATCACCGGAGACAAAAAAAAAAAAAAAATCCTTGAGTCATTCACTCTTTAAGTGGGATGGAATATTTCTGGGAAATCCTGGTGTAACTTTAGTGTTTGCAGAGTTCCTGTTAACTAAAAGGTGTCAAAGTGTCTGCATGACTAATGTTTTTGTTTTTACACTGTGAAAATGATTTTTCCGTGGTGTAATTTCACATGTTCCTTTAAGAGTACAGACTGTTGAGGTGCTACATTACTGTTCCTTCTTGCATGACAGCGCTCACGTTTCCTTTTTATCAGAAATTCACACCCTGGACAGGAGTCGGATCTGTTACATGAGGTCTTTTATTGTGCAAGTGTAGCAGAGCATGCACCAAGTGTCATCTTTGTAATATAAGTCAAAGTATCTTAAATTATTGCATTGGTATTAAATAGACATATAGATTATAAGTACAGGATTATTGAGGACAAATCTCTGTATCCCTGATTATTAAGTTATTGATTTATGGCATCATCTTTTGTACATTATTCAAGCATCCATGTTTGCATGCATAGAGTCTAACTGTCTGCTATTCCAGACATGCATATTTGATTATTGCTTGGTAAGTCATATCAGCTTGATTGTTATCTAACTGATTGTATTATTGCTTACAATCGAAAATCTACTTAAGTGACTGCAGTATACATTAATTCTTGAAGTTGCATAGTTCTTCACATGTAAGTAAGGCATATATTCAATGCAAGCGAGGAACTGGTGATGGAAACAGATAGTGAAAGCATGACTCTGCATTTTCAGCCTTTCCAGTCACTGAATTGTTCAGTTTGCTGACCTCACTTACAAAAGTTTGTCGTGTCCATATACAGGAAGCGAATGCTCATTCTGGATTCAATTTCGAAGCCATTCAGCAACTAAGAAAAAGTTACAAAGTATATGAAATTGTACATAACTTGTATTTCACGCAGAGTATTTGAGTTGACAGTGGCTTACACAAAGTTCTTATAGTATTTGTTCATTTTTTTGTATACTTATAGAATAGGAGAGTATTTTAGCAAACATGGATGTACTCTGGGTACGTACCTTGAGGAAATGCTCAAATGTGATCCCCTCATAAAACTCATCAGGTTCCTGAGTGTGAGAAAGTGAAGTAACTAAATTGCACAAAATAAAACCAAGTATAAATTACATGTTGTTCTTTAGGGTGATCAGCTTACATACCATGTGACCCATGGAAATACTGGCCACCTCCAACATGGCGGCATCAGCAATGCTTTTGGCTGTATCTTTCTCAAGTGTCTCACTGAGAGACAGCAGCTCCTCCACCACCTGCATGGACGTGAACACAGGTAAAGCATAAGTAAGAAAGTAACTACAATGATTACCTGCTCTCTTTAAATGCGGTGTACACCACGGCTCTACTTTAGGGCCTCAATTATTTTATTGTGCATGCTCCTGTTGGTTTTATTTGAAAGTATTTAAACTCCTGCACTGCTGCTACAGTGATGACTGAGCAGCAATCCCTTGTTTGAAAATGAGGCCAATGCAAGGGTTCAAAAACCTGTAGTTGCTTCAGCATCAACTTGAGGCTGGCACTTCAAACCAAAAGACTCTAAAGCAGGTCGCATGTCAAGACTGTTATTGAGCAGTTATCTAGAAAACAGGGTTATTGTTTATTTCCTCTGAAGAGATCACAGCAGATGATAGTGATGAGAAGACTGGTTAATTTACGTCAGCAGTACTTATTGTTGGTTTGCCACTCTCTCACCAGAGGTTTGGGCAAACAAACCACAAACGTGCCTTGAAGAGCTGCAGCTTCTCATGGGTAAATAAGCTGCTGCAGTCAGGAGTGATGAAAATTTAGTTCATTTAGAAGTCACTGAAGTAGCAGACTGTCCAAATCTGGTAGCTTAGCATTAACTGAACTGAACTGGTAACTTCTGGCTGAAGATAAACATTACAGCCAATAGCTGAACTCAAGTCTTCATTTACAGAGCCAATAAAAATAGAGGAAGTCACAGTTATTTATTTATCATTCATAGTCTATGCAGATGACACAATTTTATCTACCTGTTTTACCTGACTTTGTCTTAGACTGAACAACCTTTTTTTCTTCATGTAAAGAGTTTTCTGCTCATATTAAAGGGATATTCAGGCGTAAAATTAATTTAGGGTCAAACACATCGTAACACCGAGTTAGTCACCCCCTCGAGAGATGAATGTTGCCGACTGCTTGCATCTCTAGTTTTATCAACTTTACTTTTACTTTGCAGGATCGCAATACACAGCGGTCTGAGTAGCCATCAACACACCTTAACCAAAACGCCACTCTATAGCCACAAATAATGCTCAGAACAGCAACTAACTTCATTTACAGTACATAAAGATTCAAGCCATAGCACTAGCCACCAAACGTCTTTTTAACTTTGCCTAATTTCTTTAGCAAAGAGACTAAACACAACTCACCTACTCTCCTCCAGCAGCTGCTTGTTTGTAGCGAGACCTCGGGCCAGTCCATTACAGACTACAGGGGGGAACGCAGCTCAAGGAAGAACATTAATGATCATTTCTTAATGGAGAAATGCAATAAAACCGAGACGTTAAGGCAGAAGAACTACCACGTTTGCAGTGCAAAATGATTAATATGGTGATTATTACTTCAAGTAAATGATAAAGAAATTATCATAAATGTTCTTCCTTGAGCTGCGTCCCACCGCTGCAGTTGATGGACTCCGTACAAACTGGAGGAGAGTGGATGAGTTGTGCTAAAAAACTAAAAAGATGTTTGGTGGCTAGTGCTATGGCTGGGACACAATATGTACTGTTGATGAAGTTCGGTGCTGTTATTATTTGTGGCTATAGAGTGGCTTTTTGGTTGGGGTGTGTTGATGGCTACTCAGACCACTGTGTATTGCTATCCTGCGGTCGTTACTAAAGTTGGTATAACTAAAGAAGCAAGCGGTCGGCAACATTCATCTCTTGTGGGGTGTCTAACTGTGTTACGGTGTGTTTGACTCTAAATTAATTTTACGCTGGAATATCCCTTTAAGGTCCTGTTCTTTCAGATATACTGACCCACCAATCTTCCATCGTTTTTTTAACTATCTAGAGAAGTGAGCTGAGTCTTACATGTCTGTATTCCTCCAGGGTGATTGTCCCGTCATTGTCAGTATCATGCATGTTGAATAAAACTGCAGAGAAAAACAAACACATTTTGTTTTATGACGGCCAAAGGTAATGTCATGCATATCATTGTTGTTTGTCTTAAGACGTACATCTCAGTTTTTCCTTCCTGATACTCTCACGCTGCTCCTCTGAAACGTGCAGTGCTGGTGGCCTAAAATGGGACATGACTACCAGGAACTCCTCAAAGCCGATCTCCTCGACCGTACCCTCGCCATTCTGACGAAAATTTCTAAAGATTTAAAGACCAAGTAAAACTGACAATATCACAGAGGGAATTATGACATTTCACCCAGTTGAAACAGGTACTTTTGCAGTCCATGTAAATGAGATTTAACCTCAGAGAATGATTATTTACACATTTACCTTCTGTCAAAGAAGGCCTCTATGATCTGTGACCGAATAGGATTGCATGCCAGATCTGGAATTCCATTGAGGTGATCCCTCCTAAGTGCACACAAGAGGAGTAAAAGGAGCGGCATGTGGCGTAACATAATAAAATACTCATGGTCACAAAGAAACATGAAGCCTGTTAGGCAGGTTTCCAGCTCTGAAGAAAGAGAGTAAAGTCAGTGCATTCAGGTAACTTACCGCAGAGTTTCCTCATTGTGGCTCAGCTGCTTGAATCTTTTATGCAGGACTCCAATCTGCTCCAACGAAACTGAAAAAAAGAACAAAAACAAAACCCTGTAAGACTCAAGTTAGTTTTGGTGCATGTATAATATCCTCAATCGTGGTTATCACTTCTCCAAACAAATAACAGAAGAATCAATCATTTTGACATACAGATAAGCCTTCGAGTTCTTTGTCAGCAACAGGCTTTGTAAGTTTGACTGGAGGCTTTTGAGGCAACAGATTTGGATATTCATATTGTATGTAAAATACTTGCTTTTGCCTGCCAGCCTGTAAACACACCCTTTCTCGAGTCTGCGAGTAAGCTCTAGTGACTACAGAGACATTTTAAAGTTATAGGGTATCTGATAACTTCTATTAAATGTTCTGTCAATACTGTGTGTGATCTATTATTTACTGCAGCTCCCCCTGTAAACAGGATATTGTTTCACTTCCATTAAGTTGCAGCTTGAATTATTTATGACTGCTGCACCATGCAGACTGGTTTCAGTTTGACACAGAGATGCAGGACATAAGTGATCATACACTCAAAGCAAATATTGATCAGCTCTGTGCTTGACACGTGGTATATTACGTTAAAATGCTTGGTTTTCCCCTTTAAGATAAGACTGAAACGAATAGGACAGAAATAAAATCGTGTTTCCGGCTCACTTAGATCATGTTTTCACACATTGTATAAGTCAGGCTGGGGTGGTGCTTAAAATAGAAGTACAACAACGCCACAAGTCATGAGGATGTATACTCACAGCCGGTCTTTTCTGCCAGGTCAACATATTCTGGTTGGCCAGGTGAAGACTGGAGTGCACCCATACCTCCAAAATAAAGCTCCTCCCGACCAGTACAAAACAGGCCAGAAGTGAAAAAACTGTCCGGACCCTCAGAGGATCATGTCTCACGGTCATCCATCCCCTCCTGAGTGTTTGTGACGGACCCTGAGTTCACACCTCCTCCTCTTCTCTTCTTCCTCCTCCTGCTGCTGCTGCTCTGTCGCCAGGCAGGTTTCTCATCTCATTTCTCCTCTGCAGACGACGCAGGCCACTTCCGCAACTACAGCCTCAATGACGACACTCATATTTAGGTAGAAACAACACGAAGGTACAACAGGCTGCACTTTGAATTATTAATCCGGAGTTTTTTATTAATTCAGAGGCTTTGACCATTTGTGACCGGTTTGTTTTTGCTGTCCTGGCAAGCAAAGTAGAGGGCGAAAAAAAAGTAGCGACATGAGTCATTCTCAAACATTCTCAGTACTGAATAAAGTGAGAAATAAATGACAAACTACAAACTGCACACTCAAAATTTTAAGTGTATATTAAATTTAATAGAGTTGTCACACTGCCCAATTTACAGTTTAACCCATTCATACTTACCAGTGCAACAGGTGGATGTATGGAAGCCCTGGGCGGACATTTTTTACGCGAGTGCGTTTTCTATGATAGTGGGTATTTTTCTCTTTTACAAAGCTTCCCTCCAGATTCTAAATTAGCTAAAGGAATCAAGCTTGTTTTCTGGTGATAAATGGACAACTTTATGGCATTTTCGAAACAAAGCAAAGACTACTTGGATTAGTGATGAGCAGGGCAGTTCTGTTAGATGTACCGAATCACTAGAAACAGTTCACTTAAAAGATTTGTTCAAAAGATTTGTTTACTAAATCACCGAATCACTTAACGCTTGGCAGGAGAAGCCTGCAACTCCAACCTCCTGAACTGATACACAGCTGAACGTGTCAGTTCAATTAATAGTTTCTGGGACTGGAAGACGAGAGTGTTTGGCTGTGTTGCTTTGGCAAAAGTCATGATATTTTAAGTGTACTGTCCCATTTATCAGGTCTGCTCGGTGAATTGGGCACAGTGAGTGATTCCGCTGCAGTGATAGGATTTAATGCACTATTTGTTGTGTCCTATTGTATGCAAGTTGTTGTGATGGCAATTTAGCAGTAAAAAAAAAGGTAGTTTTGTCCGACAAAAATGTTTCCAGAGAGTGTAGTTCAATGCGTGATTCGTTCACCAAGTGTTTCAGGCGTCAGTGCCTGTGGTTCCTCTGTCGCTGGCTGCTGGTCTGGAAATGCTGTTTCTCACTTCAACTGAAGTGAGAAATAAACGAATCACTCAAGAAAGTGATTCGGTTCAGTACGTTTACTTAAAAGATTCGGTTCTTTTGAATGACTCGTTTGCGAACGACACAACACTAACTTGGATGGACCGCAATTATAAATAAGTAGAGCCAAGAGTGAGCTTTCTCTGCTGTGGGCTAATATTGGCTAAAGCGGGTATTTTCATAGCTATTTTTAATGAATCTGTGTTGTCATTCAATTCTATACGCCCACTGAGTAAATATAATATGATGTTAAAGTGTGCCTTAAAAAAGGCACTTATGTACATGAAAGCCACAGAAAACAGGAACTGTGACTAACCTCAAGAGCTCATACTAGAGTGCACTCTTGGTATGCTGGGAAAAGGTTGAAGTTTTAAGTTGAGACCTTGATACTTATGAAAGCTTAGAAACTGAAAGGGCCTTGAGGTTCCTGTGACTTGTCAGCTGCTGTTTGCTGCTGCATTGCTTTGAATGGAAAATGAAGCCTGTACTACCAGACATGACATAACATGACTTAATGGGGTTGAAATGTAATTTGTTGTAGGAATTCAGACAGGTATTGCATTTTGATTGTGTTCTATACTGATTCTGACTCATTAGTGTGCCTGCTGACAAAACTTCCAAAGCTTAACATGACGATCTGAATCAAACCGCAGCCAATTATCTTTAAAAACAGAGCTTACGAGACAGAATGACATACATCTGTTATTATGAAAGAATTAAAGCCTGTGGCACAAAGTAACGGCTGTGATGCTTCAGAGCAACAGGAGTGACTTCAGGGACATTCTTCACTGTCTATGCAAATTAATGACACCTGTTATGATGTCACTCAGGTAGAGACTCTCAGTGTGTTATTTCCTCTAAGAAGTCGGTCCTCTTAAAGTACAAATTTTAACACCTATAAACTCTTAAACTCTTTTGCAAGCACTCAAAACATGCAGATAGGCATGATTTTATCATGTCTGGCATTTGTGACCTGGATGTGCTTCAGTGTTTTTGAATAGTTCCAGTAAAAACAAACTTTTTTTTGTTATTCTAAGAATTTTTTAATCTGTATTCATCAAGACTGTAATATGCAGAGACATCTGGTCAGTAGAGGTTTCTGCACCACTGCTCTCCACAAGGGGAAAGATAAACTGTCTCTGAATAAGATTTTTAAAATCTACTATAAAGTGTATCATTTTTCCCAAAAGGTTAAGTCAAATATATGAAAGCAAATGAGTAAATAAACAATTTCTAACAAAAAAGCAGATTAAAAATGTTTTGTGCCTTAAATTACTCATCAGTCATGTAGTTATTTCCAGTGTAGGTTGAAACTCGATGGACCATTTTGCCTTCACTAATTCTTGTTTTGAGTTAAACCGAAAGGAGATACTTGGGCATACTTTATTGTTCCAGCAGGTGGCAGCAAAAAAAAGAGGTTAAACAGTGTGTTGTTGAAACAGGAAAAGTTTTACCCTGGAGTCATGGTACACAAAGAGAGCTCTGTTAAATATAAGAGGAGATACTCAGGGGGAAGCTAAGATTATAAGAACTTGGATATGATCACTCTGACTTCAAAATAAACTGCATCAATTACAGAGGGTAAAAAAGTTAAAATATATGAACAAACAGGCAAATGTTATGTCCATTCAGCTAAACAAATACAGATTCATGACTATTTTTTAGTTAGCCTCCATCCCCCAGCCACCACTATAACTATAACCCTTCTTCATTTTCTGTTTAGCCTCAGTTTAAATTCCCAGTGACATTAAAAATTTGGGTTTTAAATGACCAAGTAATTGATAGTTTCAGTCCTATTCCTGATATTTTGAACTGTAAATGCACTCAAAATAGTGACGGGCAAGAAACTAAAATGACAAGCTGCATGCCAGGATGTTTATAATAACTATGCAGTAGTGTAGTGTGAAGATGCGCCACATGATGGCAGCATGTTGCCAACCAGTGTTTGTAGAGAAACGCCACTAAACCCTGGTGACTTTTGGTTTTCTTGTTATCAGAGCAGAGTTCACAGGATGAGTGGGCTGAGTGTGTTTTAAAGCCTTCACCTCTGAATATAACATTTTTGGTTTCATTCATTTACACCATTTTGCTCCACAATTGTTTATTTTAACGTATAATTAATCAAAACCTCTCAATTTCTGCCATTGTGATCATAAAAACACCAAAACTTCTCTTCCCATTTAATTTGTATGTGCACTGAGTAAAGCTTTATTAAAGTGTAACAAGTTAATCCCACCCTGTCTCGTCTCACAGCTGTTTCCAAAGCTTCCTAGCCCTGCCGTCCGCCACTGTGTTGTCCTATAGAATAATGGCTGCCAGTGCTAATTGAAAATCAACAGACAATGTATGGATGATAAAAAAACTAATTTAAATACTTGACAACAATGCAGTCCTTTTCTGCGACTTTATCTTGATGTTAACTGTCACTGATGCAAGAAAATGAGCGCCATTTGACTCTTGACGACACCTCTCTTGCATGCCGTCTCTCACAAATGAGATTAAATTATTAAAGTTGAATTTCTCTGACAGTCATGTGTGTGAGTGTGTGTACACACATATATATAAAACGTTTTTGTTCATTATGTATTCACCATGAAGGATTATTGAAAATTGCCACTTTTTAAATTGAAAAGCCCAACAGGATTCATCAGTGTCTCCTCTCTTTGTTGATTATCTGTCTGAAAAAAGGTGGAAGCCCTAAAAGGACACTTTGCTCACAAGGAAAACGAGAGTGCAAAATGAAATGAAATGAAAGTCATAATGAATGAATAAAGGAGAGTAGAGTTATTCTTACAGCATCTAGAAGTTAGTACAAATGTCTTTAACTGTCACCTCATGAGATAAAGTCATCTGCTTGTGAGAGCTTCTTATTTTGTCCTTGCTAACATTGCTGGACGGTCAGAATACAAACTGTGGCAAATAAATGGAGCAGACATTCCTGTAGTGTGTCCCCTATCCTCTTCCCTTAGGACACCATTTTGCATCATCCTTTTTTTGTGCGGTAAATGGATTTTATATGACTTTATTTTGGAATATGCGACACATGGGCACTATAAAGCCAACAAACTAAAGCCCAGACAACAAAAAAAGAAGTCCCTTAACTAAATATCGCCACAGGAACTCATTATCAAAGGATTTCAGAGCTGCAGTTAAATTGCCTCTGAGTTTCTACACAGATGTAGTAAAACAGACTAATACAACCTATAGGGCGGGAAGGGCGTTAGAGGCTTGGGGCATTTCTCAGCTTTTTTTAAAGCATTGCCTTTTAAAATAAAGCTATTTGTTAATGGTAAATTGTTTCAATCATAAAATACCACAAAGAGGACTGTGGGGCACTCTTACCCCAAATGAGTTTTCCGACCTCTGAATGATTTTTTTTTAACATTTCATAAGGTTGCTGCCTCATGGTAAAATTGTTGCTCAATGAGACTGTGATTAAGATCAAAAGTCCACTTGTAAAGACAGCCCATCAGGCCCATGTGTTTATTTCATGATACAACCATTTTCCAACTGCAGAAAAGGCTAAAAGAAAAGGTCTTTTACCATCTCATTAAATGTTGAAGTTCTGAGTCAAACAAGCATCCACCGCACCAGCCCAGTTTGTTAAAGCTCTTGTGAGGAGTTTTGTTTGACTGAAATTCATGTTGATGCTTTTTCAAACAAGACAATCCACTCCATGATTGATCATTTTTGTATCATAACTTTCAATGCCCGAAACTGCTCCAAGGGAGTAGGTGTCGACTCAGCAGCTGATGAAACAAGAATATTCATTGAAATTGAAAAATTTGTCTGTCAGAAGTCAGCAGGATGAGATTTTTGTCAGAAGATGCTGTTTAAGGATGTAGAGGACAAGACAAACACAGACTGCTTTGTCAACAGGGGGCACCAAATTTGACACGTCAAAAGTTCATCAGAGGAGCCACTGGTTTTTTCCTAGTTTGTCATTGTCATCGGTGTCTCTGACCCACTACATGTTTTACTGTCTATGAGTGGTCTATAAGAGCTCCTATGTTACCTGCTTCTGCTGCTACACTGGCAATGTTAGACGACAGGCAAGCGTGAAGAGGAGCGTCTCTGCCCACGACTCAGAGGGTGAATTGCTCATGACTAAGTAAAGCCCTTGAAAATGGCACATGTCACGTGATTTTGGCTAAAAACTTCATAATCACAATTCAAAGACCATTGATAACACTTTAAATATAAAAAAAAAAAAAACAATCGAAGTGGGACTTTAAAAAGGTTTGGGCTTTTTCTTGAGCTGGCTCAAAACTTTCTTCGACAGTATTCATTGAAGCAGATCTAAAAAACAACTTGAGCTTGTCTGAAAACGTTTTAAAAGCCCTGTATGTATTTAACTTCTGCTCAATTACAGGGTAATGATTAGGTAAAAGACTAGATTCTCTTACAGTTCATCTTAAATAAGCCTCTCATATGTGTCATTGTTTTATTCAGTTCAGTTCACAGTACAAGATTTAGCATAGGTCTGAACACTCTCTGTGAAAAAGCGAAAACTGTTCTTTAAGGTTAAGTGAATGGGAGCCAGTGGCCTCTGACTACAGAGCACACAGTACATTATTTTTCCTGTTCAGGGGAATTGATGCTCCGAGTTGAACATAATCAATCTGGGGTGAAAAAAATCCACAGCACATTTTCTTTTCTTTATCAGCTTCTGCCCTTGAAATGCTCTTCCCCATAAAATTGTCTCACTTGCTTGCTGTTGTGTTTGTGTGTAACTATCACTGGGCGCACAATGTTTGAGGCTTGAAATTGATTTGAATAAAGACTCTGCTTCGGAGAGAGGGAGAGTGGAGAGAGAGGGCAGAAAATTAGGAGGTGTCTGTTATATACGAAGACGAAAAGGGGCGGAAAAAAGCATGGCCAAGGAGAGAGGGCAGCCCGAGCCTGTTTTGCATGCACAGGGGCTTCTGTGGGAGAAGGAGTTGACAGGGCGCCGCAGTGCTGCCTCCGGCTCTCAGACAACAGCTGCTCAGAAAGAGGAGACGTCCTGAGGGTGCTGCGACATGTCTCGCTCTTTCTCCATCTCTCTTTTCACCTGTCTGCCTTTTCCTTTCAGTGAGCAGACATACGCTAGACACATGTGCAACGTGCCGCCCTTTCTTCAGTCACACACACTTACACACATCAACTCTCACTGGAAAACACACACACACACACGTAAGCATGTGGGGTTATGAGATTTATAAAAGATTGGCAGGCATCTTGTGCTCAAAAACCCCCAAATAAAGCAGGTAGAGCTGAATTGTTGATGGTATCTGTTGTTAGTTTGGCTCACCCAGAAGGGTGCCTGGGAAGAAAAATCACCAGCAGCGCAATACGGACAAGTTATTATTCTTCGTCTGTTTCCAAAACTTTTGATGGCAGAAATTCGAGAGGATGAGCCTTTGAATTCACTTTTGAGACTCTTGCTTATTTGCTGTGGTTGAATTTGGTAACTAATGAGGTTTGAGCGTGAGAGCTTCACTTCCTTTTTCTTATTCAGGCACCACACAGCAATATTCTGTCACTGTCACCCCCACTCTTATGACAGAGATGCTTTAATATCTCACAATAACAATATAAGACTGTCTGATAGCTTGAATAACTTTAGATTTATGACACCTTTTCCTTTCACAGACTGATTAGGTTTTCATTAACTTGAATATATAGTAAAGGGTTAACAGCACAAACAGAGCTGACTGAGCAGGTTGCTGTGGTAGATTTTGATCACACATCAATGTTTGACGCTTCTTTCGGATTGATTACTTGCACATTCCGAGGTCTGCTATTCTCCTAAGATGACCATTGCTATGACGACCAGACTGCTACTGGAGATGCAGCTCTGATCATAGCCTCTGGAGCCCGAGGTGTAATCGTATTAATCAGCAGGAAGCGGTCTGGTAAATTTGGTGTCAGTCTTAGGGGGTCTGTGTAGGCATCCTTCTCACCCTGTAGAGGTTCCTCTGCTACAACAACTCGCTCACTGTACGTTATATTACTTATTGGATGGCTATTCATGAAGAAATCAATAATCCGACTCAAAATATTGATTTGGTTTAATTGAGTTCAAAAGGACTTTTCTGTATTTCCTGTGCAAAACAGTCTCTTGGTTTTTCCTCTTTATTTAAGAGCTGCAGCTTTCTTCAGGTCGATTTATTCAGTTGTTAAAGCCGAGACGCAAACTTTGGTGTTGGAAAAGCATCAAAACTGCAACTCCCCAGATATCCATGAAAGCCTGGTTGAAGACATCAAGGAGACTCCATTTATACTCATGTTAAAACTGCTATTTTTTTTGCAGCAGAAATACAAAATTTTACAACCTCGCATAAAAATGTTTGTGGCCCATTTCTTTTTCATACACACTGTAAGAGTGATGATTTTGTAAGTGATTGATTCATTCACTCAGCATAGTTACATATATACACTCACCAGGAGCTCACTGCATTTAGGCATGTAGACTGGTCAAGACAAGCTTCATTCTGAGCATCAGAATGGGGAGGAAAGGGGATATAAGTGACTTTGAACGTAAGATAGTTGTTGATGCAAGACAGGCTGGTCTGAGGTCTGAGTTGTGTGGACAAATTTGCCTTGTTAATGTTAGAGGAGAAGAATGGGCAGACTGGTTTGAGATGATAGAAAAGCAACAGTGAGTTGAATAACCCCTTGTAACAATCAAGGTGTGCAGAATACCATCTCTAGATGGGCTACAGCAACAGAAGACCACACTGAGTACCTCTCCTGCCAGCTAAGAGTAGGGAACTAAGGCTATAGTTCACACAGGCTCACCAAGATTGGACAAGAGAAGATTGGGAAATAGTTGTCTGGTCTGATGAATCTGGATTTCAGCTGTGATGTTCAGATAGTAGCATCAGATAGCATCAGAATCTGGTGTAAACAACATGAAAGCATGGATCTATCCTGCCCTGTATCAACTGTTCAGGCAGCTGCTGGTGGTGTAATAGTGTGGATGATATTTTCTTGCCCCCTTTGGGCCCCTTAGAACCAACTGAGCATTGTTTTAAGGCCACAGCTTACCTGGATATTGTTGCTGACCATGTCTATCACTTTCAGACAGTGTACCCATTTTCTAATGCCTACTTCCAGCAGGATGATGCACCATGTCACAAGCTCAAATCATCTGGCCTCCAGAGTCACCAGATCTCGATACAAAAGACCACCAACAGTCTGGGGATTTAACTCGCTTTTCACTGCACATTTTTACTATGGCTGGAGTGAGACAAGGTGACATATAGCCTGTCTTGTTGTATGTACTTTCCATTTATTTACCACTGTAAACAGACCAATGATAAATATACCAGACTTGACTTTGGTCCTCCAGCCTCTGTGATTCAAATAAGTATCCATAGAAGAAGAAATCACCATGTCAGCCACTAAATTCCACTATAGAGAGGATCAGATTCTGTAGACTTGTAATTAACCAGTCCCATACTGCTGTCCTGGTCAGCAAGCATCAACTTCTACAACTTCTCTAATGGATGTCAATCAAATCCACACACTGTTCCTTGAATTTTAACTTCATCCTAATGACTCTATTACAAATTTATGAATAGTCATTTCACATTTATGAAGTATGCTTTTCATTAATATAAATTAATCTGAAATGATTCAGTGATTATGTATTGTTTGGTGACATTTAATAGCTTATATCCCTTTAGAGATCAAATTCCACCATCTAAACACCCAGAAAAGGCTGCAGAGAAATGAATCCATACCCATTACTGTAATAAAGAGGAAGTGAATATGATTTTGTCTGAGTGGCTGAAAGCAGAAAACAATTGTAATCTAGAGGTCAAAATTCACAGTCCAAGAACTTGTGTGCGACTGTCAGTAGGTGTGAAAATGCACATATTGTCGTCTTAATCATATCACGCATTCTGGTGCAATAAATCATTTGGAGTCTGCTTTTAGATAGATTGCTCATAAAAGGACAAGAAGATGAGCCTTTTTTGGTTTGTCCTTGGTTTGTCAGCATAGAAAAAGAGATGGGACTGCAGAGGCGTGGACAGTGCATGCTCTGATCTCCAGACAGAAGGAAATCAATTTCAGAGTACAAGCATCTCAGAGACAAGAGAAGACAAAACTAAGTTACAGTATGAGACTGTAAGGCTGCAGAGAAGGTATGCAATTTTGTAGACAGGTTTGAGAAACACAAGTTTTTCTAAATCCACAGAAACTTCAAAGTTTCAAGGGATAGCAAAATAAGCCGAGTAACACAAATGATCTTTCCAACAACAACAACAACAATCTGCTCCCGCTCCTCAGTGTGAGGATCCCTCATCTCTCAGGACAGATAGAAGATGTAATCCTTCAAGTGTGTCCTGAGTCTGTTCTCAAGAGTCATGCCTGAGGACACCTCCAAACAGGGCCTGGCATTTTTATCAGATTCCTGAACCACCTCAGCTAGCTCCTCTCAATTCAAGGCAGAGGTTTAGCGCTCTGCTCTTTTTTTAAGAATCACTCAGCCATCTTTAACTTAGAAGGAGGCCAGCGACCCCACGTAGAAATCTCATTACAGTGCGGGGTATTTTGCGATCTCGCTTTTTCTATCGCTATTTAAAGTGTGAGACCAGGGGTGACGATTTGAAAGAGAGCAGAGTGATAAATCAGAGTTTTACTTTAAAGCTCATCTCTCACTTTACTGCAACTTGCCCTTATGAAGCCTGACAGAGGTAACACTGCAGAGAATCAATCTCACAATCCTTTGCACCATCGCTCTACTTTACCCCTACTAAACTGCTTCACCTGTGGCAGCTTCAATCTCCTTAAATGGAAGCAGCACCTACACCTTTTTCTGCATTTATCCCAGCTTTATACTTCTCCTCTGAACACTGAAGGTCACTATTCACTGGAGCCAAAAAGAGTACATCATTTGCAAGAAGGCAGACATTGTTAACTGCACTGGCTTTCAATTTCAGCCCAATCACATTCACTAAGGTGAGAGTATCTCCCAACTAAATCCTGACACTGACTCCTATCCACTAAGTCACTCATGGCAGGGTAACTTACAGTAAGGTACATGTGATACGATACAGTATGATGCAACATGATACAGCACGATACTAAATAATATGATACCCTACATTATGATACAAGGAAACAAGATAAAATGGGATATGATATGATATAATCTGATATGATAAAACAAGATAAAATAGGATATAATATAGTGCAATTTGATACAATAAGATATGATATAATATGATAAAACAAGATAAAATAGGATATGATATAGTGCAATTTGATACAATAGGATATGATATATGATAAAACAAGATTAAATACAATATGATATAGTACAATATGATACAATATGATATGATATAAGATATGAAATGATAAAACAAGATAAAATAGGATATAATATAGTGCAATTTGATACAATAGGATACGATATGATAAAACAAGATAAAATAGGATATAATATAGTGCAATTTGATAAAATAGGATATGATATGATTTGATAAAACAAGTTAAAATAGGATATGATATAGTGCAATTTGATACAATAGGATATGATATGATGAAACAAGATAAAATAGGATATAATATAGTGCAATTTGATACAATAGGATATGATATGATTTGATAAAACAAGTTAAAATAGGATATAATATAGTGCAATTTGATACAATAGGATATGATATGATATGATATGATACAATAGGATATGATAAAACAAGAAAAAATATGATATGACATAGTACAATATAATACAAAAGGATATGATATGATAAAACAAGATAAAATAGGATATGATATAGTACAATATGATACAATAGGATATGATATAATATAATATCATTCAATAGGATATAATTGGATGATACATTTTGATAAGCTATATGTTATGATATATTATTTGTTATTATGCGATCAGATATGACCAGTAGTTGAGTTGTGAAAAAAAAATCAGGGGGAATGGTGGATTTTATTGTTTGGGACAGATATTTTGTTCTAATGACAGCACACATGGTGGGAAACCAACTGTGTACCCATTTTATTGTTACTAAGTGGAGTTCTCACTAAAACAATCACAATATAGTGGAAACACAGAGGTAGCAGGAAAACAGGGTACTTACAGTGATAGGATTTATTTACAGTCGGCCTTCCAAGGTGCAGTGCAAAAAAGTCAGTTTGGCAGTTACCTTCCACACAACAAACTCCAGGCTGAAAGAAGGAAAGGCCCAGGAAGCCTTTTTTTTAAACCCTCCTAGCCACTCCCAGTGGGCGTTATCAATTACATAAGTTTGGAAAAAAAACTACTTTATTCACATTTAAACCATTTTTACCTTTCAAGTTTTTGACATTTTAACTGAGGTTAATCAATGGCGCATCAGTTTTTAGGTATTCATGGCAAGAAACAAGGGAATTATTTTTTCTTGCATCATGTGACCACTTTGACCCTCCATACCCACCTATTTTACACCCGGAAATCACGCGCTCTGGCTCCTCATTTGGAAACACGAACCGGCATGATAGCGTGAATGGACACCCGGCAAGTAAGTGAAGAGATGAATATCAATGTGAATATATGTTTAAGTTCATTGAAAGAGCTCCAAGTGTGCACCCTTGGAGAAGTAGCGCTGTTTAGTGGGTAATGAGCGACGCTGGCGGGGAGGGAAATGTTTGGCGTGTATGTCGGTACGTGTGGCGCCATGTTCTGCCCGCAGTCAGTGAGGACGCCGCTCCGTCACACCCGCTAAACGTTAAAATTGCGGTAATATATCTAATGTTAAAATAGTAGTAATTTTTACACATTAACTGACAAAATTGGCTGAAGAAATGTAAAGTTGGGATGACCGTTTTAGAGGGGGGATGATTTTGACTGGATATGTACTGGATATGACACAATATAATGTGGTATGATGTGATGCAATGAGATACAATATGTGATGACAGAGTTCAATACAGTGTGATGTCCAAGTAAGTCAATTATAGTAGTTTATGTGATGATGGATCAATTCAGATGAGAAGAACTTTATTTATAACCAAAGGGAAATTCAATATTGTATTATATTACACTATTATTCGAAATTATGAAACATTACAGCGTGTGTTTAGCCAACCAATACAAAATGACCTTGAAAGGTTAAGTGTAGAGTAAGTTAGAGAACATGTGCATCGGTATTCAATCCAAAGTAATTTAGTGAATTCATTCACTAAATTAACAAACTGTTTTTTTCCCACAGGGTCAATGGAAAGAGGAGAAATGTAATGGACTCTTCTGTTAATTAATTTGATATAACATGCAAAGTCATGAGGTAGTGAGTCATGCTGGAGGCATATAATATTAAAACAAGCTATTCTGTGCCACAGATATTAAATCTGTTTCCCATCTACAATATTATATTGTTATACTGATAGTTTGTCTTATCTGCGGTAGTGGTGTGTGTCATCTTGAGGTCTGAAATGTTCCTGTTTCAGTTCACCTTGTACGCAGGTAAAAAAGAGGCTGTGCAGAAGTAAAAAGAGGCAGTAATGTAATCCTGCATCTCAACTGACAACACTTTAAATCTCTTTAAACAAACAGTATGTTTGTAAGAAAGTTCATTCATCAATGTGTTTCAATATGCTCCTCCAACCTCTTATTCTTTTCTCCCCAAATTGCCAATCCAGACTGTAAACAATGACTGGAGCAGGGAAATTAAAGTCTTGGCCTGAATTAGCTGCTGTCTTCACCAAAGGCCCCAAAAGTTGGCTTTTACTTCCTGTCAGGTTCCAATATTGCCTCATTACTTTCCCCAGGCCTGTACTGCATTGCTTGCTGAACACCAGATCCAGTGAATTGAAAGAACCCATAACCAACTTTTTTTAAGCCCCAAGCTTAAGTTTGTCTATTGTGAGCTCCTCTCTCCTTGTGATGCTGAGTCAATTAACATTTAATGTCTTAATTGATCATGATAAAAATCTAGTTTTTCATGTTGATAGGCTCACATAGTGAACTGCATAGCTTCTCTCAAAAACTCAATGTTCTTATATTTGCAGCATTAACTGGCTGATTTTACTCTTGATTGTCAACTAATTGTAATTTTTGTTGAACTAAAGGTGTTTTGTTGAAGCAATAAAATAGGCATCTAACCTCAAAGCTTATAAGCACACTGTTTTTAACCCTGTTGTTTAACCTATTCTTTGCCATAAAACATATCATTGTCATTTTTTCCAGAATTATTCATTCAAATAATGAGTGCAGGAAGTAAATGTGCCCTTATACGTGTCTATATATGCAAAACAAAGGGCTTCCACTGATTTCATGGAGAGGAAAAGGTCATTTATTGATATACTAATACCGTATTGAGGGTTTTCCATTAAGAATCTTACAGTAGTAGGTTTTAAATATTCAGTCCTATATCTCTGACCTTATATGTAATCAGAGTTAACTGTTTATCAACTCTAGAGCACTGAATGCCAGCATATTATCTGGTTTTCTGAAAGGTTAATACTTATTGATGTTTTGAACTCGTAGACTGTTGAGTGGTGTCATTATCAGAAATTCAAAACATGAACTTTATGTAACTGTATTGATCCTAAAGCTCTCAATGATGCAGAAATACGACCAGAAAAGGAAATAAATGCATGACACTTTTGACAGTAGAAATTTTCCATTTTCAGTTTTGGTCTCTTCATTCCTGCAAATAAGTTTGAACTTCAGATTTCAGTCTTCACTCAGTATATATAGTAGGTGGTATGCATACATTCTGATATCAAAGCAAGGACAGCTGTTCCAACCATGAGAGAGAGAATACTGAGTAGGTGTGGGGCGTCACAGAGGTGGTAATCTGTGTACCGCAGATGAATATGTGATGATTGGAGGGAGCACAGGAACCTGTGATTATGATTTACATCGACCCATCTGGATCAGGTTCAGCCTCCTGTGCCCTGATTTGATTAATGCTTCCAAATTAGATCATTGCATGTTTTTTTTTTTTTTATGTCTACTATAATTTGGTCCTCCTGTGGTTTCATGTGACCCCCAAGCCAATACAGGCATCAAAGGGCAAAAGGTCAAATGAATTCATAATTTCTGAAACCAGAGTCTGTCAAGATCCTGAAAAACTCAGGGGACACACATGCCATTAGACCCCTACCAAGAAACCCATGTGAACACGTATAAGTGTGGCTCACCCTGTCATTTACATTTACACTTCAAATCCTTTGCCAGTCAGAGATAGTAAAATAGCATTGGATTTTAGTAATATCATTTACAAGTTAAATGTAATGTACCAGGTTTTCAGATTGTTTATTTAATAGTTAAAGAGTTTCCTCTCGTTGATGCTCAAGGAAGTGTCAGACTGTCACCAGAGTTGTTTTGATTTGTTGTTAAACTCCTGCAAGGAATTTTAAGCTGATCATGAAACAGACTGTAATTAATATTAATGCCTCTTTGTGACCTACAAAACCATACAAGGCCATCAGCATCAGCATTATTGAATATTGAATATTTCTCTAGTTCAGTGACTAGAACCCCTGTCAGGGGGGTAATTGTCGATGACAGTGATTAAGTGCATGCTGCTAAAAGAGTTTTGTTGAGGTTTGAAGAGGGTTTTGCATGTTAATGGTAAGACTATTATCCCACAGGTAATACCAGACAAGAAACTGGCCCCTAAACTGAAACGGAAACTAGGCTGTAAACCGCTGCAGAGCAATGCTTTCACGTTATTCGGCTACTTTAAAGAAACTTAAACCCAAAAAGCTAATGTTGGTGCAAATTTATGCTCTATTTAGAAATCTTTTCAAAGCTTTTAATTTGTTGTCGGAAAGGCCACTCATTTTTGCCACATCCATGTGTGCTACACATACACTGTTAAAAGTAATAAGTCTCAACTTTTCTGAAACTGGTTGTGAAATGAAATTGTAGGACGTGACATGGGGACAAAAAAACTGACTGTGAACACACAATAAGGAAAAAATCAGCAGTTATCACCTGATGACCACTTTGTCATCAGGGGGCACTAAAATCAATAAAACACAAGAGTTCCTCTCTGTAGCTTTAAAGTAAAGTTTGTGGGTTTCTGTTGCCATTCTTCCACTCTATAAATGAAATATTTCACCTCCTGCCCAGTGGGATACAGACTTTTGTGATCATCATTTCCTTTAGAAAAATGTAGACGATGAAAATTGTCCTTTCAGAGGTGGCAGACCTGCAGGGAATGGTTTTTATTCTTTCTTTCACTCTTGAAGACTTTGGATCTCACTTGAGACACAAATATTAAAAAACTCTGGGTCATGGTTATATAAGTAAAAATATCTGTGTTGTTGATGTCTTCTTGCATTATTCAGGTCTCAGTGCACCGCTGGGTCCAGAGCTGGCACTCTTTGCTGGAGTGGAAACAAACAGGGGCCCCAGGGGTCCTGGGATCAGGAATAAGAACTGCTGTTGGCAGATATACCAAGGTGAAAAAAACACGACAGATTATTGTTACAAGACGTACCCTAAACTTAATCATTATTGTCCACAGCTGATGAAATCTAACAACACTGGTGACCTCCTAACCTTTCCCTGGCAGCCGGTCAAATCCTTGAGCCAGGTGTCATTATTTATGTCACTTTGACAGTATGTGTTGTTGGGTATTTATTAATACATTGGTAAGGTTTTGAGTCTTTCTAAATTGGTGTATAAAGAAAAGTTTAGCTAGTTACCCTGATATTGGTGATTATGATAATTTTCAGGCTAATGTTCAACTTGGCAAATAGGTGGAACACAATAAGTAATCAAAAACAATGATATATATATATACATATAAGCAATCACTTCCTGTTTATTTGTGTCGGCTAAGAAATGAGGAATTTTAGAGTCCGAAACAGTTTGAAGAAAGCCGTTGCCTGTAAAAGTGCATTTTAATGTGGGCTTTAATGGTTTTTGTAGCTTTTAAAGCCCGCTACAAATGGACACTTGAGGAACTGCAGTTTTTTGTAATCCCACAGATGATGCTGGAAACAATAAAACAGCCGTCCTAGTGGTGAGTAAAATGTTAGAAAAAGCTTGCTCATTATATTTAATTATTTTTTCTCCCCTTGCTTTACATTACCTTGTAATCGCACTGGTTTATGAAGGGTCTCTCAGTTTATTTTTGTCATGATATGTTCTGTTTGAGTTAGTTTTTCCCTGGTTTTGTGTTTCCCTTAAAGTATTTGTTTTGAGATCTCCCCTGGTGTTTCTGTGTCCTATTGTTCCTGTTCCCCTGTAGTCCTGTTTTGTGAGTTTTCAGTTTGTATCTGACCCCAATTCCCTCTTGTTCTCAGTGTTTTATTTCTTATATCAGTTTTCAGAGCTTCCTGTTTTATTTTGAAGTAGGTTATTCCCTGTGTTTCTAGTCTTGTTTTACTTCCTCAGTTTTCCCTCTTTATAGTAATTGTCTTCCCCTGTTTCTGTGTTGGTTCATTGTCTGTTGTTTGTCTGTGTGTCTGTATGCCAGTGTCCCCAGTGTCTCCTCGTGATTTTTTCCTCCATGTGTTGTTTGGTGGATTTGGGATTTTTGGTTCTTTTGGATTTTTCCTCTTGTGTTTTTTGTCTTCGGGTATTTTTCTGTTGGAAATTAAAGTAAGATTTTGTTGCTTTTTATTGAGTTATTTTTTCATTTAATCACTTTTTGTTCTGCAAATGGGTCCTTTTTCTGTTTTTCAACTTCACCTGTGACAATTTTATAATACGAGTCTCAGTTTCTAAATCTGGATCAATCAGGATTAAAGTTGTGTTGCAATATCTTTAATTTCATCTCCCATTTTTGTATATTTATTTAGTTTTATGTACTAAAAATAGTCGTTTTAAAACACTGCTTTATCGCTGCACCTATTTCATATCCTACTTTTTGAATCTTCTCATAGATACTGCCACATTTCCAAGTCTGAGCGCATGGTTCTTCAATTTGACCAAATAATGTCAACAATATAATCTTCTAAGCTTACATAAAGATGCGCTCTCATGAACCAAGGTCAGTACTGTACACACACAGATCCTCAATCATACAGGTCTGTCTATGCAAACCTATTTGCCTGTATGTTCACAGGAAACAGGGCAGAAAACTGTAAGTAGGAAAACAGAAGTAAATTGAATTATTCTCAAGAACAAAACAACCCTGTCTGACAAACAATCCAACATTATTTGTCTAATTAGGATACCACATCACACAAAAACCCACACCTGACTGCATCTAAGCATTGTAAAACCATGTCTTTATGGATGATAATGAGTCATCGTTTTAATTTATGGCATTGTTAAAGCGGATGTGATCTAATATAGTGTATTCTGTCCTCATCCTTAACAGTTTCTGCTGGTGCAGCTCCCTGAAGTCAGTCGGAGGGCTTCAAAAGAGTTTTGGCCGTCAGGGGAGTTTCAGCCGGCTTCATCTTTGTCTTCCTGTTGCTCTTTTTCTCTGTTGTCTTTGTTATTTCTTGAGAGACTGGAAACACTCTGCAGAGAATGAGGCTTTGTAGTGTGAATTAACTCTGGGTGATATTCAAATTAAAGAAAAATAATCAGAGGATCAAGTATTCGCGTGAGTGCAATGAATGGGTTTACTACAAAAGCTACACCAAGCGTAGCAAAAGACCAGTGTTTCTTTTTGTAGTCATAGAGAGAAAAATGGGTCTTTTCTCCAGAAAATTCATGGTGCCTGAAAGATAAAACAGCCACCTTGGATATATGCCAAGCACCAAACAACAAACGTGGTTTCTTTGTACACTCACCTTGAAAAAACTTGGGACTACTCTGGGAATCTGTTCGCCTTAAAGATGCTGACTCTTATTTTAAAGTTGAGAAGTATTCCGCCTCCTCCCCGAGCTACCTCTACATCAAAGCCTGATTGTTTATGACCTTTGTCTCCTCCTTTTTCCTTCTATTTACTTTCCGACATTGTGTGAAAGGCTTGACAAGCAGTGTTTCAGCCAAGACAGGCCTCAAGCAGCAACGTTATGTTTGTTTGTTTGTCTTTTTCCCAGGCCTCAGTCTCTCCCCAGGTTCCTACTTAGCACTCCGTAAAGACCTGTTGTGTTGAGATACCAGCCTGTGTCATGCTGTGATCAACTGTAGTGTTTACCTGCTGCATTGCAGTCAAGGTCAGAGGATTGTGATGGCTGCAGCGAAGTTTCCAGGTATCCCCTGAGACCTGAGGTGAGAGCTGGTAAGTGTTTTTTTAAAAGCACATACATGTGCACACGCGTACACACACACACACACACACATATTAAGTTGTGTCTATCTCATTACCTTTTGGAACTGTAGACGAAGACGGATGGGGATTTGACGGTGGTTTTCCCACAGGGTGACAGTCAATCAGGTTTGACAGGTAGTGCACGTTGCTACAGAGACGGTCAGTTCCCATGAGTCTTCTTGACAGGGGTGTGTGCCATAGTACAGCTTCACCACAGAGGCCCATCCATGTCTATTAGGGGAAGATTTCTGAATTGAGAGGAGGTTATACTTAAAGCAAATCTTAATCTACAGCAGCTAACTTCTGGGAAGTTGTGTGACTGATCCTACATGTTCAATACAAACAGCAATGGTGGGAGGAAGGGCCGGGTTGGATACAAGTTAACATTTTTGTTATCTGGAAGAAATGAGAGCCATTCACAGGCTGCTGATTCCAGCAGTTAAGATACTATTGGTAACACGGCGGAGATACGCTTCAGCCAATAGTATCTATTTTCGACAGGGAGCAGGACATTACAAGCTGTGCATACCAATGCAGACGTGGCATGTTCTGCCCAATAATATGTTAATCTGCAAGTTCCACTCTCTTTACATGTTTTTGAAAATGCATCATTCATACATGATCATCAACCCATCTACTATCCAACATTAATTAGTTCATTTGATTACATTTTTTGTTTGAAAACTTAATTCCGCCCATTGTGAAACTGCACCATCTGTCCAGATGAAATCAGTCATGATGGCTTTTGTCATTTATGTAGAATTTTATAAAGGCTTTTTTTTAACAATTATTTTTCTTTAACAGTCATATACTTTAGTAAATCCAAGTACATAAGCCATTAAAATAGTTACACATGGTTTTATTACAATACTGGTGTTTAATGGCTTTGTTGTAAAATAAGTGATGTTTATGTTTATTTAATAGTTAATCTGTGAAATACAATGAGATAAATCCTGATGCCTGTCTGTGATATCTGAAAGCAAACAAGCCCCTCAGCAACACACTTGATTTTTATACTGTCATTTTTCATCGAGGAAACTGTTGTGAGGGGTTAGGTGTAGGCCGAGCAACTGGAGAAATAGCCCAGTTTTCACAAATTTCACTTCAAGTATTCACAACAAATGAAACATTTGACTGTCAAACTTCAACAGGATGAGATTTTTCTGTCTGAAGACACCACCGAAGTATTAAGAGGACAAGATAAGTGAAGACTGCTTTGTCTACAGGGGGCGCCAAATTGACAAAAGTTAAAAGTTCCTTACAGGATCTCTACAACCATATGTGTATACCATATAAAAGATTTTCTTGGTGAAACACAATCTTGTATTTTCTGAAACTTTCAGGGTTGATTGTTCTGATTAAAAGTAAAGGACTGTGCAGACATTACAGGTTAGTATTTATATAGGTAACCATTTTATTGCTGCTACGTGCCTCCAGCTTTCCTGAGCTCCAGTGACCGGCGACTGCTTGCTAATATTTGCTTTAGCATTGTCACTTTAGATGAATGCACATAGCCTAAGTACTTTGTATTTTTCCTGCAAATTGTGTATGACATGAGTTGTGCTTGCATTGGTTTTTAAAAGGGTGCATTGCAAATCTATGTCAAAGATAAGGGAATAATGTCCAGCCTCATAATCTACTTGTGAACACATGGAAGTAGCTTGGCAAAGACATATGGAAGAGGGTCACATAAGGAGTCCATTTATAAAGTTTCACCTTAGTTGATAAACCCGGGATAACCTTTTCTGTCATTGCTGTCTGACATTTATCATGTTCTTGCTGCAAATACAGATTTTAATTGTTTACCAGGGTCATTATCATTCAGTCACAGTCTGTGACGCCGGCATTAGATCCATAATAGGGTAGACGTAAGGTAATCAATCACAGTGAGTCGGGCAGCAACACTTAACACATGACATCTAAAAAACAAGAAAGCCATATACTAAGCTCCCCTCGGCTTTGAAGCTGTACCAAATTAGATTCTAGTGGAAGCTTCAAGGAGAAACTTTCAGTGATCTTCCTATTTCATGCAGTAGTGTCAAATGTGGCTGATCCAGTGAGAAGCTTTTAAGCACCTACGCTCAAACACAGGCGCTTACAAAAAGGTCTGATGGAGAGGATGTAGTATCCTCATAGATAATTGTGTCCTTTTTATTCTGTTCATGCTTCATGTCTTCTGGTAAAGGTTCATGCTGAGGCTTGGTAGGTCAAGCTTCAGGTCAAAGGCCTCTTCAAGAGTAGAGCGAACTTTTCCTCCCCATCTTAATTAAGTCCCCACTTAAGTACACTATTAATACAATATACTGTGATGACAACAATGGTCTTTTCTCTTCAAAGCTCCCTAATGTTATACACAGTTATCAGACATAATGTTTCCAGGCTCAGGCACATAGACTTTAACTTGAATTATGTATCCATTGTGTTGCCATATACAGTTGAATAACCTGCCCCCAACTTTGGTGATAAATACGACACCAGTGGGATGTCCTGCCATAAAATGATTGCACATTGCTCTGAGTCCCGCTGCCTGGATCGAGTTTTCATAAACTTTTTCAAAGTATATCATCAGAGTCTCCTGAGTCATCTGTGTTTGAAGAGTCAGGTTGTTTATGAATGCAATTACAGTTTGAAACTGACATAGATGTCTCTGCTGCAAGAAAACTGCCTGAACACAATTTAATTCACAGCTTTTATTTATTTAGATTCACTGGATTATACAGAATAATGTTTAATACCAAGAATGGGTAAAGATATCACCAAAGATAAAGAAGGGCCCACTCAAAACATACTAGATGACGTTTTGAGTCATGACAATTGAGACTACAGACAATTAAATTTCCCTTCAGGGATAAATAAAGTTCTTCTTCTTTTTCTTCTTCTACTTTAAAGGGATATTCCAGCGTATAATTAATTTAGGGTCAAACACATCGTAACACTGAGTTAGACATCCCCCCGAGAGATGAATGTTACCGACCTCTTCTCTAGTTATAAGAACTTTAGTAACGACCGCACGATAGCAATACACAGCAGTCTAAGGAGCCATAAACAAACCTCAACTAAAACGCCACTCTATAGCCACAAATAATGCTCAGAACAGCACCTAACTTCATCAACAGTACATATAGGGTCCTAGCCACAGCACTAGCCACCAAACATCTTTTAAACTTTGCCTAATTTCTTTAGCAAAGAGACTAAACACAACTCACCTACTCTCTTCCAGCAGCCACTTGTTTGTAGCGAGACCTCGGGCCAGTCCATTACGGACTACAGCGGGTTGAAGCAGCTCAAGGATGAACATTTATGATCATTTCCTTAAAGTAATAATCACCATAATAATCATTTTGTACTGCAGACGCGGTCGTTCTTCTGACTTAGAGTCTCGGTCTGATTGCATTTCCATGAAGAAATGATCATAAATGTACTGTTGATGAAGTTAGGTGCTGTTCTGAGCATTATTTGTGGCTATAGAGTGGCATTTTGGTTTAGGTTTGTTTATGGCTCCTTCGATCGCTGTGTATTGCTATCCTGCGGTCGTTCCTAAAGTTGGTAAAACTAGAGAAGCAAGCGGTCGGCAACATTCATCTCTCGAGGGGGTGTCTAACTCTGTGTTACGGTGTGTTTGACCCTAAATCAATTTTACGCCAGAATATATGAAAATCATGACCTATCGTTATTTCACACCAAATCCTGCTTGTATTAAAAATAAAAGTCATGAAACACTTTCAATCTGTTTATAAATCAGCTCACATTTTCACCTGCATAAATTTAGGTCCTGCACACCCACATAGGTGTCTGCAATAAGTCTGTCTGATTAGACCTTTGCCCAGGTTTAAGACAGGCGCTTCAGCAATTAGATTTACATAAGGGCAGCAGTGTGATAATCATGATAATAATAGTAGAACTGTTTTTTTCTTTACTTTTAGTTGCTTTAAGGTCACTCTTTTGCCAGTCTAATAATTGATTATAAAATTTCTCACTATACTCTTAATTAGAGTTTGTCTCTAAAGCTGTTAACACTGTAAATAAATGTTGAGTCATTTGTTCCTGTACTACCAGGTTAGCTTGTACAACCTAACATGCATTAACTGTGAATCTGGGCTGTGTGATGATACTCAAACAGCAGTGTCACTTTTCATCATAGAGGAGTAAACAAAGGGAAATCCCGGCTGGTCTCTCTCTTGAGCAGACATGTTGTTATGCTGTGTTTACTGCTCAGTCACACGGCTGACAGAGAAGGATCTCCTCTGCAGTGACAGGCAGACTCGCCAAACTGTGACACTCGGTTTTCAGGAAAAAAAAAAAGCCTCTTGTGGTGTTCAGCTACAGAACTCCTGATGTGTGTGTGTTTGTGTGTGTGCCTGTGGGATGAGCCACATCAGGCTGTTTTATACATCAGGTTTCAGTATGGATTAACACAGGCTGTTGAATAAGATAGGTCTCTTTTTTGGCATAATTAATGTGAGTCATGAATAACTTGTCATTTTTTGCCTAGGTAGGTATTTCTGTCAGACAGAGATAAACCCACAAAAGAAGAAATATACACGTAGGTGGGATAAAAGAAGCTCTTATGTCATCAGAACTACAAACGCATTCTTGGCAAATCTTAAATAATCTTATATACTGTCTTAAGGTATCATGAAATCAATTATAGGGATATAGCTTTCACTTCTGGGGGGTACAGCATCAATGAAAGATGTGCTGATTCACTGTTTGCCTTCTGCTTTGAAATACACGGTGGATGATAAGCCTTGACAGTCAATATGAATAAAACTTAGTCATTCTCAGAGGTTTTTGATTTGAAACCCAGAGAGAAAAGCTGATAGTTTAATCCAGTCGCTGCACACATTACCTCCTCTTTCCTGTTGGTTAATGAAAGAAATGATCCACAGCTGATGCCAAAACAAGGTCAAACTCTGTTTTCAAGTTCAGTTTGTCAAATGGAAATTATCAGGGCTTGGTGCCAGAGGTCTTGTTGAACAGCTTTTTTTCCATGTTTGACTGAAGTTTTTGGGCAGAAACAGAAAGGTTGTCCATCATTTTGACAGCTGATAATACTGAGGGTGATTTACCATAGCATTGCACTGCAGGAGAACCCCTCACAAATTTATAATAACATTTACAAAGTCCCTGTATGACACACAGCAAAGATTGGCATAGTTGTGAACAGCTTTTATCAATCTCTTTCACCCTCCTCTCCACACATATGCA